GGGTTTTGTTCGTTATGATTGTTGTATCTCCAAGAAATTACTTCCTGTTTTTTTTTTTTTGTTTTTTTTTTTTTGCCTTTATTTCTGCGCGCCGACCACACACAGCTTACAGCACAATGCTGGCCGAGTCAATGTTGGCGGGGAACCAGGGAATGAAGGCGCTCGTTCGGGCAGCATATGCCACAAACTCGGGCTTCTTGCGGATGAGCGAGCGCTCCAGCATAGGCACTCCGCTCAGAGACGTGAGCAGATAGGTCATCAGCAAGGGCGCCGGGATGGTTGTCCAGCCAAACCGCGCGTTGCAGGCAATCACATAGTAGCCCCAGAACATGAGCGCATTGCCAAAGTAATTGGGATGGCGGGTGAAGCGCCACAGACCGGTGGTCAGAAGCTTGCCTTCGTTGGCGGGATTGCGCTTGAACAGGGTGAGCTGCAGATCGCCAATCGCCTCAAAGAGGAAGCCCACCACCCACATGGTCGCTCCCACCAAATCCTTGTCGGTAAAGTACATTGGCGCCGAGCCGCGTTGCGCCGTCAGCAACGGGAAGCCCACCAAGAAGCAAAGCACAGACTGGAGCCAGAAGGTCTGGAAGAGCGAAACCCACCAGTACTTGGGGCCATGGCGACGACGGAAGGCTTGGTAGCGGAAGTCTGTGCGAGGCAAAGTCACAGTGAGAGTTGAATGAAAGCGAGCGAGTGCGACAGATCCAAACCAGAAGAAACGCCGTTCGTCGAACGATAAACCCCGGACACGAAAGCCAGATACACAACTGTTCAATCACGCATGGAACTCACCTTCGCCTTGACCGTAGTTGCGGTAGAACAGATAGGCCGAGAGCCGAACTGCCCAGAGCGAAACGAGAAGCAAAATCAAATCTTTGCGACCAGCAAAGCCGGTGGCGGTAGCGCGGTGGTTGCGGAAGACTGCAGTAAGAATGAGAAAACCTGTGGGTGCCAAGCATAAGAAAACGGATTGGAAGGTAAAGCGTCAAATCGGGATGAGAGAGACTTGGAAACACGAACAACGCGAACATCACGGAAGAAGAACCGTGTCCCCCCGCCACCGACGTCACAAACTCACCGAGACTCCAGAAGGGATCAACAATCGAGACGTCGTTGATGCGGACCGAAACAAGCCAAAGAAGCGAAGACGCGCACAGCAGCGAGAGCAGTCCGCCAAGACGGGGCGAGTTCTCGAGCACTTGAGAAAAGGACGGGAGTGACTGGCGCAAAACAGCTGCCAGCAGCTTTGCACCATGGAACGCAGCATTGTGGACTGCTCGACGGACGGAATTGACGACGTGTACGGGAACAAGGAGGCCTCGGATTGCAGCGCGAATGACGCTGAACAATTGGCTCGTGCCAGATCCCGTTCCAGCGGCGGCCACCGCATCCGCCGAGGCAGCAGGAGCAGTAGCACCGACTTGGCCATTCGGAGCAGCAGCAACCCGCGCGACGGCCTTGGCGGCTTGCTCGGTCGCCCAAGCGGCAAGATGGAAGGGTGAGAACGCAACCGCCGTAATCAGTCCACCGCTGGACGAGATTGGCGCCGCTGCATCGCCCACAGCAGCAGGTCCAGAAGCAGCAGCAGCAGCAGCAGGCGAGACGGATGTCGGTGTCGATGACGGCGGTGGAGGGGTCGTCGCGGGGACTTGGACTCCTCCGACGACGGCTGGTAGGGAATTGGCGAGCATGACTCTGGCAATGCCCGAGCAAGCGCCGACGAACGCAGCTGCAGCGATGGCAACGCCCAGGCGGGTCGACAAGAGCTGCTCGAGCAGTGCATCGAGCGGCGGGAGACTGCCGGAATCGCCGGGTGTGCTGGGTGGAGGTGACGCTGGCACAACCAGCACGGCGATCTGGCTCGCCAGTCCGCGAAGTGCGTCCATCGTCGTCGTGAAAGGAGGAAGAATAACCAGGACTGACTCAGACCCAAACTCAAACTGAAACTGGATATTGAAGGTGAAGTTGAATTTGAATCGGGTGGTAGATTCTAGAGGGTTGCGACGATGGAGTGCACGAATTGGTAAATTTGAGGACGAGCAGATTGGGAGCTGCTCGACAACGATAAGTGCGCTTTCTGCGTGTACACACTTTGTTCAAAAACGGAAGATGACTCAAACAGGTAGCAGAGTGGATTGAGTGCTTGGAATGGAAAGGGGCTGATCCCGCAATCTGAGTTTGAGCAGATTTTGGTGTGTTTGCTTTACAATGTTACACTTTCCGCATCCATACACGCACTCGTATAGTACGAGCAACCACCATTTCGCGGGCTAAACAGCGGCTGTTTCGGTGAACTCCGTCGTGACATCAGTGAAGCGCAGAAAGGATGAACGCGCACCGAACAAAACCGCAGCACAAACGAGTTGGTTTTTGTTGCATTGTTACGTCGCTCTCTGAAGTTGCAGCCAAGTTCCCCCTTCCATCCAGCGAGCAGATCCAGCTTGCATGTGCAACAAACACCTCGCAGTATGCTCCCCCAGCTCATCCAACTCGCAACCAGCAGTCACCAAAAAAACATCAACAATTTGCCTCAAATTTTGCAACTGTCAAAAAATTTGCTCGAATTGTGCCTGAACTGCAAACCAGTCCAACGTTAGGGATTCTCGCTCCCCTTTGTCCTTTTTTGCTTTGTTCTGTCCCTGCACTGTGTGAATTCTTCCAATCCTCAGAACTCGAACAAGAACAGGATCTGAAACAAAGCACTCTTCCATATTTTTTCTACAATCTTGCTTTTTGTTTTGAGAAGCCAGAATTTTTTTTTTTTTTTTTTTTTTTCTGTTTCCGCTTCAGTTCTCTCATCTCTTGTGATCGACCCCCTTGTTCCACCAACCCGGTCCCCCACCCTCGACCCTTCGTCTTCGTCTTCGTGTCCAGAGCCATGTCGCTGAGCAGCATCCAGCACCTGCTGATCGACTTTGGCGAGGTCAAGCTGGAAAAGTCCATCGGCAAGGGCTCTTTTGGCGTTGTCTGGCGAGGGCTCTACCGCGGCCAGGTCGTCGCCGCCAAGCAGATGGCCCCCGAGGAAGGCGCCAACTTTAACAACAAGGAGGCTGACAAGTACACGGAGCGCGAAATCCTCATGCTCGGGTACGCACTTCCTCTTGAATGACTGAATCCAAAGCTGGGTTCTTTTGCCATAGTGTATGGATTGAGGGTTGCGGTTGAGGTGTCTCCGCCGCCTTCGGACGTTGGCTTTTTGGCCACACGAGTGCTGTGCGCTTCAGAGGACTGGTCCCAGTGGGGCTTTGGTTTCGCTGCAGCCGGGGGCGCCGTCCAAATCTCAAAAATGGGAGTTTGTTGCAGCGAACCAAAAGCAAACTCTTTTATTTTTTTTTTTATTTTTTTATTTTTTTTTATTTTTTTATTTTTTTCTATTTTTCTATTTTTATTTGTTTTTGGTTTACCCGACAACCGGTGTCTCGTCATCATGCTGATGATTTGGTCGTTTCATCAGTCATTCAGTCAGCATCTGTAATGCTGCTATTATTGTAGCGATGCGTCGCTCGGTGTGGTGAAGAGTGCGCTTTGGATTGGGCTCTGTTTCGTCCATCCAAATGCGGATGTTGCGAGTCAACCACACCGTTAGCTTCACAGCATGACTCTGTTCGGAAGAATCACACATTGTTCAAACACGAACGGCATCGAGAAGATTTAAAAAATCATGGACCAAGCGGATGGCGATTCAATTCTCACCTCACAATTCGTTTCTACATTTTCGATCTGACAGGTCGGTCCAACACCCAAACGTCGTCAAGTTTATTGGTGCGGCATTTCACAACAAGACTTATTACCTTCTGACCGAGTTTATCGACGGTGGCGATCTTCACGCCTTGATGGAGGACCACGACGTCCCATGGCCTCAGCGCTTGATTATTGCGATCGATGCCGCTATTCCGTTGGCACACTTGCACTCGCAAAGAATGATCCAGTACGTTCGTATCTTGCGAATGGGTGTCGTTGAAGCGAACATGGATGAGGAGGGATTTTGTTCCATTCCTTTGAGGATTGCTCACCCCGAAACCATCCCCCATCGTGTGCGTCACAGCCGAGATGTCAAAACTGAAAATTATCTGATGACGAGTAAATGGCGAGCGAAAATGTGCGACTTTGGCTTTTCTCGGCATTTGGACTTGAGCAAGCAAATGACAATGTGTGGAACGGTAAGCGGGGACTTTTGTCGGTCGACCTTGTCGCGTTGCTGGCTTCGCCTTGTCTTGGTTGGTAATTTTCTGTTTCCGGCCAATTGATCGCAAAGCACTCACAAACGTCTGTCTCGGCACGACCACAATCAAACACACACACACAAACAAAAAAAAAAAAAAAACAGGATTGGACACTCGCCCCCGAAATCATGTTTTGCATCCCCTACGATGAAAAGGTGGATGTCTTTAGCTACGGAATGGTACTGTGCGAACTCATTAGCCGTGAGCACAGCTCTACGTTCGAGCGCGTCATTCCTGGGTTTGGTATTGCAAGCAGCGAGATTTACGACCGCGCAAATGGAGGCTGCCCTGAGCCGCTCATCCAGCTCACCGTCGACTGCGTCGAAGACGAGCCGTCAAAACGACCCTCCATGGAGGCTGTGGTGGAGCGCCTCAAACGCTTGTATTTTGATTTTGTGGGTTCGGAATACGAGCCTCTCACGTCCGAACCCGTGTCGGCACCTGCTGCTGCTGCTGCTGCCGCTACAGTGGAGGTGTGCACGCCGCCTCTGACTCCTCCGTCTTCGTCGTCGATTACGGTGATTGAGGTTCCAACAACGTTGGTGGCTGAGCCTGCAATCCCGCCCGCAGTCGAGCCCGCAGCTCCAGTCGCTCCCGTCGCTCTAAACGCTGCTGCTGCTGCTGCATCCGAACCGGCCTCCCCAGCCCGTCCGTCCAATGAGGTCACGCCTTCTGTTCCCCACTCTCCTCCATCGAGCGGGCCGGAGGCTCCAGATTCGCCGCGCGCTCCCATTCTGGTCAAGCCTGACGAATCCATCGCTTTGGACGACGCTTTGGACGAGGCCATCGGCGTGCTTGACGTCTCGATGATTGAACGGGAGCAAGCATCGCGCCGGCTGCCCGGAAGCGCCCGCGCATCGCCGGCTGGGTCGCGTCTGTTTGAGATTTCGCATCGCCGGACTGCCAGCCGAGAAAACTCGTTTGGCCTGTCCACCAGTCCCGTTCCTTCCAGTCCCCATCCCAACGAGCTTGTTCCTCCAGAGCCTGGTTCTGCATTTGTTGCCTCGCACACGACGGTTGAACCCGAATTGGCACCCGCCGTTGAGCCAGCACAACTGCCCTCCCCGGCGGCGTCGCCAGTGTCTCCGGCTTCCGTCCCCGTCAAATCGCCCCCTTCCGCTCGTCACCCGTCTGCAATCGTGATGCCTGCGCGTGCGCCCGATGCGGTTGTGGCTGCATCATCCTCAGCAGCTGCTGCCCCCGCTCCAACCGTGCCCGCTCCTGCGGCCACGAGGCCAGTCCATGTCGGTACACCGCAGCCCAACTCTTCAATCCGGTCGCCATCCTTCCGCAGTCTGGCAACGGCAGTTGGCGACTCGGCTGCCGCATCATCTGTTCATCCGTCCAATCTAGCCGCTGCCGGCGACGCTGCGGAGGCTCCTGGCGTCTCTGTCACGGAATCGGGTGTCATCTTCCCTTCCGTCAAAGACCGTCGCAATTCATTCTACAGCGCAGCACAGAGCAGCTTTTCCTCGCCAACGCCACAAAAGCCTGCACCGACCACTCCTTCCAAGCGATTGTCCATGGTCTTCAATCCGCAGCAAGCCGCCACTTCGACTACGCCAGCAACGCAGCAGCCTGTCGAAGAGTTTACCCCGACGGCCGGTTCCGTGCGCCAAGCCGTGTCGTCCTGGCGTGCCTCCTCGACGAGCAACACCCCGTCCGCAGCATCTCCCACCGTCTCTGGCTCGCGCACCACCGCCTCGTGGCGTGCCAACTCTATCGCGTCCACTACGCCTTCCACGCCGACCGGAGGAGCAGCAGCAGCCCGTGCATCTTGGCGTGCATCCCCCTCCGTCAGCAATGCCTCTGCCATCTCCAAGCCTGCAGCGCCAGAGGCTCCGGTTGCCGAAGCGCCAGAGAGCCCCGTTGAGAGCGTTCGATCGCGTGCCGCCTCTTGGGTGAACTCGACCAACGTGCCGCGGGCTTCCCCATCGCGTCCGAATGGTCCGAATGGGTCTGCTGCTTTGCGTGCTGCCAACGCCATCAACGCGGCTGCTGCCGCCCCTTCTGCTCCTGCCGCTACTTCTACTTCTGCGCCGCAGGTTAGCTCTCCAAGCGCGTCAACCACACCCAAAACGTCAACTCCCGCTGCCACTCCTGCTGCCTCTGTGGCAACACCCGCCGCCTCGTCGCCAGCGACTTCAACATTCACTCCAATCAAGCGCAAGGACGAGCTGTACGACGCTGCCGAGCGCGACATTCTCTCCGCGCTGGACGATTTCGATCGTCTGATTCCGAACAAGTCGGCGCAGGTCACTGCTACCGTCGCAGCACCTGCAGCAGCGGCCGCTGCCGCTCCGTCCATCAAGGCCACAGCGGCTGCCAACCCTTCTCTGGGAAGGCAGTGGTCGGTGCAATCTGCCACGCAAGCGGCTGCCGCTGCTGCCAACACGCCAAATCGCCCCGCCGGTCTCATCACCTCGTCGTATGTCAGTCCGCATGCCCGCGCTGCAGGATCTCCACTGCCATCGTCGCCCAGCCCTGCCACATCGTCCACTCAATTGCACAAGCCAGTCCAGCCGGCGGCAGCAACATCAGTTCCTTCAACTCCGGTTGGCACTCCCTCTGCTCCCGCCTTCCCGACCCCAAAGTCTCCGGCTGCAGCTCCTGCTGGAGACACTTCTGCGTCAGCGTCTACAGAGGCCGACGATGTCGTCCCAGAGCTGTCGGCCACCGCGATGGCCGCATTCACAGCTCTGGAGTCTCGGTCCGGGTCTTCCTTGAGTCGCACACCGAGCAGCTCGGGCACCGGTGTTTCTGTCAAGCAATCGCTTTCGCGCTCGTCCTCGAACATGGACAGTGCCGACAAGCCCTCCGCCCAGATTCGTGGCCAATGCGGTGGTTGCGGCAAGGACATCACAATGGCCGAGCGCGCCCTTTCGGCAGCAGGCCGCAAGTGGCATCATGATCACTTTGTGTGCGCCCATTGCCAGAAGCCGCTGGGAAAGACGCCGTTCTTCGAGTTGAATGGCAAGGTCTACTGCAGCGAAGACTACGAGTCGCTCTTCTTGCCCAGATGCCACGTCTGTCAGAAGCCGCAGGCAGGCAACTATGTCTCTGCCCTCGGCAAAATCTGGTGCCCCGAGCACCTGACATGTGGTGTCTGCAAGCAAGTCCTCTCGTCCTTTGTCGAGCACAATGGCCAGCCGCTGTGCCAGAAGCACTATGAAGAGCGCAATCAACGGATTTGCAAGCTGTGCACTTTGCCGATTAGCTCGGGCGCGCTCACCACAGGGCAAGCGTACTACCATCGCCAGTGCCTAGTTTGCAAGGTATAGAGAAATGGCGATCTTTCCAGCAGGGAGAATGTGCAGAGCTTGCTTGTTTGCTGTTTTCGTCTTTTTTTTTTTTTTCTTGCTTTTTTTTTTTTTTTTTTTTTGCTTTTTGCTTTTTGGCTTTGGGTTCTGTCGCTTGAGTGTGGGCGTTTGATGGTTGCTAACCAGCCCCATGGACACCGTTTGTAGGTTTGCAGCACCGCTCTCGACTCGCAGCCTCATTTTGTCGTCGATGGCGCGATTCTGTGCCAAGAGCATTATGCCAAGCGCTCTGGCTCGCTTACATGCCACGGTTGTCAAAAACCACTTGTCGACACGTATGTTGACGCGATGGAGAAGCGATGGCATCCGACCTGCCTTGTGTGCACGGTAAGAGACTTGCATTTTGGACGATGGAACGATGCAATGACCGCAGCTTGTCAATGACGTTTCTCACCTTCACTGTTGTTTTGCCTCTTCTGCGCGGCGCTTAGACCTGTCGCTTGCCTTTCGAGGGTGGCTACTATCCCCACGCCGGAATGCCGTACTGCAAGAAAGACTTTTTCCGTCTGAAGAATTTGCTGTGTGGCTCTTGCGACACGCCCATCACGGACGTGTACGAGGAAGTGAACGGCAAGCGTCTGCATGTGACTTGCGCCGCCAAGTTGAAGTAGTGTCATTGTTTCGACCATGTATCTGTGTACATGGGGGAAACCTCTGTGTCCCTTCCTTTTGTCTATCGCTTGGTTCCGCCACACCATGTTACCATGTATGTTGTTGAAGTTGTCAGTGTGTGCAGCGTTACCTCGTCAAATCATCAGTTAGTCAAATCCGACCTTTCGTTCAGTCACTTTTGTTGTTTTCACTCGTTCGCTTGTTGGTTGTTGGACGAAAAACATCGACTTTGCTGAGTTCACCATGGATCCAATAGACCATGAGATGGCTCTTGATACGCATCCACCAAACGCGGACGCAGATCTGAGCAATCTGAGCGAGCACGACTCGGACGACGATGACTCACTCGACCTGGCCTCGCGCGATGCCACTCGACCCGCAGGACGATCCGACGAGCAGCGCCAAGCAGCACGTAACGCCAGACTCGCGCTGCACAGCCAGTACGCACAGGCGGACGCGCGGCCCAAGCGATTCGGCGAGCTGCAACAACCGGCTGGATCATCCGAGCCCAGCAGCGCCACACCGCACTCTGGTGTCGAGTTTCGCAAGGATGGCAATGGCGATAGCGCCATGTCTTTACAGAGTCGGCAGGGTGGTGGTGGTGGTGCTGGTGTTGGTGCTGGTGTTGGACCAGGTGGTGTTTCACATGGTACAGCGCACCAACCGTCATCGTCATCACCATCGCCATCAACACACAGGCAACAGACAAATGCAATGGTATTACATCCACAGGACGAGTCGTCTCGGATGGAGGTGGACGACGTGGATGGCGAGATTTCGTCTTCCACTCACGAACGCCTCGACAACGACGACGACGACAATAACGATGACGAGTATCGCGATGTGCTCGTTCGCGCCATGCGCGTCTTATTTACACGGGAGCGGCTGCATCGCGAAGTCGAGGAGGTCAGTGCTGGGATTCTAAGATCTCGAAAGCCGATTTTGACAAGTTGGCTGTTTACCGAATTTGTTGACTTGTTGATGTTTGCGTTTGGTTTATTGTTTTGTGGGCGGTTATTCTAGGCCGCATCTTCTCAACTCACAGAGCAACACGAGCAGCAAATACGAGCCAGGCAGCGACAGCAGGACGATGAAGACGCCTACTTTGATTCAGAGAGTCCATCCGAAAGTGTAACAACCGCATTTACGACCGATGAAATCGTGCCCCCTCCAATCGACGGTAGCAGCGAAGAGGTTGATTATGATGATGATTGTTTTGTCAATGGATAGTTCCACGAGTACAACTTTCAACGCCCGTGGTAAATGCGTTTTGCATGGTGGAAATCGTTCAGGGGAAATGTTCAACTTTTTTTGTTTCATGTACAACACATCACACAACATCACACAAACGAGAGACATGGAAAGAAACATTTACAAAATCAATTCAAGACATGAAGGGAAACGGGGTGGCAAAGGGCTGGCGTGCAGGCTGATTCAGCAACCAGGATGCTGGGTGGGTTTTCGCCGAAGGTGCGTTCATGCTGGAATAGGCGGTCTGCAGGTCGTGCATCTTGCGATTGGCAGCGTGTTGATACTTGCTGCCGCCGTAGAACAGACGGCGTGCAGCCATGACAGCCAACACACCCTTGCGGAAACGACGGAGCGGAGTCAGCATTTGGCGATGGATGGCCGGCGGCATGACACTGCCGGTGCAGACAGCCGTGACTTGATCGACCTCGCGGTCGGCCTGGTCGATAATGTTGAGGCAAAGGCTTTCAATGTGAGCGAGGCGCGTGTTTTCAACGGCCAAATACCGCTTTTGGAAGGTGAGTTTTTGCACCTGAGAGCTCAGCTCTTGGCATTGGGCAGCCAGCATTTCCACAGTGCCGTTGCCTGCAGCAGCGGGGAGTTGCTGAGTCGCATTGTGCATTTGGTAGTGCGTCGCCCAGGGCACAAGCGGAGAGTTGGCAGTGCTGTTTCGTGCGGTCGTCAGGGCGGTGAGAACCGAATCACGCTGTTGCGCCCAAGACTGCCTGGCGCGGGACTCGCGGCGACGCTCGCTCTCGCGCTGATCGCGTTCGGAAGCCAGAGTAGTCTCCATCGAGTGTACAGTGGACTGCAGCTCTGCAATCTTGCTCTTGTACGTGTCGACGCGACCAGCGTACTTTTGTTGAACCTGGCCCAAGAAGAGGTGCAAGGCTTGCATCCAGTTGCTGTTGACAATGCTGCCGGCTTCTCCGTGCTGCAGCATCAGCGCAGGGAGGCCATTCGCTCGTGCGCCATTGCTTCCGACAGATGCAACAATCCATGCATGAATTTCACCGACGGAAGGCTGCGCAACGGGTGCTGCCAGGGCAAACTGCTGCTGCATTTCGTGCGTACGCAACTGCTGCTGCAGCTCGTTGCATCGCACGTTGGCCGCCTCCAATTCGACCTGCAGCCGCTCAATCTTGTCCATGGCCGAGGTCAAGGCGGACTGCAACGTCGCTTGGGCGGCCAGAGCAGCCTGGCGATCCTCGGCGTGACGAGCCTCCATGCGACGACGCTCCTCAAGCATGTCGGCCCGCATGGTTGTCATTCGGCCTTCCGCGGCGCCAGTGGCCGTGTTGGCGGCATCAAGTCGCAGCTGGAGCAGCTGGAGTTGGTGGATGGCCGCTTGGTGCTCGCGCGCCGCCTCTCCGGCATCGTGCTGACTGGTGTCCAACAGCCGCTGAGCGCGCTCTGCACTCGCCGACAAGGTCGCATTGAGCGCTGCAAGACGATCACGCTCAGCCGAGACCAGCAACAACTCGCGATTGACGCGGGTCATTTCCGCTTGCGACACTGCTGCCGCTGCGGCTTGGGCAGAGCTTGCCGCGTGTGCGGCGTTGGTGGCCGCAGAGACAATGGCTGCCGTAGCATCGCTCGACATGGTTGCGGTTGTCGGAATGAACTGAGCAGCAGGAGCAGCAGCGTGCGACTGTTGGTGGGTCAGCATTTCGCGTGCAATCACGCCGGTGACGGTCGTGGTGAATGAGGTAAAGCAGTCAGAAACCATTCGCACAATTTCTTGGGGCGATGCGCTTGCAGGGATGGGCAGGGCGACAGCTGGAGCCGAAACTGGTGGCTGGGTCGAGGCGACGCGCGCAGCATGCGCCTGCTCCGACATGGTCTGTTGAGCGGAGGCCGCGGCGGACGCAGCTTTGGCGGCATCCGCGGCAGCAGCGGCGATGCTTGCTTGGCCAGCTGCAACGGCAGACGACACAACCTGGGCCATGTGGGTCTGCAGTTCTTGCTGCTGGTGGTAGTGCTGGTACTCTTGCACATGGCGGAGAACGGGACTCAGTTGCGAGGTCAGCTCCGAGCGGATGAGCTGGGAAATTGCCTCAATGGACGGACCAGGAGCAGGTGCTGGCATCACAACGGCGGGAGGAGGAGCAGCAACAGCAGCAGCAGCAGCAGCCGCAGGTGCAGGAGTGGGGCTCGAGGCAGCAAGGCGTGCTTGCACCGTGGAGGCAATTGTCAACTCGTTTTGCAAGCGCTGGTGATCGCGATAGAGTTTGTCCATCTCGGCACGCAGGGTACGCTCGGTCGAGACTTGCTCGTTGAGTTGCGTCTTGGCACTCTGCAGATCAAACGTGCAGGACTGCAGCTGAGCCTTGAGAAGAGACACGTCGCGTTCGTGCTGCGAGCTGGCACGCTCGTAAGACAGGCGCTCTTCGTTCTGAGTCTGCGTGGCGCGAGTGCTGTCACTAGCGACCTGCTTGAGCTGGACTTGCAATTCCATGCGCTGCTGACGCTCTTGCATCAGCTGAGCATCCAACTTCTGCTTGTCCTCATCCAGGGCTTCAAGACGGCTGGTCTGTTGGGCCACTCGCGCTTGCATCTGCTGGACTTCAGCAACAGCGACGCTCTTTGCCGACTCGAGGACGCCGAGGTTGGTCTGCAGGCTGGAGACCTGGCTCTGGAGATTGGCAATGGTGGACTGGAGCGCGTTGACTTGCCCGGCGCTCGTCTCACGTGCGTTTCCATTCTCGGCAGCTACTGCTGTGAGCTGGACGACTTGAGCCTGTGCCGCACTCAGCCACGCTTCAGTTTGCTTGAGCTTGCCGCTCAGCTCCTGGGCGTCGGCGAGCGCGCTCTTTCCAGACGCAGTCATCGCAACCGCACTGGTCTCGAGCGAAGCGACTTGAGCTTGCAAGGCAGCGACAGTTTGCTGCAAGTGTTGCACGAGCGCGTTCTTTTCACCAGCGTCCTTGTCAAGACGAGCACACTCTTGCTCGAGCTCGTCCTTGTACAGACGCTCCTCTTCCAAGAGATTGCCGTTGACAGTGGCTGTCTCGCGTTCTGCGTCAAGTTCACTGCTCACAAGAGCCAACTTGGCCTGAAGCGCGGCAAGCTGCTCAGCGCCCGACGCTTGATCAGAAGCCAACTGCTGCTGAACATTGTGCAGAGCCTGGTGCGCTTGATCGATGCGCTCTTGCAACTGGGCAGCGTCAGCGGTGCTGGAGGCAAGCAGCATGTCCAGGCGGCCTTGGGTTTCAGCCAACGCGGCGGTCGCAACGGCAAAGGCCTGCTCCTTTTCGTCCAGAGCAGCCAACAGCTCGGTTTTGTCGGCAGTCAGCTTGTCCTTCGTCGCCAAGGTGGTGGCCAATTCCAGGCGAACGTCCTCCAAGGTAGCGCGATCCACATTGTGTGCCTGCACAACCACCTCACGCTCGCGCGCAAAATCGGAAACGCGGCGGTTGAGCGACTCGAGTTCGCCCGACATCAAGTCCAGCTCACGATCCTTCAAGGTCTCAAAGCGCGCATCCTTTTCGGCGAGTTGCAAAGTGAGCTGCTCGAGCATGGCCTGGGCTCGTCGGACCTCCTCAGCATGCCGTTCGGCATTCTGTTGCAACTTGGTCTCGAGGCCAGCCTTTTCAACGATCAACGCTTGCTGCGCTGCACCTTGTTCCTCAGAAGCAGCGTGAAGGGCTTGCAGGCTGGCCGTCGCTTGGTTGAGCTGCAGCTTGAACTGTTCCAGCTCGGCCGTCTTGCTGCTGAGACTTTGCTGCATGGCGTCCAAGTCGTCCGTCGAAATGCGGTGCTTCTCGGCCAGAGTGTGCGAGTCTTGGCGCGAAGACGACAAAGTGGCGCTCAGCTGGTCTCGAGTCGCAGTCAGCTCCGAAACGACTTGCTGGGTGGCCTCCAGCTGCTTGGCAAGTTCGGCAGCGGTGCGGTATTGCGCTTCCATCTGCGCTTGCATGGCCAGCATTTCTTGTTGAAGCTCCTCAACGTGTGCATTCGAGTCGGCAGTCATCTTGTTGAGTTGTTCAATTTGGAGCTTTTGCATGGCGTTGCGCTCAGAATGAGCCTCAGTCAGACTCTTGCCCAAAGCCTCGACTTGATTTGTCAGCGTCAGCGACTGAGTCACCTCCGAGTCGAGATGCGACGTGACCGCGGCAAGCTCGGCTGTCAGCTGCGCACACTTGCGCTCGGCGCTGTCGGCGCGAGCAATGGAGCTGTCGACCGAAGCGCGAAGCTCAGACATGGCAGTGCCGAGTTGCGTTTCCAGCGCTTCAGACTTGGCTGCGGATTCTTCAAATTGGGCGCGGGACTCGCTGAAAGCGCGGCGTTGCTCCTCGAGCTGCTCGGCGGTCTGGGCGTACTTGAGCGTGGCCGTCTGCAATTCCTGAGAAATGTGGGCGACTTCTTGCTCTTGCTTTTGGCACAGGGTTGCTTGTTCTTCCAGCAGGATTTGCTGAGCTTCAAGTGCACTCTCGGCGGATTGCAGCTTGACGCTTGCAGCGGCGCTTTCTTGCTTTGAATCGTGCACTTGCAGCGTGCGCTCGTCCAGCTGTCCTCGCAAAACCACAATCTGAGACTCGAGTTGCTCAATCTTGGCAGAAGCAGCGCTCAAGGACTGAAGGGCCTCTTGCAGCTTTTGCTGTTGCTCATCCAGCGTCATGGAGGTCAGCTGCTCGCGCTGAAGCTTGGCAGAGAGTTCGTCCAAAGCCTGTTGGCGGGAGACGGCAAGCTCGCGAAGCTGCTCCACGGAGGAGGTCAACGCTTCCAGCAAGGAATCCTTCTCCTTCGCCTCGGTCAGGTTCAGCTCGAGTTGCTCGGCGTGCTTGGAAGCGTTCGAGACAAGCTCCTGGACTTGAACCGTCAGGTCCTGAACTCGCTCGCTGGCTTCCGCCAGCTCTCCGTCAAGCTCTTGAACACGTTCCTCGGCTGACTCGCACTTGCTCGTCAAGCTTTCCATCCGTTGGGACTCTTGGGCCAGCTGATCCGTGGCTTTGGCCAGCTCTTGATCCAGCTGGTCTGCCCGCTGCTCGGTCTCTTGGCAACGAAGAGTCAGAGATTGGACAGCCGCTGTGGCCTCATTCAAGGACGCTTCAAGCTGGCTAGCCCGTTCGCATTGCTGTGCGAGCTGCTGTGTGGTCGATTCATGCTTGGCTGACAGCTCGGCCTGGCGAGCAGCCATGCCGGACACTTCATCTTCCTTGGTCCGAAGCAAGGATTGGGCATCCTTCAACTGCTCGGTCATCGCGGCCATCGCCCGCTCGAGTTCTTCTGCCCGAGCAGCTTGCTGCTGAACAACAGCTGATGATGCTTCGATTTGCTTGGCCATGTCGCTGGCGCGTTGACGAAGCGTCTCTCGTTCTGCTTGGGTCGCATCCAGCGCCTCCGATGCACGCTGCAGTGCCGCATGAGCATCGTCGCACGCCGCCTGAAGCTCCTGTTGCTTTTGCACTGAAGTCTCGCGGTCGCTGGAGAACTGGCGAACGGCATCCGACATGCGGCGTTGCATTTCTGTCAGCTCGCTGTTGGCCAAATCAAGCTCCCTCTCCTTCAAGCTCTCGTTGTGGGCATAGAGCTCTTGGTTGGCGCGAGCAAGACGATCCGTGCTCTGGGCGATCGATCGTGCAGTGGCGCATACTTGTTGGACTTCTGGGAGAACGAGAGCCTGAGCCGGGATGCTGACAATCTGTCGTGTAGTTCGACCCAAAAAAAAAAACACTCAACGAGTCAGTCACCCACAATACTGCAAAAAACAAAACCTCTTCATTACATGCAGAGCAAAACACTCACCGCTGAATCCATTCGCGAGGTATACTCTCCAACCAGCTCAGAGTCCTCTTGCATGAGGATTGAAACGTGGGCACCAGAGGCCTCGTGCGCGGTCAAGATGGGAAGGAGAACCTTGGCCGCCTGGAGCTCGACCTCGAGGTTGCGGACGGTCGCGGAAAGTTGGTTGGTTTGCAGCTGTTGTTCTTCCAATGTGAGCGCCTTGGCCTCGCGGAAGGCAGAGAACTCACTCTGGAGCTTTTGCACAGCTTCGCGGGCGAGGGAGGCTTGCTCATTCGCAGCGGCCAAGTCCATGACAAGCCCATCGCGAGCCAGCTGCAGATCAAGCAGCTCTCGATTTGCTGCAAACGCGTCGTTGCTGATTTGCGACTTGGAGGCAGCCAGCTGGTCGATGGTGGCGGAAAGCGTGATATGGGTTGCCTTGAGGGACTGCAACTCGGCCGTGACCGCACTCAAGTTACCGCTGACAGCATCACGCTCGGTGGACAGCTGTTCAATAGTCCGAGCGGCTTCGTCCAGTCGGGCTTGGTGCGTGGCAATTGAATCGGTGAGCTTTATCGCCTCAGCGGCGGATTCTTGCAGGGTCTGCTCGAGCTCGGCCACCTGTGTGATGTGCTGTGCCGCAAGCTGGTCCATAGCGTCAGCATGGCTAGCAGAAAGCTGGTCAACGGCGTCCTTGTGTTGCTGCTGTGCAAAAGCGATGGCACCGTTGGCATCCTGCAACTCTTGCTCACTTGCCTCGAGGGCTGCAGCTTGCGCGGCGTTTTCGGCTTGGACGCTGGCAAGCCGTGCGTTGAGGGCTGCAATCATGGAAACTTGCTCTTCAGTGGACGAATGGTGGGCCAGCATTTCAGAGCTCTGCTGCTCGGTCAGTGTCTGCACAGCTGCGTTGCTGGCGTCGAGTTGCTTCATGAGCGTGGCGATTTGCTCCTCCAGGTTGGATTGCGTCTGCTGGATGGCTGCAAGTTCGGTAGCGTGTGCTCCGGTAGCAACGCTCATCTGGGAATCGAAAGCTGCACGAGCTTCCTGCATTTCCTGTGCGTGCTTGGAAGCAAGGTTGCTGAGCGCTTCCTCGTGTGTCTTGGCCGCGGTTTCCGCCAACGTTGAGCTCGTGGCGAGCTCGGTTTCCAGCTCAACAACGCGCGCCGCATGCTGCTCGGTCAGCGCAGTGATTGCAGCATTCAGCGCATCAAACTTGGTCTGAAGGTTGTCAAGAGTCGCCTTGCGCTCCTCGCTCTCTCGGGCAAATGCGTCGCGCTCAAGGAGGGTGGCGTCAATCAGCTCGTTCATTTCGTTAATGATCTGCTCGTGCTCGACAAGCTTGTCGCGAAGCATGGCGCATTCCTGCACGACAGACTGATGCGTCGCGGTCAATGTGGCGTGCTTTTGCTCGGTGTCGTCGCACTGCTGTTGCTGAGCCTGAATTTGCTCCTGAAGCTCCTTTTCGATGGCAACGTACTCGGTGCTGGTGCGTTCCAGCGCATTGGTCAGCTCAGCGACCTGCTCCTGCAGCTGAACACAGCGGGTTTCAGCAGCGCTGTTGTTGCGGTTGAGCTCGGACAGGCGGCGATCGTACTGCGACAGGGAGCTTTGATAAATGTCAAGTTCAGTGTCCTTGAAGAGCTCCAGCCGCTTGCGCGAAGCATCAGACTCTTGCAGTGCCAGATCACGCTCCTCAGCGAGCTGCTTGATGTCGCGCTCGTGCTGGTGGGTGAGGTCGGAATAACGACGATCAAACTCGCCGAGCTGCTCGTTGGCAATGTCAAGTTCGCTTTGCTTGAGCATTTCGTCGTGCAGGCGCAATGCTGCGTTGTCTGTGCGAAGCTTCTTGTTGTCTTGTGCAATGTCCAATGCGGCCAAATACAGGTGCTGGCATTCGGCCTGAATTCCTTTGGGCAGCGAATCAAGCTGTCAAAGCATAACGTTCCAAAAAACAATTGGTTTTGTGAGCAACGTGTCGTACAAAATGGCAGGCGCTTGTCAAGCAATTGAAAGAAAAAGAACAACAACAAGAAGAAAAACAATAACTCACCAAAGTTTTCAGCTTTTCAAACCCAGAGTCAGAGGGTCAGAGGGTGCGCCAAGTCCTGACATGTTGCTCGTGTTCAAATCGGAGCCAAACGACCAGCGACGGGCTTCGGCCAGCTGACGCTGCAAATCTTCGTTTGCACGAGTGAAGCGGGCGAGCGAGGTCGAGTTGGTGCGGCCGGCACGCGAGCCAGTGCTCATAATCGAGCTGTCCAACACTGGGCTGACGGGTCCCGGGCTCGGGAGCGCGGCCAGCGCGATCGGAGTGAGCTCCTTGTTGCTTGTGCTGCGTTGGGAACGAGGCCTGCGCGTTGTAATGTGCTGCGAGGCGCGAGCCACCGGCGACAGCGCTTCTCCAGCCACGTCCCAAGCGGACACTGCGGTGCCCAACGGCGAGACGGGCGCTTGACGGAGGGTCGCAGCGGAGGCGATCAACGGGGAAGACGCTGAGGAAGCCACTGGGGTCGCCTTGCTTGAAGCAGCAGCAGCAGAGGCAGGAGGAGCAGCCGAGACAGCGACGACGTTGGGCGACTCGCTGACAGCCAGCGGGCGTCGCGGCACTGCGGGTGACACAGACGCGGCATTGCGCTGGGAGGTTGACTTGGCGACTGGGATAGGCGTCTGCTGGGCGGCAGGGGTCACGAACAGCTGCTTCAAACGGTTTCGATCGTCTGAAACCAGATCGTGGTAGTTTTCTTGGTTTTTGCTCATGCTTGTGTGTGTGTGAGTTTCCTTGTGGATGCGGGCTGGCAAGTCGGATGGTGACTGGATGACTAGAACGAAAGCGGAAGAGTCTATCGAGGAGATGAGGAGATGAGAGGAGTTGGCGACGAGGCAAACAAAGAAACAAAGCGATGAAAAGTGAACAGTTTTGTCGAAATATTTGAAATTGGCGCCAAAATTGCAAACTGCCGAGAAATCGCGCTGCACAACCGATTCCGAGCGCCGTACCTGCCCGAAGGTGGTGAAAAGGTCTTGTGTCAAGGAGTGATCAGAGAGGGAAGCAAGGCACGGTCTGGAAGGAACTGTGCAATGTCCTTTTTGAAAAGAAAAAAATGGGAAAAGTCAAAGAAACAAAAATCAAAGAATGAAACAAATCCAAATTGGGATTTTCGGTTTGAAAAGTGCATTTTGGCGCCAAAAACCAGCAGAGACAAATCGTGTGTGTGTGTGCGTGCTATGGATTGATGTGTATCCAAGTATGTTGTATATTTCCAAGTTGAAGAACGAAATAACGCAAAAACCCAAAACGAGCCGAGGTTGCTCAGCCAAGTCGCTTGCTGAGATTTCGGAAACCAATGCCAATGCACGTCAATGTGAGTGATTGGGACTCTGGCTCTGCCTTGATCTTGAAAGTAACACCAAGGAAATCTCGCATATGCCTCAGGAATTGGATGCTACATTGGTGTAACGGTGTGATGTGAGCTATTGATCGAAAAGAGGTCAGCATCGAAAGTCGTAGCATCTCTTTCTTTCTTGCCACTTTGTTGTCCAAACACCAAGCATAACCGAGAAAGAGTGGCCACAAAAATCACGATAAACCTACGCGTGAAATCTCTTCGAACAGGAGTTTGGCAGTTCTGAGTCCCAAATCTTCCGGAAGCATTCCTGCTTCGGCGGCGCATTCTGCGGAGGTCAGCACGCCGGTTGTCGATTCAGCCACAAGAGACAGTGCAAAGCCAGGCGAGCTGATGCGATTCAAAAGCGAAGAGGTAGCGTCAGTACAAGAGCAAAAGCACAAGTATAAGGCCAACAACCCAACCAAAAGCAATGCTTTACCGGCCAGATTCAGCACCCTTGTAATGATCGGTGTAAATATAAACATCAGGGATGAACGTATTAAGCAGAGATCGAGCAGCGTCGACAATACGATTGGCCGTTTGTGGCGAGACGCGTGTCGAGTAACTGGGATGACGGGAATGGCGCCGATACGCAATCGCAAAGCAAGCAAGAAAAAAAGCACGCCCCAGGGTGCATGACAAGAACCAGGGAAGCGGGGGAGGGGTGGGAAGGAACAAAAAAACCGTGAGCCAGTGTTGCAACACCACGGCTCATGCACAGCAACAGATGGTGACGTACGCAATGCCACGAATACGCTTGATTTTGCCAGCCTCGAGTAATTGGACTGGCTTCAGCTGCTTGACAACGGGGCAAGAGAAGAAGACTTGGCCGCCACCGAGCGGAGGAGCGCCTCGCCTGGCAATCTGCCAAGCCATCAAGATCCAGCAAATGGATGCAACATTTTTGAGCATTACCGAGCTAGCACGTGACACCAACTTATTTCCAACACCGACTCCAATAGCACTCGGAATGAAAACGCAAGCGTTGAGAGCTTACACGCAGTTCGGCACCGTCTTCCAGACCGAACAGTTTCAATGTGGGCAGCGTGACTGTGCGTAGAACATCGACTGATGGATCTTGTGCCGAGTTTGTGATGCCTGTCAGCGTCAGTGACAGCGGTGCCTTGCCGAACGGGGCCATCGAGATGACTGGCTCGAGGTAGTAGCCGACAGCGCGCTCGGTGCCGCAATCGTGCTCAACCTGCCCACCTGCAAAGAATCCTGGCTTGAACAGCACAGCAGTACCCGTGTAGTTGATGTCCGTCTGCGATCCGTTTGTCAGCTTGTCGATCAGCTTGAGGAAGTTTGCCTCGTATTCTGTTCAGTTGCAGCAGAGGCTTTTGTGAGTCCTCCTCTGCCCTCGGTCGCGGTCTTTCAGCATGATACAGCTGCTCAGTGTTCAGAATGCAATGGGACGGGGCTTGTATCGATGGTACGGTTTGGACTCTTCTCCATGTGTGCTTTCAATCCTTTCTCTTCCACACGTGGACTTTGATCCACTGCCCAAGCCTCACTCTCACTCTCGCGCGCTCCATTCGAGCATGCCACCCGTTAACCCTACGAGTGCTTGAAGCAATGTCCTCCGTCGACATCCAAAGTCACGCAAAGTGGACCATCCCCAGTCCGGATCCCAGCGCCGCCCCCAGCTCAGCGGGAACGAGACGGTCCTTCTCCTTCAGTCAATGCCGATGCACTGTCCTTGTCGCACCGCGCTTTTACCTGAGAGCCCAGGGCTGTCCTCGGTGGAGCGAATGTTGTCAATGCGCACTGGCCGGCCACTCAGCACGGACAGAACAATCCGCTGGCGAAAGTACGCGGCGCCGCTGTAGCGAAGTGGTTCAGCCATCCAAAGCCAAAGACAATGGAACAAGAATCGAGACTGTTCACTGATTCGGATTGGGATTGGCGACAAAATGGGTCATCATGGAAGGCACTGATGAACGAGACACTCAAGCGAGCTCGCGATCGAGGTCGGTTTTGGGACTCGGACTTGGACTTGGACTTGGACTTGAACTGAGCGATGGAGGACAGTCTTACTCTTGGGTTCAGCAGGTCTTCCAATATCCCTGTGGGGTCTTACTTGACTTCTGGGAAGCTTCCTATAAATTACAGAACTACTACCCTAACAACAACACTCCTCCGAGCTGAAGCTGCGCGGGAGTGGGCAGGTGTGTTGCAGCCATGGACGTTGTGCCGCCCGCGGTGACAGACCCGACGACATCGGATGCACCACCACCACCACCGCCGCCGCCGCCGCTGCTGGTGGTGGACAACACTGCCGTCGGCAACACGACTGTCACTCACCACCACCGTCCAGCAAGTGTGCAGGATGGCGCCGGGATGGACGACCGAGCGCGTGCGGGGTCTGAGTGGCGACCCGACTCGGCTGCTCCACCGACGCCACACGAGGTCGAGCCGACGACGACCGCGATGATGAGCTGCGATGCGTGCGTCGCGACCCAAAAGCGCTTGGACGCAGTGCGTGCATCGAACAACAAGCTCAAGTCGAGGGTCGTCGAGACAAGCCAGCTGCTGGGACTGTACTCGCGCAACCAGCAGGAACTCAAGCAATCCCAATCGCAGACCATCTTACTGCGAGACCACCTCGCGCTGACGACGTTCCAGCTTGCACAGTCGCAAGAAGAGGTCATTGGATTGCAGATCCAGCTCGAGCGGGTGATTCAGGTGAGCGTCATGAAGCTACGTACACGATTGCCCAAAAGTGACTTTTGCATCCTCACCCTGTCTGAACATACAATGCTTTTACATGCGTACTTCTTGACCTGTTCGACACAGTCCAACTTGCCTTTGAAACAGACCATTGCGGCAAAGGACGCCGAAATTGCACAGCTCAAGCACGACGTTGAGGTTCGCAACAACAAGTTGGTCGCGTCGCGATTCCACCTCGACCAGCTGAAGCGCGACATTTTGGAGATTGAGGCGTTTCGCAGCGACCGTGACAAGCACGAGGAGGTGGCCAAGAACATGCGCCAGCAATTGTCCCAGCGTGCGCGGCAAATACGGTCCTTGCAGCAGGATTTGGAGCTGCGGACGCAAGACTACCGGCTCCTTCGCGAGGCGGCCGAGAGTTTCAACCCAGACACGATGGTGCGCTTCAATGTACCACAAGCTCAAGCTGACTGGGATGACTTGGAGATGGATTTGGGCAGTACTAGCCATAGTAGTGGTCGGCACTTCCAGCGAGCCGCATCGCCCCCTGTCGTCTGGGTGCAGGACAGCATGGCTCGACGGCTGGTGCAGCAAGTGACAGAAGGCCGGCCGCCACCCCTCGATCTCGTGCGTCGCGAAAAGCAGCAGGCCCTTGATGCGCAGCGGGTGCATTTCGAAGCAGCTCTGCATTCAGCCGCAGACACGGGCCTTCCCGAACCCGTTCGCCGACCTCGGAAACCGCGCATGCCAAGTCTGCTTCCACGAAAGCCGCGGAAAAAGTCGCCAAGAGCTACATCTACACCCAGCGCTTCTCGAAAGGTGTCCAAGCCTGCCACGCCCAGCTCTTCCAAGGGCACAACAGCTGACATTGAAGCGGAGGACGCTGCAGACACAGGCAGTCAGTCTGATCACACGGATAGTGGTGGCGACGACGATGAGACGAGCGATGAAGAGTTTGATTTGCTGGACAGCGATTTTGCTCGCCCGTCGGATGATGCCGACGCATCCGAGTTTGTCACGGTAGAGGACGATCCAAGCCGTGTGCGAATCGCTTCGCCCTTATTCTCCTTGGCCAGCATTTCGTTCGAAGAGCCTTCCGTGACTGCCGCAAGTCCGTCCACCGCCTCCACTAGCGTGGGTGGACGCGGAGCAAGGTCGCGCGTGTCATCCAGCAACGGCAGGAGTGGTCGGGCGAAGGATTCACGCCATTCCGCTGCGACGGCGGAGGCTTTGAATTCAGCGCGACCTCCGCGATCTCGGCCACGTGCCGCAGCTGCCGCAGCAGCTCGTCGGGGAGCTGAAGAAGCGACTCCTGTGGCGGCTGCGGCTTCAATCAGCGACGATGATGCAGCGGACGCCGTGCTGCCTCGCTTTGAGTTTGCGTCTGCTCCAGCCGCGCCTTCTGCAACGACCAGCCATGCGGTGAGCACTCGCAGACCTGTGATTTCCGAACGGCGCACTCGTTTATCCAGTGGCTCGTCAGTGTCCTCGATCGAAGCAGCTGTCCTCCCCACTCTCAGCTCTCCGAAGCGATCTGGCGCCACCCGACCTCTACGAGTTGATTCACAGCGTAGCTCGCGGGTTCGTTCCGAATCCTCATCGTCATCATCGTCGTCATCGTCCTCCGCCTCCTCCTCCTCCTCCTCCAGTTCCCAGTCTTCCTCCTCGTCTGACTCGTCGTCCGCTTCGGCATCGTCCGCCTCGGAGTCCGAGCTGCCCCAAGTTCTATCTGCTGCACCTGAGGTGCCCGCAAGTACGAGCACGCAATCAGCCCGACGAGCGCGAGCAGAAAAAGTACGAGCACGCCGCCACGTCGTGCTGTCCGAGGATGAAGACGAAAGCGACGTTACCGTGCCTGCCCGTAGTCGAAGCAGCGCTAATGCTAATGCCAGTGCTCGTAATAGTGGGAGTCGTGCCACGAGCGGTGGCAGCAATAGCAGCACCAACAGCGAGGCCGAAAGCGACGCCTCCTCGCCCTCGAATGTCTTCCGCTCTGTCGGACGACAGCTTCGTTCCGCGGGGGCAGCACTCAATGTGCGCATTGATTCTACCTTGTCTGACGAGGAGGCTGACATTGACGCTGCAAGATCGCGGCAAGCGTTGCTCGGACATGCTTCTCCACAAGGCCAGCATGAGCAACGTTCTTCTGCTGGGCTCCGAGGGTCTGTGCGGTTGCGCCTGAATAGCGAAAGCTCTGATGAAGGCACCGGAGCTGCGTCAGAATTCGACGAGCTTGCTAGCGGCGATAGTGCGAGTGAGGACTCGAGCAGCGATGCCTCGTCACCTGAACGTGCGTCGCGTTCTGCTTTGATGGACCAATCCGATCCAGTGTATCAACGAGCCGTCGCACTCGCTGCGCAGCTACAAGCAGAGCGGGCTGGCACTTCATCGTCATCTTCTCGCGCGCAAGCATCCACCAGAACGCGATCACGCGAAACTCGACCGGCGGCGGCGGCGGCGGCGGCGGCGGTGGCTCCGCCACAGCGACCAAAGATTGTTAGTAGCGAGTTCATTGATTCAAGTGACGACAGTTCGAACGAGTACAATGGCCCATCAACGAGCAGCTCGTCCCGCCAGTCGCGGGCCGTGTCAAGTTCCGCCGCTCTGCCCAAAACCACCACAAGCCGGACGTCCGCCGCCGCAACCTCCTCGTCGTCGACGCCGCGAGCCAAGCCGACGGGCCGCAGCAAAGCAGCAGCAACGGCCAGCTCATCCAGCGAGCCCGCGGCCTCGAGTGCGTGGTACGACGAATTTGGGCATCAGATGCGTGCCCTTTCACCCTCCGTTTCTCCCTTAGGGTTTGACCGAATGTCGCCAACGCCGGCTCAAGAGGAGGTTGCTCAACCGACGTCGAGACGGCGCGCGGGGCAGACTACTGCTCAACAAAACGCCGCCAATCTCACGGTCGACGAAACGGTCGCGTGGACGCAGGACTTTCATTCTCAGCTTCGCGCACTGTCCCCTCCTGTTTCGCCTCTTGGTGTGGACATGATGCAATCGCCCGTGTCTCCCGTCCGTTCGCGCCGCAGCAGAGCAGCAGCAGTCCTTTCCGACGACAGCGAGGCAGAGGAATTGGCGCCAAGCTCTCCTATAGCCAAGCACCCCAAGCGAGTCCGGTTGGATGCCAGCAAGATTGGTAAGCATACGCGAACTGCTCGAGTCTTTCCGTGTTGTTTTGTCGACCTTGGACCTGAATGATGTTTGTATTTGTTTTTTGTTTGTTTTTTGTTTGTTTTTTTTTGGCAGGCGCTCGAGACAAGTCAACGCCAGCTGGTGCCTGTACGAGCTCGCTGCGAACGAATTCTGTGACGAGTTGCTTCTCTCTGCGTGGCTTTGGTGCTGACCAAAAGTACTTGTTGTTTGTTTGTGGTAATCACCTTGACTAGACATGATCCGGACCTTTTCACTCGTGCTTTCAGGCTCTGCCCCCATGTCTGAGCTGCTCCAGGCGTGGCAGTCAGCCCAATCCTTTTCCGACTCGTCGCTGTTCATGAACGGCTTGCAATCCCTCTGTGCGCATTGCACGACATACTGGGGCTCGCAGCTGCTGCGTGAGGCCGAAGGCGAGGCTCTGTCCTTGCTCAAAGATCAGTTGCTTTATGCGATCGTTCAAACGTTCGAAGTTCAGGTACGAAAGTGCCCCATTTGTCGTCTTGGCGCTGTCAAATGAGTGTTGCGGTCCAGCATGCTGACAATCGTTGGGTATCCTTGTTGTTTCCGAAATCAGGGTTGGGATGTGTTGAAGCCCTTGATGAACCTCCACATTCGCATCATTAACGAACAGCATTCGGCGCCCATGATGGAACTCGTGCTTGTCTGGTAAGTACGATGAAAGATTTTCACCGTGGTCGTGCCTCGACTCATTCTTTGGTATTTTGGCGTGATTTTTGCCGTCACAGCCGACTGTTTACCGGGCTGTGTCGAGCAATTGGTCATCTGCGACGAGCACGCGTGCTCTTCTACGACCTCCTGTCCAAGGATTCCAGCTTCCGTATTTCGTTGGTTCACGCTGTCGCGACCGTCTGGCCGTCTGTCGTTCTCTGTGAAAGCTACAACGGGTTGGATCGGCCGCTTGTGACGGACATGGATGCAATCATGGCAGCCTTCGAAGTTGCACTGAAAATGCGAGCCAGCCAAAGCATTGGGCTGCAGACCGGCGATGACTCGCAGGTACGTCCAAACTTCTCGAATCGCAAAGTTGCCAACTGTGATCGTTACTGATTGTTATTTTCGGCGACCGTTTGTGCTTTCCTCGTTAGATCGCCCGAGCTCAGTTCAAGGAAATTTGCGAGCTGGCACACTGGGATGCCACCCTCCCAGCTGCCGCCGACGAACTCGCCGTCATGGATGCGCTTGTCAGCCCAATCATCACTGCCATGACCGAGTTGCTACTTTCGGGCACCGTTGCCATTGAGCCTGAAGGTGAGTCGTATGCAACATTTGCGATTCGACACTCGAAAAACAGCCGCGCCTCTGCTTGTTTGTTGTTCGACACTTTGAGCCACTGAGCTTGGCGCTCGCTCACTGCAATTCACCTTGCATCTCTAGGTCATGCGTTGCTGGACGACGCGACTTTCACCATTGTCAAGGCTCTTGCCTTGTTGGCACACACCCACCTCCGTGTGCTCGACTTGGTGCTGCAGGGTCACATTTGGCCGGCGTTCCAAGAATGGTTGCGTGGTCACCTCAACCCCGATCCAGAGTCGGAGAACGCCGTGCCCGAGCACAGCAGAACACCCGCACGCAAGCTGTCGGACGCGTCTGTCGTGGGCCTGGTGACGTTGCTCGGGTTGATGCACAAGATTTCCATTCAAAGCAACCCGGTTGCCAGCACTGGCGATTTCATCCGGCAGAAACTCGTGGGCTTTTTGCGCGCGCCCGGTACGACATTGACTTTGGGTGGAAGGCGGTTGTTGGTTGTGCATTTGTTCTGCGTGTACTCACATTCCCTTTCGCCGCCCTTCCAGATCCGGTTGTCACTGTGCAGATGAAAGCCGCAGCTGCCGAGACGTTGGAAGATTGCCTCCCACTTCTATGGTCTGCCGTTTCCACCGATCCATTCATGCTTGTTCCAAATCAAGGCGAAGCGATCGACCCCGTGCGCGACCATCCCGCCATCACCATTGTGAGTGCCATCGGCGAGTGGTATGCGACACTGTCCAAGCGTGCGCTGCAGCGACTCCCCGTGCGTTTGGCCCAGCGGATGCGTCTCTGCGCCGTGTCTGCCAAGCCATCCCGTTCTTAGTTTCTTTTTGCTCGTTTTCTCAGTACTCCTCTCTCCTTCGTTTTCTTATTTTCTCTTGTTATTAAACGCTCTTTGTACATTTATGAATTCCACTCCCTCCAAAAACCCACCAGTCATTCCAGTCTTCTAGTCTGAGCGATCAAAGAAGATCAACAGCACAAAACTCACACAAGAAATGGCAGACTTGATTGTTGGACCTGGCGACGAGCACGACCTGCCTCGCTCGGTGCTGCAGCGCCTCGTGAAGGAAGCTGTGAGTCTCTTTGTATTATCAACGTACTTGCGCAAGCTTCTGAGCCAGCGAGACAGCAGCAAGCAGCAAAAACGAGCCAAGCAGACGCTGTTGCATTCGAGAGCCTCACTGCGTCTTGTATCGTATTCGCTTGCCCCTTCCCCCCCCCCTCTCTGAGCAGATCGCTGATGGGTTGAGTATCAACAAGGACGCAAAGACCGCAGTGACCAAGTCGGCCACCGTGTTCATCCTCTACCTGACTGCTGCGTAAAGAGTTTTGCATAGGTTTTTTTGGCGCCAACTCTGTGAGCTCACATTGCAGTGGATCGCCACTCTATCCTGCCGTCCTTGATGCATTGCATCCAGAGCCAACGAGATTGCACAGAAGGCAAACAGGAAGACAATCAATGCAAACGATGTGATGGCTGCGCTCGAGTCAGTCGACCTCGCCCATCTCCAAGAGCCGCTGCAACAGGAGCTTGAAGGTTTGTGGCTGTGGCTGTTTTTGGTCATGTTGATGCTGCTTCGGACTTGTGTTGGCTGTTGGCTGGGAGTTGTGATTTGATGCTCGGTGTGGAGGTTTTGCGGCTCACCGCCGTCTCCCTACCCTTCTTCTCCCTTTGTTGGTGCGTGTCCTCTTTAGCATTCAAACTTGCCGTCAAGGACAAAAAGAGCCAATCTGCGGGCAGCAATGGACGGAGTACGAGTGCCGCTGCTGGTAGTGACGAGGCTGCCGACGATGCGGATTTGGTCGACGCATTCGATGCGCCAGTTCCCCCGGCAGAAGCAGAAGAAGACGCACCAGTTGAAGAACCCACTGCTATGGAACAATAAACACATGTGCATCAGGTCAGCCCCTGTGTCTCTGTAGGAGTGATTTCTGAACGATGACTGCATTTCGTCTCTCTTCAATGCCAATAGCGTTGTTTCGAGTCGCAATTCAACAACAAGAGCACCTCATGGATGGAGCAAGATGTGCGAGATGCAAAGAGAAGCTTGGGGCGAGAAGAACGTGTATTTTTCATTGACAAACATTTCAGGCCCGATCGGCATTCAAAGATGAAACAAGCTCCAGGGCCTTCACTCTCGCGTCGTGTTTGCTAACGGCTCCAGAAGGAGAAGAGAGAGAGAGAGAGAAAGAGAGAAAAAAAAGAGAAAGAGAAAAGAGGGAATGGCGTGCGTTGAAATACACGCGAAACCCTCAGAAAAACCAAATGCAATGCAAAACAGAAATCACAGAGCACACAGTCTCTTATGTCCCTCGACTTGGATTTGCAGCGGCAGAGTTAGAAATGGCAGTCCCGTGTTGCGCAGAGTTGGCTTGCTGGGCAGCATGTTGTGCTTGAGCAAGACCGGCATTGGCAATGATGGGAGGGAGCGGCGACGCGGTGGACGACACTCGGACGTCGTACGCTGTTGGGTGAATTTTGAAGCCATAGATGGTCGGAATGTACTTTGGCGGGTTGCGTTGCGGGCGCAATTCGGGATGAACGGTGAAGAGCATGTGCGGGAAAGTGCGGCCAAAGTACGAGCCATCGAGCTGCTGGTGCCGCGCCGACCGTGGCTGGTAGACTTCTTCGCAGCGAGGGCAGAAGAGTTTGACAGTGGATTCGGAGGGCACATCGGTGAGACCGACGGGCAGGACGGCTTGGTCTTCGCAGTAGATTCGCGGGCAGACGCCAAAGTCGCCGTTTCGATACTTTTCTAGCATCTGGATGATGCCGCGATTTGTGAGAATGTAACGTGCATGAATCAGGCCGTAGAGCATCTCTGCAGAAGAGTCGATCGCCGACTGCTGGTCCTCGAGCAACTCCTCCTCCATCTCGAGATCCAGAATCATGTCAATGGCCTGTCGGTAAAGCGGGACCATCTCTGCGAGACCCGTGAGGTTGAACTTGTCTTGAATCCACTCCTCGTCGACCTCGCAAAAGAACTCATTCCCTCGCAGGTTGCAAAACCAAGTAATCCACGAAATTTCGTCGGAGCTCATGTCAGAGTCTGTCTCGGAGCCGCCCGAGGAACTGCTGCCAGTGGAAGATGACTGGGACGACGACGTCGTGCTGGTGGTATATGGGGTGGATAAATTGAGCGGACCGGGTCGTACGGCCCACGCAATCAACTCCACGCGCTAAAAAAACGACAACACAAAGGCAAAACGAAAGACGGGCGAAACGGCGCGCGCAAAACAAACCCCGGACAGATGGAATGACGCAGCGAGAACGAGTTTTATCCCAACAGCGCACACGAACGATGCCGACTTGTTTGTTTGGATGGAAGACTGGCTTTGCGAGGCTTCGACGAGATGGGAAGTTGATGGATAATGGGGCCAACGAAAGGAACGACAAACTGTCTGTGCAAAAAAGGGGCAAGTTCCACGCGGAATCAGTGACTAGGATTGGCAAACGACTAGCAAGGTTTACGTCCCACAGAGCGTCGCCACGATGACAAGGGGGAGCACGAAAGGTCACAATGGAGGAGAGGACGCTCAAGGCTCAAGGCTCAGGGCTTTGACGCCAAGGCCGTCGCCCTCCATCGCCAGTGCCATACTCTTAGCAGTCAGCACACACGTCCATTAGCAACACGCCCCTACCCCCTTCGAGTCCCCCAGCAGCCCCCCAATGCAAGGTCGCTGGTCCTCAACAATGGCGCGATCTCGACTTTTTCCTTCTTTTCGTTTCCTTTTTGCCTTCTCCTTCCTTCTAACGGGGTCGCTTCTGTATCTGCCGTCGCTGCGGTGCTCATAGGCTTGTCTGCATGTCTGCCAGGTTTAGCCTGCATGATGTAGCCTTGGGACAAACGACGAGCGCGATGATGCAAAAAAAAAAAAAAAAAAAAAAAAAAAGTGCGTGGACGACCAGTCCGAACAAAGCCCAGTCCGAGCTCAGGCGGAAGGTCATTGCGGTGGGAGCGTCAATGAAGGTGTGATGCTTGTACTGCAATCGCAGCATTGGTGAATGGGGAGGGGACAGCAGCAGCAGCACGTAGAAGCCCAACGAAAACTGCAGCCAATGCGACAAGCTGATGGAACTGGCGCGTTTTGGACGACTCACTCGTTGTTTTTTCGCGGACTGACTGCGCTCTCATCACGATTCATATTCAGCTCGATTCGATGTTATAGCAATCGTCCTAAACTAATAAATTGCTGAAATGGTTTGGACTTGTATGGATTGAATTTTCCAATGCAAAGTGCAAAAAGCACAGTTTTTCTTTTTCTCTGCTTTTCGCGGTTTTTTTTTTTCTAATCTTTGCTGGAGGTAGCATTTTACGAAAAAAAGTCTCGCTCGCCCAACTGCACAACCACCAAACCACTCATCACAAGCCAAGGAACAAGACAAAGAACAATCCGAATCGATAATGGCGGATGTCCCAGCGAGTGCACCGGCCGAGATTGTCGTGCTCAAGTTTGGCGGCACGAGCGTCGGCAGCGGGCAGCGGATGCTCGACGTATGCGAGATTGTGCGGGCGGCATTCAAGCCTGCTGCGGCCGCTGCTGCTGCGCTTCTTGGAGAAGGAGACCCGACCTCGGCCCAGGGTGATGGGCAGGATGCTCCGAGCGGCTCCGTGGTGCGTGGCGAGCGACCCATTGTGGTCTTGTCTGCCATGTCCTCGTATGTCAAGCTCGAGGGCACCACGTCCCGGCTGATGGAGGCCGCGACCTGCGCTGTTCAAGGCGATCTGCGTCGTACGTGGTTTTCCCTCCAACAAAAGCTGCGGCGAAGAGTATTTTGTGGTGTCGAAGTGATCACGATTTCGTTTTCTGACCAATCCTCCGTTGTTTTGTGGTCTGAAACCGACAGAATGCATCAAGGTGCTGAACAAGGTCAAGTCGACCCACTTGGTAGCGATTCACGAGGCCCTTGGCGAGTCGTCAATGGCGCAGACGATGCAGGAGGTGGTGAATGAAGAGCTCGACCAGGTCAGTTGTTGTAGCATTCGAGCGAGCCGTGCGTCGTGTTACTGCTGTGATCTGACCTCACCGCCACCGCTCATGCTCGCATTCTTGTTCTCGAAACAGCTCAAGTCCTTCCTCGAAGCTATCAGCGTCATCCATGAGATATCACCAAGATCCCACGACGTCATTATTAGCCTCGGAGAGCGCCTGTCTGCCAAGCTCTTTGCGGCGGTGCTCAAGGAAAAGACCCAGTTGAACGCTGTCTTTGTCTCGCTCGAGCAGATTCTTGATCCCAAGGTGGATGCGACCGGCCAAGGCTCCTCTGTGATTGGTGTTCAGGCCGCAGCCTCGGGACATTTGCGAGACCAGTCGTTTTACGACTTGATCAAAACGCGCATGGCTGCCGTCATTCAAAGCCACCTACAAGCGCCTGATGTTGGTACGCTCGAGCTCATTCGCGTGTTTTGAAGGAGCACTGATGGGAAGGTTCTTTTTGCTCACAAGCCGTTCACCATCCGAAAAATGCTTGACAGTCCCCGTGGTTGGAGGCTTCTTTGGGTTTGTTCCAGGCGGTATTGTTGAAACAATCGGTCGCGGCTACACTGATTTCACTGCCGCACTTATTGCAGCGGGAGTGCAAGCAAAAGAGCTTCAAATATGGAAGGTAGGAGAGGAGAGATGCGGGGCTTGTTTTTTGCTACTTGTTTTTTTCTTGAATCTTTGCGAAGGCCTTCGTGCTCAGCGCTAACTCGTTGACTTGCTGTACGCGCAGGAGGTGGACGGCATCTTTTCCGCAGACCCTTCCAAAGTCAAGACTGCCAAGGTGCTTCCTCGCATCTCGCCCGGAGAAGCAGCCGAACTGACCTTCTATGGCTCAGAGGTCATCCATCCCTTCACAATGGAGCAGGTGGTGCGCGGTGGCATCCCGATTCGCATCAAAAACACCTTCCGGCCGCACCTTCCTGGCACTGTGATTGATCCCAATGCGTTCGAGCCCATCTCGAAGCGCGGAGCGGTTGCTGTCACGGTCAAGGACAATGTGACTGTCGTCACCCTGCGGTCCAACCGAAAACTGGGCTCGATCGGCTTTCTTGCGTCTGTTTTTAGTATTATGGCCAAGTATGGTCTTGAGATTGATCTCGTTTCCACCTCTGAGGTACCTTTTTTTTTTTCCTTTTTTTTTTTTTTTTTTTTTTTTGCTCCGATCTGACTTCTCATCACCCTTCCTGCCAGGTTGACGTCTCCATGACAATCGCCAAGTCCCGAAATCTGGATCTGGCAAAGCGCGAGCTCGAAGCAATCGGCACCGTGTCTGTGCACAGCGAGCTCGCCATCTTGAGCCTGGTTGGTTCTCACATGAAGTCGACCATTGGTATTTCTGGCACCATGTTCACCACGCTAGCCAAGAATGGTACGGTGCAGACACGCACACACACACACAAAGCAAAGTCGCGACTGGAACACGCAAACTCACTCTCTTTCCGCTGCTATTGTCTGTTGGGTTAGCCATCAATATTGAAATGATTTCTCAAGGTGCCTCGGAAATCAACATTTCCTGCGTCATCAACCGCTCACAAGCGCAACTGGCCATGCGCTGCGTCCATGACGAGCTTGTTATCGCCGCCAACGATGCCTGGGCTCCGTGCTCCAGCTCCACGTCAGACACCCCGTCTCCGTCCCCATCGCGCTCGCCACCCCCGGTCGAGGCCATCACGAAAGACGGCCAAGCGGCTTAGAATGTACCTTATGTTTTGCGTCAAAGCGATTCGAGCGGATTGATTGAACCCTGTCCTTGTATTTGTGAATTGCAGTGTGTGTGTGTGTGTCTACTCGAGTGAATAAACACTGCTTCAACATTCTTTTAAAAACCAGTCTAGGAACTGTCATTCATGGCGCTCGAAGCTTGTTTTGCAATGCCGCCAAACACGGCCGCAGGAATGCTCTTCTCGGTGATTTTGACTCCTGAGTGAAGAACACGAGATGATGAGACACGCGAGTGAGTCAAGACAATTGGCGACAACCCCCAAAAGCAAACAAAACTCCATAAAGGCATACCGGAAGGACGAGCGTCACTCGTTTGGTCGCTGCCGTCATCTTCATCATCTTCGTCTTCATCGTCGTCGACGTCCAAGTTGATTTCGGCGGGGTTGAAGGGCACGCTGTCGCCCATTTTGTCAAAGGCAGCGGGAGCTGCGCGAACAAATTGCAGCGACTTGCCGCCAGCCGCACCAGCTGCTGCGGCGTCCGCGGTGACTTGGGCTTCCAATGCAGCCATTTTGTCGGTGGGAATGGTTGAAGCAAGAGTCGGGGGAGGTGCCTGCTTGGCTGCAACCATGTGCGCAGAAATGTAGCTGACCTGCGAGTTGAAGTGCGCTTGGACACTGCGCTTGACGCGAAGCATTTCGCGGAAGGTGTCCTCGTTTCCGTGACGAACTTCAAACTCTTGCCATGTTGACCAGTATTGCGGGTCCACCTGGAGCCGGGTTGCGAAACCAAAACCAAAACCAAAAAAAAAAAAGCGACATCAACATGAGTTTCATCAAGCGAGCGCATCGAACAGCTCTGATGATGGGCAAGGCTTGCTCTACTTACACGAGGATCGGCCAGTTGCGAGGCATGTTGATAAATGGCTCGGGCTCGGTCGATTTCTCCAAGCTTGCGCTCCATCTCGGCGTAATTGACACACATCTGCTTGCATTCTCGGTCGTTGAGCACCTCGATGGCCTTGTCGAAGATGGGACGAGTGTGCGTGACACCGAAAATTTCGGAAGCGCGTTTGATGTAAATGCTAAACATCTGTTGCGGGCGAAAAAGCAAAGGAATGAAGAAGTTAGCTGCGGCGTTGGCAAAATCCCCCCAGACACACTTGATTTTACGATTCAGGCGAGTAAACACACCTCATAACGCTCCTTGAGCTCGACATTTTGAGTGGCACGATCGTAGACGGCCATGGCATGGCGCGCGAGACCGTGATCTTCTTCCAGCTTGGCGTAGAGCAAGTACAGGGTTTTGGCATACTTGGCAGGACAGCCTTCAAGGCATTGCTCGAACAGATCACGAGCGCGCTCCAACTTGTTGCCACCCTAGATGAAGGCGCACCGAGCAACATCAGCGTCACCGATACCAAGCAAGCAAGCAAGCAAACTGCTGTCGCGACGAGAGAGGAGTAACTTACATAGCGGCGAACAAACTTGGTCAGATACGTGTTCCAAATGTCAAACACGACAGGCCACTTGAACAAGCCCACGCCCTTTTCATACACCTAGCGATTGAAAGTGGAAAGCCAGTCCCGAGTGAGGGCACAGGCAACACTACAACAACGAAATGACGAACGGCCGGCAGCAACTTACGCGGAATGCGTCTTCGTAAAACTTGTTCTCCTCCAGGAATAGCCCGTAGTTGATGATAATCTGAGGAGTGGCAATGCGAAGCTCGAGAATTCGTTCGTACACGGCTTTTGTCGACTGGAAAGTTCCAATGCTCTCTTCCAAATCGACATAAAAGGTCCAGAGCTTGACCGACTTGTGGAGACGGCGTTGCACACTCTCAGCCTACGCGTGTTCAAAAGGTGCAAACAAAAAATTAAAACAATCAAGATGTCAGACGCTGCCATCAAAGAAAAATGCGACAAATTGTCACACACGCATGGAAACGCACCGGATCGAAAAAGTCCACGCTCTTGCCAGCTCGGGCCGGCGCACTGGTAGCCTGCTGCATGAGGCTCAAGGCACGTTGAGGAGCCCTGAGAAGGTGAAATGGAACAATCAGGATCACGTGAGACAGAATGCTCAAAAACATGGTCAAAACACAAAACGCAAAATGCAAGATCGAGCACGTACTTTTGACGCAGCTCCATCTCTGCATACTGGCACCACAGGTGGGACAGTTCGTCCACAGTCTTGAAGGGCGCTCGGGAGCCCTTTTCAAATGTGGCACGCGCGTCCTTCAAGCGGCTCTTGCTTTCATAGTACTTTGCAAACTCCACCCACACGTCAGCGAGTCGACCCACGGCTTTGGTGGCGTCAACGGTACTGATGGCTTGGGTGAAAGACTCGACAATCTACGAGCCCGAAATACGCGAAGCGTCAAACCACCAAAGTGAGCACACCAAAAAAAAAAAAACAGCCAAAACAAAAAATCTCATGCAAAAAATTCCGGCAGACACCCCACCTTGTCGTCTTGACCCTTGTACAACTCGGCGCGTTTCAACCACTCGTTCCACCTTGTCGTCTTGACCCTTGTACAACTCGGCGCGTTTCAACCACTCGTTCACGTTGTGCGGGTTTTGACGCAGCAGAACGCTGTTGAGCAGCAAGGGACGGCGGTCCATCAAAAACTCAAAGCGCGCCATGCGCAAGTCAATGTCCTGGTCCAGAGCTTCGTCGGGCGCATCATCCTCCGCGTCTGTTGCTGCTTTGATCTTGGCATTGAGCAACTGCTCCTCGAACTGGGCATAGGCATCAAACACTTGACTAAAGTCGCGAACCGTCGAGACGACAAGCATGGCCTCTTCGTAAATGTCGCGCGCCTTCTCAAGCAGACCAAGACCAATGTAGTACTCTGCCAGACACGTCCACAGCTTGCCGGTCATGTCCGTAAACCGGCTGAGGCCGCCACGAATAATCGCGTCAACCTTGAGCGACACCACCTTGTCCGGATTTTGCGACATGAGCTCGCACAGCTCGACCCAGAGCTGATGCTGCGACTTGCCGTGCTGGCTGACAAAGTCTTCCTTGTTGACGCAGTCGTACGCAAGACGCTGGCATGCCTCGTCCAACCGATCAGCCTGGACGAGGTAGTTGATGTATTCTTCGGCGTCTTGCGGGTTGATTTGCAGGTATCGACGATACACTTTGACGGCAGTGTCGGGGATTGGGTGCGAGCGAACAAATCTAGCAAGGTAGAAGAGCAAAACAGGAAATCAGCAAGACGTTGAGCAAAACAGAAAAAAATCAGGGCTTCCGAAACCTCGTCAAACATTCGCATGCGAATGTCCCTCATCTTTGGAGACACGATGAATTTTTGAATGAAGCCTTACTTGAGGTACATTGGCCAGATACGGTCGTGCTGGGTCAGGGGCAGGGCGCGCAAAGCCCGATCAAACACATGGCGGGTGCGCGTAATCCTGCGCTGCTCGACCATGAACTGGCAGTACTCAATCCAGATCCTGGGCATCTTGTGCAGGAAGACGAGGCATCGCTCGTACGTGTTGTTGAGCGCCTCGATGGACGGGTCGGTGACGCACCTGCCCTTGACCTGTCGCCTGCGCTCCGTGAGGTACATGTACCACAGCTTGTACGATCCCGGCAGTGCCTTGACTGCACGCTCGTAGATCATGTTGCGTCCTGGTCGCTGCTTGCGATGGTTGAGGTAGCGCAGCCAGCCCTGCACGCTGTGCGGATTGCGAAGGATGTCCTCCTCGTAGATGACGTCCGAGTCCTCCTGTTTCGGGGGTGGGGTTTTGATCATGGTGGTTGTTTGTTTGTGTCCAAGTGAGTCTTCGTGGTCTGCTATGGTTGTACGACACGATGGGCAAGCGAGAAGGAGCTGTCGTTGGGTGATCGTTTTGTATGGACTTTCCATTGCCGTTGGATCGCTCTGGCTCGCCTCGCATCGTCATCCCGCAGTCAGCTGGGATTGTCGGCTAACTTTTCAATGCTCGTTCATGCTGCCCTGTCTTTTCTCGCTCGACGCTCGACGCTCTCAACGTTTCACCTCAATGCTTTTTGATCCAGTGCCGATCTCTCGCTCTTCCCCGACACCCACCCCCTCCTCGCTCCTGAGTCGATGCGATGCGATGATATCACACAACGGGAGCACTGCAGTGTGAGTGTGGGGAAGCACTGTGTCCCCAGATTGGCCCCTTTTTTCGCTTTCCCCCAATCTCATCCCATGCAATCCAACACTTTTTTTTTTTTTTTTTTTGATTCCTTTACCAGCACAAACGCGAAATCGCGGTCGACCATCTTCCAAGAAACAACTAAACACAAAAAGAGACTGAGAAAAGCAAAAACAAGCTGTGAACTGTAGCAAGATGATGCTTGAGTTCTGAGAAGCGAGTGGACGTCTCAGATTGTTGCTTTTGTACTGTTTTTGGGTCTTGTCTACAGAATTTGCTTGTCGTGTTGCTCTCACTCTTCCTTTCCATCCATGCGTTCCTGTCGCTTTTTGATTCCCGTGCTTGTCGCGATTGTCGCCATCGCGGCGGGCGTGGTGACAGGTAAACAAAAAAATGTATTTCGCCATCGTGCACGAGACTTGGATTTGTTGGTGTGCAAACCCTTTCTGTGCAAAAGCCTCGTCCTCCACCGTAGTTATTACCCTCGCCCGCCCCCCCCCATCACAAGTTACGCTGGTGTGGATGTGCTGTAACGGAGGGGAAAAACCGATCGGCGCCAGCTGCGCGTGTGTGCGTTCACTGAACTGCTGCACGTTGTTGCTGCACATCGCTCACTTCCTTAATTGGCCATTCGATTCGCTCTCCGTCACGCACTCTCGCGATATGCGCTTCCCCCTCTGCGTTCTCGATTCTCACAAACCAACTCCAACCTACCCCAACACGCATGTAACAAACTCATCACACGGCTGCCCTCTTCTTGCTCCTCTCAAAACCAACAGCTGCCAGACCACCAAAGCCTCGCCGCGAAGCTGCCTCCGCCACCTTGCAACTTTCAACCCTGCTTGCACAGCAAATGACATGCGACACGGTGCCGGCAGATGTCGAATTTTGCTCCGAGATGGCCGGAGCCTCCTTTGCCAACCCTCTTGGGGCGTTCGAGCAACTTCTCCAGTCGACCGTGCACCGGCGTTCGTCGCACTCAAGCTCGTCCTTGTTTGAACTGAACGCTGCCAACGAAATGAACGGGGTTCGTGCGCGCCGTGAGAGCGTGGCTGCGCGCATTTCGGATTGCTGCTCGAGCGTTTATGCCAGTAGCCGCCTGTGCAACTCGAGGTGCCACGCAGGGTTCGAAGCCCTATCCGCCCAACCCGCCTGTGCTTCCGAGTTCTCCTCACTGGCATCTTGCGTTGGCACTGGTGCGGACAGTATGGCCGTCTCTGAGATTGGTGTGCGCCAAGTCAACCCAATCATCATCACGCCCGTCATCACGCAATGTTGCCAAACAAACTTTGGGAGCATTCCCGACTGCCTGCAGCTCTGTCTCACCGATCCCTCGTTGATCTCGACAAGTCCCAACCTTGCGTGTTTGGCTGCCCTGCCTGCGTTTGGTCTGTGCGTCACCAGCGGGATTTTGCCAACGAACGTTGTCTCGGCTGCGCCATCGCCCACATCTTTCGACAATGCCATCGACCAGTGCTGCACTCGATCCTTTGTGGGCTCGTGCTCTTCCTTGTGCTCGGCTATTGCCGCACCTTCCACGGTTCCGGGCGCGACAGGAACGTCAGACTTTACGTGTCTGCAGCAGCTGCCGTCCTTCTTCCTGTGCGTTCTCCAGTCGGGCTTCCTGTTCGGCAACTTTACCATCCCAACGGTGCTTCCCACAGCCCTTCCCACAGCTTTGCCGACCGACCTGCCCTCAATCCTTCCCACAAACGTGCCAGAGTTCCCCATTGGCAACTTTACAGACGTCAACGCGACCATCTGCTGCGAAGCCGCCTTTTCCGACCTGCCGGACTGCTACAACTACTGCACCCAGAACAATTACACGGACTTTGATTCATTCTCGCAGTGCCTTCCCCGCGCTGTGCCGCTGATTGTGTGCCTCATTCGCCAATTCAGAGACGCCTTCAATCCCTCTCAACCTCCGGCCACGAGTGGTCCCGCACCTACCGCTGTTCCGCCCACAGCAGCCCCGCCTAGCGCCGCGCCGTCCTCGGCAAACAGACGGAGCAACCGCAGAGCAGAAGCGGAGCCGGCCAGGCGTGCGCTCCAAGCCAGGCGACCTCCTCCTCGTCGGCGTGCATTGGCCGATGATATGGCTACACCGAAGGCTTCCCAAGCGCTGCCCATCTCGTACGCGTACGTCCTCGACCGCAGTCTCAACTTGGCCTGGAACGGGATGAAGGAATCGCTGGAGGCCGCACAGCGAGCAGAGCACGGCCAATTTGAGGTTTGCATGCCCTGCCTCCAAACGCTCAAGCGATACATGTGCCATGCCGCCTTCCCGAGCTGTGAGTTTGGCGCATGTGCTGCCGCAGCATCCATCAACGCGCTCGGGCAACGCTGTCCCAAGGTTTTGCAAGGGGTAGCACAGCTTCTTGCCGCGCAGCACAAAGGCGCGGATGCATCGTTCAGTCTGCTCGACTCGGTCTTCTTCACCATGGGGCTTCAGCAATGCTTGTCCGAGAAGCCTTTGTTTGACAGCGGCATGCTGGACATGTGCCAATCCGAGCTGATGGACAGCACGTACTGTCGCGACTCGGTGATGGCTTGCACCGGCATGGACAATGTGACCGCCTCCGAAAGCATCTGCTCGCAATTCCCGACCGGCGACGCCACTGGCCAAGCGGCTTCCGGGTGCAGCAGCATGCGTCGTGCCTGTATCCACACCCCACACTGGTTTTCGATGGTGGATCACGCTCCGCTGCGCGTTTCGTCGCCATCGCAGCACAAGGTGTGCCCAAACAAGCACATGTGTCTGTCGAAACAGTGGATGAACTCGCAAACTCTGCACAGCACGCGTATCGGACTGGCAGGTCTCGTTGCGCGGCTGTCCTCCATCTTTACTCAGCAGCAAGATTTGATTCATCCCGTGGCCATCTCTGGGCTGGTCAACGCGACTCTTGCGTGGTCTCGTACCTGAGTTTCCAAAAGGATGGAGTTGTTGAGCTCCGTTTCCCTCCAATCCTTGTTCTCATTGTGTACAGAGAGTTGTGTCTTGTGTTGCTGCGATGTGAGACTTGTTTTTTTGGTTTTGCCTTGTTCGTTTGGATGTGCTTGTTTGTTTGTATTTCCAAACACAAATACACCGCAAGTGTTTTAATACTGTTCAGATGTGCAGCACCAGCCATGAACTACCACGCATGAAGCGAATCTGCAATGAATGAATGAATGAATGGAAAAATCCAGTCTCCAATTTCTCAATAGAACTCAATAGAACTCAGTCAAACATCATGTTGACAGCAATCCGTGTGAACTCTCACTCGGCCACCCGCGCCATCACTGCTGCTGCTGCTGCTGCTACTGCTGCTACTACTACTACTTTATCTGCTGCTCCGATCTCAGCTGCCAGTCGTATGGCGCTGTCCACATCCGCAGCGTCGTGGCAGGAGCAGCCGCGCTATCCGCCGCCGCCGCCGCGCGCCCGTGACGCTGCGCCGTTCAGTCAGACCGTCCCAGGCGTGCAAGCGTCGTCTTCATCGTCGTCCTCGGCGAGTGGTGCTGGATTGGCCGCCGCCGCTGCTTCGACCGCCGACGCCTCGCCCAAGAGTGGAGATCTCGCTTCGTCGGGATCGGCGTCGTCCTCGTCCTCGTCCGGCAGCAAGCGTTCAGAGTCAAATCATGGCGATGACAAGAAGACCACCGGTCGAGTTCGTGCGACTGGCACGGCGACGTAAGCTAAGCAGTTTCATTAAACGGGGGATTTTTGTGTGAATTCTCAGATTCTGAGATTTCCTGGGATTTTTTTCCTGGTCCCTTTCCATTCATTCGGTGCGCTCACTACCGTTTTGCTTGACATGTTGCGGTTTTTGTTATGTAGGGTGTTTGGCTTTTTGACGGGCTTTGTCGCCTCCGGAGTCTTTGCGTATTACTACTTGATGGAAGACGTCAACAAGTCGGCGCGTTCGTTGCGACGCAAGATGGACGAGCTGCAGCGTTCGACCGAGAAGGTGGCCCTGTCGCTGCAAAAAATCCACACGCTCGAGCGCGAGCTGCAGAGCCTGAAGAATAGCGCTGCTCTTGCCGAGGATGTTCGCGCCCTCCGTAACGACTTTGAGTCTTCTTCGGTAAAGGGCTTTTGAAGCTCTGATGCGGGGGGGATTGTTGCTGGATTGCTGCTGGATTGTTGCTGGATTGCTTGCTGGATTGCTCGTCGATTTCTTTGTCCTCACCTCCCCGAATCGCCGTTTGTTCCGCCCTTCGTAGAACGCCCTTCAGGTCTCCATCACCACACAGAATGCCCAAAACTACGAGACACACAATGCAATTTTCAGATTGCTCGAGAAGCGCGGCATCCGACCAACCGTTTCGGCGCCACCACAAGAGCCATCCACTGGCGCTGATGAGCAGCAATCTCCCGCGTCGCCTCCCCCAGCACCCGTTGAAGAAGACGCCCAAGCTGCAGCCTTCAACGACCGGACAGACTAGGCTCTGCGCTCATGGTTTCTGTGTTGATCTCGTCCAATGCTTTGGTTGCCCAAAATACAACTGTGTTTTTGATTTGACAACTGTTGCTTTGCAGCGCGAGTTGACACCATTTTCTCAGTCTTGCATTTTTGCATCTGACCATGCTTTAAATGAAGCTGAAGCTCAAGTCATCACGAAAGAGTCATTCGCAGACAGCTCAACTGGTCGACGAGCACAGCTCAGCGCCGGTCGCTGCCCAGCCAAGCGCCGACGAGCTCGCGCAACTGGAGGCAGACTACGCAGCCCTGTGCCGCACATGCACTGTCGTTGCGCTGGGCAGTCCTGGCGGCGGTGCGAGCACGCTCGTCCGCCTGTTCCGGCTGCTGTGGAGTCCGCCGAGCGACGTTGCCGGACTCCAGTCTGCGTTCGCGCCCGTGATTCAGTGCAATACCATCGACAGCATGCTGGTCGTGCTCAAGACGATGGGTCAGCTGGGCGTGTCGTTCGTCGGCGACGAGGCGTCCAAAGCAGCCGCTGCCAAGCACCTGCAGGAAGAGTTTGTCAACCCGTACATGGCGCCGCCAACCGTGGAGCAATGGCAAGCATGGGAACAAGCGGGTCTGAGACCCCTCTATGGGCTCCCTCCGTTGTCTCCGGAACAACGGGCCGACGTGTCGACTGCGACGTCCAATCTGCTTTCGCTCATTCAAGACGCGGGTGTGCGTACCGCCGGTGGTAGCCTAGTGTCATCGCAAGTCTGGGCCATGAACGATCCGCCCGAGGTGTGTGAGCAATACCGGCGGCGCCAAGCCTGCTTGATTTGCTTTTGAAGGCGAACATTACTTTGTCTCACGTTCATGATGTTTGGTTTGCGCAGTACATGTTTCGACATGCTGCCCGCATTTGCGCAGCAGTCGACTATGCACCCACCATCCAGGACGTCATTCGTAGCCGGCAGTACTCTCGGTTGTTTGATGCAGCAGAGTTTGAAGCGCCAGACTCTTCAGCCAACGACAGTTCTGGCACGACGTCGCAGCAGCAGCAGCAGCGTCGTGTCATTGTTTTAGAGCCAGGCCAGCGTCACAGTCTTCTTGCAAAGCACACCTCTGACAAGTGGCTACGATGCTTTGTGGAGCGGCCTGCTGGGACGATGAAGGTGACCTTTTCCACTTCTGTCGTCGCCTACACACAGCCAGCTGCGCAATCGGGCCGAACAGCAATGCACGACGCCATTGATCAAGTTCAAGCATTGTGCAAACGATTGTATGCGCCCCTGTTCACCGCAACCCGAGCGGCCGAGAATGACGGGCTGCTGGAGTTTTCGCATGTGCCGCGAGCGCCGCCAACAGGCCCTCCAACACTCCACATCATCTTAACACGCATGGATTTACTGCGACACCGGCTGTGTACAAAGTCCCTTGCCAGCGTCTTTCCAGACTTTCACCAGCCGCATCCAAGCAACTTTCCCCCATCGACGTCGGCAGAGGTCGACGCACTTGTTCAAGCCGCCAATGCCTTTCTCGCCAAATTGTTTGCCACTGCGGCCGTTTCTGCCGGCGCGCCTCCGCTGTTGGTGAAGGTGCATCTGCAAGCGGCAATCTTGACTGCCGAGGTTGCTCAGCAGTTGACCAGCATTGCGCTCGAGTAACCCAGTGAAGTGTGATTGAGTTCAATCTATCCCACCCACCCCCCAAACCTCTGCAGGCACAACCTATTTATTTGCACTTACACCAATACAGTGACGCTTTCGGCTTTGGGTCTTTTTTTTTCCGGTTGGAAATGACAGTACATTGAAAATTTCCCCTCTCTCAGTTGATTTCCGGAGCTTGTTGATAGTTGGGTTGATGTCAAGCATGCCATTCACTTCCAGAACACACCAATTGGTTTCAACTTTTGTTCAACTTCTGCAACTTTGAATCCACAGAGTAGATCTACAGCAGTAGGTCTCAGTTTTTGATTTTCAGTCTTTTTTTTTTTATTTTTTATTTTTTTTTTTCCTTTCATTCTCCGTCTCCCCGCTCTCTGTCTCTCTCTCTCTGTCTCCCTTTGTCTCGGTCTCTCTCTCTCTCTCTCTCTCTGTGTGTGTCTCTCGCTCTTCCGATGTCCTCGCTTGTTAGTAACAACAGCAGTGGGAGTACGTCCAACCTGCTTGTTGGCAGTGGCAGCTCGCACGCCCTCGCCCCGCCGAACACGACGGCAGCAGCTCAACAACAGCAGCAGCAAGGCCAAGGCCAAGGTCAAGGTCAGGGTCAGGGTCAGCCACCACCTCAGCTGCAATCGCAGTCACAATCACAGCAGCAGCAACAGCAGCAGCAGGAGCAGCTCTCCATCTTTGCCGCTGCGCAGCGCGGTCTGCTCGATCTCGTCATGTAAGCACACTCACTCACTCACTCACTCACTCACTCAATCGATCGCCCCCTTTGTTGATCATTGTCGACTCTCATTCATCCCCTTGAGTTCACTCTCGGCTTGAACTCGGTCCCTTTGCGAAACACAAACCATCGTTTTGGACCCCAATGCAACGTCACTTCCACATCTACTCACCCAGAATCCAGAATGCGAAAAAAGTCACCCCTCATCACCTTGACGTTGACGCGGCGTGATTTAGCCACATAAAATGCAAAGAGGCGTGCTTGGATCCGTGCTTGCTCAAACTCATTCGATTGTTGTTTTGCTGTTTTCGTCTCAGTTCCTGGATCCAGTCCGGCGCGCACACGCCCAATTCTCGCGACAATGAGGACGTCACGGTGCTGCATTGGGCTGCCATCAACAACCACTTGCCTGTGGTTCGGTATCTCGTGGAGAACGGCGCCATCGTGGACGCCATTGGTGGCGATCTCAAGTCAACGCCAATGCAGTGGGCTGTCCGACAGGGCCATATCGCCATTGTCGTCTACCTGGTCAAGTGTGGCGCAGATCCCTCGATCTGCGATATCGAGGGCTTCAACTCGCTCATTCTCGCCGCTCAGTTCGGCCGAAGTGGCGTTGCTGCCTACTTTATTGCACGAGGCATGCCAGCAGACACGACCGACCGTCAAGGCCGCACCCCATTGATGTGGTCGTCGTATCGCATTTTTACGCCAGATCTGATACGTCTGTTGCTTACATTCCATGCCAACGTCAACGCTAAGGATTTGATGAACAACACTGGTAGGATAGGCCTGCCACCCTTTTCGTTGTTCTTTTGTTTGTTTGATTTTTGTTATTTTTGTTATTTTTGTCCACATATCTCACCTTTCTCATCCCCCTTTTTTTTTCGCTTGACAGCTCTGCACTGGGCGGCCTTGTCAGGAAATCGGACTGCTGTCGACTTGCTTGTCAATGCCGACGCTAACATTGACGCGCGGAACGCCAAGAACCAGACTGCCGAAGCGGTTGCTGCCGAAAAGGCCAATACTTGGGTCCAAAAGTTTCTTCACGGCAAGAGTTCGCGTCCCAAGACTGGTGTTTACGCCAAGTTGACAGAGATGGTAATGAACGAGAGATTGCTACGTTGTTTTTTTGTTTGTTTGGGGGGGGGTTGCTTTTCGCATTCCTCCTCATTTTCGCTCGACCGTGTGACTTTGCTGCTCACCTTCCAGAACGTCCGCAAGCCCACGCTGCTGCTTACTCCATACATTTTCTTGCCGGTGTTCGTTTACATTATCTCGCACTTTACGTTCTATTGGGCCGTATTTTCGCTGGCTGCCCTTGTGCTGCTCACTTCAAACGTCATGAAAGCTGCGTGGATTAACGTGGGCGGCAATCCGGCGCCCGCTGGCTTGTTTACAGCATCCGTGGTCTGGGTTCACATCACGTTCTTTACCCACATTATGGCTGGAGAGCCGCGCTTTTGGCTCAAGGCAGTCTTCCTCGGCTTGTCTGCGTTCATGTACATCATGTTTTACAAAACAATGCGGAACGATCCGGGCTACATCCGTACCTCTGATGATGTCAAGCGAAAGGTAGGATGTTGTTTGATTCGAATTGGTCGCGATGGCTGCGGGTGTTGCTCACGCGCTTTTATGTCTGTGACTCGGCCAGACCATCATCGAGTTGACTGAAACGAGCGAGGGTCTTGATTTCTCAAAGTTCTGCTCCACGTGCGTTCTGCGACGGCCCCTCCGCTCAAAGCACTGCACCGAATGCGGAGTCTGCGTCGCTCGCTTCGACCATCACTGTCCATTCGTGTACAACTGCGTGGGCAGCCTCAACCATCGAGAGTTTTTGTACTTTTGCACATCCTTTGTCATTTGTGACTTTATGTTTGTGTACATGAGCTTTTGCTGTACGTGACTGACGCGCGTTGAAGTTTTTTTTTTGCCTTGGATGAAGTCGTGCACTGATTTTCGAGTTCCGGCTGGGTTTTGTGTGTGTGCGTCTAGGGCTGATGGCATTCACCTCGCCAACCGAGGGCTTCTTTGGCACGCTTGGCGCCATGATTTCCGAGCAAACCTGGGTGTTCTTCTTTGCCGTGTGGGGCGCCTTCCACGGATGTTGGGTCGGTGGATTGACGGCTCAGCAGCTGCGAATGGTGCGTTCTTCAGTCTCACCCCCTTCATCTGCTTCCCATCGCACTCTGGTGCCCATTGCATTATTGATCAGTGTGATTTGATTTCGCTCTCGCTCACGTTAAACTCGCCTTTCGTCCAGGTCGCACTCGACATGACAACGAACGAAACCATGAACAAGTACAAGTACAGCTACCTGGCGAACGGCCAACCGTTTTCGCGAGGCGCATTGAACAATTGCATTGACTTTTTCCGCTGGACGGTGTGTCTTCAGCGTGTCCGTCGTGTCAATTGGTTTTCCATCTTTGAGGTGGAGGATGTCCCCGGCGCCGCCAACGAGCTGAATGTCCTGGAGCGACGCAAGCATCAGAACGGCAACTCTCATGGCCACGCGCATGGCTCCAACACTCACGGGCACTCTCATGCTTGAGATGAAGGGGTATAGGATCAGAGTCTGGCGTCTTGTTGTAGTTGTTGGTGGGGGATTTTTTTGTGGTTGTCGGCATTGCTGTTGTTGTTGTTGTTCCTTTTTCTAAATTGTATTCGATTCTCCGAGTTGCTGTCAACCGCAGCGATCCTGCCGGACACTGCTGTTTTTGGAAAAGAAGTGAAATCGAAATCGGCTCAGGAGGCTCCTCCAGCCCCACCGCTTTGGCAAGTTACTCCAATGGAGGTCAGCTACATCAAATTTATAGAGAACGGGGTTGAATGGTGTCAAGAGGACTGACGTGCGATCAAAACCGGACTTGGGGCAGTCAGTGTGGTTAGGCGTTCCTACGAAAATACTGACTTGGGGCGCTTTCCAGCCACCTCATTCAATGGGTTCTAATCAACTCAGCGTATCTCCTTCCCCTCCCCCCTTTATTCCCGCTCGCATCAAAATCAACTCCATTATTTTATTATTATTTTATTATTTTTTTATTTTTTTTATTTATTTTTTTTTTTCGAGTGGCTGTATTTTTTTTTTTAATTTATTGTTGCTTTTACAATTATTTTCCATTGAGTTTCCATTCATTTTTTTTTTTTTTTAATTTCTTTTTTTTTTTTTTTTTTTTTTTTTTGAAAGCGCTTTCCTAACTCAACCACATACACCTCACCCTCTTCCACTACAAAGGAACGCCCAGACAACAGCAGCGCGCTCCGTCTCTCACACCACAAAACAAAAAACAGGCTCACACGGGAATTCGAGGCGTGGGGTCCACATGGGCGCGTACACGTCGCGGCCGGCCTCGTGCCTGCAGGACGTCTGGCGGGACGAGTGGGAGAAGACGCTGACTGTCGCACGGATGCGCCTCGAGCACGACGCCCGGTCGCTCGCTCACCCGCACCAGCAACAGCAACAGCAACAGAGCCAGCAACAACAGAGCAGTCAGCAGCTGAATCAGCAGCATCAGCATGGTCTGGCTGCGTCCGCGTCGTCGCCGTCCTCATCGCTCGGCTCGACTTTGCTGTCAACGAACGGAGCTGCTTCTGCTGCTGCTGCTGCTGCTGCTGCTGCTGCTGCTGCTGCTGCTGCTGCTGCTGCTGCGACGACGACTGCGACTGCCGCCTTGTCAATAGCATCATCGCCGTCGACATCTGGGTTGACGAGCAATGGAAGCAGCGGCGCAACGGCATCCGCTGCTTCTGCTTCTGCTGCTGCTGCTTCTGCTGCTTCGAATGGAACTGCTACTGCAGCTACTGCTGCTACTGCTGCTGCTGCCCCTGCGCCTTCGCCGTCGAGCGCTGGCAGTGTTGGCACGCTACGCAGGACGCCAACCGCTGGCTCTGTCCTTCCATCTGCAATGGCAAGTCCAGGCGCAATGCAGACGTCGCCCTCTTCATCTGCGAATGCTGCTGCTGCTGCTGCTGCTCAAGTGGGCACGAACGGCGTCTCGCCATCATCCACACGACCGTCCAGCATCGGACTGCCTTCCTCCCTGTCCAAGCCGGACCTTGCTTCTCTCGCTGCAGGCAGCGGGTTGCATGGATCGGCGGCGCTCTCCTCGTCCTCGGGAAACCTGACCACAGTTGGCAACTCCACTCCCAATCCCAACCCTAGCGGTAACAGTAATAGCAACGGTAACGGAAACAGCACCTTGCACAATAATCATAGCAACAGCACGTCCGGTGTGATGAGCACGGCAAGCAAGTTTGGCGCGGTTGGCGGCGGCTTCAAGTCGTCTTCTTCTTCTGCTTCTTCGTCGTCGTCGTCGTCGTCGTCAAGCTCTGCCGCCTCTGCAATCCCATCGCAGCCGAATGGTCCTGTAGCAGGGTCGCCGGTCTCTACACCAACCCATCGACACTCGTTCGTGGGCAAGGATGCTCGAGATCGTGAGGGCGCTCCGTCCTTGTCCAGCTCCTCGTCCACCTCGTCTCTCGCCAGCATTGCTGGTGTGACCGGACCCGCTGCTGCGCCATCCGGGACGGGCGACTTTTCCGATATCATTGCTGCTTGCCTTGGATTGCCGCCAGGCTCAACGTGGGCCGATGCTGCCGCTTCTGCGGCAGCAGGAGGAAACGCGGTGATTAACATTGACGCGCTAGAATCCATCGCCAACGAAACCACGTGCAACACCCGCATCGTTGACACTGGATTGACGCCTCTCCACTTGCTATGTCGAGCCAGCTTTGCAGCTCTGCCACCGGCTGCGCAGCAGCCTTCCAGCTGGTCTGTCGTGCAGCCGCCTTCCGCCATCACAACCACCACAGCCCAAACAGCAAGTCCGGCGCATGCCACCCACTCACCCGTGCTCACAAAGAAGGCTGCCGTCGGTCCCACAGCAGCCTCCCAAGGTGCCGCTTCCGCAGGGTCAGGATTGACTTCGTCGAAATCGTTCGGAACCTTGTTCGCGCGCCGCCCTTCCGTGCTGTCGGTGCCGGTTCCGCTCAGCTCCGCGTCCAAGCAGGTTGAGGACCTTCTCAGTCGTGGTGTCAAGTGCCTGCTGGCTCGTGGTGCTCGGGACACCGTTTTGAGCCGAAACGGCTTTGCCCCAATCCACCTCGTCTGCTACTCGGGTGACACTGTCCTCTTGAAGGCGTTTGTCGACGCCAAAGCCAACCTCGCCGTCAAGGGATTCCACGATCTGTCGCCGCTCCATGTCGCCTGCATTCTCGGTCACGCAGACGTCGTTCGGCTGCTTCTCGCCGCGAGCGTCAGCATCAACGTAGCGGACACCAACGGATTCACTCCGCTGCACTACGCATGCCACGGTGGCTTTGAGTCCATTGTGGAAATGCTCATCAACCGCACTGGCACCGACACCAACGCGCGCACCTCCAACGCAGACACCCCGTTGCATCTTGCCGCATACATGAACCACCGCAAAATTGTGCATCTTCTCCTCGCCAATACCTTTGCGCCAGCCGATCCCAACACGCGAGACAAGGAGAGCCACACGCCACTGCACTACGCATGTCGCCGTGGTTTCATTCCCACCATGGAGCTGCTGTTGGAGCCCATCTGGAAGACTGACATGCATGCGCTGAATAGCTACCGTGACACGCCTCTGCATTGGTGTGTGAGGACGGTGTGAATGTTGAAAGGGGCTTTTTTTTTTTTTTTTTTTTTTTTTTGGAAGGGGAGGAGAGGTTCAGGAGGCCTAAGGCTTGTAGGGGTGTTTGGCATGTTTGCGAACAGTTGGAATTTGACTCACCTTGGTCCTTGCTTTGTTTGACCGTCCCCTTCACGCACCTTTGCTTGGCCTGGCAGCGCGTGCTATCACGGTCGGTTTGAGCTTGTCAAGCGCTATCTACAGTATGCTGGGGAACGAAGCATCCAGATGGAAAATATTTTCAGCGAAACGCCGTTGCATGCCGCCTGCACGAGTGGTGCGTCGGTAGAGCTCGTCAAGTTCTTGCTAATGCTCGATCCATCTCGAGTAAACTACCAAGGCAACGACGGACACACTGCGCTGCACAGCGCCTGCTGGAATGGGCACTTGAATGTCGTCACCGCGTTGCTCGAGCGAGGAGCTGACGTGCGCCTCAAGACCAAGGACGGCGCCACCCCAATGAAGTGGGCGTACGACAAAGGCTACGACGAGCTCGTCGACGGCCTGCAGCGTCACTTCCGCGACATTTTGAACGAGAAGGCCTCCGTGGGTCACCTCAACGGCATTCACAACGGGAATGGCAGTGCCAACGGCAACGGAGCCAGCTCTTCCAATAGTGGGGCCAGCTCGGGCTTGAGCAGTGCCAGTGGCGGTGGCTCGAACAGCTTTACGTCCATTTCGTTCGACGCGTACACGTTCTTTAGCATGATGCCTTCGGCCTCCTCTTCCTCGTCCTCGTCCATTGATGGCGATATCGAAGCCTATACCATTCCTTCGCCGTTGGGCAAAATCCGGAATGTGACTCGCGAAAAGGCCGAGATCCTACAGCTCCGCGAGCTGCTCTCTCGGGACTTTCAGGTCGAAATGCACGAGATCGAGTTCCAGGAGATGATTGGAGCCGGCTCGTTTGGCAAAGTCTTCAAGGCCACGTACCGCAACCGCCTTGTCGCCGTCAAGCGCCTGCGTGGCAAAACCTTCCGAGCACGCTCAGACATTGAGCTGTTTTGCCGCGAGGTCTCGATTCTGTGCAAGCTCAACCATCCGAACGTTGTCAAGTTTGTGGGCGCATGCGTGTCGGAGCCAAGTCAATTTTGCATCATCACCGAGTTTGTCAGCGGCGGCTCGCTCTACAATGTGCTCCACGTGCAAACAACGCCCCTCGATCTGCCGACGCGTGTATCGATCGCGCTTGATGTGGCGCATGGCATGAACTACCTCCATACGCTTCCCCGGCCAATCATTCATCGAGACCTCAACAGCCACAACATTTTGCTGAATGATCATTTTCGTGCGGTCGTCTCTGATTTTGGCGAGTCGCGCATCGTCAAGAGCAACTACGACCTGGATAACATGACGAAACAGCCAGGGGTATGTATTTTCGTCGAGACGACGATGGAGGTGGTGGTGGTGGTGGTGGTGGTGGTGGTTTGCTTTGGTGGTTTGCTTTTGTTGAAATTTGGAGAGATTGTTTTCAAAGAGGGAAAGCTATTGCTGAATGATCTAACCTCCTTGCCTCTCGCCCACTCTAGAACTTGCGATGGATGGCTCCCGAAGTGTTCACGCAATGTACCATCTACAGCGGCAAGGCAGATCTGTTCAGCTATGGTCTGACTCTCTGGGAAATCATTGCTGGCCAGCTTCCGTTTGCCGATTTGAAGCCAGGTGAGTTTTTTTGTTCTCGTTCGAGAATGTGTGGCGTTGGTTTTGGGGGGGGGAGTAAGGTTGTTGGTTTTGTGAAATTCCCCCCGTGTCCAACTATTTTTTTTTTTTGCCTCTCTTGCTCTTTCTCTCCCTCGCTCCTCTAGCCGCTGCGGCTGCTGAAATTGCATACCATGGCCGCCGCCCACCCATCGGATTCAAGTTCCCAAAAGCAATCAGTTGCCTGGTCCGGCACCTCTGGCGCACCGAACCAGACACCCGGCCGACTTTTGCCGAGGTGGTTCAATGGCTGGATGCGCATCGTGACCGGCCAAACGACGTGCTGCCCTCGCATCATTTGTTTGAAAAGCTGGGACAGGACGACACAACGCCAGAAGCCACAGACAACCACGACCCGCATTCCGCGCAGTCTCCGACCTCGTACGCTCAGGGCACGGTGCCAGTGACTGCTGCAGCCGTTGAGCAACGCTTTGCAAACAGCACCGACACCGCCACATTGACAGCCAGCGGCAGCGGCTCGTCCACCGCCTCGAACGGCAGCAGCAGTTTGAGTCACAGCGGCTCGAACGGCGGCTCTGGCAGCAATCATTCCATGGTCCCCGTCGTGGTCAATGCCAACGGCTATGTCACAAACGCCCCCATGCCCTCGCGCTTTGTCGCGAGCATGGTGCAATCTGGTCCGTTTGGAGCCAGCGCATCCGCGCCGCCGTCGTCGTCGAGCTCCCCGGCGTCGCACCCTGGCTTTGTTGGCGCATTGCCCGTCTCTGCAGCCTTCTCGTCGGCTCATGTTCCAACGCGCACGGTCGGATCCATGTCTGCACTCGCTTCGTCCGCTGGCATTCGAGTACCGATGGTTTCGGCGTCTCCACCCTCCAACATTGCTGCCCACTATGCATCTTTGCAGACGCGACAGGCTCCGCAGGTTGGGCAGCTCGCACCCACACGTGTGAATGGCGGAATGTCGTCGCTGGCCAACATGCCGCTGCTGTCGTCGTCTTCGCCGGCGTCCACGTCGTCCCCAGGCGCCATGCCCTCGGGACCAGCTTCCGTGTTTGGACCTGCCGTCGCTGCAGCTCAAGGCACCCCCAAGGTCTTTTCGTACCTGCAGCAGCAGCAGCAGCAAACGGAGGTTGGCGCCATATCCGCCGCCCACCACCACCCCGCGACAAGGCCGACAACACAGCCCAACGTATCGTTCGCAGATCTGCCCCTGTCGGCACCTTCCCAGACTCCGGCTTCGCTGGACTCGGCCTCATCGTCGCCGAGCACTGCACCGACTGTGAAGGCGGCAGTTCGACAGATGGAAAAGCGGCTGTCGACCGGTGCTCCTGCAACGCCTGCTGCGAGTAGTAGTAGTAGCTCTCATCCCGCTAGCACTCCCAAGTAATAATGGGCTTTTGGGGGGTGGGGAGCATGGTAGCTTTGGTTTCGATTTTGTCGCTCCAATTTTTGTATTTTGCTTTTGTTTTTCCATAATTCTTAATTTTGATTTGGTTTCGAGTTTCGTATTTTCGCTTCCACCTCTGCTCAATTCAAGCCAATCCACTCCTCACCTTCTCCACCCCAAATCACATAGTCCAACAAACCAGCGGGACAATCGATGAAATCGAAAGACAAGTGGTGAATTTACAGGCAAAAAAACGTATATACTCAAACAACAGGGGAACCGCCGGCGAATATTACAAACGCTACACAATGAGCTTCGACAAAGTCACCATCAAAAAGACCGGCCTCTGCAAATGTCAGCTTTTTCACTCTTGTTTTTATTTCACAAGCCCGAGAGCAGCCGGGGAACAAAAGAAAAAAAGCGCTGATGGACGGTTTTTAGCGGTCGCGGGAGGAGAGCTTCTCGATGATGTACGAGTAGTCGACCTCGGAGGCGTCGGTAGCCTGGATCTCGGCGTGGAGACCGACAAGGCCAGCCTTGAGGGCATCCTTGCTGGAGGCGTAGAGCATCTTCTGCTTGATCTTGGATTCGTTGGGGGCCCAGGCGAAGAAGACGAGCTTCTCACGCTTGCCAGACTCGGGGGTGTCGTAAGCAAGATCGTACACGGCGTAGCGGCAGTCGTTCGGGGGGAGCTCGGCGAGGAACTCGTCGTAGGTAGCAGAGGGGTCAGCCTTCTTGGTGATGACAATCATGGTGTTGTCCGAGTTGAGCTGGAAAATGACATAACGGTAGGTGTGCTTGAGCTTGAGGTCCTGGAAGACGGTTGCGACTTCGGGGTCGACCTTAACGCCGGATGCCTGAGACAAAGGGGAAATGTGGGGGAAACAGTGAGGGTAAGCGATTGGGACGTGTGGAAGAAGGTGGGGGGGTTTAAGTTTTTGGTTTGGTGCGTGAACAAGGTTGTTTGACGAGTTGAGGCTTTGGGTGTGTTGTGTGGTGATATGCTGCGGTTTGCTTTTTTTTTTCTTTTTTTTTTTTTTGTCAATGAACTTGCATTGTAATTTTTGTTTTTCCTCGTGATTCATGCTTCCAGTGCCAGGCAATCCATGTCACGTCCTTTCCCCCCCCCCGCCATCGAATCGCTCCTCCTAGCAAAACATTTTCGCCCTTTTCGCTACGACAGACACCGTCCCTCCGCCATCGCGAAAAAACAAAAACAAGCAATGTCGACAACTCGAAAAAAAAAAAAAAAAAAAGTTTGTTGTTTGGGGCGCCTGCCTTTTCGGGCAAGGCCGCCAAATAATACAAAATAATAGAAAAAATAAAAGAAAAATCAAATGAGATCGCTTTTTTTTTTTGCTTCCTGCTGTCGATCGCACTGCTGCAACGCTCTTCGTGCTGGTTGGTGGAAGGTTGTTGCGAGCGTAGGGACACAAGAGCAGGAGGATGCCGTGCGAAAAGCGTTGCTCTCGCTCAAGCAGAAGAAAGGCACGAGAAGAAACAACTTTCACAAAAAAAAAAAAAAAAAAAAGCTCGATCAAACGAACCGCCGGTTGAGCAGCTCATTCCACAGCAGGTCTGCAGCCAGGAATGCGAGTCGAACCAACAGATCGAAAGACGATAGGATTGGAGGAGTTGGAGAGGGTAGAGCAGCAGCCGTCGAACAGAATTCAACAGTGAAAATAAAATAATAATAATACAGAAAAAAAAAAAAAAAGAGATCGCGTTCCAGACTTCAAATAACCGTTTTGTTCGAAGCGATCGCGCCGGACAAGCGCTGTGCGAGTGCAGACAACGGCAGTCGATAATGGAGGCATGTGTCTTATCGAACTTGTTTGCAGTGTTGCCAAAGCGCGAACAGCAGAGAAGCAGCAGTCCGTCCTTTTTTTTTTCTTTTCGTTTTTTTTTATCTGCGTCTTTTTTTTTTTAACTTTCTTTTTTCTTTGCTTTCAGTTCGCTCACTCACTCGTCACTCAACCCCAAGGCGAAAGAAGAGGCATGGAATCAACAAAAAGGACAAGGCGAGGATGTGCAAAAAGGGAAGACGGCGAAGAAGCAGGCGGTCGTTGTGGACGCGAAAAAAAAGCAGCTCTCACCATTGTAGATTGTTGGTGGTTGGGTTTTGAGGAGTGAGTTGCACTGGTTTTGGAATGGATTGAATTCGTGTTTGAAACAAATGGTTTGGTTCGGGCAGACAGCGGGCAGTACGAGCATCGCGTTTTCAAAATTATTCAAGTGGAAATAGAGACAAGTCGAATGAGCCCAGTTGGAGCGGAATCGGCCAAGAGTCACGCCAAATCGCACTTTTTGGGAAAATTTAAAACCAGCAACCAAGAAAAATGGGATTGGAGCAGAGTGACCAGGCCCACCTCGCCCCATTCCGGTCACACAGACACGAAAATGACCGCCACGTAATGTACATTCGTTTTATTTCAATACTACACTCGAAAATCAGCCGAAAAGTCGCGCAAGGGCGCGAAACCGCATGTGGTCGAGTTAAGCCGTATGCGCGGTGCCTCCCACATCCTGCGTGCGCCGATGCTTGATCACTGCGTGCTCCAACTCTTGAGCAAACCATATTTCCAATCCATCCATGAGCAGCTGAGCGGCTGCAGCATCTCGCACGACTGTTTGTTTCGTTGATGAACTAGTCTAACTTTTTTTTTTTTTTTTTTTTTTGATCTTTGCCGCTGTTTTTTTTTTTTTTTTTTTTTTTTTTTCCTGCTTTTTCTGCTTTTTCTTTTCTTTTGTCTCACACACCCACATCATGGCGTCGGCCAGCGACGGGATGGATGCTGGTGCTGCCAATGGTAAGATTGCACCACACCGCATGCGCCTCACTCGGGGCGTTCCTCGGCGTCCAGGCAGTCGGCCGAGCTCGTTCTTGTCTGGCTTTTTTTTTTTTTTTTTTTTTTTTCCCTCCGTTGTTGTTGTTTACCGCTGCGTGGCAGGGTGTGAGGGGGACCCGGAGTGCGCAGACGTCGCGTCCTGCACCAACAGCATCCTTTCCTCATCAGCGCTTGCTCTCCCTTCCTTCATCCGTTGCCGAGGGGAAGCCCTTCGAGTGATTGGCGCGGAGAGGCCGAAAAAGCCAACAAACACAAAAAAACAAACAAAAAGAAAAGAAAAAAGAAAAAAAAAAACACAGAAAAACAGTGGTCCTGCTCAATTTCCATTGGCTCATCGCCCCCTCGCCCTCCTCCCCACTGCTGGTTTCCTACTCTTCCTGACTCACACTCTGCACGAGAGTGGGTGTGTGTGCGTGTGTGTTTGACTAACTGAATCCCCGCCCCCCACTTTTTGTCTGGATGCTCCTTGTGTGGCAGCAGGCGCGCTCAAGCGCAATGAAAAGAAACGGTCGTTCAAGTTGCTGTCGCGGCTCAACAGCTTGACCTCGTTCGGCTCTGCGCTGCCGCCGCCAACTCCGACGGGAACGAGTGCGACGTCGTCGAGTCCGGTCATGAGTAGCACCAATAGCGGCAGTGACAGCGCGAGCGGCAGCGGCTCAGCAACGCCACTATTCGCTTCCGCTGCCACTGCTATTGCCGCCGATGAGGTAGGGTGCTTTTGTCTTTTGCTTTTGTGTGTGTGTGTGACGCTTGCACTCGTAGTCCATACATTCTCATTCATCTGGCTCGAATTTTGGTTGCCTGGCACAGACACGGCCACCGCGGCTGGACGAGGACGACGAAACCGAGCGAGAGCACGAGTCCACCACCACCACCACCACCACCACCACGAGTACCGCTGCCTCGGCAGACTCGCCTGTTCCTGCTGCTTCAGCAACGTCGTCATCAGCGCCAGGGTCTGGATCATCGTCACCAGCAGGCGCGGCGGTCACTGCAACCAACAGTGGCAGCAGCAGCAGCAGCAGCAGCACAAGCCATAGCATCAACAGTCATAGTAGTAGCAATGCTGCGATTCGAGGCTCATCCACCCTTGTTCGTCGAAGCTCAGCACTGTCCCCTCCTCCGCTCAATCTGGCGCAACCAACACCGCCACCATTACAGCCCAGTTCACAAGGCACGCCAATATATTCCACGCCCTTGCAAGCCACGTCCTCGCACGCGTCCTCCAGCCGAGACCGCTTTTCGTTCTCGTCCTCGGGCTCGTCCAGCTCGCTGGCCATGCTTGCGGCAACGGAAGAAGTGCTGCCCGATGTTGTGTTTACGCTTTCCCGCAAGAAGGCCTCGGCCGTTGCTCAGCTCCATCTCCAGCATCAACAGCAGGCGCAGCAGGTTCAGCAACAGCTGCTGCAACAGCAGCAATCGCAGCAGCCGACATCGCCCCAACCGCTGCCTTCGCCTCCACCACGCACTAGTATTGATTCAGTGACGTCAAACAGTTCCAGCTCGTCTGACAGCAGCAGCGCGGGTACCAGTTCGACTGCCCCTGCACCCTTGCCTGCACCCGTTCAACCGGTTTCTTCCGCGTCCCTCCGCTCGTCGTACACGGCCGTGGACCGAAAGGTGAAGGCCGCGTCGTTTGGCCGCCTGATTGAGCGACTTGCTCCATACGATGCGACTGCCGTCGATAATTTCTTCATGAGCGTCTTTTTCACCACATACCGCGCATTCGCACGTCCTCCCGAGGTCCTCACAGCCTTGTGCGATCGATTCTCCCAACCCATTAATGCGGACGTGTTGGTGTCCACTGCCGCCTACGCGGAGCGCTTTGTGGCACAGGCGGCCGCAGCTGCAGCAGACGCTTCCAGCACCAGTGCATCTTCAGCAGCACCGCCGGCGGATGCTGAAGCCGATACGTCTGATTCCTTGTTTAGCTTCATGACGGCCCAGTTCCGTCACCTCCAAGCCACCCGCAATGTTGACCCCACTCCACCACTCTCCGCAGCAACCAGCTCGGAGGACATGTTAATCACCCACCGAGACACTCACAGTGCTCTCCCGATTTTGTTAGAAGCCAGCTCTTCTTTGCAGCAATCAGAGCCACAATCAGAGCCACAACCACAGCAACAGCAACAGCAACAGCAACAGCAACAGCAACAGCAACAGCAACAGCAACAGCAACAGCCGTCGCACCCACCGCTTTGTCGGGTCTCGTCGTTGCCGATGCAAATACCAAACAGCTCCATCACCCCGTTTGCCACAGTCCGGTCTGGAGGGCATCGCCATCATCGCCAGTCTCTCGAAAACCAGTCTCCCACACTTGGAAGCTTCTCAGCATCATCGCTACCAGTCAACTTTGCCCACTTGCATGGCTATTCGAGTGCCGAACTCGGCCGCGACCGCAGGGACTCTGTCGCCTCCAATGTGTCTACGACCTCGAGCAGCTCTGATGCGAATGCGTTGGCGTCCTCCGTCGAGGCACTGAGCGGCGGTCACTCGGCGTCTGCCCCAGAGCACATTCCTGACGACTTTGTCTCGATGGTCCGCCTCCGCGTCACGTTTGCCTTTTCAGTGTGGATTAACCAGCATTGGTACGACTTTCGAGATGCGCTGGGGCAGCAATGCCTCACGCAGTTGCGCGAGTTTCTCGAAACGACCGTGTGTGCCAATCCCGGCACCACCAACCTCGGCCAGCTTCTCGTCCGCACCATTGATTTCAAAGTCTCCAACCCCACGTCCGGTATGTGGCAGCTTCCCACCCCACAGACTTCTGCCGCGTCGTCGGCATCCCCCAGCATCGCGTCGCTCTCGGCTCACGCGCCGTCGGCTGCCTTGTCCGGTCTCTCTTCTTCCCACTTGCATGGGCACTCTCACAAACGACGCGTGTCCGAGTCGCGGCTATCGGGCTCGTTTGGGTTTATGTCGCGCTTGAGCAGCTCCGGCGGGTCGGGCACGCACTCGCCAAACCCAGCCGCCGTGCCAAGCCCCGCCGTGTCAGCGTTGCCGTCACCCATGATGCTGGCCTCAACCTCTGGCTCGTTCAACGGCACCGCCAATCCCATCAGCCCCACCGGTGACTCGGAGCAGACAGTGGCGGCATTCCCATCCCTGTCGCTTCGTCACCTCGACATCAACGCAGCCAACTTTGCACGGCAGCTCACCCTCGTTGAGGCAGCTCTGTACCGTGATGTCATGCCTTCCGAGTGTCTCGGATCCGGCTGGACCAAAAAGGACAAGGCCGTGAAGAGTCCGTCCATTGTGGCAAGCATCCAGCACTTCAACCGAGTGTCGACTCTTGTCATGACGGAGGTATTGCGACCGGAAGACCGCGTCTCTCGCGTCGAGCAAATGGTCTTTTTCATCGAGGTGGCCAAGGAGTGTCGAGTACTGTGCAACTTTGCCTCGCTCAAGGCGATCGTTTCTGCTTTGCAATCGACTCCCGTGCACCGTCTCAAAAAGACCTGGAGCCTGATGAAAAAGGACCACGTCGCAACGTTCGAAGACTTGTGTGATCTCGTCTCGGAGCGTAGCAACTACCAGCGCCTTCGCGACACGTTGCGGACTACCAACCCTCCCTGCATTCCGTACCTTGGTTGCTTCTTGACCGACCTCACGATGGTTGACAGCGCCAACTCTGACCTCTATGGATCGACCCAGCTGATCAATTTCGAGAAGCGACGCAAGGAGTTTGAGATTATTGAGGTTGTTTGTTGGTTCCAGCGCAACTGCCAGTACTCGTTGATTCCCGTGCCGCACTTCCAATCGTGGCTCTCAAACGCCCTTGTACTGAACGAAGATGAGTGCTACAAGCTCTCTTTGATTCGAGAAGCACGTGAAGACAGCAGCTCTGCCGCCGTGTCGGCTGCGCTGTTGGCTGCTGCGCTCAGCGGTGGCGCTTCTACACCGCTGCCCGGCAAGTCTACGTCCGCGCTGGCCACATTGTCCACGCCATCTCCCGCACCAGAGCCGGCCCTCGGGACGAGCGTTGATTCCAGCTCCAGTAGCACAGGCAGTCCGCTTCGCCGCTCGTTCAACTCTGCGCCGTCCCTCAGTGCCATTCTCGAGCAGCAGCAGCAGCAGCAGCAACAACAACAACAAACAAACTCGGCAGTTGACAAACCACCCACCGCAGTACAGCCAGTCAATGCAACTGAAGAAGCGTCCGCCAACACTGGCGAAGCAAGCACCACGTCTCCGCCATCCGCCTCGCTCGGTCCTGCCCAGACCGAAGCTCCAGTTTCCAAGCTTGCGCTGTTGCTCCAAGACTCCATGTCCAGCGAGCTCGTCACGAGTCTGGAAGAGCGCAACTCTGCTGTGGACCGGTTGCGCAAATTTATCGCATCGCGTCCAACCAGTCTGAGGAACTTTTATGATACCAATGTTAAGGCATTCGGTCGACAAGACTCTTCTTTCATGACCCCCGTGGATCCTGGCTCTCCGCGCGCCAAAAAGTCGTCCAAGCCGGTAAGGACTAGCTGATGTCGTTTTTTGTGTGCCGTGCTTTGCTCGTTTGTTTGTTGGAACACTTGCTGACTCTTGTTGTCGCTTTGCTTTTGTGTTGTTTCGTTTTTTTTTCGTCTTTTCGTCGCTTTCTCTCCCCCACCCCCTCATGACAGCTTGCATTGAGTAGCCGTGCCGGATCGTCCGAGTTATTGGCCCAGGTGGAGACTGCGGCCTCAGTCCCCACCGACCCAGATGCTGTGCCAATTCGTGTGCGAGCAGGCCCTTCCATCACGCAGCGACTCAGCAAGAAAAAGTCGGACAAGATCAAGACCATAGTTGTCAACCCCAACGCAACGGAAGCCAGTGTCATTATTCAGGCTCTCGAGCGACTCAAAATCCACGAAGCGCCAGAAAACTGTCGCTTGGTTTGCGTCACGTCGCGTGGCTTGATCCGATTTTCGGACGAGAGTGTCTTCCTGCCTCCCCAGGAAGATGGCATGGAGCCTCCGCTGTTTGTGCTCGAAGCGACGGGTGCAGACCTACTCAGTCGGGCAACCTCGCCTGCTCGCGCCCGGTTCCTGCGTGCTCAGTCTGCAGGCCCCAACGCGTTTGCTCCGGCCCTTCTTCAGCGCCAGTCGCTCAGCATGAACGAAGATGCCAGCGAACTTCCAGACCATCTTAGTAGTCTCCTTTCAAGCCCGCTATCTGGCAATAGCGAAGGAGACGTGTCCTCCTCCCCCTACACGAGCCAAGAGGACATGCTTCCTCCCGGAACGTCCAGTGTTCCGGAGACGTGCTTGTAGGGGAGGCGAGCTTTTTTTTTTTTTTTTTTCCCCATTTTTCAATTCCCTTTCTTTTTTTTTCTTTTTTTTTTCAGTTAGGCACTTTTGCTTCAAGAGGCCGCTTGAGCCTCCTCTACCTGAAGCAAAAGTATATTCAGCTCTTGTTAATCCGGGCCGCGCGCATGGTGCCTTTTGTCCTCGTCCCCGAATCTAGTCTGTTTGTCCGTCAGTGGAGCGTCATCTTGATGCCGGCGTGCTTCTTCTTTTTGTTTTGTTTCTGCTTGTATGTTCTTCTCCATCTTCCTCATCAGTGTGTGTCGTATCTGTCCTGCCTGGTGCATGCGTTTCGTTCAGTAAATCACTTTTGGAAAAATCTTTGAGTTTGCAAATCATGTTTCATTTTGTCAAAATCCTGAGCTCATAGTCCACTTAAACCCGCCAGCGCTTGCTCGATTTCTCGTAGATGGTCGTCCACACATTCACCATCAATTTCATGGAGCGCAGCCACTAGGTGACGAAAGTAATCAATGTTTGGGCCGCTGGGACCAACGGACGAGGCAATCGTCGTGGCAATATCGATGGCCCGGGCCGGACCCAGGAAATTCGGGTTGGATTCCGTGGCATTGTACACTGTGACAACGATGGGCGCTCTACCGGACTCGCGCGGCTGGAACTGGATGAGTTCGGTCGTGTAACCGCCCTTCTCTCGGTAGTCGAGGTACCGAAGCGTCTCCTGGACGTGTTCTGGCGCCACCCGGTACGCATAGCCCCACGTTACGCCATCCGGCTCGTGGACGAGCGTGACGACGCGGCCCGGCGCCCCAGGCACCCCGCGGTGGTCGGTCGATCCCTGCCAGAATCGCCGCACCAGTCCGCGCACAAAGCCGGGCACTCGTTCGGCAAACTTGAATCCGGCATTGTACACCAGGGATCCATAGCCAAACACCCACAGCGCTTGCTCGAGTTGGTCTTGCACTGCCACCACACCATTGGCAGTATTGTTGGTGTCACTGCTGCTCAGCGACGCGGCGGCTGAGGCGATGCAAGCGTTGTTCTCTGTCATCGTTGGTCTCTTTTTGCTTTTTGCGGTTTGAGCCTTCCTTTTGTTGGCTTGAAGGCGAAACACTTACGAAAAAGACGCTACACAACAAAATGAAAGAGTGACTTTGAATATATTTTCGAATGAATACATACAGGGTGTCGAGTTGGGACGACGGAGCAAGACCTTGACAGGCTCATCGCAAAACCGAAAGCGGCGTCGAGACTACTTTATCAATAAGCAAGTGGTGGAGGTCGAAACGACTGGACAGAGTTGAAGCATTGCACCAAGTGGTTGATCACTCACTGAACAACTTGAAGCATCCAATCTCAAATTGCAGAACTTGGATGCTTTTTCTCAGATTCCAGAGTCGTGCTCGGTTTTCATGTTTTCTTTCAATGTATTGGAAACAACAGCGCATAGATCTGAATCCCTAATCTTGTCGTTCGATATACCCGACAGAAAGCGACGCAAGTCGCACAAAACGGAAAGACTGCCCGAGTTGAACTTCAACCTCCCAACCCGCGCGCAGTTGGCGGATGACAGGATGGTCTGTTGGCGAAATTGTCACCAGCTGAATGTTCGAATCGACGACAAGCGCTTCTGCAACCCATTTGTATCGAACAGCACCGTGCTCGTCTCGAACAATCAGATCGAAAGGGTCCGATTTGGCTTCGTACTGTTCGAAAGGGTCCGATTTGGCTTCGTACTGTTCACGAAGGACTTGAATCGCTTTCACTCGGATTGAATTTCCATTGCTGCTTCGAGGCATTGTAAGTTTCAGAAAATCGATCTGATTGTAACTAGACCGCGCTTGGTGAATGTGCTGCACGCCTTGCAAGTACTCCGCTTCGTGCATAACGAGCTCGGCAACCTCGGCTGGTAGTGCAGGGAGAAGTGCGGGCTGATTCTCCAGCTCGTGTCGGCGTGTCAGCAGGTGAAACACTCTCTGCCAGTCTTCAGAGGTTGCCAGTCGTGGAAGCAAGGAGAATGCAAGCGGGTTTATCTGGTCCTGGATGCTGTGCAATGAACAAGCAAAAGATAAAGGAACCATCAGGAGAGCCGTTTCCATTGAGTATTGGTTCGAGGAACATGAGCGGAGCATCGATGGCTCTCATTTGCAAGAACAAACAACCTACTCAAGCTTAGTCAGAATGCCGTTGACTTTGCGTGCCTCATCAAGCGCTTGAATGCCAACTTGGCCAATGCAGTTGTTCTCTAGACTGGCGTTCAAAGTATTAGCAGGTTGATCACGTAGCAAGGTCTGAATGATGCTGGTTCAATGTCCCAGACGAGCAAGGCACCCAAGCACTTACGTCAGTTCAGTCAGCGTCTTGTTGACCTTGAGTGCTGCTGCAATCGCTTGTGCTCCAGCATCGCCAATCCGATTCACTTTCAGACTGCCCATCCCCTCCATCAGTGAGCATTCGGAATTTTTATGAATCCCTCACATGCATCAGTAAACGTGAGATGACTTACTGGAGCCAAATCAGGTTCGTGTTCACTTTGAGAGCCTCAGCGATCGCCTGCGCTCCAGCATCGCCAATTTGATTGTGGTACAGACTGTCCGCACACCCTCCATCAGTGAGCACACTGAATACCTTCTGCTAAAGTCACCCACCCACATCCATCAGTACAAAGCGAGATGACTTACAAGAGCCTCTTCATCGTCGTGTTCACTTTGAGTGTCTCAGCAATCGCCCGCGCTCCAGCATCGCCAACCTGATTCGAGCTCAAACTGTTCATCCCATGCATCAGCGAGAACTTTGGATTTCCGCTGCTGAAATCACCCACTCATATACATCGGCAAAAGTGAGATGACTTACGTGAGCCACCTCAGGTTCGTGTTCACTTTGAGTGTCTCAGCAATCGCCCGCGCTCCAGCATCGCTAATCTGATTCCAGCTCAGACTGCCCGTCCCTCTCCATCAGTGAGCACTCTCACTGTCATCTCCTGCAGTCACCACTCACATGCATCAGTTCAAACGAGACTCACGCAACCTCCATCACCGTCTTGTTCACTTTGAGTGTCTCAGCAATCGCGCGCGCTCCAACGTCGCCAATCTGATTCTCACGCAATCTGTCCACATCGCCTCCATCAGTGAGCCGCTCTTGCTGTCTCTACTTGATCACCCACTTCCATGCGTCAGTGAAATTGAGATGACTTACTCGAGGTGCGTCAGTGTCGTGTTCACTTTGAGTGCCTCAGCAACCGCTTGTGCTCCATCGTTACCAATCTGCTTCTCATCCCACCTGTCTCTCCATTTTCGTCAACACAAACGCGCTGTCACGCTTTTTCCCACCTTGCAACTCGGCTTCCCCTTACCAGAGCCAGCCACTCGCATTCTTGACGAAATCATGCAGCTTGCGCTGGCTCTCAGACATACTCTGGTAAGTCAGCATTTTCAAAAATGAAACAAAGACTGACTCGATGCTCCATTTTCGCCTCTCTACCCTGACACACGCAGGTCTACGAGCAAGCCGCTATTGATGGCTGTTCCTCATTGAGGAAGGTTGGAAAAATCAGGATACTGACTCACACGCATCAAACGAGATCTCAGAGAATTGCTTGTCAGTCTCCAGTAGCTTCCCATACTCAAGTTTGACCACGACAGAGCTTTTCCCGGTGCGTCTGAGCATGTCCATGCGTCCCAAAATGGAACGACAGGGAAAGGCGGAATTGCCGTTGATGTCGCCACGCGGTCGCCGATATCAGCCTCCCGCGCCCTTGTTCCCCCATGCGAGCTCGTTTGCGCTCCCAATCGGTCGATCGCGTCGAGCCTGCGAGTGGACTTGGACATGCGGGGAGTGGCGCGGGCGCAGGTGGGGCGCCAACGCTCGACCCCCCCCCCTTCCGCCGTGTGTTCTCTCTGAACTGCTCGGCATGAACATATAGGGCGCGCGCCATCAGCGTGACGCTAGCAATGCAACTTAAGTTTTAGCGTGCCAGACCCGTGGTATCGCTAACGTTCCCGTTGCAGATACAAAACTTCTGCACTGCGCTCGGGTGGTAGCGATACTGCCCACTTGCCGCTCTGGAATACCAAAGTGCACGTTCGGATTCATCGTGTAGGATGTTCCGCATCGGCGAATAGCCAGTTTTGCTTGCAGGCAGGCGTCGCTCGAGCTTCACGTTGATAAAACTTGACTCGGGCGGAGTTGCCACTTGCGACAGGCTGCGTTTCGTTTGCCGCTGTGGCGCCTTCATGCCGCTTCGTGCATTCCAGTCAGCGTTGGCCATCACCCCTCTGGGCCAGCGAGGAGGCGAGCGTTCAGAGACAACAACAACGCCTTTTTTTGTGTTTGTTCCTTTTGTTTTCACTTTTTCCGTTTCATTGTTCGATCCAACCGACCTCCTTCGCTTCCTTTGACCTGTGATTTGCGCATGCTTTCTGTCGAGAAATAAACAATTCTATTTTATTTTCATACATATGACTTCAGTCCTACTTTTTCTTCTTTCTTTCTAATGATGCGTTTGGCTTTGTTGGCTACCCTTTGCAGCGTCATCGCAGCTGTTGCCATTGTCGTTGCGGCTGCCCCTGCGTCGCCCGTCTCCCCTGCTGCGCCGTCTGCCTCTGCGTCTGCCTTTGCATCTGCCTCTGCCTCAGCGCCCGACGCAGCCACCCCGCAGTACCTCATCGGTGCTGGCATCTATGACATGTGCGGACCCAAACAACACCACAACAGACTCTCCACAACTCAACCCAACTCGCTCTCCCACATCACTCTCTCTCTCTCTCTCTTCCCCCATCTCACTAGTGATGCAGCGACTGTCGACAGTTACTCACCCAGTGAACAAGCCCACTGCGCACTCGTGCAACAGTGCATTCAATCTTTCTCCTTTTTTCCCATTTGCTTTGCCTTTCTCCACTTTCGTCCCGCTTCCGCTTCCTCCGCACAATGTTGTTGTCACACCCAAAAACACACATAGATCAAAAAATCACAAAATGGAAAACAACCCCACCCACAGGCCGCTTGGAGCAGTAAACAAAAGCGGAATCGGTATCGGCAATGCGGAAAATTCGTTGTCTTCTTTTTTGATCTGCGCTCTTTGCCACGGGCGATTTGTCGGGTGAAGGCGGGTGCCATGCGGAGATTAAGATCAAAAGCGTCCAGATCAAAAACAAAGCCAGCCAGCGCAGCCAGACCGGCAGGTCGGCAACTCGGTGGGGAATTGAAAAACCAAAAGCACGTCAGGTGCTCGCCCTTGGTTCTTCTGATTGCATTGATTCCCAACACAACAATGCGGGGCAATCTGTCTCTCACTGCTGTCATGCCACGACACGCACCACCACCACCCCACTTTGCACTTTGCACTTTGCACTTTGCACTTTGGATGTCATGGTCGTCTGTTCACTGATCAAGCGAAACTTTATTTCGTTTTTGGTTCTGTTCTCTTACATTTCCTCAAAAAACAGCACCGGTCCGATCGTCGACGTCAACTTTGTAAGCCACTTTGGTTTTTGTTTCTGTTTGAGGGGCAAAGAACACACAAACCCCAAACAACAAGCTAACCCAAAACCTCCCATTACGCTTGCACAACAACAGATGGGCTATGCGGCCCCGGCTCAGACTGGCCGCGGCTTGCACTTCCGCCAGTATGCGCGCACGCTCATTGTGCAAGACCCGACGACTGGAAAGCGCGTCATTTACGTGAGCGCTGATGCGTGCATGGCCACCCAGATTATGCGTCTGCAAGTGTCGCAAAAGCTCGCTGCTGTGCTGCCCGACTACGAGGAGGCCAGCTTGTGCATTTCGGGCATCCACACCCACTCGACCCCTGCCGGCTTCTTCCAGTACGTGCTCTTCCAAATCACCTCGCTGGGCTTTGTCAAGGAAACGCTCGATGCGTACGTTGACGGCATTGTTGCGTCGATCGTCCAGGCGCACGGCAACCTGCAGCCCGGCAACCTGTTTGTCAACCAGGGCGAGCTGGTCGGTGCCAACATCAACCGCAGCCCCTCGGCATACTTGAACAACCCCGCCGCCGAGCGCGCCAAGTACCAGTACGACACCGACACCAACATGGTCCTGCTGAAGGCTGTCGACGCCAACAACAACGACCTCGCCATGTTCAACTGGTTTGCCGTCCACTGCACCTCGATGAACAACACCAACCGTCTTGTCAGCGGCGACAACAAGGGCCACGCCTCGTACCTGTTCGAAAAGCAAATGAACGGCAAGGCGACGCTGCCTGGCAAGGGCAAGTTTGTGGCTGCCTTTGCCCAGACCAACTCTGGCGACGTCTCCCCCAACACTGCTGGCGCGTTCTGCATTTCTGGCAAGGACGCCGGCAAGCCCTGCGACTTTTACACCTCCCTGTGCGACGGCCGCAGCGAGCCGTGCGTCGGCTTTGGCCCTGGCAAGGACATGACGGACTCGACCCGCATCATTGCCGAAAAGCAGCTGGCCACCGCTCAGGCGCTCTACGCCAACGCCTCGACGCTGGTGCAAGGCGCCATCGACTACCGTCACGTGTACTTGGACATTACCAACCTCACCGTCAACTACAACAACCGCTCTGGCCAGACCTGCCCTCCCGCCATGGGCTACGCCTTTGCCGCCGGCACCACTGACGGCGCCGGTGCCTTCAACTTTTACCAGGGCGAAAACTCGTCCAACCCCTTCTGGAATGTGGTGAGCGGCTTCCTCTCCAAGCCGAGCTCGGAGCAGATTGCCTGCCACGCACCCAAGCCCATCCTGCTCAACACTGGCTACCTGAACAAGCCGTACGCGTGGCAAGCTTCAATTGTCGACCTGCAGATTCTGCGCGTCGGCCAGATTTTCATTGTTGCCATCCCCTCCGAGTTTACCACCATGGCTGGCCGTCGTCTCCGCGATGCCGTCAAGCAAGCGCTCATCGAAGAAGGCGCCATCGATCAAAACGGTGTTGTCCTCATCTCCGGTCTGAGCAACACTTATTCTGACTATGTCACTACCTTTGAAGAGTACCAAGTGCAGCGCTACGAGGTAAATGCCGTGCCAAATGTTGTTCAAGTGGCAAAAGTTGAAGTCGGGTCGGTGATGGTGGTGTCGGTCGTCCGCTCTCGGAATTTGATTCGTACGGCTTTGGTTGTTGCTCAACGACTGCAATTGCATCTTCTTTGTATGACAGGGTGGCAGCACAGCGTACGGCCCGCTGACACACGACGGATACCTGCAAGAGTTTACCAAGATTGCTCGCGCGATGGCTCGCAACCAGCCGCTGCCCCCAGGCCCCAACCCCCCGGACATGGACGACAGCGCCCAGTTCTCGTTCTTGCCGCCCGTGATTGAAGACGCCGTGCCGCTGGGCAAGAAGTTTGGCGATGTGGTGACTGAGCCTGCTGCTTCGTACAGCGTCGGCGCCTCGGTTCAGGCTGTCTTTTGGTCTGGCTGCCCTCGCAACGACCTGTACACCAACGAGTCGTACCTCACTGTCGAGCAACAGCAAGCCGATGGCTCCTTTGCCGTCGTGCTGACGGACGCTGACTGGGATACTGTTCTCGAGTGGAAGCGAACCTTCACCGAGAGCCCCGAGTCGCACGCCACGGTCGTCTGGAACATTGCTGCAGGCACCGCCCCCGGTGTCTACCGCATTCGCCATTTCGGCGCACACAAGAACATTCTCGAGCTGGGCAAGATTACCCGCTACTCGGGCACCTCGCGCACCTTTGTTGTGACTGCTTGAAATGCCCAATGCTGTTGACTGCATTCATTCCAGCCGCGGGGCTGTGTAGATCACAAAAAAATACAGCCACTTGATTTCGATCAACCCTTGTGCAAGCGTGGTGTTCGGACACGGGGTGGGTGTGGAAAGAGCAGTGCTGCATGGGAAGCGTTCGTCATCAGAGAACTACAGGGAGTGGTGGTGAAGTGCCTCGTGGCAAGGGGCTTTGTCAGCCGATAAGCAACGTTACAACGCACTGGTACAAGTCACTTTGCTGTTGTCTTTTTTGCTTGATGGCTTGCAAACAGAAACGGCAGAAACGCTTCAGTTGCTGTCTGGACAACCAGCGATGCTGATGCACGACGGACAGGATGAAGCGATTTTGCCATCCTCCTTCAATATTCCCTCCAGTATCGGGTGGGGAATCTTTTGTACACAGACAAACAACAAGAAAAAACAAAATCCTCCGCCAAAAAACACACCAAAAAAAAAAAAAGTCCCGCAATGTTTGTTTTTTCTTTTTCTCTTGTTCTTTTTTTCCGCGGGGTGAATGACTACTGATCTACTGATCTATTCTCAAGGGTGTGGTCGAATCTTCTTTGTGATCTATCGTTGATCAACGCGAAACATTGCCTCCAAGCCAAAACAAGCACGGCAGATCAAAAACCTCTCTCGCGACGATCTGTTGGGCTTGCGCAGTCGGCACAAGGTGCGCTTTCTCCCCCCCCCCAACTCATTCCAATTCGTGTCGTTGACTGTGCAAGAAATGCCAAAGAGGGTTTTGAGTACAGGGTCAGCCTGTTTGCTCGGGTGACGTTTGGGTGTTTTGGTCAAAGCTCAACAACCGGGTTGCGCGCCACGACAAGCAGTCCCGCTTCCCTTCTCCCGCCCAACTGTGATCCCGATGCCCCTTTGTGTCCATGCATGAAAGGGGTACACACTTCGATCCATCGAGAGTTGTGTTGCTCTTCCATGTGCGCACCCACACCCAAACAGCAACAGCAAACAGCAAACAACGCGAACAACAACCCCGACAAATCGATTTTTTTTTTTTATCTGCAATCGAAGGACGCAACATTCAGGAGCCCCCACCTCTGCAAAACCGTAGAAGTCAGGACGGTTTTCTTTGCCATTGTGTCTGATTGCATGTCTCCAGTCGCCTTCATACAAAGCGACACTTCCGCTCGGCTGACGAGTACGATTTCGCGGTCGAATAATTGATTTGGTTTTTTTGTTGTTTTGTTTCGTTTTTTTTCGTGTTGTTTTGATTTTCATTTTGTTTCGGAGTTTGGGGCCTTTTTTCCACTGCCGCGCGTTTGCCATCCTGACGACTCGCAGACTTGCGCACTCGCAGGCTTGACACAGCCACGGATGCGCAGTAGGCTGTGGAGGGCTTTGGAGGTAGACACATTGCCGAAACCTTGATTGGACAGCAACGCCGACTTTTTTTTTTATTTTTTTTTTGATGACGACGGTTGCGCCAGATCTCCGACTCCCGTTGATTGCACTTTAAATTTTCAAACAGCAGCAACAGCAACAACAAACAATAACTACAAACAATAACAACAATAAAATCACACACCTGCGGAAACATTGTATGCAAGTGATTCCAGCCGCAACAAGTAAATTTTCGGGTCGGACAGCCACAGTCACGGCTTTCGTGACGAGCATCGGGTGAGGTGTTCACCAACGTCGTCTCTCACATTTTTTTCTTACTTGATCCGTTTGACTCTCACTTGCCTTTCCGAGGCGATCAGATGTGAACGGAAGTTGAAAAATCACAATCAAAAACGAAAAAAAAAAAAAAAAAAAAAAAAAGCTGCTGGCTCGACTCATCGCGAGTAATTTAATGATCACACTTTCGCCTTCGGCTTTTTTGTCATTTTTTTGTTCAATGCTTGCAACTGCCCCGTGTCGCCTCTGCTGGTCCTTTTGCGGTGTGGCAATCGCTGTTCATCCACGTTGTTGGCGCCTCGTTTTTGCTCGCACCTTTTTCCGCTGCGGTCTCGCAGATCTCAAACAGCCGCTGGTTGTCCCAGAATGTTAATTGCTATTCCATTTTATTTATTATTATTTTATTATTATTATTATTATTATTTTTTATTTTTTTTTTTTTTACTATCGATCACGTCGCTTCCAAAACAGTGCCTCATTTTTTCGTATTTCACTTTTTCTATTTCTTTTTAGAAACCAAAAAACAAGCCAGTCTTCCATTTTTTTATTATTATTTTTTTTTTGTATATTCATCATGACACACGAGATCACAGCACCTGTACTCAGCAAAGCCAGCGTCGGGGATAAGCGTCGCGAGGCCCGGCGGCGCAATCACGCCAAGTACAACGCCAAGCGATACGCCATGTTCTCGCACCTCGACATCCACAAGCCGGCCGTTGCCAAGCTGAACGAGCTCAAAGCCTCGCACGGATTGAGCTCGGTCAGCGAGGTCATCTGGCGGCTCATTCAGGTGGCCGAGAGTGACGCTGGTCAATCGTTTGCACGGTGAGTAGTTTTTTTTTTTTTTTTTTGCTAATTTGGCATCATGCTTTGCAAGCCCGTTTTATCCCCCCCGCCGTTTTTTTTCTCTCCGCCCCTTTCGCCACCTCCTCGTGACACACGCCACCTGTTGGAAATGCTGTACACAAAAAGAAAGGAAAGGGGGCTGCAACACTTGCGAGGGTATCAACGCGAAGGGAGAATTATTTTCATTTTGGGGCGTTTTCGTTTATTGTTCCGATGGAGGCAAAAAAAAAAAAAAAAAAAAAAAAAAGCGAACCCAGTTGTCCCGGAATGTCACATTGCTTTGCTTTGGACCTCATTTCGCGCTTCTTGTGGGCACACGCAGTCAAACTGGTCTCCACGCGTCTGCCACCCTTTCCCCTTCTCTCTCTCGTCTCTCTCCTTCCCTCCCCACCCCTCGGCTCCCTCCGTGCATCCATCGAGCACGAGCACATGACGAAGGTCTTTCCATTTTTTTTCTGTTTTTTCCACAACCGGGCAAAACCGGGTGAAAGCCGATAAAAAAAAAAAAAACCTCATCATTTTCAATGAGGAATCAGCTTCTCCCCCTGCTTAATTAGAGCAGTTGCGTCTTCGTCCCGCCGCCGTCTTTTTTTTTTTTCTTTTTTTTTTTCTAATAATCGTTTCGGCCCCTCCTCCTTCTTTTTCGGTTGTGCGGTTTTCAAGAGCTGTCGAGGACACACAATGCTGTTGAGATGCACAAACCCCCTTATCATGGTCCTCAACAATCTCGCCTCAACAATCTTGTGCAAAACGCCGCCACCTCCGCTTTTTTTTTTTTTTTGTTCCTTCTGTTCGGGTGTTGGTGCAAAAAAATGTGTCGACATGGCTTCTTTTGTGATTCTACCCCCGTTTTGAGTTCTGCTGCTCTTGCGCACTGGGGTTGCCATGCGGAAACGCGGTTGATCTTTGTTGGGGCAAGGTTGCTTTTGTTTGTTGGCAACTCTGCGAAAAATGTTAAAAATGTAAAACAACAAAAAACAAAAAGCTGAAAAGGTGATCTCGGTTGAGATTCGACCAAGTGGTGTCGCGCAGTATCAACACGTTGCTTGGGTGGGGGCAACTCTTGATCCATAGACACCTGGGGCATGGCCAAGCACCTCACAACTCGCAGTGAGACCGCAAAATGCACAAACCTCATGTTTATTATTTCTTTTCTTTGCGCAACCGATCGTGTCGTCAACAACCGCTGTTTCATACGGGAGGCTTGCCCGTTCTCTCGCCTTCCTCCCACCCCATCCATGTCATTCCACGTTCTGCCCTTTCCCCCCTTCCTAAGTCTCTTGTTGGCGTGCACTGCACCGTCCGCCTTTTGAGCAAGGAAGGTGGAATACGCAACGTGATGGCAAGATTTTACATTTTTATTTTTATTATTTTTTATTTATTATTTATTATTTTTATCTTTTGGCAATCAAGCATATCGCGCCACAATGACGCCTCGCAGCTGACACACACATACAAACACCACACGATGATCACGCGGCGACGATGCTTTTGCCTCGTTCTCCCACTGCACACGCGGCCCATACGCTGCGTGGCTTTGTGTTTCTCATCCTGGGGATTTCCAGCATTTGATTTGTGGGCGGAGATTGATTTGTTGTCAATCACAATTCGATTTTTCAAAAAAAAAAAAAAAAAAGTTCCGTTGACTTTTTTTCATTCTATCGCTCATTTGGCGCTATCTCGACGGAGTGCCATATCATTTGAGGGGTGGTGTGATAGTGCTGCATTTGAGTGTTCTACGCTCTTTTGCTTCATCCCCTTTGTGATGCGAGCTTTGCTTTATTTTCGACTTTTTATTTTTTGACCACATCAGCGCGAACAAAGGCTCGTTAATTGAGTTGTTCCGTTTTATTCTATTTACCTTTGGTATCGCCGCCCCCTATTTTTGCAATGATTGTCGACGCGAACAATGCGCGAAAGGCATGTTTTACGAGTCTTTTGTCTTTTTTTTTTTTTTTTTTTTTTCCCTCTCGATTACGAGCCTTATCGACAAAAGCAAACAAAGCAAACAATCAAAAAATGCTGTCGTGAACAACGTATTGCAAGTCGAGGGTTCGGTTTCCCCATACTTTAATACTTTGTGGCGTCATTTTGGCGCAAATTGAACGGAAAATTGGAGAATTCGTTTTTTGATTATTTATACAGCAAACGTGCTTTTTCGCGATTTTAGCGTCATTTTCGAGTGTTTTCGTTTTTCGTTTTCGGCGACGCCAAACAAAGGGCGTGGTTGTGTGTGTGTTTTAATTTTGTTTATTTATTTTTAGCACTCGGTGGTTGATGCGGCACCTCATTATCTCCACAAACAAACAAAAACACGCGTGCTGCTGTTTTGACTTTGCGCTCACCCAACAACAACAACAACCTTCTTGTTTTTTTTGTGTAACGACAGAGCCTGCACAACCCCGCTGGCAGAGCTGACTGGCTCGGACGCCCAGCCACCTGCGCAGGACCCCGCCCACCACAACACGCTGACACTGACCGGAATGCGCGTCCGACGCATTTCGTCCACGTCGTCGTCTGTTTCGCCGTTTGTCGGCTCGCCCAGCCTCGGCCAGCAGTCCATGATGGCCGTGCTGAGCCCTGCTCCCCGCACGCTCTCGCCCGCGATGGTGCCAATTGCGGCCGTCCCGCCGTCGCCCCCGGCGTCGGACATTAGCCGTCTCAGCGACGACGACGAAGCCAAGCACTCGCCCGCCCTCCCCATTGCCAAGGTCGACCACAACGACGACGAGGATGACGATGACGACGATGAAGACGCGACGGACGACGAGGGCGAGGGCTTTGCCGCTGCTTCCCAGCTCGCTTCGCTCGAGTTCCAAATTGCCCATCGCTTGCAACAAAAGCAGAACGACGCTGCACGACCACAGTCACCACCGCAGCAACTGCAGCAACTGCAGCTGCAGCAGCAGCAGCTTCAACAGCTTCAACTGCAAGCCGTTCAGCCCAACCCGGCTCTCTCGCCCGTCCTCCAGGCCACTGCCATCCCCGCGCAGCAATCACAATCACAACAACAACAACAGCCACAGCAACAGATGCGCCCCGTCCAGATCCAACTACAGCCTCAACAATTGCAGCAACATCAGCTCCAGCAACTGCAGCAGCAGCAACAACACATGCAGCCGCAGTTCCTTGCACAGCAACACCAACTCGTGCAAATGCAGCCGCAGCAAATGCAGCAACTCATGCAGCCGCAAATTGTGTTCATGTCGCAGCCCATGCCGCACATGCAACTGGCCCAAATGCAGCCATCACCAGTCTTCCCGACCATGATGATGCAGCCAATCCAACTCGTTCAGCAGCGTCAGCTCGCATAACGCTGTGGTACTTGTTCTACCCGTTTTTTGCTTTTTATGAAAAGCATTCTATTTTGTTTCAAGGGTCGAATCTGGACGTCCTTGTGTTTGTAATTCTGCTCCCCCCCCCCCACAATCATTTTATCCGCGTACATATTACTTCTGTTTTGCCATTTTCCTTTGTGTACTTTCTCTTTGCAAAGTATTTAGAAATTCTGCAAATACAACTTTACTAGTCAACCATGAGCATGTCAGTTTGGAAGAATGAGGTTGCAAATGCGGAAGGGCCTTGTTCAAGTCGATGCAAGTCGCCCGTGGGCCCTGTGACGAAGCTATATTATAGAATAGTGGGCACTGTTTCTTTTGGAGTTGTCAAGATAAGCGACAAACGCAAACGCAAACGCAGCGCCTCCGAGTTTTTGAGTTTTCAGGAAAATGGTGATGCTTGGCAAATCGCAAACCGCCTGTGAGCAGCCTACAGCCACCAAAGCAAGAGTTTGCACAATGAACGCAACATGTGTATTTACTTTCCCGACGCAACCCACCAAGATTCCGAGATGACCATCCTCGGCGATTCACAATCAGGCCAAATAAAATTACCATCCCAGCCGCTCTCGCCCACTGTATCTCGCCCACCGTCTCTCTTTCAATCTCGCTCACTGCCTCTCGCTTGTCTCGTGCAATAACCTCCACGGTGAACAAATCCAAGATGCTCAGTCTTACTTTGTTCTTTCTGCTTTCTGCTTTCTTCTTTCTTTTTCTTTTCTTCTTCTTCTTCTTTCTCGCTTGCAGGCATCATGAGCAGCGCCGCGAATCCGAGCGTGGAGCCCGTTGCTCGGTACTACACGACCAAGCACAGCTGGCGTGGCAAGTACAAGCGCATGATGGCGATCGGCCTCAAGGGCATCCAGACCATCAACCCGACGAGCTGGGAAGTCACCAACACTTGGCCCTACGGCGAGGACGTCACCGACATTATGCCGTCCTCCAAGACCCCCAACGAGTTTACTCTCGCCACCAACAAGGGTCAGTTTCCTGCCTCCCCCCGTCCACCCGCGCTTTCCGTCCTTCAACACACCGGCTAATAGTCAATCCAGCCAAACAGAAAAAAAAAAAAAAAAAAATAGTCACAGGTTGAATTGATTTTTTTTTTTTTTTGGTTCGTATCGGCGGTGATGCAGCGCTCGCTGTTTTGAGGGAGAGAGTGTGTGTGTTCATGTGTCAATGTACGCCGTTCCGCGCGTTGTTCGTGCTGCGCATCGCAGTCGTCATCGTCGCTTTGGCGCTGCAATCGCTGCTGCAATGCGTGATCGCAGGAAGATTTGGGCTTTTTTTTTTTTTTTTTTTTTTGGCCAATTTCCCCAATTTTCCCCTTCTCCTTTCAACGCTTCAGCTCGAACGTCCCGACAGCACAACCGTTTGCGCATGCATCACCAGCGACTTTGGCATGCTATCGACACTGCCTCGGCAGCGAGATGCATCGCAGAACCCGACGGAGCACAGCCGGCGATTGCGTCCAAAAAGTCATTTTTCACAGATCTTTTTTTTTTCCTTTTTTTTTTTTTTTTTTTTTTTTTTCACTGAAGCGATGGTGACCAAAGTGCCGTTTTGTTTTCCAATTCTCAGACCATCATCCACAAAAGACCAAACCTTCGTTCCACTTTTGACTAACTACGCACTTTTTTTTGTGTGTGTCATCTTTTGTTTTTTTGAAAACACATCCCCCTCTACCAACAGGCAAAAAGAACTTGACATTCTCGTGCGAAAATCGCGTCGATCTGCTCACAGATGCGAATCTGCACCGACCGTCGTTTGGCGGGAGTGCGACAAAAAAGAAGGGCGCGCAGGTGTACGGCATTCCATACCGCGCGAGAAAGGCGCACTGGAGCGAGCAGCGCATCGAGACGCTGCTGTGCGTTGGACCAGCTGGCCTGGCCCAGCTCGATCCGCGGAACGAGCAGCTGCTCTGCATCTACCTCTACAAGGACATTGAGGCCATCATCCCAGTGTCGGACTACCCCGGTGGCTTTGCCATCCAATACAACGGCTTTAGCCGCCTGCACGTATTTGCCGTCGAAAAGCGCGACGATCTGTTCAAGTCGCTCTCCGAGCATGCCAACACGTACATTGGCCTCGTTTTGCGGGCCAGCAAGGACAAGACCATCACCATGAACGACTTTACGCTCAAGCGTCTGGGCCGTTTTGGCGACGACGAGTCCATCACGTCAATGGCCGAATTTATCGTGCAAAAGGAGACGCCTCGGCACCAAGACCCCATCGGTCGCATTCTGTGCTTGACCGAGCGCTGTCTGCTCGAGCGTGATCCCGGAACGTACAACATTGTGACGCTGCGCTCGCTGCTCGACGTTTTCGCCCTCATTCGCCACCAGGAAGACATTCAGCGTTTCACCGTCGAGTACAAGAACGGCGATCGTCGCTCGTACATTTCCACCGAGCGCGACTCGCTCCTGGCCACCGTGCTTGACGGCGTTCGCGCCTGTGGCAACCGCGATGCCTACATTCGTCTCGTGCCCACCTCGCGCCCAACGCGTGTTGGCTCCCTGTACATTCCCGTCGAAGAGAATGTCGAGACGGTGTACTTGCGGCTGATTGCACAGCACGAGTCGGTTGGCAGCGGCATGTCGTTTGCCGACGCCATTGTTGCGTTCAACACGAACGTTGACTATTCTGGTCTGCATCATGCCGAGACCAAGGACCAGCTCTTTGCCGTCAACAAGGAGCAGCTCATCACTGCGGCCATGACGGCACTCCTCAGCTACACGTTTGACGAGCGTGCTCGTGCCTCCTCCAGCATTGGTGGCTCTGGCAGCTCGGCCATTGTGCCCTCGTCTGGTGCTTCCACTCCGTCTCCGGCTCCCTCTGCTGCGGACACCCAGCCCACGTCCTCGGCTCTGGCTGTCGCCGGCACCGTCCAGTCTGCTTCGGCGCTCGTCCAGCAAGCGATTGGCACGTCCCGCGCTGCCGCTGCCGTCGCGTCAGAAACCTTCCTCGCTCTCCGTCGCCTGTTTGCCTCCAAGGCAGGCTTTGAGGCGTTCACACAGGTGCCCTCCTTCCGCGAGAAGGTCGGTCGCCGCGTGGTCGAGGCCCTGCGCAGCCACGACGAGGGCGTTCAGTACGCCGCCATCGACATGCTGAGCGCGCTGATGCAGCCCATGCACGACAACTATGATCTTGGCATGGAGCAGACCAACAAGGGCGCGCTCTTGACTTCCAAGGACTTTTGCGGCCGTCTTGCCGATCTGCTCGGCCGTCACGCCATCGCCGGCACCGGCGCCCTTGTCGTCTGCTCTCTGCTCGACTTTTTCACCTTTGCCTTGTGCGCCCCGTACTCGGAAACGACGGACGCCGAGCAGTTTGACCGCACGCTCGAGCTCATTGCCGGCCTCGGCCGCCGTCTCTTCAAGCTCTTCCTCCACCCTTCGATGGCCATTGTCAAGGGTGCCGGCATGGTCATGAAGGCCATCATCGAGGAGGGCACGCCCGAAATCTCGGCCAAGATGCAGCAACTTGCGCTGGCAGAGTGCTCCCTGCTCAAGCACCTGCACACCTCCATGTTCACCACCTCGCTCGACACCCGTCTTCTCGCCCATCGCGAGCTGAGCCGCAACCTTGTCGGCCTGTGGACGGCCGAGAACGAAGACGCCAAGCTCCTGGTCAAGCGCATGCTCCCGGCCGGCTTGCTCACCTACCTCGACTCAAAGGATCCCCCGCCAAAGGAGGAGATTGTCAAGCTCCAGGTCAAGGACAACCTCAAATCCGCCCAGAGCCTCATGAAGGCTCCCTCCGAACTCCAGGTTCTCCTTCGCCACTGGCGCACGCGCATCGGCATTGCAGCCAAGCCCGAAACGCAGCAAAAGCCCATCGTGCTGCGTCGTCGCCGCCAGCATGTCAAGGTGCAGCGCAACTGGCCCCTCCTCTACTACCAACTCAAGCAGGACCATTCGCGTCCGGATCTCATTTGGAACCACAAGACGCGCGAAGAGCTGCGCGAGGCTTGCGAGGCCGAGCTCCGCGCCTTCAACATTGACAAGGATCTCGGCGGCCTCCAGGTCGTGTCGTGGAACTTTATCGAGTTTGAGGTCCGCTACGAGTCGCTCAACGACGAGCTCAAGATTGGCGACCACTATGTTCGCCTGCTTCTCGAACAGGGCACCAATGGCAAGGTGGATATTCACGATCCGCCAATCTTCTTTAACGATCTCTACCACCGTTTCCTGCTCGCCACCACCCTCAACATGAAGGTCCTCTGCCTCCAAGCGCTCGCCATCGTGTACAACCAGTGCTCGGAGGAAATTGGCACCTTCAACGATACTCCCTACATTGTCGGCATGCTCCAGAGTGCCACCTCCCGCCACGAGCGCGATCGACTGGTCGTCTTCCTCGAAAAGCTGCTCCGCGTCAAGACCAATGTCAAGCTCTTCCTCGACGTCAACGGCGTGCGCAGCCTGGTCGATCTGCTGACCCTGTGCCACCTTCACACCGAGCGCGCCGTGACGCCGCTTCAGTCGAACGTGCTCGAGTCTGGCAGCGACATGCAACGTGACAGCGAGAAGGAGTGGTACTATTCGCTCTCGGTCGCCTCCGCCACGGCTGCGAGCGACGATCGCCAGGGACCGTTTGGCTTTGACGAGCTCCGCGAAAAGTACAAGACCAACGTCATCACCAACACGACTCGCTGCTGGGCCCAGGGCATGGACGGCTGGCGCAAGCTGCAGGACATTTCACAGCTCAAGTGGATGCTCGTCTACACCGAGCCCGGTGCGTTCAACGAGACCCAACTGGCTGTCCACATTCTCAACATTCTCAACCGTATCTGCGAGTTTTACCCTTCGCGCGACGAGGACGGCGCCATCATTCGCCCCCTCCCCCGCGCCAAGCGCCTCCTTTCCGAACCCTCCTGCCTGCCCCACATTGTCAACGTCTTGCTCACCTTCGATCCCACCTTGGTCGAAAAAGTCGCGCTGCTGCTCAACAGCATCATGGCGGACAACCCTGTCATGCCCAAGCTCTACCTCACCGGCGCCTTCTTCTTTGCCCTCATGTACACTGGTTCGAACGTTTTGCCCATTTCCCGTTTCCTGGCCGACTACCACACCAAGCAGGCCTTCCGTCCCGAGGATGGCTCTGGCACACACGAAATCACCCGTCGCTCCATTCTCGGCACGACCCTCCCCGAGGCCATGGTGTGCTTCCTTGAAAACCACGGCGCTGAAAAGTTCTCTGAAATCTTCCTCGGCGAGTTTGACACGCCCGAAACGATCTGGAACGCCGAGATGCGCCGCTTGATGATTGAAAAGATTGCCCTCCACTTGGCCGAGTTCTCGCCTCGTCTCATGAGCAACACGCGCGCCCTCTACCAGTACGCCCCGACCCCTGCCATCCAGTTCCCCCAACTCGAGAACGAGCTCTTCTGCAACGTCTACTACCTGCGCCACCTCTGCGACCTTGGTCGCTTCGACAACTGGCCCATCGGCACGCCGATCGAACTCCTCAAGGACTGTCTCGACGCGTGGCGCCTCGAGGTCGACAAGAAGCCGCCCACCATCACTGCCGACGACGCGCTTTCCGTGCTTGGTCTTGATCCCACCAAGCCCATCGATGACAACCAAGTCCGCAAGTCCTACTTCCGCCTTGCCGCCAAGTACCACCCCGACAAAAACCCCGAAGGTCGCGAAATGTTTGAAAAGGTCCTCAAGGCCTACGAGTTCCTCGGCACCAAGGCTGCTCGCGTCAACGGCCCCGACCCAGCGCGCATTTCCCTCCTCCTCCAGGCACAGTCCATCATTTTCCATCGCTACGCCGACATTGTTCGCCCCTACAAGTATGCTGGCTATCCCCTGCTCATCCGCACCATCGATCTCGAGATTACCGACGACGCCCTCTTCAGCAAGTCCAACGTCCTCCTGCCCCACGCCGCCGAGCTCGCCTTCCACACCATCAACGTGTCTGCCCTCAACACGGAAGAGCTCCGTCGCGAAGGTGGCCTCGACACGCTGGCCCAGGCCCTCTCGCGCTGTGTCAGCATGGTTCAGCCCAGCACCAGCCCGAAGGAAATGCCAGTGCAAGTGTGCCGCAACGTCATCCGCTGCTTCTCGTCGGCCGCAACCTTTGAGCAGTCGCGCGAGCGCTTGCGGGCCATCCCCACCGTTGTTCCCGATGTCTGCCGCTGCCTGTACTTTAAGGGCGCTCCTCTGCTCACCCTGGCTGCCATCGAGTGCGTGAGCCAGCTCGCCCTCGATGCCACCATTCAAAACCAGCTGTTGGATGTGGGCGGTGCGCTCTGGCATCTGCTCTCGTTCATTTTCAACTACGATTTTACCTTGGACGAGTCTGGCGTCCAGGCGTCTGCCGAGTCCAATCAGCAGGAGGTTGCCAACACGCTTGCCAAGTCCTCTGTGCGCGCGCTCGCGCGACTGGGTGGATACACCCATGGCGAGAACGCCACCCCGCGCAACCCTCGCGTCCAGGCGGCGCTGTCCACCCTCATCACGGCCCCGCTCGCGCGCAAGATGGGCAAGGACGAGGTGCCCCTGGAAGTGCTCAAGGCGCTCACCAGCAACTCGGAGACGGCCTACTTTATCTGGAACAATGGCACTCGCGCGGAACTGATGGACTTTGTCGAGCGCCAGGCTCAATCTGTCGTCAAAACGGGCGACCACGATCGCACTCTGGGCGCCTCGTTTGTGTTTTCCGACTTGCGCGACGAGCTCAAGGTTGGCGACGTCTACCTTCGTGTTTACATTGCGCAACCGACCACCGTCCTCGAAGATACGACCGCCTTCATGAAGGAGTTGCTTGGCTTCCTGGCGCACCGTCGTGTACTGATTGGCACCCCGGCGCCCGGCGCCCCGCCACAGTTGGACGAGCACGGCAACCCGCGACCCGCGCTGGATCCTGCCATGCAAAAGACCATTCTCAACCACTGCCGTCTTGCGCTTGACGCGATGCGCGTGTGCATTGTCAACAACCAGGGTGCCGAGAAGCAGACGCTCGCGCATTACGATCTCTTGTTCAGCTTCTTCCGTCTGGTCGAAGATCCCGAGGTGCAGCGTGCTGCCCTGTTGCTGGTGGGTGCGATTGTCGCCAACAAGGATTGCGTCACTGCCATCTCCGAGGCGAACGTGCTTGTCGACCTCGTCCTGCTCTTCGAGTTCCTCCCCGGCTGCCACGAGTCCATTCTCACCACGCTGCACGCCCTGGCGTCCAAGCCCAAGATTGTTGCCGACTGCATCACACGCTGCGTGGTCATTCACTTGCTGCACATCTTTAGCTCCTCCAAGCGCGGCTCGGCTCGCGAGGAGGCCGCCAGCGTGATTGTCAAGCTCGTGTCAGACAAGTTGCACGGCCCCAAGGTCGCCATCATCATCTCCAAGTTCATCCCGGCCATTTTCGTTGAAGCCATGCGTGAAAGCGTCGAGACGGCCATCCACATGTTTGAGGGCGTGCACGAAAACCCCGAGCTCATTTGGAATGACGATGCCCGAAACAAGGTCAAGCAATTCCTCGTCACCACCAAGGCCGAAATTGTGGCAGAGCAGCTTGCCAACCGCGACTACACTTGGCGTCTTCCCGACGACTTTGAGGTTGTGTACTCGGAGCTGCAAGGCGAGCTGCTTGTCGGCGGCGTCTATCTCCGCCTCTTCCTCAAGCAGCCATCGTGGGCGCTCCGCAACCCGCGCCAGTTCCTGGTCTCGCTGTTTGACAAGTTCATCCAGTACTCGACTCGCGGCGGCGCCAGCACGGGTTCGGTCGAGCAATCCATGCTCGACATGCTGTCGCAGTCGATCGTCTACCTGCTCAAGGCCCAGCCCATGCTGTTGGACCAGGTTGCTGCGGCTGGTCATGTGCCCAAGATTGTCCTGTTGCTCGAGTCCGAGTCGTCAATGGTCGCCAAGGCGGCTGTCGATGTCATCCACGGGCTCGCCGACGGCCAATCGTGCTGCGACGCCCTCGCGCAAGCGCACGTGCTCAAGGGCCTCATGAAGGTCATGCAACGACTTCGCACATTGTCGGGCATGGGCTGCGAGAGCGTCAAGAAGCTGATTGAGCACAACAACTGCGAGCGCTCGTGCCTCGTCGTGCAGGCCATCCAAATGGATTTGGTCGGCTTCTTGCTCACCCTTCTCGGCCCTGGCTTGGAAAACATTGAAGCCGCAGCAGCCATCAAGGCTCAGGTGGTCAAAGCGCTCAAGCAGATGACCACCGACATTACCCACGGCGCCGATGTGGAGCAGCTGCTGGCCAAGTCCGAAATCTGGAACGCGTTCAAGGACCAAAAGCACGACCTGTTCATCACCAACACCACCGTTGCTGGCTATCTCACCGGGCCAGTCACCTCCGTGAAGGGCTACCTCACCGCCGGCCCAGCCAACCCGACCGGCCCACCGCCCACGGACCACGAGTAACGTGTCACTGTTCCGGCACGCTGCTTACAATTTTTCTTTCCTCCCTTTGTTTGTGAACATTCTCTTTTTTTTTTTTTTTTTTTTTTTTTTTTTAACTGTTGACCGATTTGTGATTTTGGCACGTTGGTTTCTTTGTTTGTTGTTTGTGCATTGTTTGATGTCAAATGTAAAAGTGGCTTCAATACAATTGTTTGTCCCCCCCCCCCGTTATTGATAAATTGTCCTTCCGTCTCTCCTTCATTGTCAAAAATAATGTCTGCAAAGCAGTATGTTGTGAATGGATGTGATTAAACAATATATTTTCAAAGTTCAAGGGAGATTCAAAGCCGACATTTGTTTTTTAGAAGGTTTCGTCCTCGTTCGTGCACTCTTGCGCCGTATGGCCAAAGCCTGGTTGTCAAAAATGAAGAGAACAAGAACAAACGAAACAAGACACAAAACGTCCATTGGGTCAGTTCATCTCAGAAATCAAACACTTTCATCCTTCCATTCCCGCCCAAATCCTCAAATGCACTTACTTCCACACGTGTCGCAATAGGGTCGCTCCGCGGCAGGGGCCGCCTTGACGGCAACGGGTTCGGGGTGGCGGTTTGTGTTGTCGGGGCAGTCATCGGTGTTGTGCAAATCAAACTCGTCACAAATCACGCAGAACATGCGAGACGAGACGACCGCGCTGCCACTGTTGCCGTTGCTCTTGGCCTCGATCAAGAGCAAGGGGTTGTCGATAAAGAGCTGGTCGTACTCGTGCTTGAGATCGGTGTACTTTTTCTCCATCTCGTCAAACTTGGCTTGCTGGTTGGCGATAACGCCGTTCAGGAAGGTGACGTCTGCCCCGCCCGCTTGCGCCGGCTTTGAGCCGTCAGTTCCCTGCGACTGAGCAACCTTCAGTTGCTCCAAGAGGGCCTGCTCGCGCTGCTTTGCGGCAGCGACGTCGTTCTTGGCCGCGGTGAGATCGCGCTGGGCCGACTCCAATTTGGTCTCGACATCGTGCTGCTTGCGCACGGCAGAATCAAGTTCATTCTGGAGACCAGAGAGCAGGCCAGAGCGTTGGCGCTCGGCGGTCGCCTGCAACTCGAGCTTGTCAGCCTCGAACTGCGCCTTGGCCTCGGCCACCTGCCGCGCCGAAGTGGCGTTGATGGCAGCGAGCTGGGCGGTCAATTCGTCCTTTTCCGTGCCAAGCGTGTCGACTTGCGCGTTCAGCTCGCGCATGTCCTCTTGCATCTGGGTGATGCTAGCGGCAGCCGTGCGCTCGTGCTCGGCCAGTGCTGCCTTGAGCTCGTTCTGGGCTGCCGCGAGCAAATCTTCCAACTTGCTCACCTCGCGCGCCTTCTCTGTGCGAGATGCTTGCAGGTCTGTCTGCAAAGCATCCCGTTCGGCCACCAGAGCCACGCGCTGCGACTCGGCGCTTTGGGTCTGCTGCTCGAGCGCTGCGGTGGCTGTTGCCAGCTGTTGTCCCAGCGTCTTGCGAAGCTGCTCGGATTCTTCCTGGAAGTGCTCCTGCGCGGTTTGCGCAACTTGCAGCTTGGTTGTCAGTTCAGCCATGCGTTCCGCGTGCTGCTGCGACGCGGTGCCTGCAGAGGCCTGCGCCTGGGTCGTGACCTCTTCGAGGCGCGACCGCTCGGTGGCCAGCTGGGTCTCGAGCGACTGCTTGTCCTGCGCCAATTCCAAAAGCTGCTTGTCCTTGACCTCAAGTTGCTGGGTGGCAGTCAGCGCTGCAGCCTGCAGCTGACGAGCTTGAATGCTCGCCTTCTCGCGAGCAGCAAAGTCCGCCTGCTGCGCGGCTTCAAGGGACTCGCGCAGGGCGGCATCCGTCTTGCTAGCGTCAGCCAAGCTGGCAGACAGCTTGGCAATCTCTGCGGCGCTGGACTCGCGCACCTGCTGCAGCGTTGCGGCGGCTTGCTTTTCAGAGTCTGCGAGTGCCTGTTGATGCGCCACGCCGGCTTGCTCCAGACGTTCGTGAGCAGCCTTCAGTTGCTGGTTGGCGTCCGCAGTCTGAGTGGTATTTGCAGACAGGTCTCGCTGCAGTTCCTCGATGCGCGCAGTGAGTTCGGCGATTTGAGACGAGCTGCTGGATGCAGTGGAAGCACCCTTCTGTCGCTCGCGGTCAAACTCGTCACGGATTGCAGCAAGCTGAGCCTCGCTGGCAGAGTGCGCAGCGCGGGCGGTCTCGCAAGCAGTCGTTGCGTCCACGCGCGCCTGCTCAACCGAGGCGTGTGCAGCCAGAGCCGCTTGCAGCTGTTGTTCATAGCGCTCAGTCGTCTCGGTGTGCTTTTGAGATAGCTGTTTGTGGTCGTCTTCTTGACTGGCAAGTTTCGCAGAGAACTCATCGCAGGTGCGTTGACGCGCGGCCAGCTCCTGCTCAAGCGCCTCCTTTTCACGCACGACAGCCGACGCTTGCTCTGCTGCCGCCGAGAGTGCCAATCCTGCATCTCCATGCGCAATGCGCAAGGTGGCCACCTCCGCCTTGAGTTGCTCGCTCTCTGACAGAGCAGCTTGGAGCGTAGCCGCCGTGGTCTGCTGCTCCGTGGCCGTCGCTGTGAGCTTGGACTGGGTATCGGCAAGAGCGGTTTGTGCCGTGGTCGCCTCTTGACGCGCGGCATCCCGCTGCGTCTGAGCCTCGTGAAGCGCCTCTTGCAGCTTGCTGAGGGTGTTCTGAAGCTGTGAATGGTCGCCCGAGACGGCGGCACGATCAGCCTCCAGTCGATCGACATTGGCCAGTGCCTTGTCCAGCTTTTCCGACAGGGCCTTGAGTTCAGCGACCAGGTCCTGTTTGGCCTGCTCGGAAGTAGTCAGCGCCACCTTGAGCTGCTCTTGATCGCGTTGCGCTTGCTCGAGTTGACCGCCCAACGATGCCTGCAGGGCGGCCAGCTGGGCAGTGGACGCTTGCGAAGCTTGGCTGCTCTCGCTCTGATGCACCTTGGCCGCTTCGGACAGTTCGGCCAGCTGGGTCTGGAGCGCAGCAGAGTCAGTAGAGCTCTTGTCCAGTTGCGCCTTGAGTGTTGCAATGGTAGTCGCGGCTTCTTGAGCAGACGCTTCCGCTGCGGCGCGCGCGGCAGTGCTGGCAGCAAGCTCGTCCGATCGGGCACGTTCGAGCTGCTGTACTTGATCCGCCAACGAAGTCGAGGTCGCGGACAGCGAGGCACTTTTGGCATGGGCATCGCGCAATTCCGCCTGAAGCGTGGCAAGAGTGCCATCCCGCTCGGCAAGTTGCTCCCGCATTTTCTCAACCATGCCGGAAGCGTCGCCGGTCTGGCGCGACATGTCATCCTTCTCGCGATGAAGCGTGGCAATTTGCTCACCGAGACGAGCAACTTCCTCGTTGTGGCGGGTGGTTTCTGCTTGGAAGAGCTGGCTTGCTTCTTTGACAGAACGGTCCATCTGCTCGTGCAGCTGTTGGACTTCCGCACCGTGCGATACGCTTGTCTGTTCAGCACGAGCGACTGCTGCAGCGAGCGCGGTCTCACTCGTTGTCAAGTGCTCACGAAGTTGCTCCAGCTCGCTAGCGGTAGAAGCAGCCTGCTCGGCCGCCTTGGCGGCTTGCTGAGCGAGAGCAGCTTGATGTTGCTCCTGCGCGCTGGCGGCATCGGCCTGCGCTTGGTCGAGGGCCGTTTGGAGCGAAGTCGTCTTGAGCTCCAGCGCCGCAGACGCCTCTTGCGCTGCTTGCTGAGCCTGTGCCAGGGCCGAAGCGGCGCTGGTGCGTTCGGCAGCCAACGTTGCCGTCGCCTCGGCGAGTTGCTTGTCAGCGATGCCCTTGGCAGCGGCAACTGCTTGCGCCTCCATCAGCTGGTCATCAAGCTGGGTTTGGAGAGCATCGAGTTGAGATTGGAGCGCGTCATGCTTGGTTTGCAGGTCATCGCGCTCGGAACGCAAGGTGTCGGCTGCTTGGGCTGCCGAGGTGCCGTTGACGGTCAAAAAGTCCTTTTCATCCTCCAGCACACGAATGCGATCCTGCAGCTGCTTTTCAACGCCAGCAGCCTGCTCTTTCTGCTCTGCAAGTGCCGCAGAAAGCGAGTCGTCACCGGCTTGGGCAGCATCTCGCTTGGCGTCGGCCACCGCGGTTGCGAGGACTGTCGCAGCTTCAGCTTTGGCAGCCTCGAGCTCGGCTTGCCAATGGGCATCCTTCTCCGCAGCAAGACGCTGCAGCCGATGGTCGGCCTCTTCGCGAGCGAGGTTGACATTGGTTTCGAGCTCTTCGGTGAGCGAGGCAATGGTGGCGTTCTTTGCATGAAGCTCTTCGCTGGCGTGGGTGCGCTCGGTGTGAAGATGCTGCACAGTCTTTTCGTGCGTTGCTTTGAGGGCGGCAAGCTCACTGGATGCCTCAGCTTGCTGTGTCTGCAAATCGGCTTGGAGAGCAGCGACTTGAGCGGTCAGCTTCTGCGTTGCGTCGATCGATGCAGCCTCTTTGCCTTGCAGCTCGCTCAACTCTGCCTTCAGCTGCGCAAGCTCTGCGTCTTTTTGAACGTCAGACTGCTGCAGAGCAGCAAGCGAAGCATCCGCGGCGGCAAGCTTCTCTTCCGCCGCTGCGAGCTTTGCCGTCACTGCCGCCTCGGCCTCAGAGCGCACACGCAGCTGTTCATTCAGAGCGTCCTCCTTGGCGGCAGTAGCCGAGCCTTGGTCCGACAAGGAAGCCTGCTGCGAGGCAATAGTCGACTCCTTCTCGGCGATACTGGCGGCCAGCTTGGCAATTTCAGCGTCCTTGGCTTCAAGAGCAGCTGTCGTCGCGGCATCTTTGCTGGCGGTCGTGGCTGCTTGCTCGGCGAGAGTCGACTGCGCCGCAACCAAAGCAGCCTGGACTGCCTTGCGTGCCTCCACCGCAGCAGCGAGCTCGCCTTCTTGTGCCTGAGCTTGGGAGGAAGCCTGGCTTTGGAATGCGGTGAGGTCGGCGGCCGCTGCAGCGTGGGCCTGCTGCGTTGCCGTCAGCTCGGCTTGGAGCTCGGCGATGCGCGCTGCTCCAGCTTGCGACGTCTCGGCATTGGCGGCCTCGAGTTTGGCCAGTTGCGTGTCGCGGTCGCTCACCGCGGACGTTTGCTCGTCTAGCTTGGCACGAAGTTCGTCGAGTTCAGCGACCAGAGCTTGAGTCTGGCCTCCCGTGGCCATGGCAAGCTCGTGGGCGTGAGCAGTCTCGGCGGCGAGTTTGGCTTCAAGGGTGTGCAGACGCTGGTGAGCCTCCGTCAGGTCAGTCGTTGCAGCTTCGAGCTTGCCTTCCAAAGAGGTGGTCGTGCCTGCAGCTGCCGCAACCTGGGCCTCGAGTTGCTCGATTTGTGTCGCGTGGCGAGACTGAAGCGCATCGAGTTCTTGCTGGGCCTTTTCGGCGTTGGTCGCCAGTGATTCTGCGCGAGTGGAAGCAGCAGCGAGCTGGTCAGCCAGCGCTGCCTTGCTAGAAGTGGCCAGCTCGAGTTCGCCCTGGAGATGCGCCAAACGGGCACCCAGTTCCTCCTGAGTCGTGGCGCCTAAGGCCGAAGCTGCTTGAACAGTTGCCAGTTCGGCCGATTTGGCTTCCAGCTGCTGCTTCAACGCGTCCATGGAGGCGTTGTTTTCCGCAATTTGCTGCTCCATCCGAGCAACGGCACTTGCAGACTCGACTTGGGCCTGTTGCAAGGCGGCGGTCAGGGTGCCGCTCTGTTCTTGCGCCGCGGCGGTGAGCCGTGCAGTCAGGGCCTGAACTTCGTCCTGCTTGCGCTGCTCAAACTCCTCAACCTTCTTTTCGGCGCGCATGGCGTTGGCATGAGTGGCAGACAGCTCTTGCTCCATGTCCGCAATGCGAAACTCGAGTTCGTCGATACGGTCGCGCAACTGCTGTGACGCATCGTCGTGCGAGGAGGCCGAGTCCAGCAGGAGCAGTGTTGGCGAGCCTGGAGGCTCGGTCGTCTCGGCGGCCGACGGCGCGGGGGCAGTAGCTGCCTTGGCAGAAGCGGTTTCTGCTGCTTGAACGAGCGCTGCTTCATGGGCTTGCTTGGCACTTTCGTGCGCCTCTTGGAGCTGGGCGTACTTGGATTGCAGCTCGGACAGCTCGGTCTGGAGGCGGGCATTGTCGGCTTGCATTTGCTTCTTTTCACGGGCGACCTGCTCGACGGTCGCATCCACACGAGACACTGTGGCGTCCAGATTGGCCAGCGTGGCGCTGGTGGGTGTCACGGAGCGAGCGGGCGTCGATCGACCAGACGATGCCGCAGAGGCAGTGGTCGAAGTGCGAGCCGGCGAAGCGGGCACGGCTGCGCTGCCGCGCGAAGGCGTTGGTGCGGCAGCAGCGGCTGGTGCAGTACCTCCGGGCGCAGATGGGAGAATGGCAGTTACCTTCTGCGGGGGAGCAAACAGGCCAAAGTTGGGCGCGCAGGTAAAGTAGCGCACGCCCAAGACCTCACCGTCGTTCTTGCCAGTCGGGGTATCGAGTTCGATGCCAGCCCAGGTGCCTTCCGCAAACTTGGTCGCGCCAAAGAAACGCAGGGTGCCAAACTTGATGCCAGTGGCCGTATTAACATGGACGCGCTGGCCGACATGATCGACCGCCGCAGCGTGCCCTGCTGGCGGTGCGGTAGACCGAGCGGGAGTCGCAGCAGGGGCCGATCCGCCTCGTGCTGGAGTGGCCGCTGGTGTGGAAGTGGCTGCCGCACGCGATCGAGCGGGAGACGCAGCAGCAGCAGCAGCAGCTGAAGCAGCATTGTTTCGAGCAGGAGAAGCGGGAACGGCAGGTGCACGACCACCGGTAGCCGCAGGCGCAGCACCCGATGTCGATGTCGTCGTCGTCGCCGTCGTCGTCGCCGTCGCTGGTGTGGACGTGGTGGTTGAGCCCGTGACTGAGGCTGGCAGAGGCATCCCGCTGAGGCGCACAATGCCCGTGGCAGGAGCAAACAAGCCATAGTTCATGCCGCGGCACTCAAAGATCCGCGTGCCCGAGATGGTTCCGTCGTTCTTGCCCTGCGGCTCGTCGAGCTCGACACCAGCCCAGGTGCCCGGCTTGATTGGCAGCGTGCCCACAAAGCGCAGAACGCCGAGCTTGCCATTGACCGAGACGCGCTCGCCCATAATCCAGGCGGTCGAGTCGCCCTCCTCCGCCGCCGCCGCCGCGCCACCCGTGGTCGTGGTCGTAGTCGTGGTCGTGGTCGTGGGTGTGGGTGGCAGATCGCCAGCTGTGCGCGGTGCATCGTCCGACGCAGCGGCAGAATCAGAATCAGGCGCCAAACTGAGATCGCGCGTTTGCTGATCCTCCACCGCTGCAGCAGCGGCCGTGTCTTCATCCGTCGATGCCACAGCAGCAGCAGCAGCAGGACTTGATGTATGAGCAGCAGTAGTCGCGCTTGGGGCGGCGGCGGCGGCTGTTGGTGGGGTCGCTGAGGCGGTCGGCTTGCGGAGTCCGCTCGTCGGCGCTTTGAGGCGCGATCCACCCGTCGCCGTGGTCGTCGCTGGCTTGGACGACATTGAGAGGGGTCGAAGAAGAAAAGAAAAAAGAAGGAAAAGATGAAAAAAAAAACAAGGAATGAGCAAGTTTCGAAGTGAAAGTCAAAGAGAGAGATCAATGGAGAGAATGAAGAAGGTTGCAAGCAAAGGAAACTCAGAAGGGTGGAACGCTCGTCACTGTTTCTCAAAAAAAAAAAAAGTTCATTTGTTTATTTAGTCTTAGTTTTTTTTGTTTATTATTGTGTGTTTGTGTGTGTTTTCTGAGTGTTTCAGTTGTTTTGAGTCGTCTTTTGTGTCTCTCGTTACACTTTCACCAAACACACCACCACCACCACCCCCTTCTCCCTTCTCCCCCATCCATCATCAATGGCGGCGGTTGTGCAGGCGCGCACATCGCTCGAGCGCGAGGCGGGGCTCGTCCGCCTTGCGATCGTTGTGGATCAAGCACTCTCCCATGCCTCCGCCTCGTCCCAGCACAGCCAACCCATTCAGCAGCAACAACAGCAACAGCAACAGCAACAACAACAACAACAACAGCCACATTGCTTGCCAGTGATCATGTCCCACGGCATCTTTCTTGACCGGCGGATTTTCCACCACCAAGTCCCGCCACTGACCGCCGCAGGCCATACATGCATCCGCTACGACCACCGCGGCCAGGCAAGTCACCATTGACAAGGAAGAAGAAAAAAGTGGGGACTATGAGCTCGTCTCATCCATTCTATTGTATGCTAATTCGTATGATATGCCGTACGTCGTTGTGCTGCAGGGCGAGAGTTTGACCGCTCCGCTGATCGGATCGCGCCAAGTCGCATATGACATTGACACGCTCAAGAATGACATGATTGCCGTGATTGAACATACTGCTGCTGGTCGGGTGAGGGCGTCATCCGCCATGTCGGCGTCGGGACAGTTCGAGGTCGATCAGAATTCGCAAGCCGCGTTCGTTCAGACCGACGACTCGCGGGCTGCGAAAGTGCATCTCGTTGGCCATTCGATGGGTGGGATGGTATGCAGTCTTTTTTGGAACGCTTTCTTTTCGGGGTGGTTGATGCGCGCTGCAACGTTGGATTGAAAATCTCTAAAATCTGCGGACGGCGTTGCTCAAAAGGTTGCCATGCGTGTTGCGCACGAGCGCCCGGATCTTGTGGCGTCTCTAACGTTGATTGCCAGTACCTCAAGCGGGTCTGAGAATTCCTTCAAGTAAGCGGATGGCGCAGATGTTTGAATCTCAGACGCACCATCTCAATTCTGCCTCCTTTTTTGAACGTCTTTACACAGAAACTCGCTCGCAATCAATCTTCTCTCGTGCTGTGGGGTTTCGCTGCTCAAGGGATCCATCATCAAGTCGCTGTTCGGCAGGACGTTTCTGCACGATCCACAGCGCGAGAACGAGCGACGTGGATGGCAGCAACATGTTGCAAACTTGAACGACTCGGCGGCTGCCGTTTCTCGCGGCTTAGTGTCGCGCCCGTGCTATGACAGGGAGTTTCAGCAATTAAAACTGCCCATTCTCATCATTGGTGGGGACGAAGACCCGAACGTGTCGCAGCAACTCACGCGATTGCGAACGTTGCAGCCAAGCGCCACCGTTGTTGTGGTTCCTCACGCAGGACATGCACCGCAAATGGAGCAGCCGACTGCTGTCAACGAAGCACTGTTGTCCTTTTACAATCGGCTAGCGAGCGAGGGTCGAGGGTAGGCCTCCCTTTTTTTTTGAAATGTTGCGTTTGTTGTGAGGGTCGAGAAAGAGGATTTGAAATTTTTCATATGAGCTTGTGTTGGTTGGTTGGTTGGTTGTAAATGTTAAAGTATGGTTTGGTTATACATTATTACATCCATCAATCACATGAAGTCCAAGCTTTCAAGGCAACAATGTGTTTGAAATTGGTGTGTATAAATTTGAGAAACAAAAGTGCATAGAAACAACAAACGCCCGACGGAGATGCGCCGCTAGTCACTGTCTTCATCATCAGAAGTCGCACGATGGCGTTTTCGGGAGGCAGCACGTTGCGAGCGCGCATCGCCGTTTCCTTCGTATGCTTTGGCTCGCGAGATGCGCGTGTCTGCGTCTTCGTCACCATCGGACTCTTCTTGCTCCTCCTCATCGTCCTCATCCTCGTCATCGTGTGCTCGTTTTGATCTGGGGAAGTACGTCAAAGCAGAAGAGAAGGGAGAAAGAGAAAAAGTGAGATGCTTTTTTTATGTTGAAAGCATATTTTCTGGTTCCAGCAAACAACAATCGACTCGACAGACACTCACCGATGAAGAACGTTCTCGCGGATATTTCGCAGGCTGATGGCTGCAAGAGGACGGACAGGCATAGCACCACAAACGAAACCCGCGAGTCAGTGCACAATCCGACACAAACCAAGAAAATCCCAAACAAATGTTGAACTGGCATACCAGAATCATCGCCATCATCCAGGCGATCTTCCAAAAAGTCAGCCGACAGCCCGCTGTTCTGGGCCTGCTCGAGACGCTGGCGTTGCCGACCTTCACGACGCGAACGGGCGCGAATCGTTTCGTCCTCCTGGCGGATCGCGCTCAGGCGTGATTGCTCGCTCACTGCCTTGGTTTGCATGACGGACGACTTGTTCATCTTGGCAGCGCGAGACGCGACGGAGGCCGTCAGCTTGCGATGCGTGGCGCTGGTAGCCGACAGCGGTTTGAAGATGAAGCGCGAATCGACAACTGCATGCGCAATCAGATACTGAGGCAAGACTTCAAAGAGATGGTTGTTGTCTGCGAGAATGTTCTGCACGCGAGAGAAGGCCGTGAAGATGGAGGCAGCGACAACGCAGAGAAAAGGGCGAGTGAGATTCAAGAGTTAGAAACACAAAATTGCCACACCAGCACGACAACCCCAACAAAAAATCTCGCCATTATAACATACCTTATCAGCAATGTCAAAAACTTCGGAGCCGAGGAAGAGCGACTGAGTGCCGTTCGACCAACGCACAAGCCGAGCATTCGACTCGCGTTCAGCACCGCCAGCGCCGTCATCCACTGACCGCCATCGGATGGTGTTTTCGACATCCAGGCGGATGTGATCGCCCTATAAGTTTTTGTTGTTTGTTGGATGGATTCGCAGCGGGTTGAGCAAACGCTTGACAAACAGCTCAAAGTGTTCATTTTGCTAAACTGTCGTCTGCATTACCTCGTCTGCGCCTGCCTCTCGTGGTTGATACTCGCTTGGAATAAACTCGTTATTGTCGATCGAAATGAAGTTTGGCAATTTGACGAGATGGCTCTGTCAAGCAGAAAGCAAAAGCAGGATCACCAGATTGTTAGTGTTGTTTGGTACGCAACGCGCTTATGCCGTTTCCCCCCCCCCCTCCGCCTGCGAGAGTTTTCACGGCCATCCAGCCAACGCGTTCATCAAGCAAAGCGAGCGACCGAGCCACAAATCAGAGTTGCTTACTCGAGGAAGTGCTTGAGGAATCGAGGCGGTCATCTCCTTGAGCATGGGTCCCAGCGGCCGGGGCGGCGGCGCTTGTGCAGACGAGGCAGATCGCTTCATGGACGGCTGGGAGGCACTGTCCGATTGCGACTGCCGTGCTTGCTGACTGAGCGCGTCTGTGGATGGGAGATCGTTGTCGTCCTCATCGTCCTCGTCCAGTCCCGTCCGAGCACTCGCAGCAGCAGCACCGGCAGCAGCAGCACCTCGACCGTTCGTCTCCTCCTCGTCGCTGTCATCGTCAAACAGCGACCGTGTGTCGACGACGCGGCCCTGCGATCCCGCCGCCGCAGCTTGGCCTTGGCTCGCGCCGTCATCGTCGTCGTCCTGTGCGCTGGTGGTAAACTGCCGGCTCCGTTGCTGGTGCGTCTGCGTGTCTGATAATGAAGCCGCGGCAGTCGTCGTCGTCGCCGCGTTCGCTGGCAGCGGCAGGTTGTCCTCGTCGTCCGACCCAAACAAGTCCATTGTGAATTTTGCTGCAGCGAGCGATTCAATCCGCAAGCGAGAAAGAAACAGGACTAACATTTGAATGTTTTTTTTTATGAACTTGTTCAAACGTTTTGTCGTGTTTTGATGTTTGACGATCAGAGCAAGTTTTGCTTTGGAGAAGCCCGATTTTTCAATGATGTCGCTGTCAATTCGAAATTTTGACATTGTCGCCAAATCCATTTCGTCGCGCTCGCTCTCTTTTTTTTTTTTTAACTTACACATGTGAGTGCTGCTGGTCGATCGCCCAACTGCCGCGCCAATCCGACGCAGAATTATCGGCTCTATCGGATAAGAGCGGAACGAGGGGCATGGGGCGAGCTGGTGTCGGTGAACGGCGGCTGCAAAGTGCAGGGGTCGGCGGCGAGCGAGGTTTTGAGTGTTTCACGCTTTGTAACTCACGCTCGTTCCTGCCTCGTTCTCTCTCTCTTCTGCCTTGTTCTCGTTGCTCTTTGGTCCGATCTGTGGTCCATGACAATGCCATGGTCTTGCTTCCGTCTGCAGCGAGGACTTTTCGGAAACAATGTCCGCTGAAGGGTAAGTTGAATTCGTCTCGCTCGTTCTCGGCCGTGCTATGCTCCCACATCAGCGCACACAACCTTGATCGCGCAGCCTGACATCAGTACTCACCGCATTTCCACCACCACCACCACTACTACTACTTGTTTGCACAATAGAGATGCTGTCGAACCCACGGCTGTCGATGCCGCTGCCCCCGCCCCCGTTGAGGCTGCTGAGCCCATGGACGTCATGACCGCCCTCCAGATCGTCCTCAAGACCTCGCTCGTTCACGACGGTCTTGCCCGTGGTCTCCACGAGGCTGCCAAGGCGCTCGACCGTCGCCAGGCTCACCTCTGCGTCCTCGCCTCCAACTGCACTGAGGCTGCCTACCTCAAGCTCGTCGAGGCCCTCTGCGCCGAGCACTCCATCCCCCTCATCACCGTCGACGACAACAAGAAGCTCGGCGAGTGGGCCGGTCTTTGCAAGATCGACAAGGAGGGCAACGCCCGCAAGGTCGTTGGCGCCTCGTGCGTCGTCGTCAAGGACTTCGGCAAGGACACCCCTGCCCGCGATGTCCTCATGGAGTACTTCCGCACCAAGTCCCAGTAAACAATCTGTAGAGATGCTCCTCCAAGCGGGCATTCGTGCCTGTTTGGTTTCTTTGCAGTCGCCCATAAAACTGGAATTGGATGCGTTTTGATCATCACACAGTGACCTTTCTTGTGTGTGTGTGCAATTGTTGTGCTGCGTTTGGTAGTAAGCATTAAAACGGCCGTTCGGTTCTTCGTTCTCATGTTCAATTGTTTAGAATGGAGAGAGGTGTCTAGCAATTTTTTTTTTTGTTTGTTTGTTTGTTTGTTTGTTTGTTTGTTTGGTCCTTCTGTTGTTGTTGCTGCTGCTCCGTTACTTGTCACCAAACTCTGCCCAAGAATGCAATCCTTCTCAATCTCCAACGTCACTCGAAAATTCCACAACTGTAGAAACAAAAAACTCAAAACAGCATCCAACGATGAAATTTTACACTCGTCATGTATTGTTGCAGTGAACAGCCAGGAAAAAGTGCATGGTTTTAAGGAAAAACAAGTTACAGGGACGACGAAATCAAGGACACACGACAAAGCAAGGACCAGGGCGTTGCCAGGAGAAGGAGACTTCGCATACAATTCGAAAGGCACTGTTTACTTGCCCTTAACAGAGATGCTGCCGGTGGACGACACGTAGATACCGTCGAGGAACTTGCGGATATCCTTGTTGTGGACTTTGACGGACTGCTGGATGACAGCGGCGGAGAGGGAGACATCCTCAACGCTGTTGCCGCGGAGGACGATCTCATCCTTGACGTTCTCCTGCTGCTCGACGGTGACGCCGGGGATCATGGCGACGGTGCGGACGACCTTCTCGCCGATGAAGTTGCGGATCTCCATCTTGGTCTTGTTCTCGATAACGTTGACGTTGATGGGGAAATGTGCGTAGACGAACTTCATCTTGTACTCGAAGCCCTCAGTGACACCCTTGATCATGTTGTTGATGTGCGAGGTCAGGGTGCGGACGCAAGCGAGCTCCTTGCGGTTGCCGAACCACATGTCGACGCGGACGCGGCGGCCAGCGTTGAGCATGTGCATCTCGACGTTGAGGTGCTTGAACTCGCGCTCAAGAGCACCACGGGGGCCGGTGACCTTAACGTTGCGGGCCTTGACGGCAACCTTGACTGTAAGATGTCGCAAGACATGGATGACAACAAGGGAGAGAGAGAGGAGAGCGAGAGAGGGGGGAAAGAAAAAAAAAAGTCAGGAAATGGAAGACAACGCACGACTATTGCTGCTAAACCTCAAGCGAAAACGTTCACGTACCGTTCTCCGGGATGTCGACGTACGAAGTCTGGAGGATTTGCCTCATCTCTAAAGGAACAAGCGAGGGCTGCAAAGCAAACAAGCAAAAGAAGTGGAGTGAGCAAAACAAAAAGAAAAAAAAAAAAACACGAACGAAAAGAAAAAAAAAAGTCAAGCCATCCGCCACAGTTTTCTGAATGCGAGAGAGAGAGATGGGCTGCGTGGCAATGAGGCAAAAAGCTGACGGCACGCGAAATCCACGTTGAACTGCGATCGACGGCAAAGCGAGACGGCGACGGAGGGCAGGGACGAAAGTTGACCCGAGCCAGTGTCGTCCCTCGTTTGCTGCAAACTCCCTCCCCCTGGCTTCAGTGCTGGCTCCCCTTGCTCCCTCTACGGTTGGATCGCGAACAAGTCCACAGTGATTGCATGCCGGGCGAGGGAGCGGACCAGGACGTGGCTGGACGAAAGGGCGAGGAGCCGCGGAAAGAGGAAAATCCCAAGACGAATCACCCACACTACTTCAATCCGCCGCCCTGCCGACTTGTTCCATTGCACCACCCCTCTCGCGCGATGGAATCGGTCAGCACGCATGATTGCTCAACAGATTTGGTGGGGCAGGAGGCGCTGGGACGAGCGGATGATGGGCGAAGCATCGCAACAGCGCACAAGCCAAAGTCGAAAACATACGAAAAGAGAGGCCGAACATTACTTTGGGAAATGCAAATCATAAACCCAGATCGACACGCAAGTCAACGAGTTTGGCTCCCAGCTGTTAATTGCGCTATCCATTGTATCGTTTGGAAGAAGGGTAATTTTTTTCGTTTTCATTTGGGGCTCGTTGTCTGAGGTGCAACGCTCGAGTTCACCGTCCGCTGGGAACGCACTGGTTTTGAACATTGGCTTGCGACGGGCAGCCCTTTCCCGTGCGTTCTTGACTTGGGTTTGAGCATTACAAAGCATGGCGAGAGGCAGTGAATGTCTCGAGGAGATTGCGAGAAACACCAGCACGAGGAACGTTGCACGAAATTGTTTGACTTTTGAAACAATCATTGGTGTGACAATTTTGGGGGGAACACTTTGAACACGACAACACAATCAATGCAGCGCAAGCAATGTAGGAAGAAGCTTAAAACAAAACAACAAGTCCAACACGGAGCATACCCCCAAAGAGCAACATGAACTCAAAAACATCCAAGGCCACGGACGGTCCACTACAGGTAAGCGCAGTGGCCGTAGCATCGCGCACCAGCATCTGTGCTCGAGACCGGAGCCACAATAACAAAGTCGGTCGTGGGCGTAGCATCGCAGCCCAGATTGCAGTTGCCCAGACCGTCGAGACGACCGAGCCTGCGGCAGCACAGTTGATCATCAAAGCGATAACCCTCAGCGTACGAGTTTGCCTTGTACTGCACCCAGCAATCCGCAAAGCCGGCAAAGTAGGAAGCAGTGTGCACATGAGAAAGCTGACCCTCACTGAAGAGGGCCAAATCCTCGGCGGGCGGCGCTGCAAGAGTTGTGCAAGCACCATCAATTGGAGCCTCGCCACTCATGCACGAGGTGCAGTACGTGGCAGAGCCACTGCATGTGCGGCACGAGGCATCGCAGCACTGCGACGCCGAGTCAAAGCAGTCTCGAAGGCAAGTAGCGTCGCATGCCAAGTCAATCACTTCGTCCGTGTCGTAGGTGCCGGGGACGTCACCCTCGAATGGGTTGCCAGAAATCACAACGCCTTCCCCGAGCAGCGCGCCACAGGGAATATGGAAGAGACCAACGGGCAAGGTCGTCAATTGGTTGTGGTTTAGTCCAATGTACTCGAGTTTTTTGAGATTCGCAAACAGCAGGCCGGGTACCCGTGTCAAGCCACAGCCCTGCAAGTCACTGCGCGTCAAAAAGAGGCAAAGTACAGCGGTTTGAGAGGGGACGGTGAGCTTTCAATATGTTTGGCAACGCTACAGTCACCCACAAAAGTGATTCTCACATTGACTCGATCGTGGATTGAAGAGGTTGGAAGACCTTGCCTGGAATGCGCTCGAGATTCGTGTTCCACATCATCTCGCTGTGACAAAAAAAAAGAAACAAAAAAAACAATCAGCTTGAAGAAAAGACTGGTGCATGGCGTCAACGGCAAACTCCTTTACAAGTAAATAAGCGAAGTCAAGCCCTCGAAAGCATTGTAATCCACCGATTCCAGGTCGTACAGCGCATTCAGACTTCTACGAATGGGATGCCAAAAAAATGTGAGTACAAGCATCACTCCCGTTTGTCTTCATGCTTGTTCTGCAAGGCGTACAGTTCTTCAAGATTGGTCAGCGTATGGAAGCCGAAAGCGCCCAAGGTCGTGATGCCTTCAAGTCCGTTGTATGTCCTTGGACAAGAATCATACAACAGCAGAAGAAAACAGCGCACAAAATGAGCCCACACCCTTCCTCTCCTCTCGGAGGCATCAAACTGCACAGAAAACTTACAGACGAACAACCGATGCGCCGAGACCAAGGTCGCTTGGCTCAGCAGGCCCGCTCAACCAGAGCGACTCTTGAATCGTCAGCTCTTCGAGCGCCAGTGTCGACAGGGCATTCTTGGAGCTGCGGATGCGACATCCAGAAATAGACAGAGTGGTGCACCCAGAGCCCGAGAACGTCGACAAGTGCACAACGTCAGAGGCAGCGTGCGTGCAATCGCAAGTGTAAACCGTTTCATTCAACGAGCAAGCGTCCGGGTTGGGCAGCAACACACCACCAAGGCGTGGTGGTTTGGGCGTTCGGCACAAGTTGGAAGCCGTGGCCTGGCAAGTGTTTCCAGGAATGTCCGCAAGAACAAGCGAGGCGTTGAACGCGGCAAACTCTGCAGTGCACGCGAACGGGCGCGCGAGAGGAGCTCCCACCTCAGCGTACGGGCGGGACACAAAGTCGCTCGGCAGCGTAAAGACATACGCCAAACAGCCACCGGCCGGGCAGTCGACAAGGCCGTCGCCGGTTTCGGCCGAGTTCCCGCTGGCCCGCGTGGCCCAGTATCGGCACACCGTTTCGTACGTGTCGCGGAGCTGCGGATCCGTCACGGAATCGGCCACCTTGCAAGTGCTATTGGCCGAATCCCAGTCGCACACGTCGCGCGGCAGGCAGCGCACATAGTCCTCGTTGACCTCAATGTCAAAGTCGTCCGCAATCCAGGCGTTGTCAAGAGTGACGGTCAAGACACCATTCTCCAGTGTGGGAACGCCAGGCAGCGCGACCGGAATAATGGGCTGCGCGCGGCTGTTCCCGTCAATGTTGTAGGTCGGGTAAATGCGGGCAAAGTGGCCGTCCGTGGCCAAGTTGAAACTCGTGCCGACGTAGATTTGGTAGGTGACCTTGCTGGTGCGTTGAGGATAGAGCTGGTACAGGACGTACGAATCAGACGGAACAAACATGTCCTTGCCGCGGATAAAGTTAAAGTCTTTACAGTTGGGGCCAGTCAAGCTTTGGCGGTGCGTGTCGATAAAGTAGGTCATGTCGCTCATGGTCAGCGCAGGCGCGGACCACACAAGAGACCCGGCCATCATCATGCCATTGGTGCAGCTGAACATGTTGTTGGTCGAGTCCACACTCTCGCACAGGTCGCCAGAGCACGGCCGGTCGGTCGGCAGCAGGAACTGCCGGTACAGCGGGACTTGCGTATAGTTGGTCGATGCGGTACCATTCACAATGGACCAGTCAGATACCACTTTAAACCAAGCGGGGTGCATGGTGGAGCGGGCTGCCATGGTGATGACGGAGGTCAGCATGTCGTTGGGCACCGTGTTGACACCAAACGACTTGCATTCGGCGATTGTGGTCGGTGCAAGGTAAAAGGTGTTTTCGCTCACGGACGACGAGCGGCCGGTGATGCTGGAGGTTACACCCGTCAACGAGCCGTCCACATCAACCAGAATGGTGGATGCGTCAATCGGAGTGACACCAAGGCCTGCAGAGATCGTCGGCGGCTGTTGAGGACTCGCAGTAATGTACTCGGCCGTAATGTCGAGGACGTTATGACGCATGCTCTCCTCATCAAACGCACTACGGCGGAAGGCGAAGGCCGGAGGATAGTAGAAACCGTTGGGCTGCTTCCAGCCAATGCCAGCGTTGATGACGTTCATTTGCTTGTTGCCAGTCGCTGCCACGGGTTGGGTGGTCATGCGGTAGATGCCACACGATGAGGACTTCTCGGAGGGGTCGCAGGTAAAGTTCTTGGCCGCCATGAAAATGTTGCCGTCTGCAAAGAAGGGGCCGTCGTAAATGGTAATCAGCCGCGAAGGCTGGAAACCAGCCAGGGCGTATGCAACACCCTCAGCCTTGAACGGACAGAGCTTGGTGTTGAGCAGACAGTCGCTTTCGGGGAACGATGGCCCGGCGCGGCCAGCCGTCGCGCTCTCTGGTTGAGTGGCACCAATGAAAATGTTGTTGTACGCCAGCATCCACAATCCAGGCACAGCATCCAGCCAGCTGCCGCCAGTCACAAAGCCCAGGCCACCAAACACCTGATCAGTCACCAGACTGTTGGAGAACAAAAACCAGTAGCCGCGCAGCCAGATGGATCCAAAGTTCACCTCGGGCCAGTTGTACGACGTGCGGAAACGGTCAATAACGGCCGTCGAGCAAAGGCCTGCATTCAGCTTGTAGTTGTCCGTGGCGGCAGTGGGTGGGTAGGTGTTGAGCTGGATGCCACGAGAGCACACCACTGCGTCGTTTGTCTGGTAGTAGGCAAAGTCGCTGTTGATTTTGGTGGGCACAAAGTTTTGCGTCACGATCGGCAGCATGTCGACAGTGATGGTGTAAGGGTTGATGACCACATTCTTGCCATACGGGCCCGGACCGCCAAACCCAGTCAGGCCCACCTTCGACGGATAAATGTCAATCGCAGTCTGCAATGCCAGCGGGGCAGTGGAGCAACTGCATCCTCGGAAGCGCTTGATGGGGGCAATGCGTGGGACGGACGAGAGCCAGTTGGCATAGTCCTCGTCGGTGCCAGTCTTGAAGGTCCATTTCATTTGGCGACTCGGGCCGCTCAACGACGAGCCCAAGAGCCAAAAGCAACTACCCCAGCCGAGAACGCCAGAGACCATGTTGCCCACGACGTCATTCCACATGTTCATAAACCAAAAGCCAACAGGCATGTACTCGTCACCGCCAAGAATCCCGCTGAGACCCTGAACTGACGGGACAATGCCCGGAACGGCGCGAGCTGTCGGCGACGTGGGCTGCTGCGTCGCCAGATAGTCCTTGAGAGGCACGCGGATGGTTGCGGCCAGGTTGTGGCACACAAGATTGTTGATTTCAGATCCGTCTTCAAAGTAGTAGCCATGGCCGACAGACAGGTAGCCGACGTTGCGAGCCAGCGTCACCCCGCTGGAGGCATGCACTGTGAAGAATCGAGTCATCGAATCCCACGACGACGAGTCCTTGACAAACACGTTCGTGTAGTACACCTGCTTGGCGAGATGAATATGGACTGGATAGTGACCCATCCGACCACCTTGGCCGAGCTGGTGAAACTCGACTCCTTGGATCTGGTACCGTCCAAAGCCCTGACGCACAACCGTGTGCCCGCCAAAGTAGCACGCGGGGTTGTTGGTGGCGACAGTACAAGCCGAGGAAGCAGGAAAGTTGTCGGTAGAGGTTGCGCCCAGCGAGTAGACCTTGATGCTGCGGGACAGCAGGCCGACCGCAGCACGCACATCCGCGTCCTTGTTGGGGTTGTTGGAGTTTTCCGAGAGCTGCTCGTCCATGGGGATGAGCGAGCCAAAGTGATTGTAGGCCAGCGGCGCGACCAACGTGACTGTTGCGGAATCGACCACGTCGGCTGCCAGCTCCGCCGTCTCCGTGTGGCTTGGATACCAATCCGTCGTGGTCAGAATGATCTTGTCGCCCTGGCGCCAACGCACGGGTCGATCGAGGGTGATGGTGGATTGCCCAGCTGCAGCCGTGACGCCAAGGCGCACCCAGCTTTGGCCCGTCAGTTGAGCCCAAGCATCAGAGCTGAAGGGGTCTGCGGGGGTCTCGCACTCTGTCGGGCGGGCCAGAGCAGGGTTGACAAAGTCGCTCGGAGCGACGCCATTTCGGCCAAAGAGCTCAACCGACCCACCGTACGAGACAGCGAGAACCTTGTGGCCAAACGAGTTGCCAGGACCGTCGTACATGTTGTCGGAATAGGCCTCAAACAGGGCGTTCTGGTTTTCGAGTGCGCACGACCCGGCCGAGTTGCACGGATCGCTAACGCTGCTCGACACGTTGCAGCACTGCTTGTTGGAGACGCGCTCGGCGGGGTAGCACCCACCGGCCGTTTGGCAGCGAATGCCAGTGACGCCGAGGTTGGTGCCCTGGTTTGTGGGATCGGTGCCCCACAGACCAATCTGCAAATTGCCGCCGTTGCAGCCGAAGGGCTTGCACCAACGGCCACCGACCACGCGCCCGCCTTGCTCGACCAGCATGGCATTCACGCGAAAGTCAATCACATTGCCGTCGTCTTCAAACCAGACAATGCCGCCCGCGAGCACATTGACGTGATGAAACACGTACGATCCGGATTGGAAAATGAAACATTCGGACACAGCGAGGTCTTGTGCGGGGTTTGTCGCGCTGGAAGGAGCAAACACGGTGCAACCAGCAGGAGGGGTAGCATCGTCGCAGCTGAGATTGCAAGCGGTATCCACTGCACTTGTGGCGCCAACGATGGTCGCCACCAAGAGTAGAACTGGCAGCAGAACGCGGCGGCGGCGCATCATCTGTTTTCGAACGACAATCAAGGTAGGCAAAGTGAGATGAAGGATGCCAATGTTTTTTGGGTTTTTTGCTGCTGGGTGTTGACAAAAACGAAAAAGCCGACAAATCAAATCATAAAAAAAGAAAAGATCTTAGAAATCGGCGAAACCTTTGTTTTCTTTTCGGCGAAACTCCAAAACGTAGGAATAACTAACGCATCATGGTGATTCCATTCCGAGGACGACGACGACGACGACGACGACGCCGACGACGACGAGAGTAGAAGAGGAGAAGAAGACTCAGGGCGGTGAGGCGCGAGGGGGAAGGGCGAAGGGGAAGCAGAGGGGGGGGGGAACGAGAGTAGAAGGGGCGGGAGCAGAAGAGCAGTTGAATGCGATCCATCGGGAAGCGGGAAGGCACGGGAAGGAAAGGGGGTTGCGACTGCTCAAGATGGAGACAGAGAAGGAACAGAGAAGGACAAGAAGTACGGAAGGAAAGGGAGAGGGAGGGAAGGGAAGAGAAGGGGGATGGACTGGAGGCAGGGGGGAATGAGCGTGGGTTGAGGGAGCGGAGATTCAATTCAAAAAAAAGCAAAAAAAAAGCAAAAAATCAATCAACCCACTCACTCCAACAGAAGGAAGAAGATGAAGACTGAGGATGATGGAACCCCACCTCCCATTCCAGACCCAAGCCGTGAAGCGTTTTGAGAGGAGAGAGGGTAGGAGATGGGTGAATAGCAACGACAGAGCGGAAGAGGAGAATCGCAATGTGAAAGAAGGGGGAAAGAAAGGTGACCTCCTCCCACTCAACCCCCCTCCCCAACAACACCCAACAACACCCACCCCTGCGTTTAGTGTTTGGTAACCAGCAAATGCAAGATAAAACTCACACTTGTTGCTGATGAAATGAGGAGTGAAGAGTGCATTTTTCAAAATCCCTCCTCCTTTAAAAAATCCTGGAAGAAAAAGGGGCGAAACCAAAAACAAAGTGAAGGGCGCGCCAACCAGCTGAGAACGAGCGCGTTGAACTTTGAGCGCGCGCTCGACGCCTCGCCCCTCGCTCTCTTGCTCACGTCATGGTTTGCTCTTGCTCCTGCTCATAGTGTGGAAGCCCGTGTGCTGGCATTTTTGCACTGAGGACAACAGGCGAATGGTGATGGATGACTCGTCTGTTTGATCCATCAGTGGCTTGACTCATGCATGCATGCATTGGTTTGGCCATCGATTGCCTTCGCGAGTCACTGTTCAGCAAGTTGGTTCAAGCTGAGCTTCCATTCAGCCTAAACTTACAGTGAGCGTTTGAATGTTCTGAGTCTCTTTCCGTTTCATCCTCATCCGTTGATGCTTCACTCTGACCCCCATTCCGACTAGATCTTCTCCAATCTCTATCTGTTCTGCTTTTCTCTACGTCCACTCTCTATCTTTTTCCTTCTGTCAACGCAGTCGAGATGCGCTCGTTCGGAGGCCCAGCAGCATCTCGCCTGGCGCCACCTTCCGACGGCGCCTCATCCGCATCCTCGTCATCCGCATCATCATCATCGTCATCCTCCTCGTTCAACCATGGCAGTACCAGCGGCTATGGCGGACAGAGCGGACTCCCATCGCGGTCGTTCGGGACGCAGCAGCAGTCATCATCATCATATCATCCGTCATCATCGTCCTCCTCCTCCTCCTCCTCCTCCTCCCACTCCCACCACCACTCACAAACATCATCGCCAGCAGTGCGATCCACACAAGCGCAGGCACACTCGGCGCAGGCCCAGGCGCAGGCGCAGGCTCAAACGCACTCGGCTCAGCAGCTGCGGCCAGTGTCGACGGGCGACCCCGAAGACACGGCGACCATCGTGCAGGGGATGCTGTGCCCGATGTGCATGAAGGACCTGCGGACCATCACCAAGCTGCAGGAGCACTGGGAAGAGGCGCACGCGAACGAGGACAAGGCCATCTTTAGCACCCTCACGTCCTGGTTTAAGAGCAAAGGCAAGGGCGCCGGCTCGAGCAGCGGCGCTTCCACCTCAAACTCGGGTGCTACAACCCCGACGTCCGCAATGGCGCCGGGCGGAGGGGTGGGCGGCGCTGGCGGCGGCGATGACTCTGAATTTGTCACCCGAGCGCACTGGGAGGATGACAGCGCGTCCTCGGTGTGCCGCGAGGACAACTGCAACAAGGAGTTTGGATTTCGCGAGCGCAGGCACCATTGCCGGAAATGCGGGAGACTGTTCTGCGGAGAGCACTGCATGTACCAGATCCGACTGAATGCGCTCGCTCAGCACGATCTCGAGAACGGCGTCATGAGCAAGGTCTGTCGAGGCTGCTTTGAAGGGCGAACAATCCTGTCGCAGACATTTGGCGCCAGCCGGAGCTGGACGAAAGACTTCCAGGCCATCCGGCGCAAGCACAACGGCGACCTCGAGCTGAGCACAAACCAACGCCTAAACCGCTTGGACAAGCTGCTCTCTCAGCTCGAAAAGGCGCGGAGCACCGCCACTGGCAAAATCATGCTCACGCCGACGGCGCGCAAGGCGGCCGAGCGCGCGGTGGTGGACTGGGAGGATGACTCAAAGGTGTCGGTGTGTCGCACCTGCGCCCGGTCGTTCGGCCTGCGAAACCGGCGTCACCATTGCCGCCTGTGCGGCTTTGTCGTGTGCGGCGAGCAGACGTGCTCTGACATGCTGTCACTGCGCTCGGCCAAACGGCTCACCGACAACGCGGCAGGTGTCAAGGCGCGCAAAATTCAGCTGACAACCGATGCCGGTGACGAGGATTTGGAGGTTCGCGTTTGCCACACTTGCGTTCAGCTCATGTTCCGACGCGCCACCCAAGCAGCCCGCGCCAAGGCACGACCGCCGCAGTATGCACAAATCTACGAGCGACTGGCTGTCGTCCGGAAGCAGATTGAAGAGCTCTTCCCGCGCTACCGCGCCAAGGCCGAGAAAGCCAACGACGTGAGCAATCCCTATCGCGATACCGATCGCGGCGAAGGGCTGCAACTCAAAGCCGAGCTGTCAAGCTTGTTTGACCAACTCGACAAGCTCAGCCAAGAGATTTACACTTGCAAATTGCCAGAATACCGCGGCACCGAGCCCGAACCCGCCAAAGACAAGGCCAAGCGCGAACGCAAAGCCGTGTGCCAAATGCAAATCCAAAACAACATTCGCTCTGCCGCGGTCGCCTACCGTGCAGAAAATTTGATCCAGCTCGAACTCTTGTCAACACGGCGGAAGGGTGAAGCGGCACCTGCACCAACCTCTGGGCCGAGCGTGCAATCTGCTCCGCCGCCTCAACCCCAGCTCTCGCAAAACTCTCAATCCATTCCCTCGTTATCGCAGCATCAGCAGCCACATCAGCAGCAACAACAGCAACAACAGCAATCGCAGCAGCAGCGCGCTGCTCCCGCGGCCTCGCAAGCAGCTGCAGGCCAACAAACACAAATGCGGTCGTTCGACAATTTGCTGGACGCTGATTTGTCATCCGGCAACCGATCGAATAACAGGGCTTCGTCCTCTTTTGCGTCAAAGCCTGCATCTGGCGGAGCCACCCCATTAGGAGGACGCCAGGCCTCGGGAGTGAATAACAACGCGCTGAGTCTCCAAGCCCAAGTCGCCCTCGAGCAACGGGACAGAGTGAAGGCGTTTATTGCCAAGGCAGAGGCGGAGGGGCGCGAAGAAGAGGCAGCGACTCTCCGACGCGAGCTTGAAAACATGACTCGGTTTATGCAAGACATGGGGTTGATGAGCACCTAAGCTACTGCTACGACAACTCCGTTTTGTTTTGTTTGTTTCACACCCCCCCCCCATTGTAAATTTTTTCAATCTTTCATAAATTTGTGAATTCATACAGAAAAAGTACAGTACAGACCAGCAGCACATCAGACAGTGGCAGACTGGGAAGCGGGGCGCGGTGTGCTCGGTGTACGCCGAGCCACAGGAAGGAGTCGGGACATGACGGGAACCGGGGACATGCGTGACTGATCAATGGCACTGCGGAGAACGGTCGCAAGCAGCAAGAGGAAGGGCTGTGACGGGGCATGCCAAGCACTAGCGCGAAGACTGGCAAGATACCGACGAGCGCGCGCAATGGCGTTCATCTCCCGAATGAGCGCGTTTTGAGAGCGGGGTGCCGGTGACCTTCCGCGGTGTGCCTGCAGCCGTTGGAGCAGACCGAACAGAGCAACTTGAAGCGAGCAGGCGGGATTTTGGACTTCGTAGAACTGCGACAAGGGTGCCACTGGCAGGTCTGCCTGGATGGCAAAAGCAATCGCCAAGACTGCGTTGCTGGCCGCATGCGCCGAGGTAGCACTGTTGACCATTTGCACGAGGCTTGTGTAAGCCCGAATTACAAAGGACGCGGGCAAGCTGCTCGACAAGGCGGACTGCGGCATCAGAGACCCGCGCTCGAGCTGGATGGTGCGCGCGAGCGAAGCCGAAATCCATCGGCGACTGGTGGTGGTCCGTCGAGCCAGGGGAATCGATGGGAGCCCGCTGGCCGTCAGGGTGCAGCCCATCAACATTGGCTGGGCAGTGTTCAAATCAAACCCCTCAGCGCCAAAGACCCATTTGGTTTGCATGAGATGGCGATACGCGCGCACAGCCATGTCCAGTTGGTCTGGCTGGTGGCTAGCCCCCGATACCAGTGCGGAAGCGACGCGCCAGCTTGGCTTCAAGAAGGCATCGTGCTCCACTCCAAACAGAGTCTTCGCAAACCCGGGGTTGGCAAGCGTGCGCTGTCGGTGACGATGCAAATACGTACCGTCGGGACCAAAGCGACGCGTTACAACATCAAAGCAATGTCGAAACTCGGCCTGCAGGCTGGTTGACTGTCCTGCCGCAACGAGCAGCGCTTGCAATCCGTGCGAACGCACGTGCTCGTGGTGCGCAGCACCGTTGAGCTGCCGCCACACGTTGCGAAGGTGTGATTCTGGCTCCACGTCACGAGCAGCCGCTTTCAAAATAGCGCCATACGCGCTAGCGGACAGCTGGTAGTCGGCTTGATGCAAAACGGTCGCCAGGTCTTTGATCGCTTGCACCGCAGTAGCGTCGTCGGTGTGCAGACCGAGCAGGGTGATGAGGTGGGATGCTGCCGTCGTCGGCACGCTGCGGCCTTGCTGGACATGGGCTGCAATGACTAAAGCGGGCAGGCGCAAGCATCGGAGGCGTTGGGCGGAGGCCACCAAGTGAGCAAACACTTGGTCGGAGAAGGTGCACCCGGAGGCAACGATGTGGCAGACAACCTTCATGAGGTCGGTCGAAGTGGGCGCGGCAGCAATGAGATGAGTCGCAAGATCGACAGAAACGCGGTTGGGTGGTCTGCTTGAGCTCGTGTGGTTGGCGAGTTTGATCACAGCGGTGGCTGCAGTCGCCGAGAAGGCTGCGGAAGCGGGCGCAGAGTTTGGCGACCACTGTGAAGCCGCGGACGTCAAGAAAGCACAGGCAGCGGCGATCGCGGCATCTCGTTCAGTGGCAGACGCGTGAACGGTGCCAAACAGGGTCTGCTCGCACTTGCGCCCAGCCTCACCACATGCCTGCAACGCAGAGCGCAAGAGTTGCATTCGCCCAAACGCCAAATGGGCCTGTTGGGCCTGAGTCATCATGCGCAGCGTCCAGTCAATGGCGTCTCGGGCCTCCTTGACCGTGAACGAAGCCAAAGGTGAGCGCGGCGCTAGCAGCACCAGCGGAACGATTGAAGCGTGGTTGGTCGACCGGTTGTCTGCAAACGCAGAGGTTGCCAAGAACTGCTTTGCGGACTCGAGCTGGCCGAGCGCAGCATATGCAGTTGTGATTGGGCGAACCAACCGGCGAGAAATCGAGTTCAACTGTCGGGCCACGAGAGCTTCGTAGACTGATGTCAAATATTGAGCGCCTCGAGTCAGCAAACAAACTAACAATTCTTCCACCACCACCACGTCCTCCTCCTCCCCCGAAATCACAGCAGATGGCTAGGCGCACCAATACACAACCAAACCACAACTTACCAGAAACAGCAGACTTGAGATCTCCGGCGTCGCAGAGCTTCTGGACCAACGTGGTGCAAGTTTGGGAAGAGGAAATGCGGAACTGACTGGGAATGGAAGGAAGGAAATGCTTGAGAATGTGCGACACCATAAAGTCCGCGCGCCCGTTTTCCACAAAGACCTCCGCAAGCAGAGCATATGCCCGATCGCGGCCAAGGAAGTAGTACAAAGTGCGCCGTTCGAGCACCATGATTGCGTCTTCAGGAACCAGGGCATCTTGCAACCCCTCGCTGACGACTTGAAGGAGCTTGGAAGTCGTCTTGGCGGCCAACTCGTCCGAAACCGCTGAAGTGGTGGAGGCGAAAAACTCGCTAAACTCGTTCGAGGCAAGCGCCTGGATCTGCGCTCGAGTCATGGCGCTGTACAGACGTGCAAAAGCATTCACCTCGCGGTCGTAGCGGGTCGTGTTTGGCTGGTTGAGATCTTGGACAATCCGCCCGTTACTATCTGCAGCGAACGGCTTGGCGGGAGAAAAGCCCAACGAAGCATCAAGGTCTTGCACCATCCTGGTCAGTGCAGGTACGTCCTGGCTGATCGGGCTAGCTGGCACCGCCTCGGCCTCAGTCGATGACGCAGGAACCGAAAGCTGGCTCCCCTGCGCGGTGGAACGGGCCTCGGCTGGAAGCGTCAAACCCGTCGCGTGCGCTTGGCTATTAAGCAGTGTGCTGACAGCAAGCAACAGCGCGTCGGACGTGGGCGGCGGCACGTTGCTCGAATCGGACGTTGCGAGCGACCAGATTGGTGTTGTTAGCGGGTCATGGGGCATCGGTAACGACAGATCTGCCAATAAATCGCGAGCGGAAGCTTGATCCCACCGCAAATCAGCACTGAGCGTTCGTTGAGCGAGTGGGGATGATAGTTGTTTGACTGCAGAGGCGAGTTGGGCTGCCATTTTCTCGGCGGCAGCAGATTGGGAGGGAGCTGTCACAGACTGTTGAGGCTTTGTTTTAAGCACCAACTCACGGCGCTGGGCACGCTCCAATGCGAACAGATGATTGCGATGCAAGTATTTGAAAGCGGGCCGAGCCTGCGCAAACGTTAGACTGCCGGCAGGTTGGGAGGGCAAGTCTACGAGTGGGAGGGGGTTGAATTGTTCGGGTTGTTCGGGAGCCTCTTTGGGAGCTGATTGTTTGCTTGTTTCTTTGTTGTTGGCAGCCGATTCTTTGTCGTTGGCAGCCGATTCTTTGTTGTTGGCTGCCGATTTTTTGCCGATGATGGGAGTGGCCGCCGTCGACCCGGTCGTTGCATTTTGCCCAAATTCATGGGCAAGCGCGATGAGTTTGCCAATAAATTGGCGCTTGGAGAGAGCCGTTTGGGCCCTTGTCGCCAACCGACGCTCACGGGCTGTTTGTATTGCGAGAACACCCTTCTTGGCATTACTAGCCGCTGGCTTCCACCACCCAGGCATAATGTTCAATTGGTGCATCATGGCCTGTACGTCATGAGTGATTCGTCTGTGAGCTGAAGGCGGGCTTACTCCGTGCGGTGCCGTTGGATTGGCCGAGTGCGGACGCACGGGGACCTGCTTGAGTGTAAATGGGAACGGATAGGTCAGTGAGTTGGCATTCATGGCCCTGGGATTGGCCGGAGCGCTCTTGGTCGGCAACGCTGGTACTTGCAGCGTCCGTGCAAAGTGCAATCGTTCCTCTGCTTCTGCTGCAACTGTGGCCATGTGCACGGCCGTCCAGGACGGCGAGTTGTGTGGAATGCGTGGTGCTCGGCTTTTGTTTTTTCGCGGTGCGGCTGATTGTTGTTGATGTTGTTGCTGCTGCTTGGCCAGCTTGCGTGCTTCTGTCGAGGAATCAGTTTCCACGGCAGATGTAGTAGCAGCCTTGCTATCGTTTGAAGCTTTTGCTACTGGCGTGTCAGACGCGAGAGGGGCGATGCTGCTCGCGGCAGATGGTTGTGTTTCACCAGACGACGGAATTGCTGACTTCGAGGCCTGTTCGCGGGCGTTGCGCTCGGCAGCTCGCGCCTGCGCCTTGGCGTAGCGACGAGCACGCACTACGTGCTTCACGACAGCCAAGTGGGAGCGTGCCAGATTGGTGTCTGCCAACGCCGCGGCCTGCTTGGCGCCTTCCTGCGAGAACGTCGGCAGCGTGTTGAACGCGAGCTTGCGCGGTGCAGCCGCCCGGCCATCTCTGTCAAGAACAGTCCTCCGTCCCGGGATGCCGAGCTGGGCCGCGGTTGGGTTGCGCCACTTGACGCCAACGTGCGATCTCGCCTTTGCAAAGAGCTTGAGCGCGAGCAACCGCTCTGCCGACAGCCGCCCTGTGGGCACCGCAGCGACCTTCCCGAGCAGCACCTGCGGGTTTTGCACGTTGCCCCTGCTCTTTGCGGCAATGGAGCTCGGCTGTGACTTGGACTTGGACCTGGCCTTGGGCGGCTGCTGGTCTTCTTGGCTCGTGCTCGCCTGGCCGCGTGCGTCTGCAGCCTCGCTCGTCGTCCCACTCGTCCCATTCTGACCACCGCTCGCTTCAGTCGCAGTCATAGTCGTGGCATGGTTCAGAGTATGGCTAGTCGTCGTAGTTGGAGTCGTCGCGTGCTGGCTTGATGGTGGCGTGGTAGCGGCTGCGGCCTGACTGGCTGCTCTTGATCCCAATCCATGCAATGCCGCAGCAGCCATCCTGCTCTGCCGCTGCTGCTGTTGCTGCTCCACCAGCACCAGTCGAGCACAGCTCAGCATTGATTTGTGTTTGCTTTTCTACGCTGTGCTGAAATCAAGTCAAAAAGTAGAACAACAACAAAAAAAAAAAAAAAAAAAAAAAAGAATGGAAAAGCTTCGTTCTCAATGCAAACTCCATACAAAAAAAGGCGGTAATTCTCGTACGACTATTCATCATCCAGCAAGCTCGGATTTCAGTCTTCTTTATTTTCTTGGTTGCTCAGAACGGGAATGCGCAACATTTTCCGCAAGCGGTCTCCCAGCGACAGCCACCCAGCGCACTCGACCGACGCTGCCTCTGCTGCCTCTGCTGCCTCTGCTGCCGACGCACACCACCAGCCTGTCGGTTCCCACTTGCAAGTGCCTGGAGCGGGACCAGCAGCAGGAGGAGGCAATGCTGGGAACAGCAGCAGCAGCAGCAGCAGCAGCGGCGACGGAAGCAAGCTTCGTGCTCGAAGTGCCAGTCCGACGTCGGTTGCCGGAGCAGTCATGTCGGCCATGTCGCTGAGCAGGCTGAGCCCCAGCAAGGTCAAGGAGAGCAAGGAAGAGCGCAGGCTGAGCAAGGCCGCCGCCAAGGAAGCCAGCGACAAGGCCGCCAAGCGCATCTGGGAGTCGCAGAATGCTCCTACCAACATCCTCGACCTGTCCGAGTGTGGCATTGATGAGGTATAGATGGATGTACAATGTGTGTATGTGTGTGTTGGGGTGTGTTGGAGTGTTTGAGAAAGAGTGGTTTTGAATTCTCGTCGATGCGGCTTGCTTTTGCTCCACTCAATCTGAACCAATGCTTGCTTCTTTGGGTTGGTTGATAGTTGCCTTCAGAGACAAATGCGACGTGTAACACATTCCGCAAAGACGTACGGCAAGCAACCAGTCTCTTTTTTCCTTCCTATTGTTGAAGGCAAAAAGGCTAAAGTAAAGTGCGGTTTGGCTGACTTGTGAACGGTGCAGATCTTGCTGGCACACTCCAACCGGATTGCAGTGCTCCCGCCGTCCATTGCGCAGCTCACCAAGCTGACGGTATTGTCGTTTTGTTTTCCGTCATTGTTTTTGTTTATGGAGAGGTTTCAGCACTCTGAAGCATTCATTCTCGTGTAATTTTGCTCTTCATTCACCACCGCGCTGTTCTGCTCTGCGCTGCTCTGCTCTCTCGAGACAGATCTTGGACTTGCATCGCAATGGACTCGAAGTCATTCCCCCCGAGATTGGTCAACTTGTCTCCTTAAAGTCGTTGGACTTGTCGTTCAATCACATTCGCTCGCTCCCGCCCCAAATTGGCAACCTGTCACGACTTTACGCCCTTCGTCTGCGAGGTAGGACACGCCGCGCCCCCCCCCAATCACACTGGATGGTACCTCCCTTCTTTGCATTCATAGCCTCACGTTGATACCAATGCTCGTATTGTGTTTGGCACACTTTAGACAACCAACTGACACACCTGCCGCAGGAAATCCTCTCACTCCAACTGCTTTCGTTGGACTTGCGCGACAACTTTTTGACCCAAGTAAGATACCACTGACATTGGAGGGGGAAGTACCTTTTTTTTTCTGGCGCCGTGGACCGTCTTTGTTCTGAAATCTGATTTTGGCTGTTGTGCTCTGCAGCTGCCGGCCAACATGTACCAAATGACCACGCTCCAAGAGCTGGATCTGATCGGGAATCATTCTCTCGACTTTCCTCAGCAGAATGTGATTGCATTGGGCACTCGCGCAATCATGCAGGCTCTATGCACAGGTACCAAGAATCTCTCGACTTTTTTTTTTTTTCAAAAAGGCCTCTCGTCCCTCTCCCCACATAGCAGCTTACCCTTTTCTTGTCATTGTTTCCACGTTTCATCTACAGCGAAAGGAGTGGAATATGTGCTGCAGACCCATGTCGTGATGGCCGACGTGGCGCAAGCGTCGCCAGGGTTTGTGACCTCGTCGGGCCAAGTGTCGGCGCTCTCATTCACACAAGCAAAGCAGGCAGAGGACGAGGCCCTGATTGAGCGGCACATGCGAGAGCGCCAGCTTGAAAAGGAGCGTGTGCAACAGCGCCAGCTGGATCGCGATCGCGAGTTTGAGGAGCAGGTGCGCCAGCAACGCGCCCTCGACGACCACATGCGCGAACTGAGGTCGCAAAATTTTGCCGCGGTGCTCGCAGAGAACGACCGCCACTCGGAAGTGATGGCCACGGCGCACATGAAAACGCAGCTTCAGCAACAGAAGCTGCTCATCGAGCAAATCCTCAACGCCAGCAACGTCGAGAGCTCTGCCATTCAAATTTCGCTCATCCGTCTCGAAGAGGAGCGAATTGGCTTGGCCATCCAAGAGCGGATTCAGAAAGACAAGAAGCTGCTTGAGGCTGAGATTGCACGTGCATGCGATGCGTCGGAAAAGCGTCGCCTTGATGAAATGCGTCGGGCGCTGCATGAGCGCGAAGCTGCCGAGGAGAAAATGGAAGCTTCCCGCGTGGCCTACGAACAAGAAAAGGCAGCCGCTGCCAAGCGCGCCGAGCAAATGTAAGTTTGTCGGAGGGATGTGGGGGGGGGGGTTTTGTTCGCTGGCACATTTTGAAACTTAGTATTTTTTTTTTTGGCCAAATCTCCCGCGATTTTCAATTTCACGTGCGCGTTCGCAGGCAAGCCGAGTTCCAAAAGTTTGTTGATGGCACTCTGACGGACAAGGCAGATCGGGCCAAGGCTCTGCATGACAAACTCCAAGCAGACCAATCGCGATACCAAGAAGAGTTTGTTCAATGGCAGTTTGCGCGAGACGCCATGTACCAGCAGATCAACATGGACATTTTCACCCTGCAAGAGGATCTCGGTCGCCTTGCGGTTATCGTGCGCCAGAAACGCGATGAGCGGAATGACGCTGATGTCGATTTGTTGACCGAAGAGCAGCATCGTCTCTACCACAAGATGTGCATGTTGGTCGAACAGCAGCGCGCTCGCGAGGGCGAGCTCCGTGTCATGCTGACCAACATGGATGCCGAGTACAAGCAGCAGCAAAAGGACTTGTGGTGCCACGAGTTTGCCAAGCTGCTGGCGCGCCGGCCCGCTGATGTCGACTTTTCCGAGCAAGAGCAGCGTGCCTACGCCAGTCAGTGCAATCCCAGTGTCCTGCGTAGACTGGCCAAGCTCAAGCTTGAGCATCTCGCGCCCATCTTTGGTCGCGAGCACATTGACAAGCGTGCATGGAAAGCGTTGACCGATGTGCATCTGCAAACCATTGGTGTCACTGCTCTCGGCGATCGCCTCCGCATTCTCACGACCTTGTGAGCTGTATATTTAAATCGTGTTGCATGTTGTATGTTGGCTTGTAGGGTTGCCCAAGTGATAAAACGATTAGGTTTTTTTTTCTTTGCTTTGTTCGAAAAACGTTGTTCACGTCGAACACGAGTATGACAAACATTCCAGCAAAGATAAGCACCGACAACCTCTTTTCGAGAAAAAATAATCAAACAAGCAAAACAAAATCAAAACAAGACAGAGAACGGCGGTTGAGGTGCAAACTCGGGACGACGTTTTCACGCTGGAAGGCCGTCGACCAACCCAAAAATCACGGCCCAACCGCTCCACAACACTCTCTTTTGTTGTTGTTGTTGTTTCTGGCACACTGCTTCTGTTAATGCCCGTGGCCAAATCGACGTGATCGCGTATCAAACATGCAATCGGCAGCGAAATTGGAAGGGATGACAGTGTTCATGTAGGCAATCCAGGTGGAAGCGGGGCACTCGGTCGACGGGCAGGCAGGGAGCTGCTGCAGATCGCCATTGTAGAAGACGCGCACAAAGAACTCGCCGTTGACATCCTGCCACAGCTCGATCTGGATGTTGGACGCGTACGGCGGCCAGCGCCAGCCAGAAATGTTAAAGGCGCCCAGAACAGCGCCGATGGTGCTGTCGTGGCCCGAATAGTAGTAAAAGTTGTACTGGGACTTGTTTCCGCTCACGGCAGACTGGAGCGTGTCGCGAAGCGTGGCCGAGAATGCGCCAATGCCAAGCTTGGCCATCACGGTCTGGTTGTAGTTGAGGAAGGTGTAGGCGTACTCCCAGTCGCCCAAGGCGAACGTGCTCTGTGCGTCCTGGGCCGACACACACGGGGTGCCTGGATTCTGGCGAGAGCATGGAAGAGGCAGGTTGTTGCACGTGCGCACCTGCAGGTTGTCGAAAAAGTGATCAAAACCGCCCTGCCAGTCCGTGTCGAACGCGGTGTTGAGGCGATCCAGCAAGGCCTGGTTGCTGGACAAGTGGTTTTGCCAGCCAGCAGACGCGGACATCAAGGCTTGCACGGTTGCAAGGTTGGGGCAGGCGCCGGGATTCGAGGCCATGGTTTCGGCCGAGCTCGGGACGGTGTGCAGCGGGACGGGATAGAGCTCGCCCTTCAGGGTGGGGAAGAGGCCTGACAGCAGGCTTTCGGCAGACTGCTGGGTGCGCCAGTAGTCGGTGCTGCGCGCGTACAAGGTCGGGGTTGCAGGCATGTAGTCGCCCTCCAGGAACTTGAGCTTGTCCACATAGATGCCGCGCAACTGCGAGCCCAGAGTGCGCAGCTGAGTGATGCCCTTGGACGTGAGCTGGCCATCAATGCAGTTTCCTTGCCAAATGGCGTCCTGATAAGGATTCGCCTTATCGAGCAGCGGGAATTTGAGCACATTCGCCTGGGTCAGGGTAGCCGAGCCGTCGTTCGAGGTCATGCCCGACACGGCAAACTCGCTGCACAGGTTGTATGTTGCCGCGTCGTCGGGCATGATGTTGACGGGCGTGCGGTCTCCGTGGCGCGTAATGAGCTGGACTTGCTTGAGCTTGGCGCCCGCGTGCGAGCCCGACGGCAGCGGGTAGCTTGCCGGGTCTGGGAAGTTTGCCTGGCAGTACGAATACGCAGCGTTTGCCTTGTCAGCAGCAGCAGCGGCGGCAGCTGGAGCGGCGAAACCGGCGGCAGCGAGGAGCAGAAGGCCCAAAGTGGATGCGGTCACGAGCGGTACCGCCGACCGCCGACGGGAAGTGCGCGCGGCAGTCATCGTGGATGTGGTGCGCTCTGTCGTGGATGAAAAAAACAGTAACGTTGACGTGAGGAAGGGTTGTGTGAGGTGAAGCGCCTGGGGTGCACCCAGGAACAGACGTAGTAATGCCAGGTCAGCAAAAAAAAACAAGAGCGTTGGTGTTTTTGAAAAAAAAAAACGTAATGGATTTCCAGTCAAATTCAACAAACGGCGTTGTTGTGAACATGAACATTACCACAGCAAAGTACGTACAAAAGGACTGGACTGGATGAATGAATGTCTATTATAACAATAGAAAAGATACGAATGAATGGACAACGGAGACGATCAAAGTTGAAGTTGAAGGAAAGCGGAGAATGCGCAGAAGAACAGTTGACTTGCAATTCCTCTCCTACCGCAAGAGTCAAATGCTGTATGCTCCAAGCCTGTATTCAGCAATCAAACTGAGCGTCAACCAGCTGTTGGAAAAGATGAGACTAAACGAGTTTTTACTCATCAAACTGCCGACAAACACAACCGAAAAGAACAATCACCAATGCGATTAGACAACGACGCCTCGACGCTTCATCCGCTCCATTCATACCGTCCCGAGGTCCGGTACAAGAACCAAAAATCGTCCGAGAAGAAAAGCGTTGGACACGCAAACACAAAGCACACCGACACAAGACACAAAACTCCCATGTTTTAAAAAATAGTTTCTCCGCAAACTCCGGGTCACACGGTTGCTGGCCTCTAAACCTTGGGCGCACTGCGGTCATTCGTCTTGGTCTTGGAAAGACCAGACTTGTTGAAACCAGTAATGGATGAAAGGAGAGCACCACGAGCTGCAAAACCAACCACACACACACAAAAAAAAAACCAAAAGTCAGTCAACCGAAAAGCAAAGGCATTTACCAAACAAGAAAACCGCAGACCAAAACGAATCGAGGCCATACCGGGCTGAGGAGCTGGCATGCCGGCTGGTGGCGGCGGAGGCGGAGCGGGTGCGCCGGACGGTGGCGGTGGCGCAGCAGGCATGCTGGCCGCGGACGCTTGTCTTGAGACGGGAGCGGGAGCGGACGCAGCAGTGACGGTGGACGGTTGCCGACTGACGGAAGCCGGGCGTGAGCTCGATGAGGAGGACGTCGACGGGATGGACGAGAGCGAGCCAGAGCTGCTCAGCTGGTCTGCGAAACTGACCGTTTCACCATTGTTGGCCGCCGTGGCTTCGGCAAGCTTCTTGCGACGCAGCGATTTGCGAACTTTGGGGTCGGCGGACATCTCCTGGACCTTTTCTTCCTGCTTCTTTTCGGCCTCTCGCTCCAGGCGTCGGTACTGGCTGGCACGCTTTTGCTCCTCGACCAACTTGGCATCCAGGTTGCTGCATGCCACGCGCATGGCTTCCTTGACGGAATCGCGCATTTTGATGAGGGTGCGATCCAGGGTCGAGGCAGCCGGCGCCTCGGCAAAGTAAGGGTTTTCAATGAGCTGATCCACGGTCGGCAGCGTGCCATTCTTGCACGCAGTCTCGGACAGGATGGACTCGATGATCTCCTTGAGCTGCGGCGACGTGCTGGGTAATGGCTTCCAATCGGGTGGCAGGATGTGGTCGTACAGTTCAAAGCCCGTGCACATTTCGTACAGAACGTGTCCGAAAGAGTAGACGTCTGCCATGGGAAGGGACGAGATTTTGCGCAGCAGCATCAGGTGTGGTCGATGCTTTGAAGGGACGCCGAGAAGACCGTTTTCAATATCGGTGAGCCTGTGAGTCAAGAGTAGTGGAGTGAGAGGAAAGAAGAGAAAGGAAGAAGGCAAGCACGTGAGACAAACAAGAATGTCTTTGTGGGCAAAAGAAAGTGCGCTGGCCACTTACTTGCAGACGTCCCCATCAAGTAGAATGTTGCCAGAGTGAAGATGGCCGAACGGGATGTTATTCAAATGGAGGAATTTGAGAGCCTGTCATCAAGCCAGCAAACGGTGAGTCAAGTTGACAAACAAGCGTGCCTGTGAAGGTCGCAAGGAGAAGACAAACGCGACTCGACACTCACCTCCAGCAGTTGGCGGCCATATCGCCGAATCGTAACATCATTGAGTTCCGTGCCTCGAGCATCCGCAAAGTACTTGAGCATGAATGGGTTGCGAGGTTTGGAGCAGTTGTAGATACGATCCTTAAGCGATCCCATGGCGCAGATATCGCGAATGACAAGGGCTCCGGATCGATAGTCGATGAAGGAAATTGGGTAGACGCAAGTGACGTGCTACAAGCAAGAGAAATTTTCAATCCAGAGGAGGAGTGTGAGAAGAGGTGCTTCTGAGAAGCAGATTTTGAGTCAACTGAATGGTTGCTGGTGATTACCTTGAGGGCCATGTATACATGTTTGAACAAGCCAGCAATTTTATCGGTTGGTAGCGGCAGTTCTGGCGTTTGGTCGACCTGTCGGTGCGGTGACAGCCAAGTGAGAGATTTGCATCGTGCTGGAAACGTACGAGGATGCAATCAATGCAACGTCACAGCAAAAGAGGTTGGCATTGTTTTACCCATTCGAGCAGCTGTCGGTCACTTCCTGGGCCAGAGAACAAGTAGTAATGCTTGCGAATGCGGGAGCCCATGCGATGCAGAGGTTCGCGAATGGCCCAGGTGGGTTGGGAGCGAAGGAACATTGAAGCATCGCGCAAAGCTTCCTCTACAGGCAACAGCAAAAACAAAAGTGTCAAGGAACAATGAGAATGGCGTGGGATGCGCAGAGGGATGAGCACGACACCGACAGTCGTTTGGCAATGTTGGGTTGTTTTTTTTTAGCTGTTGTTGTTGTCTGTTTTGGAGCAAGACCCCGACACACACACACACACACGAGAGTCAAACAGCAAAGTAACTCAACGTACCATCAAAGCTCCTGTTGTAGTTGTTGGGATCAAGGAACGCCTTGACTTCTTGCAGGGTGGCGAGCGGTGGGAAGCTCATGACTGCCTCCATATAGACCTGCAAGCCTCGGCGGCGCTCTTCGATAAACTCTCGCGTCAGGTTGCCAAACACTTTCTTGGGTGGAAGCGGGAGATTCTTCCTGGGGAAGAGCGGCTGTGCATGGAACAAAGCGAAGCAGAAGGAAGAGCAACTGTGAGGCAACTTTTTGTTGAAGGGCAAAGTGGGCACGTCGTCGATCGCCATCAACAGAAAGGGGAGTGGAAGTTGGATTGTTCTTGCTGACGTATCGCACCAAAACAGCAGCGAACGACACGACCTCGTCGAGGGGGAACAAGTGACACGAACAGGGATGAACTGAGACAAATCATACTACTGTCGGTGATTGGGGGTTGGACCCCCCTCCCCTCTCCCCCGACGCGCGAGACTGGCCGTAACCACAGAGCAAAGTAGTTGTGTCACATCTCTCTCCCTCTCTCTCCCTTCAACGCGTCTTACCTGGATGCGATCGTGAAGCAGGTCAAAGTCGCTGTAGCGCTTTGCAACGCGCCAGCAGTTGTCCTTGTTTGGCCCCACGCTGGACGCGCAGCACGTACTCCTGGCGTTGCAAAGAACGAACAATGTCAGATGCATGAACAACAGCGAATCTTGCTGAACGAGCAGCGCAAAAGCGAACGAGCAACAGAGAAGGAAAAAAGGGGGGGAAACAAGGAATCGAGTCACGCTGGGCGCTTCAAAAAAAAAAAAAAAAAAAAAAAAAAAAAAAAGTCATCATCATAGAGTTATTATTGGTGATTGTCATCATCGCTCAATCAATGCGAAACTCTCAATCAATGCGAAACTCGTTCACTCTCGAACGGCACGCTGGTCCTTTGGTTTACCGTGTGATCTTCAATCTTCTGGGTGCCTTCGACAATGCAGTACAGCGGAACACTGTCGTCGACCACCGTCGCAGTCGCAGGCACAACAGTGGCGATCGTGGCCGTTGCTGGAGCCAAAGCCGTTGCGGACATTGAAAAAATACAATCAAAAATGAAATGAAAAAAAAAAGTAGACTGTTTCCATGTGAAACCAGACAACGCATCATGCCATGGTGCGTTGGAATAAGCTCGGGTCCACTCAAACACAAGTACAAGTCGTGATTTCCTCAATGCGAAACAGAGCAAGCGATCACTTGTCTTTTTTTTTTTTTTGGTTTTTCGTTTCGCATCGCGTCTGCGTTACTTTTTTTCAATTTCGTCCCAACGCTCTCGTGCCGTGTGCCCCCTGCGTCGTCCTTGTGGAATATCCATTGCTTTGTACAAGTTCGTGTTTCATTATCATCATCATCAACATCAAACAAACATCCCTATGGCCCCCGTCCGCAACAAGTCAGCTGGTGCCAGCAAACCGCTCAAAACAACAACGCTCCAAGTGACATCATCGTCGAGAATTGCCGCTGAGGCTCAAGCACCCTTGTCCCAGCCTCCCACCGCCGACGCTATGCCTGTCATTGCTAGAGTTTCGACAGCTCAGTTGCAAGGCAAGGTCAAGGCTTGCGCATCAATGCACCGCGATGGAGCCACTGCGCCAGCAGCTCAGCCACAGCGGTATGCCGGTCCGTTTTGTGCTCCTCCGAAGGCCTCGGCGCTCCCGATGCCTCCCGTTCAATGGCTGTCGGCCAGCGGTGCCTAAACCATTCCACTCCTATTGCTCCTTTCCGGCTACTGTCTCTATTCGGCAACGTCGACACGCTGCTGCTGCGCGTGAATCCCTCGTTTGATGGCGTAATAAGAAGTACTCCACAATCGACAACATGAACGTCGGCTCAAGTCGTCCCATTGCGATCCATGATGGATCGAAATCCCACCGGCCCTTCTCCTGCCGCAATGGACATAATGTTCATCGCGTTACTTGGTCCCTGTGGTTTGATTGACCAGTGTGACTTGTGAGCCCGGTGCAGCAAAAACACTTCTTTCGGCTTGGACTTGTTCGAGCTGCTGCGTTGGTCTCGCACCCCGCTTGCCAAAAGCAAATTTTCAGGGCTGGTGCTAGTGCTGCTGGTACCTCCTGCCACTGCGTCTCAGACGGCGTGCCACAATTCCATGATGGTCTTCGTTGCGCTGAAACCGCAGTTGCTGTCGAGGCTTCTTGTGCTTTCGCCGCCGGTGTCATCATAAACAGCAATTCGGGCCTCTGAGGTTGAGGATGCCTCGCTTCGTGATCATTTCGAGGCTGTCGTACTGCTGTGTTGCGTTGGATCGATGGCGTTTTTGTTTTTGTTTTGTTTTTGGTTTGGTTTTGGGCGATATGGTTGTTTGTGGGTACCATTCCATCCATATTGCATTTAACTGAACGAATTATTGCTTGTTTGCCCTGAATTCCATGATGGGTCTGAACGGCTCGTCGAGTTTGCTCAACTGCGAGCGCCAATATTTTTCACAAGTTACGAATTGCCCATCGACAGTACAACAAGAAATGCGAACGTGGTTCAGTGGCAGAATAGGTCGTTGCCAACGACTTGACCCGAGTCCGATTCTCGGCGTTCGCACGTTTTTTTGCTTTTTTTTTGCTTTTTTTTTTTTTTTTTTTTCTTTTTTTTTTTTTGTCGGCTCTCTCCCTAAACTCTTTCCCACCTCACATCTGACAAGTACAACAACACTGATCAGAAGACTGTGGCGGGTTCCTAACCTTTGATAACTGTTCTTTTGGTCTTTGTTCATTGAAAAGTGAGCGAAAGTTCAAGACGTCGGTCGCACTTCGCCGAGCTCAATCCATCAACCATCAATAAACAGTGCAACGCAAGCAATGCCTAGAGCATGATAACAATCGCTGCTTCTGAGAGTAACAATCGAAACGCACAGGAAAATCCCGAGAACTTTTGGGCGCGAAAAGCTTGGCGACTGGCGTATGTTGCTGGTCGAGGCTATTGGTATTGAAGGCTTCTCAGACAAAACCAAGTGCGGAAATCTCATTGCACAGGCTTCACGCCAAAGCTTTGACATAAGGGAGAGCGTCGCTGCTCTGGGGAGTGCTTGCTGTTCGGACTGCTGCTGGACGATTTCTTCTTGGCGGCTGATTCAAACATGGCTCGCGTTTCGCGCAAAGAGGCCTCGAGCTCTTCAAAGGGAATGCCTTTGACCATGTCGAAGAAAGCGGGCCCCATGACTGGCAGAAGGGTTTTGTAGGTAAAAGGCAGGTTGGCGGCCAGCTCCGCAGCTGTTCTCTTCAGAAGCTGAACCAGGGCAGGTCGAAGCCCGACGACAGAAGGCTGCCTGTGTGGCACGCTGCATCACTGCAGCAGCAAGGCAGTGAGCAATTTGGATGAGATGTTGGACAAAGGTTGATAGAACACGAAAACGAAAAACCAAAGATGGCTCACCGATTTGAAGCGACACGGGTAGACTGTTGTGCAGTGTCGTTGTTATCGATTCTTGATGTCAGGACCCGAGTTTGCGTCCGTCCAGCCGGCGAGGTTAGCCGGTGGTAGTTAATGAGGATTTAGCATATTCTGGTGTATTTGGATGCTTTTGGATAGCTGTCATTGCGCATTTTGTATCAATCAATCGACGTTACCTGGCCAATAGCTCTAAGCCCCAACCCGTGGGAATCGGAGTCTCACATAATGCGCAATCAATGAGGGCCACCTGACGTCGGTTGGATGTGATCGGTGATGGTGAGGTGGACTCTGGCACTCGGCCGCTGAAGCTGTGGCGGTCGAAGGAAGTGCAGGTCCACGCGGTCTCGTGCTGCTTGGTCCGAGCCGTGTTCCAAGTAGCAGGCCTCGCGCGCGCCGCCAGCCGCGAGATGAACAAGTGTAGTCAAGTCGCCCAAGAGCGTAGACGCGTGAAGACGTCGACGCGCCTCGGGTGGAGGCGATCGTCAAGTTGCAAGATTGGAAGAAGCCATGTGGGTTTTCCACCAACGCGGTCGGTCATGGAAGGACAAGTCGTTCGAAGGAATTGCCATGCCTGGTTGGTCTCCATAACACTGGGACAAGAAGGTCCAACGGAAAGGTGCTGGAGAGCCAGAGCTGGGATTGAAGAAGGCTGTGAACATGGATACGTGCGTTTGGCTGTTGAGACGCAAGGTGCTCTTCGCATGAACAAGTTAGGCGGTCTCTACCTCTTGGGTCAAGGAACAAGCTTGTTGGTTCATATTATTTGTGTGTGTTTTGTCAGGCTGGTGTAACGATGGGGAAGTTGTAGGAAGTGTGTTTTGTTTCTGTGCGGTGTAGCCGCAATACCGTATCCAGCACAGCGGAGGTCTGTCGGAGATGGAGTAGAGTGTCAGGACCCGAGTTTGCGTCCGTCCAGCCGGCGAGGTTAGCCGGTGGTAGTTAATGAGGATTTAGCATATTCTGGTGTATTTGGATGCTTTTGGATAGCTGTCATTGCGCATTTTGTATCAATCAATCGACGTTACCTCACCGATTTGAAGCGACACGGGTAGACTGTGCTGTCGTTGTTATCGATTCTTGAGTGAATCCCTTTCAACAAGGGTGTCAAGTCCACGACACAGTACATCTATGGATTGGTTTAGTGAAAATTTCGTGGAGGGCGGAGCGGCGTCGTTTCGCCTTTCTGTTTCAGCATTGAACACTTGTAGTTTCTGAATCACGAAATCACAGACCCGCACCCTTGAACACGACTCATCATGATAAAGTGATATTTCAATCAGACTATTTTCAGATCTCTCAAATATTTCACAATAAATGGGAATGGAGTGGGGGAATCGAGCTATGAAAAATCGCCGTAAATCGCAATTCATCGCTTCATGTCGCACAGGAATACGGGGGCAGCCAATCAATATACAATTGACTTGAAACTATATTTCGTATGATTTACTAGTGGATTTATCGGTAGGAAGAAGCGGAACAAAGGAAAATATGGCGTCCAATCTTCGTCGCTCGACACAACAAGGGTATCGCCGATGTACCGGGTCTGCGAGGCAGCGTCCGACTATTCAAAGTTCGCAGAGGTGCTCCAATACTCAGAATAATTTCGTCCATCGAAGCAAGTGCGCAGCGTCATAGAGAACGGAACGGCGGCAGCAACAGGAGCAGGAGACGCCTGGTTGAACTGGATCTGAATGTGGCACTTTTTTTTCCCATGCAGCCACACGCAAGGACGTCAACACGAAATGAACAAAGCTGACAAAAGGAAAGCAGCCCCAGCGAATGAACAGGCGACAAAGCCACACGACCATCCCGACACGCGGCAACCTTGCCTTCACAGCATCATGAGTTACAACAACAACAACAACAACAACAACAACAACAACAGTCTCATGACATCTTCGTTCACATTCTTCCATCTCTTCGATACTCACTCGGACCATTGCACTAAGCGGAAGATACGCGTGGGGTTGACGATCTCTGTTGGTTGTGCAAGGATTTGTGTGAAACAGATTCAGTCCAATTTTTTTTTTGTCTTTTCGAGCTTTTTTTTGAGCTTTTTTGTTATTTTTTGTTTTATTTCATTCCCACTCCTCTTCTTTGACTTGCCACAAACGCGAGATCATCGTCGACATTATCCGAATTGATCCAAGCACACACACACATAAGCAAACAAATGGCAGACGCTTGCAGCAGGAGTAGCTCAGGTGGCAACTCGCCGCTGATTGGATTGGTCGCGACCGCTAGCAACGACAACAACACGGTCGCAATTGCCTCTGCCACGCTTGCCACAGCACTGGCCTCTCCACTAGAAGCGCTGCCGACCGCCACCCTGTCATGGGCGCTGCTGCTGCTGCTGTCCGCCGTGGTCGCTTTCGCCTTGGTCTCAGGAGCACGAGGGCAATCCAAATCCAAATCCAAATCCAAACCCAAATCCGCCGTGTCTACTTTGCAGCAGCGCCCTTCCGTCCCAGCAACACCAGCAGCCCCGCGCGACTCCTCCTCCGCCGCTCCCTCCACAATGCAAGCAGCCTCCGCACACACTCAGGCCCGTCCCTGCGGCTCTTCAGGTACGTCCCCTTTTCTCAAACATGACACAAACTCTCCCATCATCCAAAATGTTTGAAAATCCCGCTCCGCTCCGCAGCAACCACTCGTTCCTCCGAGTCCCACTTTGTTCCCCCCCACGCCCGCGCCCGCCTTCCCCCTTTGTCAACTATTCTATGTCCATGAGCGAAACACCCAGTGAGCGTGTGAGTTGCTGCTGCAGTGTAGCGGGTGCTGCGGCGCGTGGGAGTGAGTCAAAAGCGCCCAACTCGCCAGCTGTCATTACAAGCCAATCGCGTTGCTCGTTTTGTCGGCTTTTGTTGGATGGCTTCACTCTTTTGCGCACAGAGCTCGTCGGGGGTCTCGATTCGCAGCGTGATTGCTACTTTAAATACGACGAGACGATCATCATCGCCATTGACAAAAGCAAAAGCAACAAGGAAAAAAAAATCAAAAGCGGAAGCGGAAGAGGGGAACGGAAGGCGATGAAAGTGATGAAAGCCGACGAAATGGCACCATGGCATCGGCTGGTGTTAAAAAAACCAAAATCACAATCCCGAGGCGCGGACTAACTATGGCGTGGAGAATACGAATCCATCGGTTGATCGGCTGCATCAGAGAGAGAGAGTTTCATCGAGGAGATCCGAGGCAAAGCAAACACACCAAAAGGAGGTCACAAAAATGGCGCGAGAATTATTAGCTGTAGTCTCCAAATCGAGATTCTCCATCACACGAGCACGCTCAGCTTGCACACAACTTTATAATGGACTCTGTGTGTGTGTGGCTCACTCTTGGTTGTGGTTTGACACTACTTGATCTGGATCTCGATCAGATGGAAAACTCGAAATGCCAAAGCTGTTCACTGCCAGCGAGCTCAAGGCAATGTTCCTTGCGCACGAGACTGCAGACCAAGCTGATGCGATTCACCAGATTGAAATGCTCGAGCGCTCGCCCTCAGACATGCAGGTAAAATGCAACACAATAGAGAGAGAGAGAGAGAAAACACAAGATGTCGCCAAAACACACCATCCTAACTTTGAAAACATTATTCTTTCGCCTCAGTCATGGCCCGCCGCTTCGTGCCCTTTCGCATCCATGATGTCCTCACGCTTGGCAACACCACCTGCACAACGTCCGTCCGAGAACGAAGACGTGCAGGCGCTGCAGGGCTGCTTTAACTATTTGCAGGATTTCCTCGGCAAGCCGCACCCGGCGCTCGGCCGGAAAGGCCCGACCTGCCCTTTTGTGCCGACCGGCTTGAAAAAGGACTCGATTTACGTTGGATCGGTGACGACGACCCCAGCCACCACCAAGGACCAGATTGTCGAGCTGATGCGCGGCTTCCCCGACAAGTTTCTGCAGCTCGAGCCCCGCCAAGGGCCTCTTGTTTCATACAAGGCGATTGTCGTGACCTTCCCTTACATGTCGCTGGCAGACGCACCGCTCCTCATTGATAGCGTGCAGAACGAACTCAAAGCCGAATTCGTTAACAAGGGACTGATGATTGGCGAGTTTCACCTGGCCAACAATGCCTCTAGTCTGAACAACCCCGACTTTTTCCCTCTGCGCACCCCAAAGCCGTGCATTGCCATGCGCTTTATGGTGCCCGGCGATCTTGTCTTCATGTCGCTTGACCAGTATCCGACCTCGATGCGCATCAACCTGCTCGAGTCGTACATTTCCAACCTCACTTCGTCCGGCAACCCTCTCTCCAACAAAGAGTCCGACTTGGTCCACACTGCGCGTGTGCAACTCGATGCTGCCCGTTCAGGCTAAGTCAACTTTTTTCGCCCATTCACTTGATTTTGAGCTTTTTCTTGTAAAACTTTTTTGATTTTACCTCTACTCTTCATAAGGCTGCAGGTTTTGAGACCGTGGCTCATGTCTTTATGTCAAATTATGTTTCTTTGCTTAATTGAATACACGCTTCATTATCCATCAACGCGTTGTCTGTCGATCTGAAATACGTTCAGTCTTTAGATTCCGCGTCTTTTTCAGTGACCCACGACGCCCGAAGAGCCTGAAAAGTTTCAACACACTGCGAGCCTGAGAAAAAGAAAGCCGAAAAACAGTCGAAAATCGAGACACTAAACATTGTTCAAGAACTACAATGTGTTTGGGACAAATAACTGGTACATAACAAAATTAAGACATTGGTATCAAAAATGGACGGCGCGATCGTCGCGCTACTCTGCAAGCAAGTGCTGTCGCTCGTATTCAGAAGACTCGGCTTTGCGCTTGCGCTCAAGGCCACGCGTGACTCCGAGTACGACCATCTGTATCGCGCCCATGCCAATCAGCATGAATCCAAAAAGGCTCGTGCCCCATGGAAAGCCCCATGTGGGTGCGATCGCACCGCCACAGAGAGGGCCAATAGCTTGGCCGAGGGACCCGGATGACGCCAGCAGACCGGCAATGAGATCGCTGAGCTTGTCGCCCTGGTCAAACTTTTTGCACACTGAAATCATTTCAGGCCCGCTGGGCACAACGATGAGTGACATGGCGGCGCCAAGCAAGAGCATTGCAATCCATTCCAGCCACTCGACCGGGACGGGCATGAAGGAATCAAACATGGGCGAGGGACCAATCAGCAGGTAGCAAATGGCAGCCCCGAAAGAGCCGAGCGCCATCATGATGAGCGAATGCCCATTCTTGTCGGCAAAATGGCCCGCCACGGGAGCGAACAGGGCATAGGTACCGGACATCGCAAGGAACATGAGGCCGATGATGCCAGAGCTGTATCCAAACCGCTTCTTGTCGCCAAAGTAGTCGGCCAGCGTCGGGTCAAAGAAGGTGACTGCCGAAATGGTCAGCACAACCGACAGCAATGCAAGCCACACGCGTGGGACTCGCAGCATTGAGCCCAGAGTCGGCTCAGGAGCAAATCGAACCGGACGCTGGGGCAGCGGCAGCTTCTCGGCATCAAGCGAATTGATATCGATGCTCGGAACGTCGTCAAAGTCCGAGAAAGAGTTAATGTCCAAGAGATTATCTGGTACAGTCGGAGGAAGCAAATCACAGGAGGAGTGAGCAACAACGACAAAAAATAAAAGAGAGAGAGAAAAAAAAAAAAGAATGCTGGGCCAATAGGCAATGCATACCATGCGAGGATGGCGCGCCGGCACCGTCCGCCACTTGCACAGAGCGGAGAGGTCGTTTCTTTGAAAGAGTGTGCGGCTCGGCTTCGATATTCCGCACCGTGCTTGCATCGGTCGTCGGGCGCAATTCCGTCCACAGGACGACCGGCATGAGCAGTAGCAGTAAGCCGCCGACAAAGAGAAACGGGGCCATAAACCCTCCTGCGTCGTAGAGGAAGCCGCCGATTGGGGGACTGGACAGAAGGCCAACGCCCTGCGACAGCTCGCCAATGCCAATAATCATGCCGCGACTGTTCGGAAAGTGCATGATGGCGATGGCCAATGCGGACGTCAAGACGAGCGCATTGCCAACGCCCGCCAGCCCGCGCAAAAAGAAGCACGTCAGCACGAACGGTACGCCCGAGGGAGCCTTGTCGGCAAAGGCGAACGCAACGGTGGCGAACGCTTCCACGCACATGCCAATGATCAGGACGCGCTTGCGGCCAATGCGGCTCATGATGGCGCCTGTTGCCGGCGATACGAGGAAGATGCTGAACGAGAAGATGGCAAAGATGAGCCCAGACAGGGACTCTGATACGTCCTTGTCCTTCTTGGCGAACGTCTCAAAGAAGGGCGCCATGATGGCATAGACTGCGCACGCCATGACCTGGACGAGCGACATGGATATCAGCACGAGCTTGGCGTGTCTATTCGGGATGACCTGCTGCTGGTCTGCGCCGTCGTTATCGCCATCACCGTCGCCATGGTGGGCGGCGAGATGGGCCTTGCTGTCGGAGGTGGACTCTGGGTTGACCCCGTCGCCGGCTACGACTGCGGACGACCGGCCTCCAGGCGACGCAGCAGTCTTGCTGCTTGCAACGAGCGGGGCAATGAGGCTTGTGCGGAGGCTCGGGGCGACCGCGTACTCGTCGTCCGAACCCGACGCGTCGAATTCAGACTCTGCCGGCGACAAGAGCTGGTACTGCCGCGGGGTTGTCATACTCTGTCACAAACTGTTGGGACTTTGTGATCGAACCTTTGGTATGAATGGTGAGCGAACAAAAAAAAAGAGACGTGAGCGAACAAAAAAAAAGAGACGGAAAACGAAAAGAAAAAGGACAGAGAGAGAGAGAGAGAGAGAGAGAGAGAGCGGAGGTCGAACAGGAGAATGGAAGGAAGGGAAGGCCCTCGTGTGTGATGGGATTCGAGCAATTGAAACTGAACCAAAGAGAGTGATCTCTGAGATTGGAAGTGACTGACAGACGATAAATGAGAACACACAATTCATGGTTGTTATCCAGCATGGATGATGAAGAAGAAGATCCTCGACAGCGATTTAGCAAGAGAGAGAGAGAGAGAGAGAGAGAGAGAGAGAGAGAGTGAGAGGGGGTGTGGAGCTGCTTTTTTATGTGTTTTTTGTGGGGACCTGGGCGCGTGGCTGCGAGAATGCCACACGGACAACGGACACAAGGTGCGCTCGCAAGTTCAGCGCGCTTACGTCATGGCACTAGAGCCAACAAAAGACAGTCACGAGGTATGCGTGCGATAAGGCAGAATCGCGATAAGAAAGTAAAAAAAAAAATATATGCAAAGATTCAAACAAACTCCGACAAGCATCAAGGTTTCACTTTCATGCGGAAGGGTATGCCATCGAGCTGCAGCTCAATGTTGTAGAAGGGTGTGCCAATGATGTTGCGCTGCCAGGTCACCGGTTTGAGCAATTTGGCAGAAGGTAGAGGGTCTGGCGATCTGTCCAGGCCTGCAGGTCGCGCGATTTTCATGGCAGTTACTAGAATGATGCTTCCTCGAGCTGGCGTTGTCTGCTCTGAAACATACGCAGGCACGCGCTTTCGCAACAATGGATAAATCCACCCTTGCAATGCTGGCTTGACGCGGGCTTTGACCAGCGAGAGCCGTGTTTGGTTGGCGGTTCTCGACCAGTCCTCAACCTTAGCGGCAAGCTCTGGGTCCGCACCATCGCCCTTTGGCCCAAAGTACGCGTTGTAACTCTTCGAAGTGTTGGCGTCCTTCACGAGCGCGACGTTTTCCGCATAATGGAAGCGTCGCGTGTAAGAATGCATTGTCTCTGTGTCGTTCGGCTCCAGGTGGTCAATGACAACCAAAAGCTTGGATGGCTTGTAGACGAGAATTCGAGTGTGGTGGACTCTTTGGTGGGTGGCCAGAAGCGGATTGTCGCCAGCAAAAATGGTAAAACCGTCATGGGTCGTGGCCAACCGAATGGCCGACCCGTACGGTTTGCCAAACTCGCGGCAGGCAGTATAAGGTGATTTGTCTACTGTGACGCCATTATGAGCTTGTGGGCTGAGCGCGTACATTCTGTGATGTAAGCGAGCAACAAATTAAAAAAAAATTAAGAAAATCCAATCAAAACGCGCACAACCAAAGCCATTCTTGTCAACATTTCACCCGTGTCATTCAACCCCAAGGTTGCGCCAACAACCAACACACGCACAGAAGAGCGAAGCACAATCGACGCCTACTTACCTGTTTGGGTCGGTATTCACGTGTGCAAACTTGCCTGGATCGACAATCAGCTGGCGCCCAAACTCGGTCAGCACAAACGACAGCTCGTCTGCATGCTTGTGCGTGCACGAGTAAAACCACGCCGTCATGAACAAGTGACTCTGGGTTGAGAGCTGTTTCACTATCGCCAGGCCAACCGGAGGGAACGACTGCGGCGCCAAGCCATCTTCATGCTGCGGCTTGGCAACGTTCAGAAACTCTTCAAGGGAGGTGTCACCGACAAATGGCACGGGCTGGGCATCATCTGGCGTGAGCATCCAGCCCAAGGCTTGTCGCATACGAACGAGAATGTCGGAACCGAGCGCTGTGCGATTGAGCAGTCCCAACTGGTCGGTCAGCGCGATGAGATTGATCATTGCCCCTTGATACGACACGGAATGTTCCTTGTGCACGCCAGAGGCGGTGTCTATGAGGTTTCCGACATTTTTCGCAAACCGCACGGCCGCTACGTCAGTCCAGTTGCTTCCGTCCGGATGAATCCAGGGCATGGATTGCGACACCAGAAACAGCGCCGTGTCTGCAAATAGACCATGATTGGTCCAGAAGTAGGTGTCTTGTGCAGCGAGAAACAATGCTTGTTCACGCTGGCAAGTCGCCAGCTCGGCGAATTCGTGCTCGGACATGATTTCTGGACCTGCATGGGCGCCGAAATGGAGCAAGCCCATGAGCAACACTGCGCGGGAGCTGACTGCCATGTCATACCAAATGTACTCTCGCGTGGCAAACGCTGCTGTGCCCACCCATGGTGGTGGCAGCGATGCCCACCGTGTGGGCCGAGTATGTCCAAACTTGCCACACCAATCCATGGCGAATGCTTTGGCTAGGAGGAGATAGCTGGGATTCTCCGGGTGCATTTCGTATGCCCGGAGGGAAGGGCCGATCATGTCTGAGGGAGTCGCACAGTGCAAAAGGCGTGAGTCGACGGGGGGGGGTGCCGTGGGTGCATCATCACAAGTTTGGACAGGTCTAGCGTGCTCACCTTTTAACGAATGCAACCACATTCGCCATGATCGATCCTTGAAAGGATTCATATGCCAGTCGACCGGGAAGGTAATGTTGATGCGATGCCTGTTGAGGTTCATTTCAAAGCCGCGTGCTGTTTTGTGCGAGAGCAAAGTGGTTGTTTGCGGGTCTGTGGCAAACAATCGTACTACGCGTATTGGCCTTGCTCGGAAACAATCGATCGCCGCTTTCGTGGTCGAAGGGTCGGAGGGCCGAAAGACAAAATGGGTGCACACTGTTGTTGCGTTTGACAAGCTGGTCGGGGTGCTCGCAATTTCGCTCCTGGATGTTGCTGCAGATAGCGTCTGATGCACACGAGTATCAGCGTGACTTTCAATGGCGGCGTACGCGGAGGAATCTCTTCGATGATCCACGCTGGGCCAGCCATGAGTACGCGTGCTTGCCAAGTACAGAAGGCCCAATACCAGTGCAGCCAAGAAAATGTCTCGCCGGGTTCGTCTCAGACAACTTCTGCATGGATCCCAAACACACCAATCGACAAATTTGCAGAAAATTTGTGAGTCAGGCAGCCACAAAAAGAATAGTAAAAGTGATGTTGTCAAGTTGCTGAGACGTGTCATTCGCATGTGCGAGCTGAAGGAAGGGGGTCTCTTCTCGTCTGTGCGCCTCTAACAGCGGAGGTGAAACATCATCTGAGCGAGTAAGTCTGCCTGCATGACCGCTCAGCAGACGCGAGAGCGAGAGACCGCGAGAGAGAGCAGCAATCCCTCATGTGTCAAACTCATCACGCAGCAATGCGAACAACCTCGCGAGCCGCGATCGCTCGTTCGCTCCCTCGAATCGAGACTCAAGCTGTGTAGTGTCATGGTTACTGCATTCTGAACGGGTTTCAGTGGCGCGAGGCGTGGAAGGGAGGCAAAAGAGGAGGGGGGGGGTTTTGACGTTTGACGCTCGTTGATGCTTCACGCCCATGGTCGATCCAGCTCCAAGCAATAGTGACCATGATCAGCGACTAGATAGGAATGGGGGTGGGGGGTATGAACACGATATGGGAGCGTCGAGCGTTGAAAAGTTGCGGCATCTCAGCCAGTTTGAATTCAACCTTAACCGAATTGCCATTTGATCCAGCAAGTGATCCACTTCTAGGAACACAAAACGAAAACTGGCGACGAAACGCAAGCAGACTAGTACTGGCGCTTATTGGTATGAGAGAGAGCGACACTGGTGCTTAGTCGGGATTCAATTGTACAGTATTGAACACTTAGCTTCTGTGTTTGTGATTGTGTTTCTCAGACTATCTTTTGCATTGGTGTTTCTCAGTCTTTATTTTTATTTTATTTTACATTCTCGTTGAGCTTCACTTCCTCTTCTTCTTCTTCTTCACTGCTGTTCGCTTGGGTTGCAGTCACAGATCTGAGGAATGAGCTCCATCGCTGGCGAACAACAGCCCGAGTTTGAGGCTGTGCGTCATGCGAGCCGCGACCTCACCAAAGCCATCCAACTCCGCGTACGCAGTCCCCTCATCATTTGCTGATTGCCGCCGCCGAGTTGTCGGGGAGGGGGGGGGTTGCGAGGACGCCTGTTTGTCGTATTCACTCTCTGAGATTGCATTGCGCATCGTTTTGAACAATTTCAATCCGACACTATTCGTTCATTCAATGGCCAAACCCACTTCCACTCTCGTTCCCTCCGATATTCATGCAGACTTCGGTGCGTTGGATCAACTTGCATCTCGCCACCCCGCTGCCAGCCGCGACAGAGGTCAAGCCAGTGGAAAACCTCACAACCGATCTCATGGACGGCACCGTCATTGTCGTCCTCGTCCAGCGCCTCGGTGAGTTTGTCGGTTTTTTCAACAAAAAAAGAAAAAAAAGAATTTTACACTGTGAATGACTCATTGCGCGCATTTGGTGGGGGTTTGATATTGTATGGTACAGGTAAAGAATAACAGGGCACTATGCTTTTTGTACGGTTTTTGTTTCGATGTGAGCTCACCAACCATCCGAAATCTCGTCCTTCAGCGAATCGCAAGGTCAACCGCAAGTGGCATCGAAATCCCCAGCAACGAATTCACATGACCGAGAACGCTCAACTGGCCTTCCAGCTGCTGGATGATTTTATCGATACGTCTGGGCTGAACAGCAACGGCAAGTGGTTTTTTTGTTTTTTCGTTTTTGAGGGGCAAACTGCTCTCAATCTTCCATCAGTTGCGCACGCCATCTCACCACGAACGATTTCTCTGCTACAGGCCTCGCCGACAAGGATGAAAAGAACAACCTCGCGCTGATCTTTCAGCTCATGTTATACTTTGAAGTCACCAGCAATGTTGGCCGCATGCTGCTGCCTGACTCGGGTCACGATTCCCACGGCACAAAGGGATCACGGCCCACAGTAAGCGAGCTGAAACATGCCTTGCTTGGTTGGCTCGGTTCCGTGACGGAGCAGGACGTGAAGAGCTTTGAAAGGTACGGGCGAAATTGGATGTTGGGGTTGATCTGGCGTGCCACGCATCTTTCTCGCGCCTCCAACTCAAATCCACTGTAGTTTTGCAGACGGTACCTTGTTCATCAAGCTTGTGAACAGCGTCTCTTCCAAGGGTATTTCGGACTCGGTGAGTGTTTTTGGCTCGTGAACCCCGTTGACACACACTTGGGTATGGCTCTCATCGGTCCGTTTTGCTACGTTTTGCTACGTTTTGCCGAGACAGGAAATAAACAAAGCGTCGAATTCAATCGATCGCATGAAGCTGGCCTTTCAAGCTGCGCAGGATCAACTGGAAATTCCAGCCATTTTGGATGCCCACGATTTGACAAGCGTCATGCCGCACGGCTCAGATCACGGCTCAGACCACGGCTCAGACCACGGCTCAGACCACGGCTCAGACCACGGCTCAGACACCCAGGGCTCCGGGGGTCATGGCGCTGATTGGAAAACACTCTCCCCTGCCAAACGCAACCACCACGCTGGAAGTGCCGAGCAGCGCTCTGAGGTCGAAAAGTCAATCATGACATACGTCTCCATGTTTGTTCCATTCCGCTCTCGTGCGGAAGACCCCAAGCACATCCCTGGGCAAAGCCTGCCAAGTCGGCCCAAACCTGTTGCTCGGAACGATCCGCCAGCCGCAGCACCGACTCACCCTGCTGGACTTCTTTCGCCGGTTCCTGCGACCTCGCAGTCCCGAAGCCGGTCGACGAGTCCAACTCCGTCCAACAATCCCATTTCGCATCCCAAGGACTCGTACGGCGTACGAAGCCCAATCAACGAGGCAAAGTCGCTTCCTGCTCCCGTTCCCGACAACGTGGAGGCTGCTCGATTGAAAGATTTGCGAGACCTTTTCGAGCAAAACACCACTTTGAAGACGGCAAGCGCGATATTAAAGGATCGGCTTGAGCAAGCAGAAAAGCAGCTTGCCGAGCAGGTGGCCAGTATTCATCAGCTTGAAACGGCCAGTGCACAAGAGAAGAGTCGAGCCGAAGATGCCACCCACCAGATCGAAGAATTAAGCCGCAAACTTGCCAACACTCACTCGAAAGCGGAGCTGGCGGAAAACCGCTTGAAGCAGCTCGGCGAACAGCAAGTCAAGACGGAATCAGAATTAGTCGATGCGCAGAACAAGCGAATGGAGGCTGAGGATAAGGCTGCTGGTGCCGCGACAAAGCTGGCCGAGTCTCAGTGCCGACTCAAAGAAGCCGAGAGCAAGCTAGCGGATGCGTCAACCACTGCCGATGAGTTGGCCGAAACCCAGCGCAAGCTCAAGGAAGCCGAGAGCAAGATCGCGGATGCGTCCACCGTTGCCGATGAGTTGGCCGAATCGCAGCGAAGGCTCAAGGAAGCCGAGGATAAGGCGGCTGCAGAATTGGCAGAAACACAGCGCAAGCTCAACGAAGCCGAGAGCAAGATCGCGGATGCAACCACCGTTGCTGATGAGTTGGCCGAAACCCAGCGCAAGCTGAAGGAAGCCGAGGATAAGGCGGCAGCAGAATTGGCAGAAACACAGCGCAAGCTCAACGAAGCCGAGAGCAGGCTGTCAGATGCATCAACCACTGCTGATGAATTGGCCGAATCGCAGCGCAAGCTGAAGGAAGCCGAGAGCAAGATCGCGGATGCGTCCACCGTTGCCGATGAGTTGGCCGAATCGCAGCGCAAGCTGAAGGAAGCCGAGAGCAAGATCGCGGATGCGTCCACCGTTGCTGATGAGCTGGCCGAAACCCAGCGCAAGCTCAACGAAGCCGAGAGCAAGATCGCGGATGCATCCACCGTTGCTGATGAGTTGGCCGAAACCCAGCGCAAGCTGAAGGAAGCCGAGGATAAGGCGGCTGCAGAATTGGCAGAAACACAGCGCAAGCTCAACGAAGCCGAGAGCAAGATCGCGGATGCATCCACCACTGCCGATGAGCTGGCCGAAACCCAGCGCAAGCTGAAGGAAGCCGAGAGCAAGATCGCGGATGCATCAACCACTGCTGATGAATTGGCCGAATCGCAGCGCAAGCTGAAGGAAGCCGAGAGCAAGCTAGCGGGTGCATCAACCACTGCTGATGAATTGGCCGAATCGCAGCGAAAACTCAAAGAAACCGAGAAAAAGCTAGCGGATGCGTCAACTGCCGCTATCCAGTTGGCCGAAACGCAGCGAAAACTGAAGGAAGTCGAGGCCGGTGCCGCAATTGCTGCTGCCGAGGAGAAAGCTGCGAACGCAAAGATTACCGCTGAATTACAGCACAAACTCAAAGAGGCCGCCACACAGCACGCTCAATCGCTTGCCGACGTGCAAAAGCAGCTGAAAGAGTTCAAGGACAAGGCAATGCGGGAGTCGAATGCAGCGAGCGAGGCAGAACCTCGCGAACGTACCCATGTTGCAAAGCTTCAACAGCATGCCGACAATGTTAGCGCAGAGCTTGTCGCCACACAAGCCAAGCTGAAAAGCGCCGAGACCCTGTGCACGGAGCTTCAAGCTAGCCAGAGGCAACGGGAAGCTGATGCAACTGTTCTTGAGCAGCGACTGGCCGACGAGCACGAGACCAACATTCGCGCGATTCACAACAAGTCGCAAGAGCTGCAAGAGCAAATCGAACAAATTTTCCAGGACTCGGCATTAGCATCCAAGCAGTCAATGATGTCTAGCTCGTGGCAGATTGCGAGCTTTGTTGCCTCATGTCTCGTCGTTGCCATCGTGCTGGTGCTTCAAGCGCTGGAGTGGCGCCCTCGTCCGACTTGATGTCGGTTGATTCGGTGCTTGGGGGTTGGTGAATGAATGAAACAATAGACACCCGAACAGTCATCATTGGTTTGTTTTGACTTATTTATTGTTGATTTTCAATGCTAAATTCGGAAACGAAACACAGCTCCAACAAAGTGGAAAAGGAAGAGTTCATGGTCGCGAATCAGACTCGCCCGAAACGATACTGTTCTTGAGGGTTTCAGCGATAGTCTGTCAACAGAAATGGGATTGGAGGGTGAGTGACACAATTCCACAAAACAAAAGTACGAGGGAGTACACAAATGTTCTGTGCAAAGAAGCAAAGTAAGAAGAGCCCTACCTGTGAAACATTCACGCCGGTAATCGTTTCAACCATTTCGGGCAGCTTGCCAATCATTGAAAGCACCTCCGCAGTCACAAGCCCTGGACCGGCTGGTCCGTTGTTTGAGACGATGGTCATACCACCATTCGCTCGAGCAAGAGGAGCAGAGAGCTCAGAAGCAACCTTTGGCAGCATCTGCAGGACCATATCCACCAGCGCAGCCTCTTTGTAGTCTTTCCAGGCCTCGGCCTTCTTGGTCATTTCCTCCGCTTCGGCGCGAGCCTTCTCCCGGATGGCAAAGGCTTCGGCTTCGCCGCGAGCACGAATGGCCTCAGCCTCGGCTTCGGCTTCGAGCAGCGCCTTTTTGCTCTGCGCCTCTGCTGCCGTCTCAATTTGGTACTTTTCGGCGAGGGAGGGCTTCTTAACTCGTGCGTCAAGCTCCTTCTCCTTGCGCAGGGACTCTTCTTTGGCCAGCTGAATCTGGCGCTCACGTGTGAGGACCTCAATGTGCAGCTGTTCCTCACGAACGGCCTGGGAGGACTTGATGGACTGCAGCTGGAACGCGAGGTCGGACTGCGCTTGGCGTTGGTTCACCTCGACTTGGTAGTGGAGTTGCTTCACCTCAAAGTCACGCGCGGCCCGAGCGACGCTAGAATCGTTTGTGTACTTGGCTTGCAACTTGGTGAGGTCGGCTTGAATGGACTTGATGGCGCCATCCGAGTGAGCGTTGGCTTCGCCGATCGCTGCTTGGCATTGTGCCTGCGCTGTTGCGGCGCTGCCAAGCGCTTGTTGGTAGCCAACATCGTCGCTCCACGTCTTGATGGTGTAAGACATGATGGCGAGGCCCATATTGGCAAAGTCTGTTGCCGCGTGATGGAAGACAGCCTTATCAAACTTTTTGCGATCACGGTAGATCTCTTCGACCGTCATTGTGCAGAGAATGGCGCGCTGATGGCCTTCCAGCGTCGCGCGGGCAACCTGTGCAATTTGCTCCTGCGTCATGCCCAAAAAGTGTTGGACAGCCAGTCGTAGCATGTCTCGGTTTGCTGATTCAACTTTGACCTGAGCAGAGAAGAGACACACACACATACCAACAAGTGAGAAATAAACACACCAAAGAGTTACTCGATCGATCGAGGAGCGGAAAAAGAGTACCTGTGCCGTTCCGATGAGTGAGACGGGGACGCCCTCTTGAGTATACACTTTTTGAGAGTCGATTGAAATTGTCATGACATTTAAACGGATTCTGTGTGAGTGAGAAGTTGTTGAAAGTGAGTGGAAATTGCATGGCAAACCACAACCAAAATCAAAATCAAAATCAAAATCAAAACAAAAAAGAAAAAAAAAAGAAAAAAAAAAAGCAACGTCACAAACAAATGCATTGTTTTTGCATTGTGATGGATCATTCGATGGGCCGTTTCACGACCAGAGCAGGCGCCCGTCGCTCCCCCCCCCACGACCCACAAGCCATCTTTCCCCTTTTGAGGTCGCCCTCTGATGTGGCTGAAAAGCAGTGACCAGTCGGGAGGAATAGAAGCAGGGCAGCATCGCATTTGTTGGTATTGAACTTTTTTTTTTTTTTTTTTGTGTTGTCGTTCAATGTTACCGTTTGACTTCTTGGACGCATGACCAGTAGAACAAGCGACCTCCGACAATGATTTGTGGCTCCGAGATGCCCATGCCTGCACAGCGACAGAGGGTACGCAGCCAAGCAACGCAGAGCAAGCGGATGGTGAGTTGAAAATGCACAACGGATTTTCAAAAAAAAAAAATCATGGAAAAGCGTTCAATAGAAAAGCATTGAAAAAAACGAAGGCAGCCGCAGGGTGACCAAGCGACCGAGAGAGCGGGCGACAGCACCAAAACGCGCATAGAAAGAAGGAAAAAAAAGAGCCAGAAGGAGAGCGAGCGAGGTACCGTAAGCGACGACCGCTTCGTCAGGACCGCCGATCGCAAATGGCATTGCAGCACTGAGAGAAGACGACTGTGAAATCTCAGAAATACTGTATGTAGTGCAGAAATATACACACACATCAAACCAAAATTACAAGGACATAGCTCTGCTGAGAGAACAGGCAAAAACAAGGAAATACTGCTGGGTGCTTGAAACCCAAGTTTGGCCTCGCTTTTGTCTTGAGCGTGATTGCAACATCCAGATCAAAACAACAAAAATTGTATTCACAAGCACAGCAAAACAACATCCCTTTTCACGATACAGACAATGATGGTGCAGCAACTCTGCACAAAAGAGTTCCGAGCGCTCGGACTTGGAAATCATTCGCTTCAGCTCCAGTTGAACAAGCCTCGGTTGAATGTCAATTCTATATTAATCAAAGCCCGCAGGACCGGCGCGACGACGACAGGAGGCGGCGCTACGGCGGGAGGCGGCACTACGACGGGAGGCGGCACTACGACGGGAGCTGGTTTCGGCGTGACCACAATGCTGCCGTCGCGCACGGCCAGATCATAGTTTCCTGGAACGAGAGGGAGAGAGAGGATTGCCGGCCCACGATCCATGGTAAGCACAGGTTGTGAAGTGAATAAAAGAAGAGTGCGGTCAACGTTTTTGGGGGTTTTGCTGTTTGCGGAAAATAGCTCTTGATCTGCACTGCAGAAGTTATGAGCTGTGCCTCAAGCTGTAGTTCTGAGTCATGCCTTAAGATGAGAACAAAAAGTTGTATTTATTCACAAGCACAGCCCAATAACACTGGACAGGCAACGATGGTGCAACAACTTGGCGGGATGTCCAGCACGGTCAAAGATTGTCACCACAAAATTCTTGGAAATCATGCGCTCGGGTTGGACGGGCCTTGATTGAATGTTACGTTAATAGAGATAAGAGCCCACTGGGCCGGCGCTACGACGGGAGGCGGCGCTGGGACGGGAGGCGGAGCTTCATAAGGAGCAGGTTGCGCCGTCACCACAACGCTTCCGTTGCGCAGGTTTACCGCACAGCGATCCGCAGGTAGAGGGAAAGAAGAAATTCCCGGCTGTTTGGATGCGCTACCACCCATGGCAAACACAGTTAGTAAAACGAATCAAAGAAGAGTGCGGTGGTATCCTTTTTTGGGGCGACTTCAATTTTTCCGAGATTTTGCTGTTTGCGTTCCATACGCTGCGTCCGAAACTACAGCCAAAGACAAAACTCACACTGTAGTTGAAGATTGCAGCGAGCTGATCTTTCATGGCGTTTCACCACTGCCTTATTTCGAGGGTCTGTCGGATGCAGGTACATGCGCAACGCAACGACCAAAGAGGCCCGAGACAGGGAGGGGTGTTTTGTGATTCTCGTCTGCTGTAACGTGAAGCTGTACAGTAGACTTGATGTGCGCTTGAAGCAGTAGAGATGAGCTATGCCGTAAGCTGTAACTGAGGCAGTGGCTGTAGAGCAACGTAAGCTGTATCTTAAGCTGTAGCTGTAACACTGTACTCTTGGGTTGTACCTTAAGTCGAGAACAACGTTGTATTATTCACAAGCACATCAAAGCAACATTCCTTTTTCAATAGACAGACAATGATGGTGCAACTACTCGGCGGTACTCCGCACAAGCACAGATTTGACACGAAAAAAACTTCTGGGCTTCCTAGCGCTCGGACTTGGGCATCATTTGCCACCGCCCCTTGAAGTTGTGCTAATAGCGACAATCGCATACGGGGGTGGTGGTTCGGGATGATTCGCCACGACAAGTACAGGGTATCCGTTGCGATAGGTTGTGGTGATAGCTCCCTGAGTGACAACCTTGAGTTCCCCCTCTTTGGATCCCCCACCACCCATGGCAAATAAAGTAGTAAACTGAATAAAAGAAGAGTGATCTCTCATGAATATTTTGCTGTTGGCGTTAAATACTCTTCTTGCACAGCTAAAGACGACGTCACACAGTAGTTTAAGATTAGATCGAGGTGATGGTCAATGGCGTACTGCTAGAGACCAGGTCGGAAACAGACTGGGGCTGCTCTACTTGATGCTCTGTCGATACATGTATGAGAGGAGCTGTGGAGATATCCATTCTGTGACAGAGAGGACAATCTGCGCTGATTCTCGTTTGCTGTACTTGACGCTGCAGTCGTGAGATGAGCCTGAAGCGGTATCTTACCCTGTATCTGAAGCTGGAGCTGTAGCTTTAGCTGTAACTTTAGCTGTAATTTTAGCTGTAACTTTATCTGTAACTTTCGCCGTAACTTTAGCTGTAACTTTCGCCGTAACTTTAGCTGTAGCTTTAGCTGTTGGTCTGCTTCCTGAAAAATTCTATTGCAGTTTTCGGTAAGCGCAGTCATTTTGCAATCACAAACACTCGTGAATGGGTGTTATACTGGCCAAACTTCAATGGCTGATCTTTTTGCCGATCACAGCCGGCTTGGCTCTCAAGGGCTTTTGCACAAGGATTTTCACAAGGATTTTCACAAGCAAACCACCCGTGCCCAGCACAACTGTTCACCAAGTTGGAAGCGACTTGCATGTCTACAACAATGGGGTTCCTGTGTTAGTGCTTCCGAATGGCTACCAAAACAATCCCGCGCCACCGCCGCCGTATTCGTCGTAATGTCGGCAAAACACGCGCATGGTATTTTCCTGCCACTCGTCGCTAGGCGATCGATCAGCCAAGAGTGCTTCCACCAATCCTCACATGTTGCCAGTGTTTCACTTGCTGAGTGTCATTTTAAATATACGAGGCTGTTTTTTTAAAAAGGTAGAGTGAACCCCCCAAAATATGTCGTTCATATCCACCACCGTGTCCTACGTCGCTTTCCGTCGCTGGTGCTCTGATTGTGTGGTTTACACCATGCCATCAGTGTGCTCGAGGCTCGGGGGCGCAGCGGAAGTGCGTTGGGCGGCGGGGCGGAGCGAGAAAAGGAGCAGTTTGTGTCGCGATGTGATTTCTCAGCCAAGCTTTTCCCAGCCCTCAATCTGTGCCACTGCTACATTCTGTTGCGGGTTCATCTTGTCCAACAATAATCGGGCCGCAGTAGAGGGCGAGTAGCCCCAGCACGCTTGGTTAAAAAAAAAAAACCAAACAAACAAAAAAACAAAACAAAAAACCAAAAACAACTCTTGCATGTCCAAACCGAGTGCTGAACTGTTTTATGCACTCTCTCAGCTTCCGGCTCCTCCTGCCCCTACCAGCCATTGTCCCGATCTCCGATCTAAAGAATTATTTGATGTGGTGTGGCAGCCCGCTGACACTGATCTGCTGCGACGAGGTTGCGTTGACCGTCACACCTTCTCGCGGCCGTACAGGCGCCGGCGAGACAGCAGCGTGTGGTCTGATGCACCGAGTGGCATGGACACATGGTCTACTCTCTCGGGAGGGGGTTGCAGGGCAGGGGAAAACAATTGCAGAGCTCAGCGACGCGATGGGAGTGAATCACATGTTGCCAGTGTTTCACTTGCTGAGTGTCATTTTAAATATACACGTTTCTTCTAAAGATGCGCCCCTAATTTCCAAACGATGAAACGAGCAAGGAATCTCACCGCTTGCTCGATTCCTAGCACTGTTCAACTCGAGCACGAATCCTGTGAATCAGAAAGTACCCTGTGAATCAGAGAATAGATGGTCGACCGTACTGGCGAAATGCACAGTTGCCACACCCACAACAACAGCATTTGCCAACAAGGGGCGCTTATCCGCTGAAAGACCGTCAAGGACTCGTCCCTTCCATTCGGTGTCACGGATGACGAGGTGCGTTGGGTTTAATCTGTTCAAGGTAAGCTGTACTCTCTAGCTGGAGGGGAGCTTGTTCAGCTGGAGGGGAAAAGTGGACAGCTTCATTCGCTTGAAGATAGTTAGCTGTATGCTTTAGCTGTTGACAGTGCCTTTTCCATTCAAATTGCGCTTCTCGATTGAGCTCAACGTCAGTCGTTGTTTGTTATATTCTTTGCAGCATTTTCACCATGGGTGGCGCAGCATCGTCAGAACCCGAACCCAAGACAATTGTTGTCGCCAACGGGAAGAACATGGCCGTCTTGTACAAGGGACAACATGTCCTCACCGTTACGGATCAACCTGGCATGGTTTATGGTGCAGCAACTCTACCCGCGCCGGTGTCCACACTTGCGATCAAACCAAAGTAGCAGGGCCATCCATCGCCGACATGCTCTTTCTTTCTTCTTGCTCCTTCTTGCTGCTGCAGCTGCAGCTTGTTGTTGTTGTCTTGTCGCCAGTTCCTTTGTGCTGCTTTCGAATGTTGTGAATACAGTGGATTGTTGTCGCACGATTTCCGCATTTGTCCACAACCTTACAAACTCGCAACGAGCCGCATGATAAACCATACCAGAGTCTACCGCAGCTAAGTTGCTCAATGCCTTGTCTAGCTATAGTCGAGAACCACCGTTGAGCACTGTGGAGGACGGTAGATCGCCATACAGCCAAGCGCACAGCTAAAGCAATTGTACGAAAAGTGTTTTGACTGCTGAATTCATTCGAGCAAATTGTTGCACATGAGCTATGATTCCTCTGTGATTCGACTTAGCTCGTTTATTGTTTGTGCAGTCTTTCATTGTGTGCCATTGCTTCTCCTCTAGTCGATGGGTGTGAAGGGACTCTGGACGATTCTCGATGCCGCGGGCCAATCGGTCAATCTCGACACGCTCGCCTCGCATGTGCTTGCGATTGGTACACGCAACAGCCTCTCTCGCCACCACCCGCGCATCATCCACGCTTCTTTATTGACATTTGGTACTTGCGCGTGTGCTTGCTTGCTATGTCTGGCATGCTTTTAGACGTGAGCATCTGGCTCAACCAGCACATGAAGGCCATGCGCGACGCTGAGGGGAACGTCATCCGCAACGCGCACCTCATCGGCCTCTTCCGCCGCCTCTGCAAGGTCAGAATGAATGTGGTTGTGTTTGTGATTTGTAGGCGTCGCTTGCTCGCTTGGTCGGCTCATTCTCCTGCTGCTGGACCACGATTGCGCTACGTCTCTTTCCCGCCAAATTTTGATGACCGCCGGTCCTTGTGCCCTCCACTCTGCTTGGATTCGCCGTTTCGGGATTGTGGCGCACCCATCATAGCTCCTGTACTATGGCATCAAGCCGTTGTTCGTGTACGATGGCGGCGTTCCCGCACTCAAACGCCGCACGCTGGTCCGTCCCGTTGTTGTCGCCGCTTTTGCTCGTTGGTTGCATTCGCACTGATCTTGCTCTTGTTTGACGATCGTGTGTTGCGTGCTTCATCATTGACAATTGTAGACGCCACCAAAAAGACCTTGCCCAAGACTCGCTCAAGAAGACGGCCGAAAGGCTGCTGAGCAACGAGCAACGCGCTGAAACGGCAAATGCTGGCTGCTGCTGCTGCTGCTGCCATCGTCGTCAGCAGCAGCAGGATCGTCAAGTGGAGCTCCGCAGTCAAGTGGAGCATCGGCATCGTCTTCCAATCCGGATCGCAACCGCGCACCACCGATCGCTCGTCCCAAATCCTCAGTGGCGGCCACCGGCACCGATGCACAGCGCGCTACCGAGCGAGCCTATGCTGCTCTCAAACAAAAAACCTCCCGTGATGATGCGGATGATGTATTTGCTTCCTATTCTCGGTCCGAATCGACGGCCGCCACTCCCTCCCAACAGAGCATGCCTGCCAACGCTCGTGGCGCAGACGAATACGAGGAAGAGGATGACGAAAACGGCCAGGATGATGATGCTCGGCACGAAAAGCAACTCGTGTCGCAGTTGGACACTCAACCTAGTGCCCTGATTCGATTCGATGCCCACCGATTGCGGTACTGGAAGCAGCTCTCACGCGTCGACACATCCTCGCCTGAATTCCTCGCTCTGCCACCGGAAGTGCAGCATGAAATCCTCACCGAAGTCAAAGAGTACCGTCGACGCACAGCCTGGGCTCGGTTTGATCGGCTACAAGCGAAGGCCACAACGGGCGGCTCCTTTTCCGATTTCCAGGTGCAAAATCTTCTTCGCAAAAACACCATTTCCCAGCGGCTCGACACTCTCGAGAAGGCAATGATGACCAGCAGCTCGTTTGATTCTGGTATCGAGCTTCGGCGCGTTGCTGGCGAAGCAGACACTGAGATTCTCTTGCGCAGTAAGGGGATTCACTCATTTTTAGGTTTTGATGCGTTATGACGAGGGAGCGGCGTGTCGGGGACGCTTTGATGATGTGCTGCGCAACTTTCTCTTTTGGGTATGATTTGCTGAAGTTTGGACGTGATTTTGCTGACTTTTGGTTTGGGTGTACTGCGCGTCAGCTCGTTCGGTTGATTCGGTTCAATCGGGGCCTGCAGGGACTGTCGCCCTCAACAACAAGCAGGAAGACAACAACGAGCACATCACCCAAGAGGACAGCATCTTGGCTGTTGTGAATGAGCTGATTGCCAAGCGTGCCAGATCGTCCAAGGCACAACAAGCTCGCGTGCAGGCCCCTTCGACTTTGGCTCGCGTCCCAACCACTCCAGCACCACCGCTCTCGTTTTCAACGGATTTTCGCAGCACTTTAACCAAAGAGCCTCCTGCGCTCGATGCCGAGATTTCGGCTGGGGCCATGTTTGATGACGAATTTGAGCCGCTCGAAGAGGATGGATCGGGTGACGATTTCGGCGGACTCTACAGCGACAGCGACAGCGACAGTGACTTGGATGATTTGGACAGGGCTGTTTCTGCTGCTATGCATGACGATGACGACAACGACATTGCCGTTCTTCAAATTGAACAGGCTCATGCGGGTCTTCCGGCACGTCGCGGAGATGCCCAAGAGGATGCGGAGCTAGAGTACGCCAAAGCCCTTTCGCTGGAGGAGGCTGCCACTGCCAACAAAGCCGCTGCGAGAGCAGCGTTGGCTGCCGGCTTGACATTTTCCCATGATGATATCAGAGGAGCCTGTGAAGGAGACGATGACCTCTTCTCTGCCGATATGTTTGTCCCCGTCACTGACGACCAACCGTCTTCATCTGTCGCGGGCGAAGCGCACATGGAGCAGTTTGATGAGAGCGACGAGCAAACGATGCTGCCGCAATTTGTGCCCTTGGCCAAGCCGTTTCGATCTGTGGCCTTCTCGCAATCTTCCGAGTCAGCAAAGCCACCTCCGCCAAGCTCGGCGACTCACATGGTTGTTTCAGACGACAGTGAAAGTGAAGAGGACGAGTCGTCATCAGTGTCGGCACCAGCCACCGTTGCCGCATCTTCAGCGTCTTCCTTGTCTGCTGCTGCTCCTACTGCTGCTGCTGCAGCAGCAGCATCATCTCCATTGCTTTTCACTACGGTTACCCCGACGCGCCAGGCGTCGACTTCATCTGTCAACGTGAACGCTGAGCCTGCCGAAGGACAAATCCCCGTGAGCCGTTCTGCCAATTCAGCGACTGCTGGTTCTGCTGATACTCTTGTTGCTTCTGATGCTACTACTCCCGCTGCTGCACCCATTGCTACCACTGATGCAACCGAGACTCTGACCCCGCCGCCACTTGCTCAAGGCAAACCTGCCCCAACGCAGTCCAGCCAGCCTGTAGGATTGCCAATCCTTGCCTCTGCTTTTGCCCCAAAGCCGGCCTCCTCGGCTCCATTGGCATCAAACCCTTTGTCTGCTGAATCGACCGTTGCTCCACCCGCAGATCCTCGTCTGTTCTTTGGTCCGGGCCAGCGGTCGAGCGGCCTTCAATCATCTGGCACTGCTGCACTGTCTGCCGCCTCGGCGGCGTTGGATGCAGAGGCCGCGGCTCTTCGACAGGAACTCAATCGATATGAGCGCGATGTTGCGTCGGTGGATAGCGAGATGATTGCCGATACGCAAGAGCTGCTTCGTTTGTTTGGCATGCCATATCTAACCGCGCCGATGGAAGCAGAAGCCCAGTGTGCGGCGCTCGACCTTGCCGGCATCACGGATGGAACCATCACAGAAGACAGCGACGTGTTTCTGTTCGGTGCGCGTCGCGTGTATCGAAACTTTTTCAACCCGAACAAGTACGCCGAGTTTTACGCGAGTTCTGCAATCGAGAGTTACCTCGCGCTCGATAGAGAAAAGCTGATCGATCTTGCGCTGCTGCTCGGCTCCGACTACACTTCTGGTGTGGAGCGCATTGGTCCCGTCCTCGCCATGGAAATTCTCGGCGACTTTCCATCTCTCCAGGAGTTTGCGACGTTTCTTCATCAGTACAAGTTTGCGACCTCTGATTTGGACTTGGACGCTGTTTCGCCACTTCGTCGAAAGTTGGTAAGAAGGCTCCAGAACGACGAGGGGACGAGGGGGTCTAGGGGATGTGTTTCCGTGAAGTTTTTTCTCAACCCTTTCACTTGCAGGGTAAAATGTGTCGCAAATCACCCATCAGCCCGCCAGACAACTTCCCTGATGTCCGAGTGCGAGACGCTTACCGAATGCCAACAGTGGAGGTGAATCCCAACGACAAATTCACTTGGCGCGTCCCAGAGCTGAGCGTGCTCCGAGAGTTTACTTCCCGCAAACTGGGATGGTCGCAGGCCCAATGTGACGAGTTTCTAGTCCCTGCCATTCGACGCCTCCATCAGCGTCAGACGGTTCAGCTTTCCATCCACGACTACTTTCCGTTGCAAGCCTCGGGCACCCGTCGCAACATCAAGAGCAAGCGCTTGCAGAATGTCGTCTTGGGCATGTTAGGCATGCCTGCCGCGGCCGCGCCAGCACCAACCAAGTCCCGAAAGGCCGCCAAAGATACTGCTACCGATAGCGATCGCACTGGACGCAAGCAGCCCGCTCCTCGAAGCAAACGAAAGGCGGCCGAGGCTGCCGCTTCTGCATTTGTGGAAGCCAATTCTGATGATTCCGAAACCGTTCCCAACCGCGAGACGGCCGATGCAGATCCTGATTCTGACGTCCTTGACGAATCGACGTCTGCGCAAGCGTCACGGCGATCCAAGCGCCGTCGTTAGCCACAATACTCGAAAGGGTTGAAACAGAGTTTGCTGCGCGGCGGTCCAAGCGCCGTCGTTAGCCTCAATACCTGACAAAAAAGAAAAGAAAAAGAAATAAAAATCTAGAAGTATTTACTGACATACAACAATGTTTGCGGTTTTAAAAAAACAATTCAAGAAAATTCAAAACGAAAACACAACAATAGTAAACCTCTCAGCGGAAGATGCTCAAGCGACAGTGACCGACTTGGCGAGGTTGCGCGGCATGTCGACATTCAAACCCTTCTCGGTGGCAATGTGGTACGAGAGCAGCTGCAATGGGATGACCGTGAGGATGCCTTGGAGCGCGTCCGTGATGGTGGGCACCTCCAAAACCGAGCTGCTGTACTTGGAGACAGCGGCGGCGTCGCCCTCGGTAACGATAATGATTGGGCGACCTTGGCGTGCCGTGACTTGCTCGAGAGCATTTTGGCATTTCTGTCCAATGAAGACAAAGATGATTGGAAGAGCAAGGTAAGCGTTTGGGGGGGGGGATTTCCTCGACTCGCGCACACTCGCACACCTACTGCAAAACAAACCAATACAAACCAAAACTAAAGCAACTCACCACAAAGTGCTGGTCGCGGGTAGCAATAAAAATAATCGGAAGGGAATAGTCCACAAGGGCGAGGGGACCGTGCTTGAGCTCACCGGCGAGAATGCCCTCGGAATGAAGGTAGGTCAACTCCTTAATCTTGAGCGCACCCTCGAGACAGGTGGCATGCTGGTAGCCGCGGCCCATGACCAAGAGGCTGGACTTGGGCGCAAGCTCCTTGGAGAGCTCGAGAATCTTCGAGTCGAGCTCGAGCACCTTCTTGATCTTCTCGGGAAGGGTCTTGAGGTCGCGGATGATGGTGCGGCGACGCTCCTGCATCGAGACGCGGTCCTCGGACAGCATGAGGGCAATCATGACGAGCGAAAGATACTGGCTCGTGTAGGCCTTGGTGCTGGCAACACCAATCTCAGGGCCAGCGTTAATGTGAACACCGCAGTGGGTCTGGCGCGAGATGGCCGAGCCGACAGTGTTGGTGACACCGACGCAGAGCGCGCCACGCTCCTTGCAGTAGGCAAGCGTAATCAGCGTGTCGGCGGTCTCGCCAGACTGCGAGATAAAGAAGCACACGTCGTCGCGGAAGACGGGGGTGGCACGGTCGATAAAGTCCGAGGCGAGCTCCACCTGGACGGGGATTTCAGACATTTCCTCCATGAGGGCACGCACGGCGACGGCAGAGTGGTACGAGGTGCCGCACGCAAGGAACACGAGACGGCGCGCGCGACGGATGGTGGGAATGTGGGCCTTGATGCCACCGAGCGTGACCTCGCAGTTGTCAAAGTTGACGCGGCCACGCATCGTGTTGACGACCGACTCGGGCTGCTCAAAGATTTCCTTCTGCATGAAGGTCGAGAACGAGCCCTTCATGATCTGCTGGATTTCCATCTCGAGCGTCTTGATGGCGCGGTTGTCCGAGACGCCGTCAATCTTCTTGACGCGGTGGATGGTGAGCTGGCCGTCCTGGACGGAGGCAATGTCATCATCCTCGAGGTAGATGACGCGGTTGGTGTGCTCGACAATGGCAGACGCGTCCGAGGCGAAAAAGTACTCGACGCGGGGGTTTTGGCTGGCCTCGGCGGAGCCAACGTTCATAAAGGACTGGGCACGGGCCGAGAAGGAAATCTTGCGGTAGTCGTACTCCTTGTCAGAGCTGACCTCGTTGGGGTACAGCACGGGGATTTGGTCAGTGTTGAACTTGTGGCGGGTCTTGATGCCAATCAGCAGGGGCGAGCCGCGACGGCAGGCGACAGCCTGGTTGGGGAAGTGGATGGACTTGAAGAGCAGGGCAAAGGCACCCTCGAGCTGGCGCATGGTCGCCTCGACAACGTCCGAGAAGGTGGGCTTGTGTCCGCCAGCAATCTCCTGGTCGTACACGTACTTGACGAGCTTGACAATCACCTCCGTGTCCGTCTCCGACTCAAAGACAAAGCCCTTCGATTCGAGGAACATTTTCAAATCCTTGTAGTTGGTGATGATGCCGTTGTGCACAACAACAAACTGGGAGGTCGGGTCGGAGCGGTGCGGGTGCGAGTTGCGCGGGGAAGGCTCGCCGTGCGTCGCCCAGCGCGTGTGCGAGATGGCAAAGTGGTTTTCAAAGTCCTTGTCAAAGTCCAGTTCGGATTGGAAGATCATCTCCTCGAGGGCCTTGACCTTGCCCTTCGCCTTGACGATGGTGATTTTGCCCTGGTCGTCATCGAACGCGACGCCTAGTAACAAGGAGTTGAGAGTTTTACCAAAAACAGATTAAGCACCCACGCGTTGACAAAGTGTCAAACAAACAACAACAACAAGAAAAAAAAAAAAGAAAAAAAAGAAGAAAAAAAAAAAAAAAAAAAAGGCAGGAACCGAGGAGTGAGATGGGAAGCGTTTTCAGCGAGGAGAGAACGAGAGAGAGATAGAGATGGATGGATGTAAGAGCGATGGCAAGGCATCGCATCATGAGGGGCCACCCACACTGCGTGGGGGAGGGTGGAAAGCAGAGTTGTTGTTTTAAACAGTGTTTGACAAGTTGCGACCTGTCAAAACAACATTTTCACGCCCAAGATCTCATCTCCCCCCCCCATTTCTCGCTTTTCTCGCTCTCGCCGTCATGCGCTTGCTTGTCCACTCGCATGGTACATCCTGCAACGACTGCTTTGCAACGCGTGCGCAGAAGAGTCATGCCGTGCTGGAGGATAAGCAGTAGACGGTTCGATGAAGCAGTTTCCATGCACGGGCGTCATTCAACGCTAGAAGGCAGGTTCACGTGCAGCCTCACACACTCACTCGGCAGAGCTGGCGCGACCAAGCTCAGCAGTGACCACAAGCAGAGTTTTGATTTTAAAAACAAAAGCTCTAACGGTAGCCAACACGCCATCGAGAGAGGGAGAGAGAGAGAGGAACAAGATTTAAAAAAAAAAAAAAAGAAAAAAAAAAAGAAGAAAAGTTCGTGTCGAGCCACCACCGTGATCTGGAGGCTTCAACAGCCTGACTCAACACTCCAGACGCTGCGCTGCTGCTGGGCCCGTAGCTGAGCCTTCATTTGGTTGCATCAGCCGCAAGACTTCCACTCTCTCACTCGCTCGTCCCAGCAGAACTGTGCTCCAATCGAAAACTCCAATGCAAAGAACCATCTTTTTTTTTTTTTTTTTTTTTTTTTTTTGGTTTTTGCGCTGAATGCAAATGATAGGGCTCAGCTTTCCGATGGACGGGCTCACTCGGCTGCCGTCAGCACTCCCACTCCAATTCCCATACGCACAGCGTGGTGATGAAAGTGACGCGCGCGCGCGCGAGAGAGAGAGAGGCACACACACACACAAAACGAGGCAGCGAGCACGAGAAGGAAAACAAGCCTCGTCTACGCTTCCTCCTCCGCCCACTCCTCCACCCTCCTCTTTGCTGCCTCGGGGGCTCAGACGACAAACACTCACCGGCAGAGTCGTAGCCGCGGTACTCGAGGCGGGAGAGGCCGTTGATGAGCGTTTCAAGGATGAACTGGCGATCCTTGACCGTGTTGTTTTGAAGATAGCCGAAAATGCCTGTCATTCATACGCACACACAGTGAGGGGACTTTTGATCGATAGCTCATCAACAGCAAGTGCACGAATAAGAGGATGATGATAATGATGATGATGAACGTACCACACATGGTTTGTTTTCTTGAGCGAGACGAACAATGAGAACAATGGAACTAAACAAACAAAAAAAAAAAGTCACAAATTTCAAGAAAGAGTGAACTGAACCGAAAGCGAAATAGGAAGTCCTTTTGAAGCGCTGCGAAAACGAGGAGGAGCGCCAAAAAGCAAAAAGAGCGACTACGACGTTTGACGACGATTTTAAGGTACGTGCTGCTGCTCGATTTGTCCATGGGGGTGGAAATTTGGATGCGTGTCGAGGCGGCGTTGGACGTAAGGAAGAGGAAAAGAAGACGTGGCAGCTCCTCCCTGACCTGACCACCCATAAACGCAACTGACGTGGCTCGCCATTGCGCTGCCAACGCACGGCTAAAAGGTCGTCGACGACTACGCACGTGGCAATCATGGCAGGACGATGACTCTGGTTGAATCAATGGCGAGCAGAGAAAAAAACAACAACAACAACAAAAATCGCAATGATGGAAACGACGATCCACTCCCGCTTTCAACTTGAGCAAAATCAAATCTCGTTGCTGTCGACACCGACAACTTTCATCGAAAATCAACACCAACAACACCTAACGAAAAATTGCGTCTTTATTGTACTAAACGAACTAGTGCTCTGATGATACCGCAACCGCCAGGGCTTGCTTTGTGCGTCAGGTAAGAAACAAACAAGCCAAACCAAAAACCAAAATGGGAGACAGTGTCGTCGCTCCTTGCCCAGTCACTTGCTGCCTGGCAGTACTGGCCCCTTGCTTCTCTGACAACCCTTGTGCGCCGAGTTCCTTCACGAGAGATTTACCAGCATATCGCGCACTGTGCGTGGGACGACCGATTTTGTCTTCTCGTTTTGTGTTCACGCAAAAATATGTACTTTGACATAACAAAGTGGTGAGCTGCTCGCAGAGCATCCAGCAAGAAGAAGCGAAAAGCAATTAAAACAACAACCAACAAACTAGAACGAAACAAAAACAGAAAAAAACGTCCAACAAGAAACTTAAACAAAAACAAAACAAACAAAACAAGATTGATTCACACGGCCGAGCAGATTACTCCTTGCTAATCAAAGCCGCCGAGCTTTGCGTGTTGTCCAGGGCAGCAGAGCGACGAGCTTGCGCAAGATCCATGAGCAACCCGGTCACTCTGGCTTCCAAATCCTTGTTGCGCTGATCGAGCGCCTCGTTGAGGCGAAGCGACTCTTCGAGTTGGACCTTGTTCAGCTGCAGATCGCCTTCGAGCTTGGAGACTTGGAGTTTGGAGCGGGCCTGCGTCATTTCGACGGCAGTCGAGCTCGAGTCGTGCTTGCGGTCTGCAGAGGACTCGGCGACCTCGGCCTTGGAAACGACGCTGTGCACCTTTGGCACAATGCACAGACCAAGCGTGCCGAAAGCAGCCAAAAGCACGCCGATGCACGTCAGCAGGAACTGGGTATCCGGGTTGGAGGTATCCACCAGGTAGTTGAGCGGCATGACAATCACGACCACCACGAAAATGTTCCAGATGGCAAAGGCCAGGAACTTGGATTCGTTCCATCGGGAGGGGGCGCGACGAGACTTGAAGGCCACAATCGCACCAAACGCGAGCAACAGCGCCTCGGCAATGTACACGGCCACGACCCACAGAGTTGAGCTGGACGAGCAGAGCACGCGGACCTCGCTGCCGACAATGTGGAAGTCCCGCACCGGCCGGTCCACCGCGGTCCAGATGATGAGGTACGTGACCATGCCGCCAACAATGAGGGACACCATGGTCAACAGGAATCTGTCGGATGTGCGCGACAGTTGGCGTTTGAGCTTGCGGTTGTTGAAGATGACGGCAATCCGGTACGACTTGAAGAAGAGCGCTCCGAACGTCACGGTGAATGCAATGTGACCAAACCAGATATGGACGGTGCAAGTTGTGTCGGTGACATTCGGCACGAGTGTCGCCACGAGAATAAACGCAATGATGCAGCCACCGATGATGATGCACATGAAACGAGGCGAGGAGGCCTTCATCTGAGGCGCCTCGCGGTTGGCAACGATAAACAGCAAGAGCAGCACGCAACTCAGGGCGCCCAGCACGGCAATCGCGAGAATCACATAGCGCAGAGCGTCGCTTCGCTCAAAGGACGCGTAGCACGTGCCTTCGCCCGCGGAGTTGTACAGCATCATGTCGTCGCCAGAGCACTCTTGCACGAGCAGGCTGCTGGTTGCAGGAGCAACGGAGGATGGGTCAATGGTGGAGGACGACGACGGCACAAACCGTGCAACCAGGGTATAGTTGCCGGGCACCGCAAACACGGGCACATCCATAAAGGAGGCAATGCCGCCGAGGATGGGTCGTCGGGAAACGCCACCGATATGGGCCACAGAGACGGGCACAGGGTTGCCATGGGAATCTTGGAGAGAAAACTCAACCACACCGTCCGAGATGGCCACCACAGACTCGAACGTGTCCAGCAGGGCAAAGGAAGCTGTCGGCAGAATGCCGCCTCGTTGCAAGTTGAGCGTGCTGGGAAGCGCGGCACCATGGGGCACAACAAGCACCGGAGGCGAGGCCGAGACGGCGCCGTACACGGTCGCGGTATTGTTTGCGAGCTGCGAGTTTGCATCGCCGCTCAGCCAAATGGGCGCAAACGCGTCCAAGGAGGCAAGGTAGAACGCGCCACCAGAGGAGGCCTGGTTGGACGTCAGCTGGGCTTCGGCGGAAATCTCGACGGTCGTGGCCGAGGCGACAAGTTGGTCAAAATGCGCGCCGCCACCAAAGCCCGACGCGGTATTGTTGAACAGCACAACGCTGCCAATCAGCCTCAGCTGTGACGGCTCGTTCTCGCGGACAATGTAGCTGATGCCGCCACCATTCCGCCCAGCCTTGTTGTACGAAACTGTCGTGTCTGTCAGCGTGACATGGCCTCCGCGCACAGCGATACCGCCGCCATCGAGCGTCGCAGCGCTGAACGAAATGATGCTCGAGGAAATGTTCGCAGACAGGAAAGTCGGAATGGAGTGCGTTTCGGCGTCTGTTGCAGCAATGTACACGGCACGGCTGCTGGACAGGGACGACGAGACAAGCACGCTGCCACCGTAGCCGGCATAGGCTGCATTGTCAAAAAAGATGCACTGGTCGCAGGTCAGCGACGAAATGTGTGTCAAGGCCACAGCACCGCCACCGGTTGCATCTGCCGCGCTGTTGGTGAAGGAGGAGACCGAAAGCCCAGTCACATCGTCCGGAGTGTCGGCCACAGGCGATGCAAGGTTGGACTCGAACGAAGAATTCGAAATGCGCGCTTCCGACAAATCCAGCATGGCGATTCCGCCGCCAATCAAGGCTGCAGTGTTGTTGGAGAAGGTGGAGCCGGAAACGGTGAGTTGTGCATAGCCACCCAGGAATACGGCGCCGCCGCGCTGCGCATCCATGTCGTTGAAGGTCGAATTCGCAATGACAATGGTAGACGTGCCTGTGGCCCGGATGGCACCGCCATCGCCGAAGGCACGGTTGTTTTCAAACGTTGAAGAAGTGATGGTCAAGCTGCTTTCGGCGGTGACTGCAATCGCACCGCCAGAGTCGCGGCTGACGCAGTTGCGAACGACAGAGTTGATCAGCGTCATGCTGCTGAGGTCGGACACGGCAGCAAAGCCTCCAATTTCTACTGCAGTGCACGAGTCGAAAACGGAATGCTCGGCGTAAAAGGTCGAGTCGGATGTGAGGAGGACGGCACCGCCATGATCGACGACAGACGCGTTGGTCACAACGGACGAGTAGACGCCAATGTATGCGTAATTGGAGCCGTGAAAGATGCCGCCTGACAAGGCAGCGTTGTCAGAGAACGTCGAGTTCACAAACGTCACAATAGCATTGTCCAGTGCTTGCACAACGCCGCCACTTTCGGCCGAATTGCCCGACAGAGTGCATTGTGTGCAGCGGACTTGTCGGTCGTAGCTCAGCGCAAACACACCGCCCGAGCTGCCATAGCAGTTGCTGATGGACGTGTTGCTAATGTCCAGGGTGAGAGGATTGGTGCTGGTGGTCGACTCGAGGTTGAAGACGCCTCCAGCCCACAGGGAGGAAAAGTTGGAAATGAGGCAGTTGCTGACGGTGCCGTAGCCAGCACCAGTGATGCTCAGAAAGCCCGCGCTCGATTGACTGCTGCCCCCTTGGAATGTGGAGTTTGAAATGGAAAATTGACCGCTGAGCGCAAAGCAGCCAGCAGTCCGGTACGACTGCGAGTTTGTGACAGTGTTGTTGTCAAAAACCACCGTTCCACCAAACGACATGACGCCAGCAGTGGATGCAATGCTGTTCGAAATGACACAATCGCGGACGGTGAGGACCGAGTCGGCCGAAGTGCCGTAAAACACGCCGCCAATTCCGGTTGTTGTCGGGGAGCCTGCGCTGCAGCCAGTGAAGGTGGTGCGGGCAATGAGGGCAGTGGCATCATCTGCAAGCGCAACGCAGCCACCAGAGCGCCCAGCTGCGTTATTGATGAAGACAGAGTCGGTAATTTCCAAGTACTGCGTGTTCTTGACATACACGACTCCAAAATCCGTATTGACTTGGTTGTTGATAAACCTGCTGTTTCGAATGTAGACCTGACAGCTCACTCCCGACACACCGCTCTTGGGCATGACTGTGGCGGTGGCAGTGCTGTTCACAACGAGAATGTTGTTCAGCGTGAGAATGGCGTTCGCAGCCGTCATGAACAGACCAAGACCGGCGTTGCGGAAGCCAATGCCATTAAACGTGTAGTTGTAGTTGGTGTTCAGGGTCACCAAGCTCGTGGTAAGGCCTTGGTTGATTTCAAACATGGTGTCCTCGGGACCAGTCGACGACGGAGCAGCCTGGAACACCATGGTCGTGCTGGCAGCGTTGGCAGTGATGATATCCCAGCCGAGCGAGTACAGGCCAGGCTGGAACGTCACCACCTGGCTGCCAGAACAGACTTGGGTTATCACATCGATTTCGCGTGGCTGCAGGCGAGCATATCGAGTCCAGCTGACCACGGTAAAGAAGCCAGGAACGGCGGCAGTGGTTTCATCGGGGCGGCCGCTGTACCCGGCATAGGCAAAGACAAGCGTGAGAATGTCAGTCCCAAGCGGGTCGCCATTGTTGGTGATGGTAGCCGTGCCGTACGAGCGCTTGTTCGTGACGGTGCTGTTGGCACTGCCTCCAGTCGGGGCCGGGGTGTACACCAAATCCACCAAAAAGACGTTTGGGTTGGCCGTCGCTTGGCAGTACCAGCGAAAGTTGTATCTGTCGGAGGTTGCGGATGATGGCGAGCAGTTAGTACACAAGATGCAAGCGTTGATAGGTTTGTGTGAGGTTTGGGGGGAAAAGCTCGTTTCTCTTGGAATATTGTTGGCAAGCCCATTGGTTGTTGCTTTTTTGAGTGGATTTTTGCTTTTTGAGTGGGATTGGATCTCAAAAGTTTGATGATGGAAGCCGTTACCACCCACGACAAACGCCGACAAACGCCGACAAACGCCGACAAACGCCGACAACCGATTTATGAGATGCACCTAATTGTGAGCCGTTTTCGAAATCGCATGACTGTTGCTTTTTATGAAAGCGTCCATTGTTATTGTTATTGTTTTTGTTTTTGTTTTTGTTATTGTCGTTAGGAGATCGCAAAATCGTGGGAGAATGATGTGGTAATTAAGAAAATGAAAAAAACAAAAAACAAAAAACAAAAAACAAAAAACGAAAAACAAAAACACCAAAAAGCTCGCCCTTCTCGTGTGCCCTTCTCGTGTGTGGTGTTTTGTGGCACGCCCGTCCTGAGCACTCGCACTTGCTTGCATGCAGAGTGAACAAATGGTGGAGGCACCCAAACGTACCGGAATTGCACCAACGCAGGAATAAAAGGGGAAAACAACAAAATGAAAAAAGCAGAACAAAGCGAAAAAGTCGGAATGTGCGAATGTTGGTGGGAAAAACGAGAAAAGCGACCGACGCGAAAAAGCGAAAAGCGACAAAGAGCAAAGAGCAAAGAGCGAGGTTTCATTTCAGGCGTCAATGACCGAAGCAGCAACGGTGCAGACGCCAAACAAACCCCGCATCGAGAGGTTTGCCACGCCGAGTTTGCCACACAGGTTGGTTGTGACTCGCAGGGTGTGTGGCTGAAACAAAAACCGAGAATAAACACACCAAAAAAAAAAAGAAAAAAAAAAGTGTGTGGCGCTCCTAGGTAACGGTAACGGTGATCTCGGAGTGCGCACCACTTTCAAATCTACGGTGCATGAACCGCCCCAAGCGAAAAAGAAACAGGGGAGGGAGGGAAAAGAGAAAGAGACACACGCATAGCGGAGGAGATCCAAGACCCACGTCAGAGCTCGAAAAGGTGGGGAGCTGGTGGACCTCGGGTTGAACATCTTCCCAACCCCGTCATCCCACCCCGATAACTTTGTTGCTTGCTTGTCGACTCGAGCACGCTCACTCCATCGCATGCGCAAGTACACAACACACACACACATTCGCTTACTTGGCGCTGCCCTGGGTGTAAAAGCCTCCTGTGCAAGTGGTGGGCTTGAACGGGTTGATTGGTGCGGACCCGTTGATCCAATTGCCCATTAAGGCATAGCACGGGCCAGTCAGGTTGTCTGGGGCCGGATCGATGGCTGCTGTCGCAAAGCTGGTGAGCAAGCCTACAACCACGACCGCCAGCACCGACGCCGGCAGGATGGGGAATCGGCTCATCGTGAAAAACAGCGCGAGTGACGGAGCAGAATTAGCGGAGTGAGGGGGGTTTGGGAAATAATAAATTGCTGCTAAAAACGAAAAAAAGACTGTTTTCAATTTTGTTGATCTCGCTATTCGACGAATGATCTGTGTCGGCTTTTGCGATCGAGTGTTTGCTTCAGCTCACGAGTGAGAAAGAAGGAAGGACGAGGATGACGATGCGATGAAACAGCATGGTAACTACTGCAGCGCAATCAAGGCAGACACGCGTCAGAGAGCGAAAAACGTGAAGCAGAAATTAGGAAGCGGAAGAGAAAAATAAAAGGAAAAAAAAAAAAAAAAAAAAAAAAAAAAAAACTCGTGCAGTTGCGGTTACAAAGTTTTTTTGTTTTGCATTCGATATCGTACGATTCGACGGAAGCAAGTAGAGAATCGACGACACGAGGAAGGGAGGGAAGGGCTCGGGCTCGGAGGGGGTTAGAGTCAAGACCGATTGACTCGGGGTTTTCGGACAACTCGCCGTGCGGGTGGGTTGGGTGGACTGGCGACTGAGACGCCTCCTCCACCCCGCAATTACAAATGATTGACAACTGTGACAGCACAAACCCCTCCCCAAAAATCCGTGCACGCGAAATGTCAAGCATTCAAACCACAGCCATTCGTTTCTTGATTGCTCGCATCCTTGCTCAAGCGACAGAGGGATCGCCCATCGAATGCTGGCTCGTTCCCCCACGCTAGTGTGTGTCAGGGTAGTACTCCTGAAGGTGCTTGCATGCACGAGTGAGATCGAAATCGTACGAAAGGAAGCACAAACCGAGAAAAAAAAAAAAAAAAAAAAGAAAAGCAAAATTCAAAAATGCAAAAAAGCCGAAACCCGAAAAAGGGAAAAGCCGCAAACCACATGTTTTCAACGTGTTGCGTAGAGCTTGAGCGGGTCGTTGTGCTGCTTCCCGAGGGTCTGCGGTCTCATCACTAACGGATCTGAGCAAGGGAAAAGAGGAGACGGCGGCGAAAGCGGGGTGTGGTGAAGAGCGAAAGAGCACGGCAATGAGAGGCTTCTCAGACGGCGGGCGCGGTCTTTTGGTGTGTTTTTTTTTTTTTTTTTTTTTTGCGGTTGAGGTCAATTGACGATCGAGGGTGGCCTCTTTGCTTATTTCCATATGCAGCATGATCTGGCATGACAACCATGGCTCGTTTGCGGGTTTGATCTATCCATCGGAAGAGGCAGCGCCGAAATTGCGAAACTGTGCAACAAATGCATGGTGTTCGGACCCCCTTGATTGGTGCGTCTATGGCGATTAGAGGGGTTTGGAATGCTACCAGCCACCCGCTCTGAACTTGGTGGAAAATGCTGAGTTTGATGCGTCGGGCTCGGAATGGATGCGAGCATCATCCATCCCGTTTCGGCCCCTCGCTGTGCAGTTGAGGCCACGATAGTAAAAAAAAAGTATCCTTGGGATCCCGTTTCTTCTATCTGTGACCAGGAGCACTGAGATGCGAATTAGGATGTCACCTTGTTGACCACCTTGTTGAACAAGAACTCAGACCATTCTTTCTCGATGATGCCGCTCAATCCGCGAGTGACGTGTTTTCTATGCGGTCTGTGTCGTTGAGTTGATTCACAAGTCTCAATTTACCCCTATTACATCTTCTGCAGCTGGCCTTGGAGACTGGAGAGCGGTCGAGGATGGATTTCAACGAGAAAGTTGTCGTTTAGAGAGGGCCTCCCTAAAAAGACTCAGTCCCCCCTGTTCATTTCCTCGCCCTGCCACCTATATCATTGGAAAGAGCATAAATTATATAGTTGATTTGGTAATTTTGGTGCGAATCGGAGGGGAAAATTTTCGCTTCGATTTGGCTGGGCGTGCATTAGGGCTGAGTCTTTTTAGGGAGAAACTGACTTTGCCAGTCCCGTGTCGCCCGTGTCGAGGATCTGTCGGCCCATCTTCAACTGGGACATGTAATACCAACTGGTATCTATGTATTGCAGTTGGTGCGACGGTTACTGTATGTGACCACAGAACCCGGCAGGTGCCAGACCGCCCGCGCCGGACGGGCATGGTCCAATCTTCCCCTGCCTAGACATGATTTCACCCTTTTTGACCGGAAAAAACACATAACTACATTGAATGACATGGGATGCACATAGAATTGAACACAAAACACGGAAAATTACAGTGGTAGCGTGTTGCTTCGAGAAAGGTTTGTCAGGTCGCTGAGCGCCGGCCTTGACGATGCAGGTTGGAGGTCTACACGCGCCAATTTGACATTATGTCCATCTTGCTTCGTAGTACTACGCGTTGGCATGCGATAGCGTCGGATTTCTTGGAGTTCGGTGGAGCTCAGCTGATAATCGACTTGAACAACATCGCTCGAGTCTGATGTGACCGTGGTGAAGACGGGCGCGACGTTTTCATCGTCATCTTCCTGGCGACGCTTGCGGGCGGCTTGAGGTTGACGCTGGACATCGCTGGGGTCCTCCTGGTTGTCGTTGTGGCCGATGGCAGCGGAAGCCATTTCGGACGACGCTTGATTCTCGTCGTCATCGTCGTCAGACTCGCTTTCCTCCTCGCTGGCTGATTGATCCAAGTCGACAGTGTCGTTCGCCATCGATTGCGAAGCGAGAATGGGCCTAGGCCTGCTGACGCGCCGAGGAACGAGAGGTGTGGAAGCGGTCGCCGCTGGCTCAAGACTTAGAAGAGTGGGTCGCTTGAGACGGTTCTTGAAAAATGTCGCGCGGTCACGTACGAGCTTGGTATGCTGCAGGCGAGCAGCAGCTAGCTTGTTTCGGGTCTCCGCGGCAGTTGCCGATTCGATGTCCTGCTCGACCTCTTCTCCCAGAGCAGCCAGCTGAGTCTCCAGAGCAAGAATTGTCTCCGCAAGTGTCAAGATGCGTGAGTCAAGGTCTTTTAGCGTGCGGAGGAAGATGGGCCGTTGCCGATTGTACTCTTCTTTCAGAGGTTCGAGCTGCTTCCTCTTCTCTTGCAACTCCTGCCGCTTAAGCTGGGCATCCCTATTCTCCGGCGTAAGCGGGGATCGAGCGGTCGAGTTCATAGAAACGCGCATGGAGCTGTTGCCAATGCTCCTGGACCGCAGGGGCCTGGGTGGGGCCCGAAGGACTTCTTGCACCGAAAGTTCGACCTCGAGATTTCGATGCAAATCAGCTACCGCTGCATCGTGCACCCTCTTTTGCTGTAGAGCTCTCGGAGTGCAACCAATGGTTACCAGGGCGGCATCGGCAATCTGACGGACACGGTACAACGCCGAATACCGAGCATCCGGGGTCGGGGGTGGCTCGGGAATGTGCAGCGAGGGGGTCGTAGACACGGCAACGTCAGCGACGGAAGGCAACGCTAGGGTCTTGTGCTTTTCCGTGTCCAGCGGATAGATACCAGTTTGGCGAAACCCAGATCGGATCAAGTTGGATCGGTCGTCAATTTCGTTCCACGCCCGAATGGCCCCGTGAAGCTTGATGTTCACGTCGATGAGTGGCGAGTCTTCATCCAAAAGCGACTGCACGTGAGTCTCGAGCAAGTTCTTGTACCAGGCAAAGACGGTGACGTCGAGCGGCTGCAAGTGAGTCGACGTGTGCGATGGAAGGATCGCAACCAGGATGTTGTTGCTCACCGCGAGGTCAATCAACCCGACAGTGAACTTGTGACACGAGCTGCCATCCATCACCAATAGAACGGGGGTGGTGGTAGCTCGCTCCTTGACGACCTCGACGAAATCTCGAAACCACTTGTCGAAGATTTCCTCGTTGATGAAGCCGGACTCGGACTGGTGAATCAACTCCTCGTCCAGGCCCTCGGTGCACCTGTGAGGTAGAGTGGGCCGTGGATGCGCGACAATGAAGTGGGGCGCAACAGGAGCGGTGCCATCAGCACAAACAGTAAACAGACCAGTAACATGCGGTCCCATCGTAATGGTTCGGCCAGATCGCCGACTGACACGCTTGACACCAACAGCAGCCAGGGCACGCTTCTTTTTACGACCCACAGAGCAATCCGACTCGTCCATGTTGAAAATATTGGCCGGCGTAGCGAAAAGAGTCGGGTAAAGATTGCTGTACTCCGCCAGTAGCGCGAACAAACTGCCGAGCTTCTTTTCACTCAAAGCAGCCACTCGAAGTGTTTCCAACACGCTGCTACTGCGCCAGCCAATCTGTGAGCTGTGACGGGCGACAAAATCATTGACCCACTTGTCGGAAACTTTGTCGTGCTCAAATTGACGTCTTTCCACGCCGTCCGGCCTCGGCACCTTCGAGGCTGCAAGCACATATCGAGTGAATTCCGTTTTGCTCAGAGAGACAGCTCCTAAGCAGCACCGCTTGACAAACTCGACGAGCTCTTGCTCCTCGGGGACGGTGAACACGTAGCCTTGTCCCTGGATGGGATCCTCGCGCAGAACGTCAGCCAACTCATCTAAGGTCATTCCAGGAATGTCAGGAGCGAGGTTGGCGTGGGCCTTGATGCAGCGGGCGATCATGGACTGCGATCGACCCAGCGCATGGGCGATTTGGCGGGTCGTCCAGATTCGCTCGGCGGAGGCTCCCGGAGCTCCGCCGACATCCGTAGTGGATAGGAACGGGTCAAAATAGTATAGTTTGAGGGCGGTGGCCTTCGTCAGGAGCCTCTGGCGGAAGGGAGACGCGGTCGCAATCTGGGCGAGGCCGACCTCAAGTTGCTCCTGCGCCCGTCTGACCATGTCTTCCTTGTAGCTGGAATGAGTGTTCATTGATATTCGAAGACGGCGGCGGGGTGGGAGGAATACAAGCCGAGATAATCGGGTTTGAGTCTTTTTAGGGTGGGGGCGCAATGGTTTTTGGACTGAGTCTTTTTAGGGAGGCCCTCTCTACCGACAAACTTCGCTTGCCTCTTGGTCAAGAGTCAAGGCAGTGATTCTGCTTGCTTTGGTTTACAGCAGCTTGGTTCTGCTTGCTTTGGTTTACAGCAGCTTGGTTCTGAAACTCGCACCTTTCGTTTCAAAGACTCGGTGTGTTTCAAGTAACTTCCGAAACGATGAACTCGGATTTTTCGGTTGAAGGGTGCTTCTGCAACTTCCTCGAGGTCCGCCGCAAGTCAGCCAGCCTCGTCCAGCTCATGAGTGGCGTCCTAGTCATACTGGTACGCTGCACCGATCGACCCGAGGCCGTACGTTTCACCATCGCATTTTGGGCACCTTCATTCCGCTGCTGAAATTCAACCCAACCGTGGACTCTTGATGCTTGTCGGTTTGCCGATATAGTGCTGCACAAAACCAACATTATTGCAACTTCCCAGGTCAGTCACTATATTTTTCTTTTGCTCTGAACGAAATGGCAATGAACGGAGACGACAAGAAGATTTACAACTTGGTGCAAGAGCACAAGCCATCGTACGAAACGCTGCACCTCGGCAACGAAGACACGATCAAGGAAGGCCTCCTCACCAAGATTGGCGGCCGACCAAAGACCATCCAAGTCTGGGAGAAGCGCCACTTTGCCGTCAAGGGCAACTTTGCCTACTACTTTTCAAACAAGCAGGTAACAGGAGCGAGAAGTTGCGCGGCTTTTTTGGCAGCCAGCAAGCAGAGCGGGGGGGGGGGCAATCCTGGCTGGTGCTGGCCTCGCCGAAAGCCATCTGTCGTCTTCCAATGGTGGTGGCGATGCTTGGAGCACGGCGACTGGGCCTGCAGCAGAACGGGAGCACAGGGCAGCGCTTTTGTGCGGTTTACAGGATAACAGTGAGCGAGAACGACGAGCGGCCCAACTTCCCCTCAACCGTCTCAATGTCCAGATGCACGGCATGTGTTCTCTGTGCTTGATGGGGGCAGGGGAGGGGGCAGGCAGAGGTTGGCGCGCTTTGGAGGGGTGACTCGACAAAAACAAATGAAAAATAGCACAACGAACGGTTTTTGAGTATCAACCTTGCAGCTAAACACCAGCCGCTCTTACCCTCGGCTCAGTGTGTGAGTCAAGACTTTGGTACATGCTTTTGCAACTTTTAGTGTTATTTTTTATTTTTTATTATTATTTTTGTTTGCATGGAGGTGGGACTTTGATCGTTGTTGCTGCCGCACCACTCGGCACCCTCCATCATGCATGCTGCTGATCATCCATGCTGCTGATGAACTTTATCATCGCTGCTCGGGATCTGTTTGACACTTTTGACGCGACTCATCCATTTTCGGTTTTTTTTGGGCTTTTTTTTTTTCGGCTTTGTTTGTTTGTTTGTGACTCACATCTCCACCACTTTGGGTTGCAACTGTGAATACCACCTAGCCGGTCACGATTGAGCCATGCAAGGGCGTCATTTATCTGAAAGGTGCAACAATCTCCAAGGCTGAGGTTGGCTTTAAAAAGTTCGTCATCAAGATTGAGCCGACTGTCGCGCGCAAGCCAGGCTGGGACTTGGACGAGACCTCCTGGTTCCATCTCTGCTGCAAGGACGAGCAGGAGCAGAGTGAATGGATTCAAGTGCTGGGCAACGTTAGCTCTGGTCATCAATGAGCTAGCAATAGGGGGAATACGTTCTTGTGTGTTTCCGAATGAGCGCACGTTTCGGCGCAGCGCAGTTGTTTAGAATGGTTGCTTCATTTGACGTGTTTCGTGTTCGTTGCGGTAGTGTATAAGGTGGAAATAGAGTTCCGTTTTTTTGTGTCTAACATCGACTGGGAGGTGGTGTGAGTGGTCGACATTGCGTTCTTGTCGGTGGATCAAAAAGAAGCAAAAACGGGTTGCTATGGAACGATGGTATTGAAACCCGAAAGCATGCGACATGCGTGTCTTGTCAACATACACTCAACATCACTCGTCAACATTCTGGGACGACGGCATCTTCAAATCGGACGTTGGAAAAATGGCTGAAAAACTCCTGCTCAGTCAACACGACTCCGTACGGTCCAGCGTGCGCAATTCGGCGCGCAAGCGGTGGACCAAGCAGCTTCTCTGGCAAAGCTTTCGAGTTGACGACGGGCGAAAAGATTGCGGACGTTGACTGGGAGGCTGGCTGCCACGCGGTTTCACTCGTGAGTGTCATGGAAAGGTACTCTGGCAGATTGTTCTCGATGCGCGTGGGATCCTGCTGGATGAGCGGCCACGACGGCCACGGGGCTTGCCATTTCCCGCCCACAAACATGTGTGAGCGATCTGAAGAGAATGTTTTCAGAAACTCAGAGGCGGCTACGACCCGATAACGCCTGCAAAGTGAAGTGGTGAACAAGAAAATAGGCGCATCGTAAGGTACATTCGTGAGCCACTCGTATCAGGTACAAACGTATGCGAGGCGAAGGAACGTGCCTGTGAAAGCTGGAAAGACTGTTGAAGCTGTCTCTCAACGCCTCGTCCGCGTAGCTCCGAAACAAACAAGGGAACCCCAGTGTCGTGTCCAAGTCATAAACCATGACGCCAGAGGGCGCTGGAAGAACGAGAACGACGTGATAGTCCCAGACGACCGGACACCCCGGTTGGCTGAGTCTCTGGCACCAAATCGGCGTCTGCACAAAGTGGCGCACCATGGCGTGTACGAAAGCAAGGTATGTGAGACAAGCAACTTAAATTGAAAGACTTGAGCTCTGACAACCAAACAGCAGTGCACACCTTGCGTGAAGGATTGGAAATGAAGACCACACTTGCTTGCTCGATAAAATTGTTGACCGTGTGCGAGGCCCTCATGTTTTGCTCCCATGCCGTCTGCGAGGCGTGCAGACAAAGGTGGTACACATTTTCCTCACTAAATCACAAGGGGGGGTATCATCACCGCAGCATTAGAAGATTTGACGGGACGACCAATTTGCAAAAAAAAAAAAAAAGACCGCGAGGACTCACCACCAGCACGAAGCGTAAGGCGCAAACTTGCGATCCAGCACATTGTTCACGTCTAGGAGAGGCACCTGTGCAGACTCGGTATTCTGCGAAAACGGAGTCCAGTCCGCTTGATGCGCGAACGCTGCTGGATTGGGCGACCCGCACTGCTCCATCAACACGGGTGCCTCGGGGTCTGCATCTGCCCTTGGAAAGTCAAACCGTCCGAGATCGGAAGCTGATGGCGATCTCGATTTTTCATTCAAGACTAACCGGGTTGACTTGAGCCGCACGGCGGGTTTTGAGAGCTTCTGGACTGTGTTGCTAGCGCCTGGCCCGCCTGTCTTCGATCGGACATTGAGGTACTGAAACAGTTTTGACCTGCCAGGATAGCGCTCAATCAGCAACAAATCATTGCTCTCACTCCAACAAGGTACAAAAAAAAAAGGAGAAAAAAAGAAGGCCAAACAAGATTTTCTGACGCACTGGTTTGACCAATTCAAGCTGCCACAGATTGTAATAAGTTCTTGTGAGCGAAAACCCACACACTCCTTCAAGACATCAATCGCAACTAGTACAACTCACTTGAGCTCGGTTAAAGGCTTATTGTTTTGAACTGCTTGCTCGATTTCAAAAGTCTCCGCGTCGCCCACTCTATTCCATGTCAAGCTGCAGCGTTCCGATGAGCACAAGCACGAGCATAAGCGCAGTTCCATGCTGGAAACACTCACTAAAGCGAGGTCAGAGTCATGTTGGCTTCAAGCGCCTTTGAAATTGCTTGCGCTCCATCCTCGCCTATTTCGTTGCGCTCCAAACTGCCGCACCCCAAAAAAAAAGTGTCAGGCAAGTCAGTGCCACTTTTGATGGTCAAACAATCTTGAACAATGTGCAAGATTCTAGCGCCGCCGACTCACTTGAGATAGGTCAACCCCGAGTTTGATTTGAGCGCATCGGCAATCGCCTGTGCGCCGACATCGCTAATTTGATTGCTGTTCAAGCTGATTCAAATGTTGAGTACCGGATTGCACCAGGGCTGGCAGCAATGTCGAAGAACAAGACCTTACTGCAAAGCATCGAGCGTTGTGTTCACTTTGAGGGCCTCTGCGATCGCGCTTGCTCCTGCATCGCCAATCTCGTTGTCGAACAACCTGTGTAACAAAGTATCAGCAACGGGTTCAACTAGTCAGCAATGAGGTGGGCGCCAATGCCAAACAACAAGAGGAGAAATTCGACTCACCGCAGACAACGCAACGACGTATTCGATTTGAGGGCTTCTGCGATAGCCTGGGCGCCTATAACGCCAATGCGATTCTGCGCCAGACTACGACCATTCATTGTCAGCGTCTTCACAGCACCGACTTTTTCAAAAAAAGTGCGTAAAGAACGCAAATTTACCCGAGCTCAGCCAAGCAGGTGTTCTGCAAAAGAGCTTGCGCAATCGCCAAAGCACCAACATCACCAATTTGTCCCCGGCGAAGGCTGAAAAGCCCGCGTGGTCAGTAACGAAACAAGAGCAACAATTGTTTGGGACATGTTCGTGTCGATGCAGTCAAACTCACTCAAGGGCTACAAGCGGCGGACATGTTTGGAGGGCCTCAGCAATCGCCTGCGCCCCAGCATCGTCAATTTGATTCTGGCTCAAACTGTCGCGTTGATTGTCAGTCACCTGCTCAGCCCAGCAACGGAATTGATGTTTGGCAACTCACCCGAGCGACTGCAGCGTGCCGTTGGACTTGAGTGCCTCGGCAATCGCCTGGACTCCTACGACGCCAATCTGATTGTCATCCAAACTATGGGACACATATTTTGGCGGAGTCAGGGAGCCAAATTTCCTTCAATTGCGAGCATTCGCGCGCAAAAGTCACAATCTCACATCAGCTCGGTCAAGGCTCGATTTGCTCGAAGCGCAGCTCCGATCGCTTGCGCACCAGCATCGCCAATCTGATTCCCACTCAACCTGCCGTCACACATCAAGGAATCAATGTAGAGTGAGCCAACCATCCAATTCGCCTGCTGCTTTTCGGTTTGAAGATTGACGAGAGGCTTACACAAGCTTGGCTAACGTCGGGTGGAACTTGAATGCTTGACTAACAGTCTGCGCCCCGAGAGTGCCGAGCTTCTTGCTAGACAGGCTGAAAAAAAGCAAGGAAGGAGGACAATGATGGTTTCAATCGTGAGTGTTCTGAATCGTGCAGCTTTTCCTGCTTCTTCCCCCCCCCCACACACACACACCTCCGGTCGATTGCTTACTTTAACGCGAGGCTCGAATTCTTGATACGGTCACTCAAGCTGTACTCTGCATCGAGTGGCGGCATTTCGCACCTGTTGAGTTGCAAAACGAGTGAATGAGCCTTTTGTCGTGCAGAATGAAGCACGAATGACGACTGCATGTTCAAACACTTGCATGCGCTCGCTCGATGCGGCGATGGCGGGAAGATGGGGCTTCATGATGCAGCAACCAGTCTCAGTCAGCAAGAAGAGCCCTGTTTAGCGCCAAAGAAATCAGATTGTCAGTAATCCTGCATGATCAACACTGTGCCACAGCATGTTTTTGCAACAACAAGAGCTTGTTTTTTGATGTTGACAGCTTTTTGGCGAATTGTTTAAGATTTTTCTGAGGATTTTCGACCCCTGTCAGCACCTTCTCAATTCTCAATGGCAAACACATACAAAATTCAATAAATAATAATAAAAAAATCAAAAAAATCAAATAAATGAACGAAACGCATCGTTTTTGCCCGGCTTCGTTTTTTCGTTGCCGTGGAGCAAAGCGAGTGCGATTCCGCACCAAGCCCTGCTTTTCCCAGCCTGCCATCTACGCTCGAAATCAGCGGCGGGAGTCTAGCAAGGCATGGTGCAGTCGCCACCGCGTCCACCTCGAAGCCGCTTCGGTCTAGTTTCTCGTCTAGCACCGAGTCTAGTTTTTAGCCCTTCGCTCTAGCTGGTTTCCTCTCTTCATCTCTCTCTGCCTCGCTCTCTGTCTGTCGCTCGAACGTCTGCTCCAATCTCGCCTCACTGCCGAACTTTCCGACCCCCCCTTTTGATGACTTTGCAAAACTGAGAATCGCGCAAAGTCCTAAACCATCACCAGCACCACCAGCGCCACCGCAAGAGGTCGCTTTGAGCCTAAAATCACCGAAAAGAGAGAGTGATGACGCTTTAGGCAAATGGGCGATGCAATGACCGCGGTCGACCCCCAATCCCACTGCTGCATAGGATAAATCATCACATACTGTATCAAAAACCCAACAGAAAACGCTGTGCTGGCTTGGGCGGCTTTGGCGGCAACGTTTGATTCTCGCGCCATGCAATCTTCTTCCTTCACTCATCCTCGTCATCTCATCACTGCTTCACTGCACACTGGTGATCTACTCTACAACGCAAACCTATTCTATTCCCAAACCTATTACTCCCAAATCCAAATCCAGTCCAACTTTTACTCTTTTTTTTTTTCTTCTTCAAAGCACTTTGAATGGACCTCATCGACTCGGACTCGGAATCCAAGCCACAGTCGCAGTCCGAGCTGCCACCGCGGACAATCAGCGACGATGAGGTGGACCGGCTTCTGCGCCTGTCGCTGCTGCTCCGTGGGCGCCGCAGCACTGAGGAGATGCTCAAGCGGCTGCCCCAAGTGCAGTCGGTCGAGGAGCTCGCTGCGGCGAACGCGCTCGACTCTGAGGCTGCGATCGCCACGCTCATCCAGCTCTATCCAGCTGCAGAGACAACCACCCCGCAAAAGTACTTTGAGATGTACGACCAGCTGGTCCGCTGGGCCCACCAGTCGCTCGATCTCTACAAGGTTTGGCTTTGCACAATATCAAATGCAATGGGAGATCTCGGCCCCAGTGGATCCCCCCCCCCTGCTCCTCATCTGTGGCAGACGACTTCAATAGTCTCACGCCAACAAGTCAATCGGCAACGCTCACTGTTCTCGACGGCTTGGGTTTTTTGTGTCTTGGTCTGGTAGAGCGAGCTCAAGATTGTCCTCTACCCGCTGTTCGTCCATTGCTACTTGGACTTGCTCGAACACAACCATATTGACGAAGGTATGTTTGTAAAAATGAAGGCACGAAAAGGTTTGACGTTCCAAACGATCTGCAATGCTCACCTTCGTTTACTTTGTTGATTTTTTTTTTTTGAAAGCCAAAAAGTTCTTTGGCATCCACCGTGGACTCTTCGAAGCCCAGGCTTTCCATATGGCCCGCCTTGAGATGCTGAGCACACCGCAACAGGTGCTCGACAGCGAGGTGGGCACCTTGTTCCGACGAAACAAGTACACGATGCGATTATCTGCCTACTCGTTCGACTTGCTGATTGCCTTCCTCCACGAAACGCGATCCATGCTGCTGATTGGCCTGATCAACCACTACATTAACATTTCAGTGTTTTTCGGCTCTCCGCTGCAGCCCATAGAGGCCGAGGCTGCCGCCGGTGTGGTCGACGACCCTTCAAACCGCCTGCCTCTTCGCGTCACGGGCGCGGGCGGCGTTTTGGGGTCGAGCCTCGGACCTGCGACCGGCAGCGGACCGTCAGTGATGGTTTCGGCAATTAATGAGCGAAAGGTGCTCTGGGGCACCCTCCCCGATATCCACGAAGTTGAGCTTCTAGTGGACGACGCGGCGTTTCCAGTCCGCCGTCGAGGGCCACCCACCACAGCCGCTCCAATCATCCCCATGCAAGCACCAGCCGCGGGCGAGGTGCCAAACTCGAGCTTTACCATTCCTGGCACGGCTGTGTCCCACCGCGCCCCGCAGGATGAGGAAGGACGCCCGCTGCGACCAGACCGCGAGCGCATTCCTCTTCCACGCGTCAAAGACTCAGACCTCCACGCACGCATCCACACTCTCCGCGAGACGCGACAGCGCGTTGCCCTCGGTGGCACCGGAGCGCTTCCGACGACTGCGTTCTACACAATGCTCAACGCCAACCGCGAAGTCAACTGCATCAACTTTTCGGAAGACACCGAGCTCATGGCGGCTGGATTTTCCGACTCGCACGTTCAAGTTTGGAATCTTCGCGGCGACAAATTCCTCCCATTGAAGTCGGGCGCCGATCTCGACGCCGTCCCGGACGTCAGCAGCATTACCATTGACGACCTGGTTGATCGTTCGCCGGCCGCGATGCTTGCTGCCTCCGAAACGCGCAGCTTGATGGGCCATTCGGGCGCTGTCTACTCGACAGACTTTTCCACTGACAATCGATTGCTTCTTTCCGCCTCGCAAGACAGCACCGTACGACTCTGGTCGCTCGAAACCATGTCCAATCTTGTCGTGTACCGTGGTCACCTGTCGCCCGTCTGGTCTGTGTCGTTCGCCTCGGTCGGACACTACTTTGCGAGCGCCTCTCACGATCGCACGGCACGGCTCTGGAGTTGCGAGGAGATTTATCCCCTGCGCATTTTCGCTGGCCATGAGAGCGATGTTGATGTGAGTAGTTTTTGTTTTTTGGTTGGGGGGGGGTTTTTTTTTCGGGGATCCGTGTTGTACTCATGCGGCGTTTTGGTATTGGGTTGCCTTTTATTTTTTTGTCATTCTCAGGTCGTCAAGTTCCACCCGAACTGCAACTATGTCGCCACCGGCTCAAGCGATCGAACAGTCCGACTGTGGGACGTGCAGTCTGGCGAGTGCGTGCGCTTGTTCACGGGCCACACTGGCGCCGTCATGTCGCTTGCCATCTCTCCTGACGGCAAGTACATTGCCAGCAGCGGAGTCGACAAGACTGTCATTTTGTGGGATCTTGGCTCTGGGCGCCGAGTTTCTACCTTTTCTGGCCACGCGAATGTTGTTTATTCGCTCGATTTTTCAATTGAGGTAAGGGTTTTTGGTTTGTTTGGGTTTTGTTTTTTGAAACTCGCGATCATTCTTTGTACGCTGCGCTGCATCTTATTCTGTTCGTTGTTCATTGCTTGTGTCACTTCAGGGATCGCTTCTTGCAAGTGGTAGCGCCGATAGCACAGTCCGCATCTGGGACGTCAAAGCTGCAGTCTCCTCAGCCGCCTCTTCCAGCAACGCAACAGCTCGCAGGCCGCCAAATGCGAAGGCCGCCATCACCTCGCCTGAGCTGCTGACCACTTACAACACCAAATCTACTCCTGTATCCTGCTTGCGATTTTCGCATCGCAACCTGTTGTTTGGCGCTGGCGTGTTCCAAGCATGATGTTAGGATAGTTAAAAAAAAAAAAAGTGTTGTTGATCTGCTTGATCTGCTTTATCTTGAAAAAATTTCGAACCAAACGCCAAAAAAATACGACACAAAGTGAAAGAATGAAAGAAAACACATAGACACACAAGCACGCACGCACGCACGCACGCACGCACGCACACACAACAAGAGTGGAAACTGAGCCATTGACGAAAAAAAAAAATCAAACAATACCCAAAAACGTCCAGCGTAAAAAACAAAGAGATGGGGATTCTTGCCGCGAGCAACAAAAATGCGACATGGCATTTAAGACGGTGCAGGTGTCGATGGCGCAGCTGGAGTCGCTGCAGGCTCGCAGTCCAGTGAGTGATTCTTGAGCAGCAGCGTGTTCGAGATGACAGTGGGGTTCTTGAGGTAGAGCTGCGCATCGCGGTCGGGGACCAGGTGCTCAAACGGAACAGAGCAGATGGCAGTAATGTTTCGCACAACCGCGGCCAGCATTTCCAGCTTTTCAAAGTTGATCAGATTGTCCGTCTCCTTCTCGTTGCCGTCGTTGATAAAGAAGAGGTCTTTGACGTACACAGCTATCGCCAAGAAGGGAGGAAATGGAGCAACGTTAGAGAGGGAGATATTGGTGAAAAGCCAACACAAAGACATGAATTCAACAAAAATCCGACGGCAGAACAGAAACTTACGCAAGACTGGAATCATGGGTGGTTTGCTTTGAAGGGCAAGTTCGCGGTAGGCCTTCATGTTTTGTGAGGGATTCATGACGCTTTCCAAGTCTGTTAGCATGGTCTTGTACTTGGCCGAGACTTGCTAAAAACGCAAATGGCGAACGCACACATGGTTAGAACCCGGCAATAATCAGAAGACCAGCCTGACACAAAAACGAAAACACGCGGCAGCGTACCTCCCAAGACTTTTTCAAGCGCTGAACTGGAGCCATCGAGAGGCCACCGACGATCGAAAACACTGTAAAGTAATTTTGCAACTCCATGCAGCTCTGGCGCATTGACGACGACGACGACGACGACGACAACAACAAAAAATCGAAAGAAGGGGGGGGAGGAGTCAAGTGTCAGCATTTCTTCAATCGTGCCAGTCATCCCAGTACAAGTAGAAAACCACCTACCTTGCCAACCAAGATGAACTTTTTAATCAGCTCGACCCGCTTTTTCAGCTCGGGTTGTGTGCAAATGACGGTCGCGACCCAGTAGCTCTCCTACAATGAGCAGCAGAGTAACAACAACATCCAAAAAGAAAAACGATTAAGTGGAATGTCAAGAGGCCCGCTCATAAAGCGAACGAAAACATACTCGGTTGAAGCGAGAAATCAGAATATTAAGGTTTGGGCACAAATCATCGACCTTGCTGGCCTGCCAGACGTAGCTGAGATACTCTACGCGATGGACTGTTTCGGGAAAACGACAAACACAATCAGTCAGTCCAGTTGCAACTTTTGTTTGTTCTGCTGCACCGCCCATATGCGTTCTTACCCTTGTTGAAAAGCTCATGATCAAACTGCAACAATAAAGAGCAAACAAATCAACAGCATGAGTAAACCACCTTCCTCGCACAGCCCTACAAACCAACAGCAACTCACCAATGTAATTTGCTCGGCAATGAACTGCGCGTCTTTGTCCATGAGCTCAGTCGAGCCCTCTTCGCTTTGGTCAACATTGTCGGCTTCGCTCGCATCAACCGACAGATCGGTCTTTTCCAGCGGAAGCATGGAAATGTGAATGCGTTCAAACCGTTGCAACTGTCATACAGAAGGGGGGAAATGAACGGATGCTGGATGAGCAACTGCTACAGGCGGAAATGCAGCTGATGGCAATGCGAGCAATGAAGGCAATGCACAAACCTGATCGGCAACACATTGCGAAAGTTCGTTGGCCTTGTCTTCCATGCCTTCTTGCTGGATGAACTCGCACAGATCGAGGAGAGAGTCGAGCAGCTCCTTGCTCTCATAAAAGTCTTGGAAGTAGCGCTCGACCCAGCGAATGATGAAATTGCAAACTCTGCAATGCCACAGACAACAATATCGGAGGAAAGGAGACGCAAGTTCAAAACGTCAGCATCTCAAAGACAAAATGCCGACACACGTTGGCTGAAAAGCACCAAGCACGTACTTCATTTGGATTGGTCGCTTCCATTGAGCATAGTAGGCGATTTCTTCGGGAATGGGATTTTCGGGCAGCGAGAGCTTGAATCGCGATAGCAACATGTAGAACAAGTCTTCGGGCTCGATGAACGAGCGGAAGGTCAACAAGATGGTATCAACGTAGTAACCGTCTACAGAATCAAGGGGGAAAATAAATGAGGACAACGCCCTCGCCAAACTTTGGGGAAAAAAAAACCTCATGCAGCTACTGCTAAAACACCGTACCGAGAGCGTTTTCGTCCGCTATCCTTTCAATCAGCTTGTGCACCTTCGCGGCCTTGATTTCGCTTCGTGTGCCGGAAACCTTGAGAACAAGGGTCACTTCGTTGCGTTCGACGAGACAAACGAGGTTGGAATCGTCTTGCTTGTCCACATCTAAAAGCGGGCGATGGGGAAAAAACAACAACAAGAGGAGACCAACGTGAGTATCAAACACTCACAAAACCCCCCCCCCCCAAAAAAAAGCAAAACGAAACAAAACAACTCCCCAACATCGCCCCTCACCTGGCCGTTGGACCAGCTCAATCTCAGAGATTTTGTGCGAAGAAACGGTCGTGCTCAGATCCACGGAAACGTCAGCGCCCGCAACGCGAAGCGCGTATTCGGACATTTTGAGATGTCGTCGAGTGCAAACATAGTTGAGCAGTTCGGCCATCTTCATGTCGTCGGCAGCCTCAACCACCGTAGAGGCGCCGCTGGGGAGCTGTACTCGCAACCGGGTGATGGTGGAATTCGGATAGAGCACTTTGATTTCGGTAATGTTGCTCATCACTCCGAGCACGCCGCCCTTCGAGTACGGTTGAAGGTTTGTCTCGGGAATACGCAGGGCAGCAAACTCCTGCGTGCTGGGAAGCGACGGACGAGACTTTGGCTTGGCGCCAATGGAGGCGTTGCGCACGCTGAGACGCCGAATGTTGCGCGAGCCTTCCGCAATTCTGCGAGCTTGGGCAAGATCGGGGCTTCGTTGCAAGTCGGTTTCAGAGGTGGCCGACGAGAGACTGACGCTGTCCGGAGAAGGACTCAGGTTGTTGCTCCCGCTCGAGCTTGGCCGGTATGGCAAGTCGCCCGACGAGTACGCGCGCAGCATCTGTTCTGAGCCGACAGGCGTGGCGAGCAGCGAGGCGGGCGACGAACCAGCATCGCTACCTCGCGGTGATCGCACACTCTTGCGGCTGAAGGCCTTAAACAAGGACAGGCGCCGTTGTGACTTTGGAGTGAGGTCGCCCGAAGAGATTGTGCCTCCAGGGGAGGACGCGCCTCCTTCCGGGCTGTACTCTCCATTCTCTGCAATCACAATGCTGTCACGGGGTACCGAGGATCCTGCCGAGATGGACGCCTTCTTTTTGCGAGCCGAGCTGCCAAACTTGGCGGCTTCCTTGGCCTTCTTTTTTTGCTTTTTGATCTCAAACAAAACTTTGAGTTCCGGCTCCTCCGACAAGGTGTACAAGACGTCCTTCTCCAAGATGATCTTTCGCGACGAGGTATCAGCGCGGTTGCCGGCAGACTCGAGCGCATCAGCGCAGACATACTCGAGCACTGCAGCGAAATACACGGTGGCTTCTTCGTCAAAGCGCTCTTGCATGACATCCGTGTACAGCTTTTCGATTGGGAAGGGGGACTTGGGCGTCAGCCAGCTGACAAAGAGCACAATTCCAAAAAAAAAATAAAGAACATGCAACAAGAAAGAGTCAGACGAGCTCGACCCCCAACATTGACGCAGTTGTGTTTCGCAAACAGAAAACGGCTGGCTCATACCGCTTTGCAGGATCCTCCGTCTTTCGGAAGCTCATGACAGCCTTGATACCGGCAGTGAAGGCCCACTTGGCCATGTTCTTGCCAAAGATGGCCTTGACCGACGCCTCGACCAAATCCGTGTTCGCCTTCACGTTTGGCGAAATCAAAGTGCAGGTGTGGTTTGCGAGTCGTGTCGCAAAGAGAATCATTTCTTCGTCCAAAAAGACGAGCGCCTCGGTGGCCATAAACATGTCGGGGCGCACGAGCATTTGCACATGCTTGAGTGCGGCCTGGAAGCTGAGCTTCTTTTCAAACACAATTTCACCGACTTCGATCAAAGGGGCCGCCATTGTCTGAGCAGGAAGCAGTGCGAAAGTATCAAGCAAAGAGTGCTACTAGAGCGTCGCCCTCTCTCTCAAGGGGTCGTCGGGGATGTGGGATGTAGTAATCGCGTGACCAGCTTTTGTCCAGCGAAACCACAGCCAGCTACGACTCGGGCAAGGACAACGAACGACGACGACGACGACAACTACGTGCTACGACTACGTGCTACTACTGCTGCTACTCGTCAGAAAAACCACGGCAAGTTGTGTCTCGTGGGAAAAAAAAAACGAGCAGGTCTGCGAGGAACAAACCAGACAAAGAGAAAAGTGAGCGGCATTGTCGTCCACTTCCAACACCCAAGACATCGATCAGAATGGTGCTTTTGGTTGGCACTTTTGCTGTCAAAATTCATATGTGGGAAGGAAAGTGCCATGGCAAGTCGTGAACGGGAGTGTTTGTTTGGGACAAGCCGGAACTCTGCAACCGACCCAATGCAATGGCAATGCCTCCCTCCCTCCCGCCCTCCCTCGCTCGCTCTCCTTCCCTCCCCGCATCGTCAAAGAAAGAGTGTGTGATGGGCGGTCGTCGTGGCCGAGTGTGCATTTGAAGGCTGGTTTCTCGAACAAAAATAATCACAAGAAGATAAAATAAAAATAAAAAAAAAACAAAAAAAAAACAAAAAAAAAACAAAAAATAATAACAAAAAATAAAAGTAGACCGCTGTTCCCTCCCCTCTGTGTTGAGAGGAGCAACCCTCCACAAACCCACCATCGCGCAACTCAGAGAACGAGGATGGCATCGAAGCGGACAAGGAAGAAGCGCAAATGCAAGAGGAGCCGAGCAGAACACAGAGAAAAAAAAAAAAAAAGAAAACAACAAATCAAAATGAAGGCGGGAACAGCGACAGACAGGCTCAACATGGGCCAACAACAACAACAACAACAACAACACAAAGTCGCACTGAGGCACAGCGTGCGTGACTGTGCTTCAACTGGGGGGGGGAGCCGGGGTTTCAGAGACGAAAAAAGTGAAGAGACGACCAAGGACGAGTGCAAGGGGATTGCTCTCTGCCCGTATCCTCGCGGACCGAGGGCATGCTTTGTTCGAACAAGCCGAGAATATGCGGGGTCGCGCTGACGGAATGCCACAGACATCGCTCATAGTTTTATCCCCCCTCCCCCAAGCTTTGTGTTCAAGTGGCTCGCTTGCACAATCCAACAATACTCAAAGAGATGAAAAGGCGCGCTCGTTTTTTTTTTTCGTTTTTTTTCAAAAAATGCACGACACTAAAGCTGTGCGAGCGAACAGCCAGCATTTTGTTGGCCGGACGCGGATTGGCGGGTGCACCGGCGCATGCAACTGAAATGCATTCACACGTCCCTGGCCCTCCGTTCCGACGACGAGAGGTCGCGGTCCAGAGCTGTGCGTTGCCACATTCGCAACACCAAAAAAAAAAAAGAAGAAAAAAGTGTGATTCTCGTTCCGCCCCATTCTGCATCGTGCTGCTCCCCCCTGTCGCTTGGGGGTGATGCAAACCACCCAAAGCCATGAACGGACGCTTGGAAGGGGTACACGAGGATGGGCAGCCACAGCTCAAAGAGAGCAGCAGAAAGCTGACATCCGCGTTCCAAAACAAAAAAAAAAAAGCAAAAAATAATAAAAATAAAAATAAAAAATAAAAAGTTGTGCTAACAATGCACAAAAACCGCGCTTTTTCTCGCTGTTGTGCCCCCGTCCATCGCCGACGCTGGGGGGTCCAACCCGCGGCATGACAAATCACAGGCAAGCTACAGGAATGGCATTTGGTGATTTGTGCGTGGCGGTTGAGGCACCGGTGGGGAGAACAGGGAGAACGAAGGGGAAGGGGGAAAAATTAAAAATTTAAAATAAAATAAAATAATAATAAAAAATAAAAAACCTGAAAAGCAAAAAAAAAAAAAAAAAAAAAAAAAAAAAAAATCTTGGGTTTGTTTGAGTACTTTACAATGAAAAATGAAGTGAAACAAAACTGAGCTGCTTTTTGTTTTGTTTGTGTTTGTCTGAGTTTGGTTTGATTCGTTGGATTGTTTTCGGTCAAGAATGAATAAACGTTGTCTCTCTCGCAGCACAAACACTGCACCAATCCAAAGCCGCTCAGCTCAGTCCACACCTTTTTGGTTCTTTGTGTTTCTTATGGCAGAGTGGTGTGTTGGACTCATGTCTGGGACGTCTGTCGATGGCATTGACTGCGCATTAATCCAGACCGATGGCGAGCGTGTCTTTTGGCCGCGCGCGGAGGAGCAAGGCAAGGAGGATTTGACAGGATCAACGGGAACGACAAACAGCGAGCTGGCGTACCTGGTGCCGTACGACCCGGCCTTCCAGCGAGAGCTCAGGAGTCTGTTTGGTGTGGATACGAGCGCTGTTTTGGCTGGCACGTCCGAGGTGGACACGTCGCGTTCGACGGTCATCAGGATTGAGCAGGACCTGACCGAGCGGCACGCTGCTGCGGTCGCGCCACTCCTCGCTCGGGCTGCGAGGACAGATCGCCATGTTGCGCTGATTGGCATGCATGGCCAGACTGTGTTTCATCGCCCTGCGAGTGCGCATCCGCCCGATGCACCGGCACCCGGAATCACTTGCCAATTGGGCGATGGCAACCTGCTCGCAGAGCTGACCAAAGTGCCAGTCGTGTTTGACTTTCGCACAGCCGACGTTGCGCTTGGCGGAGAAGGTACTAGTGATGTCCCTGTAGCTGGAGATGATTTTGAAGTTGAGGCTCACCAGTGGAAACTGTTCGAACGAAAACTTTGTGATGTTTTGTTCTTCATTTTTGTTCGTGTACAATTTCTAACACATCTATTTGTTACTTTTAGGCGCACCCCTGGTTCCAGTCTTCCATCAAGCCCTGTGCAGATCGCTGTCGCGGACTCTGTTGGCAAAGCTGGGCATGTATCAACAGCAGAGGGAGCTGGTTCTTGGCATTCTAAACCTTGGAGGCGTTGGTAACATTACCTTTGTACGGCTCAAGCCAGCGGCTCAACACACTGACACTCCCGGGTCGGCGGTTGTCCCAGTCCACGCTCTACCAGGCGCTGGGGAGGATTTCGTGTCCGAGGACGGGCTGGATTTGCTGGCGCTTGACACGGGACCGGGCAATGCTCTCGTCGATGACTGGATGCTTGCAAACACGCAGGTTCCGTGCGATTTCGATGGCGTCGCGGCAGCGTCTGGCACAGTCGATGGCGGTGTTCTTGCCAAGCTGATGGCGCATCCGTACTTTGACCGCGTCCCGCCGAAAAGCCTCGATCGGCAGTCGTTTGCGCTCTCCGTTCCAGAATGTGGACTCGTGGCGCCTGCGTGCTCTGTGGCCGACGGCGCAGCCACGCTTACGGCATTTACGGCGGCAAGTGCAATAGCGTCCACTCAATGGGCGTGTTTCTGTGCAGACGGCCCGAAATTGCGCTGTGTGACTTGTCCTCGCGTTTCCGGCATCCTGGTTTGCGGCGGTGGACGACGTAATGCAACATTGATGCGAATGCTGCGTGATCGTGCGCAAGCGCTCGCCGTTGTGCTTCGACCAGTCGAAGATGTCGGCTGGGATGGCGATCTGCTGGAAGCCCAAGCCTTCGCCTTTCTCGCCAAACGAGTGCAGCAATCCCAGCCCACTAGCTTTCCGCGCACAACGCGTGTTTCCAAGCCCGTTTGCGGGGGTCGGATAGCCGTTCCTCAAGTTCCTCAAGCCGAGATGTTGGAATGATGAAGTGCTGTTTTTGGTTGCGTCAAACGTGCACGAAATAAAAGTGTGCTACTTGACTAGCAAGTGTCCAACAGACAGACAAACAGAGATCGTCGGATGTGCTCAGTAACTTAAACAGTGAAAGGTGTCGTTTGCTCGTAGTAGAAAGGAGGAAGGGAAAAAGTGTTTGACTCATTGTCAGCGTACGGATTTTCGGCCACGAATCTTTTGCCGCCATTTCGCAGTTTTGCAGTCTGCGCCGTGTAATTGCATCATATATTAATATAAATGTATAGTTTCTTTGCAATGGAGATAAATCTCCGAGTTGCAGGAAAGCTAATACACCTACTGATGAGTTGACGGGCAATCTTGAATGGCGGGATGCGGCTGCGGGAAATGTGCGCCTGCGCACACACGAACGGCGGCGACTGAGAGCTCGAGACCCAATGGAGCAGGGTATTCGACACTAGTTGTCATGTCGATTGTCGTTGCCCACTTTCCTACGATGCCCTGAACTCAATTGTGGGACTCGCTGTCCACTACCAACTTCCGGCAACCACATGGCCCGCACTTGCCTTCCCATCCTTGAATCCCTACTCATTCACAAGACTCCTTTTTTTTTGTTTTGCTTCCGTGACTCCATCCTGTTCGATTTCGATACTAGCGCTCGATGTCAATGCTCACCGCAGCGCAATGCAAGCTCCACACGTGGAAACTCGCGCAGTCTTTCCCATTTCCCTCGTTCACTCTGCATCTGTTATTCCCCCCCCCCCTTTTCTCTTTGTCGTTGCTAAACAAGCTCAACAACTTAACCCTCGACACTTCTCAAGTCGCCTTTCCATCTCCAGATGAAGCTCGGATTCAAGGTAGGCGTCGAGAAGGGACAGCAGGAGAGCGCGTTTTCGGTCCATGTGGAGATTGCTTGAGCTTGTGGCTTTCCCCCCCCCACCGTCCGCACCGTCCGCCCCTCCATCTCCGTCCCATTCCCTTGCCTCTGTTTTTCCATCCCGCGATCTCGTCTCACTGGCTGGGGCAACCAAGTGGTGGATGGACGAAGCGCTGGTGTCCGTTCTGGCTTTCTAACCTTCGTGCTCTCTCTCGCTCTCTCTCTCTCGCTCTCTTGCTCGCAGTTCTCCAACTTGTGCGGGACAGTCTACTGCCAAGGCAACATTGTCTTCACCCCTGACGGCAATGCAGTGCTCCGTATCCGTCTTTGATCTCGTCAAGTAAGCGATTGTCGACGACAGGTCTGATCAGTATTGAGCACACCATCTCACTCACGCTGTCTCTGGTTGCTTGAACACAGTAACAAGTCGTATACACTTCCATTCGAAAATCTCAAGAATATAGCTCGCATGGCTCTGTCGCCGCAGGGCCACCTTCTTGTCACGGTGGATGAAGGTGAGATTTCCATGTGTGTGTTTCGCATGTGTTTCGCGGCTGCGAGAATGCGAAACCCACAACCCACAACCAATCTCATGCCTCGTTTGATATTCAGATGGTCGAGCCCTGTTGATCAACTTTATGCGAAACGCGCTCTTGCACCACTTCAACTTTAAGGAAGCAGTCCAGGACATCAAATTCAGCCCCGATGGTCGCTTTATCGCCGTCACCCACGGACGCTTGCTGCAGGTGTGGCGCGCCCCTGGTTTCAACAAGGAGTTTGCTCCCTTTGTGCTGCATCGCACCTACAATGTGATGCACGTTGAGTGGTCTCCCGACTCGCAGTAAGTCTCTCCAGCAACTGTTGTTGCTGTTGTTTGTTGGCCGGACGACCGTCAAACCGCATAGCATGTTCGCTCGCCTGGTCATTCACGAAACCGTTCCACCCCCCCCCCCCGTTGCTCTGCTTCAACATTCAGATTCTTCCTGACAGCTGCTCAGGATATGACTTGCCGTCTTCATTCGCTGCACCCCATTCCTGGCTTTGTGCCTCTGACGTTCTCCGGACATCGTGACGCTGTCATTTCCTGCTTTTTCAGCAACGATCTGCAACATGTATGTACTTTGCGGGATGGTGAGGGAGATGGTTCACGTCTCTGGCAGTCAATTCATTCTTGGACTACTCCCACCTCCCAAACAGATCTACACCATTGGCCGAGACGGCTCGGCATTTGTTTATGGTCACAAGCGCACGGTTGCCCTGGAAGCACCTGCGCCAGCAGCCTCGGCTGAAGAGACGACCACCGGAGAAGAGCGGCAGATCGTACCGGCCGAGACCTCTCCACTATCGACCCACGTTCTGGCAACGACTGTCTGGGGTCTGCGTGCCAAGCATTACTTCAACCAACCACAGGCCCGCGTGATCAGCGCGTGCTTCAGTCCTCGGTCAAACATGCTTGTGGCAGGCTTCACCAACGGCGTCTTTGCGCTTTACGATATGCCCGATTTTAACAACATTCACTCTCTCAGGTCAGTTCTGTCGTTCGCTTGGTTGTGGATGGTTGGGCACACACATTGTGAGCCAGGTCCTCATTCTGAATTTTTTTTATTGTTGTTGTTGTTGTTGTGGTTGCTTTTGCTTCTTCTTTCCGCCTCAGCATCTCGCAACACCGCATCTCGGCTGTCGCGCTCAACCCCACCGGCGAATGGCTGGCGTTTGGCTGCGCCAAGCTGGGTCAGCTGCTCGTGTGGGAGTGGCAGTCAGAAACGTATATTCTGAAGCAGCAGGGCCACTACCACGATATGAGCACCATTGCCTACTCGTCGAACGGCTTGCATATTGCAACGGGCGGCGACGATGGCAAGGTCAAGCTGTGGAACACGCATTCAGGGTTTTGCTTTGTGACGTTTAGCGAACACACGGCAGCCATCACGGGTGTCACTTTCTCGTCGCACGGCCATTCGGTGTTCAGCTCGTCGTTGGACGGCACCGTTCGTGCGTTTGATCTCGTCCGCTACCGCAACTTCCGCACCTTCACGTCGCCCCGGCCTGCGCAGTTCTCCTGCCTCGCTCTCGATCGAAGCGACGAAATTGTTTGCGCCGCCTCGCGCGACACGTTTGAGATTTTCGTCTGGTCGGTCCAAACCGGTCGACTTCTTGAAGCCTTGGCTGGCCACACTGGCCCGGTGAGCGGAATTGCCTACGCGCATCATCGCTCGCTTCTTGCCAGCTGCAGCTGGGACAAGACTGTCAAGTTTTGGGACGTCTTTGAGACCACTGCTGCCAAGGAGACGCTGCTGCACCAGTCGGACGTCCTTGCGCTCGCGTTCCGTCCTGATGACCAAGAGCTCTGCACCGCTACGCTGGATGGACAACTTTGCTTCTGGGAGGTGTCCAGTGGCTCGCTCGTCAAGTCTATCGAGGGTCGACGGTAAAAGAAAGAACATGAGAGTGGTTTTGAGCTGTTCCCTCTTTGACTGAACGCTAACTTGATTCTGGCTTTGTTTTGTTTTGTTTGACCTTTTCCTTTGGACCAATTCCAACAACGGACAGTGATATCGCTGGTGGCCGAAGTGAAACGGAACGCACAGCCGCTGCCAACTCGGCTGCTGGCAAGAACTTTACCAGCGTGTGCTACACTGCTGATGGCGCGTGCGTTCTTGCGGGTGGCAACTCCAAGTATGTTTGCATTTACAGCGTGGCACAAGGCGTGCTCTTGCGGCGCTTCCAAATTTCAAAGAACAAGTCGTTCGACGCCATGAGCGATTTTCTCAACAGCGCAAACATGACCGCCGGCGGCTCTCTGGCAATGATTGACGATTCGGACGACGAGGCGGATGTTGAAGGCCTCGGCAAGTCGCGCCGCAAGGAAGAAGGTGGCGCTGGCGGTATGGATGTGTCGCTTCCCGGTGTTGCCAAAGGCGATTTCAGCTCGCGCCGTGTCAAGCCTGTAAGTTTGGAAGAGGGGAAATGGGGAAATGGGGCAGCACCAACAAAATCCTTGTTGTCGAAAAAAAAAAACACTTTGGTTGCTCAACGGCTTGCAAAACTCAATGGCTCATTCTATTTGGTTCCCTTGTTCCCTTTCCACAGCGCATTCGCACCAGGGGTGTGCAATTCTCACCCACTGGCCGATCATGGGCGGCTGCCTCCACGGAAGGTCTGCTCATCTTTTCGTTGGATGAGTCACTGGTCTTTGATCCAGTCGACCTCGATGTCGATGTGACTCCTGACGCCGTTCGACAGCTCAGCGCCGATGGCGAACATGCCCGTGCCTTGTCTGTTTCCTTCCGCCTCGGCGAGGTGGATGTGTGCCACCATGCTATCGAAAGCGTCCCCGCCACGGACATTGCCGTCGTTGTCACTCAACTGAGCGCTTCCTCGGCCGAACGCACGCTGGCGTTCATTGCATCGCATGCACTTGAAAGCTCCCGTCATGTTCATTTTTACTTGACATGGACGAACGCCATTTTGGACACACATGGTCCGGCTCTCAAGCTTCGCGCATCCGACGCCCGCAACCTCCACATTTATCGCGCTCTCCAAAAAGCCATTTCGAAGCATTATGATGACCTTGCCAGCATGTGAGTTCAGCAAGGGCTTGAGTTCATGTTTGTTTGGCATTTTCGGGAAGATATTTGGAACTCACTTGTTTTTGTGGTCTGTTCGTCTTTCATTTGATTGTGTCTCGATCAGGTGTGACGAAAACAAGTATGCCCTCGCGTTTTTGACTGCTGTTCCTGGTGCTAGTGCGGATAACCAATTGAGCGCGATGGTGTAGTGCCATCTCGCAATAAACTCAATCCGATATTTTGTTCTTGTTTCAAGTCGTTATTTGAACTGAGTTGGACAGGGGTGCGCTCAATGCGGATCCACATTTATAACAACTGGCCACAAAACACAAGAGCACGCAAAAATGGAAAAAAAAAACAAATGGAGAGCTGCAACTTGAAAAACGAAACGATTAACGAGCTGGTGTTTTCGCGCCGGCGGCAGCCATTGTGCGAGCAGCCTTCACGCTTGTTTGATGGCGCGTGCGAACGCCCGGTGGCGAAGGACCGTTCGTCGGTGTGCTTGGCATGGCAGCAGCAGGCGCAGCCCGAGCGGGAGTGGCGGCAGCAGCAGCAGCAGCCTTGCGAGCAGTTGCAGGTGCAGGCGTCGCGACTGGCTCGTCGTCAATCTCCATGGGCGCGGGCGCCGCGGCGGCAGCCGCCTTGGCAGGGGTCTTGCCTTTGCCCTTGGGGGTGGCAACAGCAGCGGCGGCAGGAGTAGACACGGCTGCTGCGGTCGGTTTGCTGGCAGCAACAGGTGTGCTCTCTGCAGCCTTCTTGGCGGGCTGCTTGGCAGCAGCAGCAGCAGGGGTTGCGGGAGCGGCAGCACGCGTCGGCTCGGCGGAGGCGGGAGCAGCCTTGCCCTCGAGGCTCTCGATCAAAACCTTGGCTCCAGCAAGAGTGCTCTTGGCCTTGAGCGCCTTCATGTGCTTGTTGAAGGCAGTCTTGGCGGAGGCAGCCACGGCAGCATCGGGCGAGCGAACGAAAGCGCTGGCCACAAACAATCCGTGGTTGCTTTCAAGGAGAGCATCTTGCTGGCCACTCAGTTGCGAGAACAACTGGCTTGCAAAGGACGGAGCTGTGAAAAAGAAAGACCAGAAACAGGTGAGCATGAAGCTATTTGCGAATTCCCCCTGGACTGCACAGCAACATACAACAACAACATACCTTCGTCAGAAACGCGCTCGGACAAGATCAGTTGGCGAACCATTCGGTGGCCGTTGGCATGCTGGATGAGCGATTGCTCGCCATCCTTGAGACACTCGGCAACAAGAGCAGCATAGAAGGGTGCGAGCTCGGTCGCGCTGGAGCTCGAGACAAGCTCTTGGATGAGCGGAAGCTTGTGGGGGTCGCGGCTGAGCGCCTCGACATGCTCGGTGGCATAGGCAACAAGCGAAGGCAGGATGGCACGACGCAACTCCTCGCGGCGCACGTCCGTGTCCTTCTTGCTGTTTGGGTTTCCATCGCCCTCGGCCAAAACAGCCAGCACATGCTCGGGAATGTATCGCTTCGAGCGAGGAGCAAGCAGATACTGCAAGACGCGGAAGCCGTACTTGGACTCGACAAACTCGGGGAGAGACTCTTGAATTTCGGAAAGGACGGCCTTGGATACCAAGACTGTATCGTCTACCATATCGAACAATGCCAATAGCACAGCAAAACCGTGCTCGTCGAGACCAATCTTCTTGACGAGCGACTTCATGGATTTGATGATTGTTTTACGATCCTGATGCATGTCAACCAAAGGAAGCGTTGGTCAGACACATCCGAACATGAACTTCGATTGCAATAGAGCGAGAGAGGCAAGAGGAAGCAATACAAACCTTTGCGTTGGCATCACGGATGACCAAGACAGAGACGTGCGCGCCCTCACGAGTGTGCACAATGTCAATCACGGCCTCGTTCAAGCTCGAGGACATGTCCTGGAAAGGAGTACCAAGTGAAGAGAACAGGGAAGAATGGGCTCAGTACAAGGCACAGGAATTTGAACAAGATGAGCAACCCCACAGAACGCATACCTTGAGCGAAGGAGCTTGGCCGTGCAGATACAAGTCGAGCAAGGCGCGGTGCACAAGACTGAAGCCAATGGTGCCCTTGTCCAAGCAGCCTGTGAGCGTCTGTTTAAGGTGCGTCAACATGACAGACTCGAGCTCGGGATGGCTGTCAATCACTTCCTTCAATGTCGTCTGGGGGCTTGTCTGTTTTTTTTTTTTTTTGTTTTGTTTTGTTTTGCGGTGGTTTTTTGTTGTCATTGAGGCACAGATGAGAACGAGCCACAACCATGGATGCACAATCATCACAATCAAGGGTTTGCACCTTAAACAGCAAGAACTGAGGACCGTAGAAATCAGCCACCAAAGCAGCGCGCTGTGCAGCGTTCGCGTACAAGCTGTATGCAGTGTCGACAAGATCCGCGGCGTCCTGAGATTGTCCAAGGAAAGCAAAAGAAAGAGTCGGGATGATGAGCGAAACATGAAACATGGACCAAAGCAAGCATGCCGCAAAACCAAGACACAGCACGTACTCGGTGGCGAATCAGAGTGCGAGTCATCTTGGTCATGACGTTGATAATGTGATTGCGATGCTCAGCGGAGCTGTCGGCCCGAAAAAAAAACCAACCATCGAGTCAGAACAAAAAAAAACGACACAGAATGGCCATCTCGCAAAAAACATCATTTCATACCCGTATTTGAGCATCTTGGAGACAACAAACTTGCCATACTTGCTGCGAAGGATGTCAAGAAGGTGCGCTGCACATGTCATAACGATGCCACGGGGTCAGCCAATCAACTCGGATTCTTCAAAGAGGAAAAAAGCAAAACCCACTCACACTTGAGCTCTTGGAAAACCATGTCTCGCTGAGCCTCGTTGCCGAATTTGATGCAGCACTGAATGACACGCACAGCATCGTGCTTGAAAATGATCTGCATCAAGAATCAAAACGGTGAGCCAACTTGCACAAGCCACCGCTTACGAATGAAAAACAATCACCACCACGTCTTTCGAATGAAAACAATCAAAACCTCGCCATACATCGTTCATGTGGCCAGTGACAATGCCCATCAGCTCGTCGGCAAGAGCTTGACGCTCCGCGCTGGGCATACGCTTTTGGCGCAGCGTCTCCCAGATGCGCTTGGCACGCTGGATGAGTTCAAAGTGCGGGGCAGTGTGTGCTTTGCGCTCGATACGCAGCAGCTTGGCCTCCTTGTGGTTGGAAGCAAAGCGATGGTTGGCATTGAACAGCTTGCCTGGCTTGGCCTGCTCGCCATCGGCAGCAGCGTCTGCGGATTCGCTGCCATTCTCAGTGTCATCGTCGTGAGCAGTGGACGGGGCCTTGCCCTTGCCCTTGCTCTGGTCGTGGAGCTTTTTGCCGGCGCCGTACTCGGTTCCGGGCTTCTTCTTGTCCTCAAAGCTGCTGCCATTGCTCTTGCCATTGTAGTTGTTGTTGTTGTTGCTCTTGTTCGCGCCACCAAGCTTGTGCGCAAACTTCTTGTCCGAGTCAAACTTCTTGTCCGACGACGACGCGCTCGACTTGTTGAACGGCGGCTTGGTGCCTGCAGCTGGCTTCCGTTGGCCGCCCGCTGCGTGCTTTGACTGATGGCTGCCGCTGCCTGCCGAGGTCGATGCGGACTGGTGCTCGTTGAGGTGCTTCTTGCGGGCCGCGGCGAGCTCCTGCGCAGCGTCGTCGTTCGATCGCTTGAAAGTGCTACCAAACAAGCACAACATGCGATCAGTCAAACAAAAGCGACTCGAGACTCGGGATTCATAACGATGGGGAGGTGGGTGAGGTGGGTGAGTGAGTGAGTGAAGAGCACATGGAAGAGCGAAACGGCACACATGGCGACCCCGCTTTCCCCCCTGCTTCCATTCATCATCACCCGTAACAGAGTGCAGCATCAACAGGAGGCCCATCTCAGAGCAGTGAGAGAGACACAGTGAGACAGAGACATGGAGTCGTGGAGGGGCGGGGGGAGGTGAGACGCAGGTCACAAGAACGAAACCCAGTGAAGTTGAAAGAGGACGAAGTTGAATGGCAAGAAAAAAAAAAAAGAAAAAAAGAGAAAAAAATCAGCAAGGAAATCGTTCGCTTGACGCTTCCGAGTTAGTGAGAAGGGGTAACGGGAAATGTCGAGCTACGTACCTCTTGCTCATACTGAAGGAACGGAACAAAAACAGAGAATGAACTTTGAATAGATCGATACACTGTGTTTTTCGTGGGCGAAATCGGCGGTCGTGATCATCCTTAAAGATAAGTGTGATTCTCATTCTCAAGCAAAAGCGACCTCTGAGGTTTACTGACTTTTGTGGAGGCACCGTTGCTGCTCCACAAAGGCAAAGCGCCACAAAAAAGAGTCTGATTTGTGTTCATCACCAGCGACCCGAGTCTAGATTGACAGTCAAGAGTGTAGCAAAGTGAAAGAGCGACAATTGAATCCGAGTTTTACTAGAATTTGCGCCGCTGAATCTGAGCGTCTCAGTCTTTGTTTTGATTTCGTTTCGTTTCGTTGCGTTGCGTTTCGTGAATTGTCTTCTGCTGTGTGTTTTTGCATTCATTCTTCATTACTAAGCACAAAGCTTTTGTATCTTTCGACAATCCGACAAATGGTGTCCTTCTTGCTGGCATCGTTGAGCTCGACGCAGCGTGTCGTGGCGCGTGCATTGCGAGGCCAACATCCACTCCAACGCCAACTCCAACTCCAACAGCGCATGGTGCTTCCATCTGCATGTGCGACTCTGATCTGCGCTCATCATGCCTCAGCCTGCCGTCCAGCAAGCAGCCCAGGCAACAACAACAGGCGGGCAATGCACACAATGTCAACCACTGTCCCGTCGTCGCCACAGCCAACGCCAGGCAGCACTGCCGCTGGTGTCGCAGTGTCGCAGCAGCCACAGTCCAAGGCGTCCCCCGTGCTCACAGACACGTTCGGGCGAGGGCACACGTACTTGCGGATTTCGCTCACCGAGCGCTGCAACCTGCGCTGTAAGCCACCTTGACTTAGTTGTGCTTTTTTTTTTTTTGTTCTTTTGTCCTATGGTCGTATGGCTGTATCGCAATGATTAGAAGTTAAAAAAAAACACTCACATAATTTTGCGATTTGTCCAGGTGTCTATTGCATGCCCGAACATGGCGTCGAACTCTCGCCAAACGGAGCCCTGCTGACCACGGACGAAATCATCCGCCTCGCTCAACTCTTTGTGAGCCAAGGCGTTGACAAGATCAGACTCACTGGTGGTGAACCAACCGTGCGCAAGGACCTGGTTCCCCTCGTTGGTACAGTCCATCAACTTGACACTTTTCTGGTTTTTTGTCATTCTATTCGCGTTCGTGATGTGATCGAGCTCTCACCCCCCTACAACTATCCGATGCAATGATCGTCTCTGCATCTACTCTGTTAGAACGGCTTGGCCAAATCGATGGACTCAAAAGCATCGCCCTGACCACGAATGGCATTGTTTTGGGACGCTATCTACCACAACTGCAAAAGGCAGGCCTGACACATCTCAACATTAGCCTGGATACTCTCCATCAGCACAAGTTTGAAATCATGACACGTCGAAAAGGTACGAGAAAGGCCAACGATTCTGGCAGCATCTCTCAGTCCGTTGTTTTTTTTTTTACGAAATTGATTATTGGTGTGTTGTAGGCTGGGATCGAGTATGGGAGAGCATCAAACTTGCCATCAGCCTCGGATATGATCCGGTCAAAGTGAACTGCGTCGTCATGCGCGGTAGCAATGAGGACGAAGTGTGTGACTTTGTCGAACTGACACGTACCATGCCGCTGGATGTGCGGTTTATCGAGTACATGCCTTTCGATGGTATGAGGGCTGTTTTGTGTAGTTGTCGAGTTTGCATGCATTCCTCCAGCTTTGCAAGCTCACGTTGTGAACTTGGGCGGGTTTCTGAAAATTTTGGTGCTGTTTCCAACCTTCTTTAGACAACAAATGGAACAGCCAGAAAATGGTATCCTACCAATCCATGGTCGAAACCATTCGAGCACGCTTTCCAGAATTTGAACGAATGGAAGATCGGGCGAACGACACGTCCAAAGCATACAAAGTTCCAGGCTTTGTCGGTCAAGTGGGTTTTATTACCTCAATGAGTGATCATTTTTGTGGGACTTGCAATCGCCTGCGCATTACTGCAGATGGCAATCTCAAGGTGAGGGTTTTTTTTTTGGGGGGGGGGGTTGTTTGTTTTTGGGTTGGTTGTTTTTTGGTTGGTTGCTGTTGACAAGACTTGCTGATCTCAGGACTGCATCTTCACTTTTGCTTAGGTGTGCCTGTTTGGAAATGCTGAAGTCTCCTTGCGAGATGCGATGCGAGCGGGCGCCACGGACGAAGAGCTTCTGCCCGTCGTTGCTGCAGCTGTCAGCCGCAAGAAGAAGCAGCACGCAGGTATGCTCAACATTGCCAAGATGAAGAATCGCCCAATGATTCTGATTGGCGGCTGAGCGAATCAGCTGCTCGATCGCGGAGACAAATTGGTGCTTTTTCTGTTCGAGCGAAACCAAGTGAGAACAAGCCTTTTTTTTTTTCTTTGCGCTCGCTCAACCAGCAGCTTTGCTTTACCCTGACGTTCATTTTGCTCGTTTCTCTTTTTTTCTTTTATCGTCTTTACAACCTTCCTTGTTGTCAAAAGTGTGACAGTGGCTTGCAGCTAACTCTTCTTCTTGGTTTTGCTGTCATTGTTTTGTAGTGTCTGTAAAGCGCCCTCCGCCAGTGCCATTCTTCAAGAAACCCATCCTCCAGCAACAGAACAGCTTGCTTTCTTATGTCTCTTCTCAACCCGCAATGCCGGCAGTGCGTGCTGGCGCCTTTTCCTCTCCCATCTTGTCCCTTCTTTCAACGCCGCCACCAATCCCGTCTATGCTGTCTTTGCCTCGCGCTTTCCCGGCCCCCTCTCTCTTCCGCGCGTTTTCTACGTATTCCACCCAGCGTCTTGCGGCAAACTCCAACAAGCTGACTCACGTGGACGAGCGCGGGCGTGCCTCCATGGTCGACGTTGCAGCCAAGAGCAACACGCAGCGGATTGCGGTGGCTCGCGGTCGCGTTATTCTGGGACGGCTCGCATTCCAAATGGTCCGGGACAACACCAACAAGAAGGGCGATGTTCTGACGGTCGCGCAGCTTGCTGGAATCATGGGCGCAAAACAGACGTCCCAGCTCATCCCCTTGTGCCACAACATCTTCCTGTCCAGCGTGAAGGTCCAACTCGAACTCAATCCTGAGCTGGACGCAATCGACATCCGTGCCACCGCAAAGTGTGTTGGGCCCACGGGCGTCGAAATGGAGGCATTGACGGCTGTCTCTGTTGCTGCCTTGACTGTCTATGACATGTGTAAAGCGGTCACCCATGACATCCGCATCGAAGCCATTCATCTGGAATCGAAATCTGGAGGACAGTCTGGCAACTACCAATCCCCCGAATCTCGTCACTGATGTGTTTGCGCGAGACGTGCATTTTGTACTGTGCTGGCTGGTGTTTTTGTATTCTCAACAAGACCAAGCCACAGCTAGTATTTGTGTAACAATGGCAAAGGAAGGTTATTATTGATCAAAGTGGAGAGGGCGGCTGGCAGCAGCCATGTTGCCCAAACGTGCTCAGCGAGGCAGAGCCGCCTGCCGCTGCCACCTTTGAGAGCCCGTCTGGTAGGACTGCAAACTTTTTCGAGGGCCCTAGCAAGAGCATGGGCGGTTGGATGATGTCAGCACAGGTCGGTGGCGGCATGAAATTCGACAAACATCAAACAAGCAAACGCCGGCACTTACGCTGTTGAGAGCCTGGCAGCCCTTTGTCACGGATCCGAGATAGGAAATGAGCATGACGTCCGTGCACTCCTGAAACACACGCGAGATCAAAGTGAAGTGAGAGAATCGGCAATGGTGTCGAATTCGAGAAATGCAGCAAAAAAACCATCCTTACCCGCAAACGCTCTTCGGCCAAGTCGGGCGAATCCAAATTGGGGAGGCGATTGCACAGCGATGCAATTTCGCGAAGCAATGCAGGATCTGCCTCCACAGAACCTTGCTGCACCGCGACCAAGAAGTTTCGGATGACGTCGATTCGTTGGTACAGCATTTGAATTGCGCTGTGTTGAACGCCCAACTGAGCGGAGACTGCGAGCAACAACAACAAAAAAAGTGTTCCACCATGAGCGTTGTTTTGCTGTTTCAAGGCGTTCGCTCGATAGAGAGAGAGAGAGAGAGAGAGAGAGAGACACCAAAGTCAAGACAACAGCAGGCACACCAAGTTTTGACATACCGCTGGAGACGTTCGGAGTGTCGCCGCCAGAAGACTTGGCAACGTGATCAACAGAGATGCGCTCTGCCTCGCCGCTTTCCACGCGATACGACACGGGAATGAAGAGCATCTGGGGTTGACCGTTCACCATATCAATGACCGACTCGAAGATGGAGACAGGAACGTCTTTCGCCGTCGCCGTGCCCGCGGGGTTGAGCTGGAGGTACAGCGGGGTCTCGTTGCCGAGCTCGCAGACCTGCATGAACGCAACAAACAATCGGGGAGATGGTCAGTTCAGGCTGGCCTGATCGGCTGCGTTCTTCCAATGTGATCACAACTTGCCTGCTTGTGTAGAGCAATCTCGGTCGCACCAACCGACTTGGAAGTCGAGTACCACCCAAGGAAATCGTAGTTGGCAAAGACCTTTTTGACTGTGTTTTGGCATGAGCATGAGCATGGTTTAGGCTTCCGATGTCCAGCAGCACGAACGGAAAGTGCTCGCGATTCTTACATTGCTCTTGTTTTCGTCGAAAGTACTCGACGTCGACCACCCACTCGGAAGAGGTCGGTGCAGCACTGCTGCTGCTGCTGCTGCTGTCGTTGTCCGTCTGCATGGCTTCGGGGCCCGCGCCGGATCCCGTTGGCTCGTTGCGGACGACCAGCTCGAACGAGTTGAAGATTTCAAAGTTGCGGCCATTCTGGGTGCCAATGAGGGCACCAAACACTGCCCGATCACCAAAGTATAATGCATGCAATACAGATTGAATCCATCGATGTGAGCATAGAACCAGCACGCAACGATGAGACCGAGATGGAGAGCGCAGCAACGAGATGCATTGGACAGTCAACACAACCAGCGAGGTCTCTCTTGCCCTGTTCCCCCCTCCCCTGTGCCTCTCTCCTGGATGCTGGGTGCTGAGTCTCTCGTGTCATCGTCACGCTTCAGTATCGCGGCAACAGCTATCGGCGGCTAGGTGGGAGGTCGGTGCAAACAGCCGAGATCTCGCTTCCGTCATCATCCCACTCGTCCCCTTTCTCCAGCGAATTTCAGCGAGCTGCTGAGCGGAAGCAAAGGGGAAGGGGTACTTTAAAGAGTGAATGAGTAAGTATATGTGTTTGCTTGTACCTGATGGGTTGGCGACGCTGTGCTGTGCGCGGGTGCGCGTCCAGTGGTCTGAAATGTTCAGAATGACGAGCGGATGCAGCGCGATTTGCAGCGACGACTTGACGTTCGACGCAATGACGTTTGCCGCAGATGTGGATGTCGCGGTAGTAGTAGTGGTGGCAGTGCTGCTGCTGGTGGGCAGCGCGTCCGACGTTTCCATCATGACTGACATGATATTGAGTATGAAGAAAAATGAAGGGGAAAAAAAAAAAAAAAAAAAAAGGAGACTGGTTTGGCGGGAAAAAGCTGAGACAGGAAAAAACCAACAACAAAGAAAAACGAAAACTAAACCGAATGAATGAACATTTTGTTTCACAAGCTGTCCAACAGCTCGAACTCATTGACCCACGGGTTTATGTCTTTAAGAAATCAAACAAATGAATGCTTTGAAACGGCGTTCGGTCGCAACAAAGATTGCCGTTAGATGTATTGGACAGAAAGTCTTGCGAATTGCATGTGTTGACCGATATTACTTTCAATGATGCGATGTTCCAATCGCTTTATATCGGACATGCGGCGTCCAACTTGAACTTGCCAACCCTCGCGCATTTGTCCAATGATGGGATGACTCGCCGGCCAGATCGTCACAAAATCAATGGTCGAATCGACGAAAGTCGCTTTCACAGCACACTCGTACTGAACAGCGCCTTGCTCATCTCGAACAATCACATCGAAAGCGGCGCTGTCAGCGGTGTTGGTGGGACGCGGCTTTTTCCATTCACGAAGCACGAGAATTGATTTCACTTGGATGCTCTGCTGAGGCAGAGCGACCTGCAGAACATGACCGCCCAGGCTTACGTCATAAAAGTTGTTTCGTTTGATATGATGTACGCTTGGCCAGTAATGAGCGTCGCTCAATATGTGTTCGGCAATCGCGGCTGGTAATGCGGGTAGTGATGCAGATTGATCCTGCAGCTCCGATCCGCGAAGCAGCAGGCGAAACACGGTCTGAACGTCTTCAACAGGTGATGATCGTGGAAACAAGGAGAGTGCAAGAGGGTTTTGCTGGTTGTCGATGCTGTGCAAGGAACAAACAGGTAAGAGAAATGAGCAGGATCACTTCACTGGAGACATGAGCAGTAGGCAGGATCACTCCCACTGGTTGGAGAACGCTCGCTCGCGCTCACTTTCAAAGGGCAATGAACCTACTGAAGTTTGGCTTCGAGTACCTCACGCAGCAATTGAGCGGCGGCACTGCCGATATAGTTCTCACGCAGACTGTCGCAAGATTTGGGTCAGCGGGATGGCAACGCACCGAGGCATGGCTAACTCTGGCTCGACATCCGACATCCGAAGCAAGCATAACTTACTCGAGTAAGTTCAGCGTCGTTTTCTCCTTGAGTGTTTCAGCAATCGCGCGTGCTCCAACATCGCTAATCAAATTCGCGTGCAGACTACCCGTCCCCGGATCAGTGAGCACAATTTGATGCCTCGGTTGAATCAGCCACTCACTTTCATCAGTAAAAAGGAGATGGATGCCATACTAGATCTCGCTCAATGTGCTGTGCGCTTTGACCGCCTCCACAATCGCGTGGGCTCCAGCATCGCCAATCTCGTTATGGTACAGACTGTCCATTCCCTCCATCCAGTGAGCACTCACAGATGCCCTCTGCTTCAATCACCCACTCACATGCATCAGTCAAAGTGAGATTCGATGCCTTACCCGAGCACAGTCAGCGTCCTGTTCTCTTGGAGTGCCTCGGCCAGCACCTTCGCCCCCACATCGCCAATCTGATTCCAGCCCAGACTGCACCCATCCCACCCATCCCCTCCATCAGTGAGCCACTCTGCTGAAATCACCCACTCACATGCACCAGCTCAACACCAGATGCCCTACTAAAGCTCGGTCAGTTTCGTCTCTTTGAGTGCTGCAGCGATCGCGTGTACCTCCGCATTGCCAATCTTGCTCGTCTTCTCCAGGCTGTTTCCTCCAGTTCGTCAACACAAAGCATTGTCACTCTGTCATCCAATAAAACGTCGGCTGTGTTTCTTACTCGAGAAACCGACTCGCATTCTTGACTCTGTCGTACAACTCGCGCTGTCTCTCCGTCATACTCTCATACGACAGCAGCATGACAGGTTTTCAATCTAATCAATCACAACGTTGGGATCAATTCTCAGTGATCGTCACCACTCACGTCCCTCGCGAGGCATTTCCCTTCGGTCAAAACACATTAATAATATGCATCTCTCAAACGCAGAGCCCTCAAATCGCGGGGTACCAAGAACAAAAAAGCGACACGAGAAGTGAAAAAGCGAAAAGATTAAAAAGAAGACTGGATATTTGAATCGGAAACTCAGAGTTCAAAGCAAGTTAGGGGGTTTCTGAGCTCGTTACAATCACACGCACACACTTTATCGCAGGTTACTTCTGCCACACTGAGCCATCGATGCTCATTCTTTGTTTTCATATTGCTTTGAGCTGCTCGTGCAATGTTCACTGCGCCCATCATTGCGCCCATCGTCGTGGCAGGGACCACTTCGTCAGCTGCTGCACCTGGCACCGATGCCACCACGTCATCATCAGCAGCAGCAACATCAGCAACATCAGCAACATCAGCAGCAGCAGCAGCAGCAGCGAGTGCAAGCGATCCTATCTCTGCGTCGATCGACATTGAAGCGACAGAGTGAGTGCTCTGCTCCATCGCCCATCCCCCATCCGCTCGAGACACAAGACGGATCTTGATTGGGGGCATTGGAGTAGCATGTTGTCTGCTCGCTCACAATGCTGGCGTGTTGGTTGACAGTGTGATTCGGCTCGTCCAGCAGTTCCTCAAGGAGAATGGCTTGACGCGCACCCTCGCCACTCTGCAGGTGCGTATCGACCACGTACTCTTAGTGTGGATGTGATTTGTGCGACTATGGGTGAACTCGGAGGTGAATACCTTTGGAAGGAGGGACAACCACTCACTCAGCGACTCGCTTGTTGGTTGCTGCTCCTTGTGGTGCTCCAGGACGAGACGAGCGTTACGCTCAACACGGTGGACAACCTCGAAACGTTCGTCTCGGACGTCATCAATGGCCATTGGGATTCTGTGCTCAACGCAGTCCAGCAACTCCAGCTGCCCGACAAGAAGCTGATTGACTTGCACGAGCAGGTTGGTTTGATTTCCACGATGCTGGGATCGAGTTTGCTGAGAGCTGTCGTTAAGGTGAACTGCATGGGAACTTTTCTTGCGTTGTGCGCAGATTTACATTGAATTAGTCGAGATGCACGAGACGGGAGCCGCAAAATCCTTGCTCAAGCAAGGCGAGCCTCTGTTGCTGTTGAAAAAGCACCAGCCGCATCGCTACCAGCATCTTGAAGGCTTGCTCGCCCCGCGCGCTTACTGGGACCCCCAAGAGGTGTGTGGTGCTACGCTTGACTTTTCTCGCCGCAGGGCGTGTTGAATAACGTGTGCACCTCACAATTATGATGTTTGTTAGGTCTATCTTGATGGGAGCTCGAAGGAGAAACGACGGACCATGATTGCTCATGGTAAATTGTTGTCAATGCTACGTTGCAGCTCCAAGGTCCACATACAAGTGCTTGCTTGCTTGCTTTGGCTGACTCTTGCTTTTTTTTTTTTTTTTTTTTTTTTTTTTTTTGGTGTCGTCGCCAGCTCTTGCCGCCGAAATCCACGTCGTCCCCGCAGGCCGACTCCTCTCGTTGATTGGCCAAGCTGTCAAGTGGCAGTACCACCAAGGTCTAATCCAGCCAGGAGCTTCGTTCGACTTGTTCCGAGGGCGCAAAGTCCAGCACGCGATCGAGGAAGAGCAGCTTCCGACCCAGCTGGGCGCTTCGATCAAAGTACGCCAACAAAAAACAATGCTCACCGCATCACTCGATCGTTTTGATGCAGGCTGATTCTTTGACTCGAAAACTCACCCTTGGCTTTTCACTTTGCCAGTTTGGCAAGCAGTCACACCCGGAATGCGCCAAATTCTCGCCGGATGGTCAGTACCTAGCAACTGGCAGTGTGGATCACTTTGTGGAGCTGTGGAATCCGCACACTGGCAAAATTGCACAAGATCTCCGATACCAAGCAAAGGTATGGTGCGCGGTTTCAGAGCTGTCGACATGCCAATTGCCGCTCTGACTCGTTTTGCGAGGCCTGTTTTGTTTAATTCTGGCGTCTCAGGATGACTTTATGCTGATGGAGTCAACTGTTCTTTGTCTCGGCTTCTCCGTGGATAGCGAGATGCTTGCGACTGGCGCGCAAGACGGCAAGCTCAAAGTATGGTCGATTGGCCCATCCCCCGCATGCCGTGCCGTGGTGCTGCATACTCACAACATTTGGTTGACTTGTGTGCAGATCTGGCGTGTGCAAACTGGAGAAGTGCTGCGAAGGTTTGAAAAGGCGCACAATGGCGGTTTGACGAGTGTCAAGTTTTCGCGCGATAACAGCCAAGTGTTGACCACTTCGTTCGACCAAACCATCAAGTACGGCTCGTCATTTCCAGCTTGTCAAAGCTTTTTGGTTGACTTTGCACTCGCGCGGTTCCTCATTCGCCAACTTGTCTATCTCTGTGCCACGCTTTGCCTCAGGTTGCACGGTCTCAAATCTGGCAAGACCTTGAAGGAATTCCGTGGCCATGTGTCTTTCGTCAACGATGCCATCATTACGCACGATGGTCAGTTCGTGATCAGCGGCAGCAGCGACGGCACAGTCAAAGTGAGTGCTTTGAATGCATATCAAACTTCACGCTGGACTTGCTCGTCAAGAACCTTCCGCTCACGCACACGTCATGCTCTTCTTGTTGTAGGTATGGGACATGCGTACGACAGAGTGCACGACGACTGTGAGGCCGCATTCTGGCGTTGCCAACCGCGAGATTGCCGTGACGGCGATTTTGCCAATCCCGCGTAACACGGAGCAGTTCCTCATCGTGTCAAAGTCAAACGCCCTGCATGTCATCAATCTCAACGGCCTTGTTGTGCGGACACTCCAGTCGTCGACCATTGCCTGCGACTTTGTGGCTGCCTCCATTTCTCCCCGAGGAGAGTTTGTGTACGCGGTTGGTGAGAATCGACGACTGTATGCCTTCCGATTGGACACTGGCGAGCTTGAAGGCAACGAGATGGAGGTAACGGCGTCTATCTGTGCTGCAGTTGCCTGTGGTGGCTGGAGAGGGACTCACCCATATTCTTTTTTTCGTTGTTTATGTCTTGTTCCGCAAATCTCCGGCCATCAGCTCCACGAGAAGGAAGTGATTGGAATTGAGCATCATCCTCATTTGAATATCGTAGCGACGTTCAGTGAGCAAGGTCCCTTGAAATTGTGGAAGCCTTAACGATTTGTTGAATACACGATGGAGCTCTCGGCTCGCACAACCAACAAAACTGTCGAGCATCCATTCATAAAATGCAACATTGCACAATCTCAGTTGCCATCCGCAGGCTTTGTCGAGTCGCCAGACACACTTGCAGATGCCAGTTGCCGTGCCAGTCGCTCTTCTTGCTCGGCAGGTGACATTGCTGACTCTACTGCCTCCTCGTCCTCCTGGAAACTGTAGAGAAAAGGGTCATTCTCGATGGTGGGGAAAAAGTACCTGCCGCAGAGGGGTGCAGATCGTGAGCCACACAACAATAGCGGAGATCATCCATGGAACAAAGCGACACGACTTACTCAGCTTGATTCCAAAAGCTCGATTGCCGATCGACGTTGGAATGCTTGAGCTGGGTCATGTGGGCAAGAAGGGCATCCTCGCTTGGAAATGGCTCTTCGCAGCGAGGACACCACTTGTGCATCACGTTGTGGCGAATATAGTTGACCAGCTTAATAGTTTGATAAAAGTTTAAGTCTGCGGGGGGGGGGACAGAATCAAGCCAAGCACACGATGAAGAAGAGACAGCGCGTAAGTGTCCACGGTCGAATCGAACGTAAACAATCGATATCTTACGCCAAAGCGCTCGGATGCTGTCAAAGTCGAAATCGTGCTCGGTTTTCATGTGCGCGGTGACTGCATCCGTGCCCAGGTGCATTGTGCTGCAGAACAGGCACTTGATAGGCTCGACCGCGTCTTCCTGCCAGTCATCCCATTGCCTAAACCAGCCGTGCAAGTTAGCAGCAACCACAAGCAAAACCAACAAAGTCACTCGCACAATGGGAGTAGAGGCACATACGATTCGACATTGTCGTCATCCTCGGCGGCATCATTGTCAGAATCGCTTTCGCGAGGAGCATGATGAGATGCATGATTGAACCGGTTGGAAAGGGCGAATTCGTCATCGTTGCCATCTTCGTCGTCGTTGTCGTTGTCGTCGTCGTCGTCGTCGTCGCTGTTTCCAGTGTTGTCTTCGTCAGGCTTGCGATGAGGCCGCTCGAGATGAGTTGCGGGCGTGGCTCCAAACGATCCGGAGGGGGAGGATGGGTTGGACGATGAGGTCGACGATGCTGCTGCCCTCTTGTTTGCTTCAGCGGCTTGTCTGGCGGCGCTGTGCTTTCGAGGCTTGCCGCTGGTTGCATGAGCCAAAGGAGCCGGGTGTGGCGCCGGTCGTTTGATAGGAACAGGGCGATCTTCGTTCAAAATTGCTTCCCAGCCTTTCCCTGGCTCCTGTAGCAAACGAGTCGAGAGGAAGGGGGGGAGGGCAATGTAATTGGCAAGAAAGGGTGAGTCAAAGATAGAAGTACCAGCAAAAAGAAACCAAGATACGGGCGGGCGCGAGGCATACGAGATAATTAATCATGTAGAAACGGTCGTATTCCTTGTTCTGCGGATGGACCCGGATGTGTTTCTTTTTCCTCATGTGACTTTTCAATACGTCGCGCGATTTGAACACTTTCTCGCAGTACAAACATTGCAACCTGCAAATGTTTGGAAGCGCAAGCAACGAAACAAGAAGTTGAGCCAAACATGCTCAACAGCTGGCTCGGCATTCGAAAAGCAGCTTTCTCTTACCGATCGAGCTTGTTTTGAAGCACAGTTAGGTAGTCTCGGATGAAGACCAGATTGTCAGGGAGACCGATGCTAAAGCCGTGGCTTTGATGCATGTGATCGAGAAGCAAGGATCGATTTCCCGTTTCGCAAAACCGGCAAAACAGACAAGGATGACTGAACGATGTGTCTTCGCGTTCCTTGGAATGTTGCTCCAAGACACTGGCCTGTGCGACCACCAAAAAAAACCCAATGCAGATGATTTGCAAAGCAACGGTCAGCGAGAGTGTTTTGCCAACCAAAAATCCGGTCATTGATCTCGCCATACCAAACGGCGATCCTGCAATTGTTTGCGAATGGCCTTGTCTTCGTCAAGGTTATCCCCCAGCATGTAAAACACGGCGGATGCTGTTGCACAGAATCAATGGTGCAAGAGTGAGTTGTGATGAGATGGGTTCTCGCGATGATTTCGTCAACACGGGGTCGCGTACTAGGAATGGATGCACTTGACACAGATCCTACAGCCTGCGTCGGAATGGCTGGTCCGGAGCTGCCACTCGAGCTGGTTGCTGAGCTTGGTCGCGTGTGGATGACGGTCGCGAACGACTCCAGCGGTCCCTGCGCCAGCCGCTCCTTCCAATATGCGACGTATCTGCAATTCATTCACAGTCCAAGAAGAGGAAGAAGCGTAGTGGGAACGCTCAGAGTGAGATACGCAGTACGCTCAGTCCTCATGGTTCAACATGGTCATCGCGCTCGGAGCTTCAAACCACGATGACGTACTGCGGCAGAGACACGATGAGATCGACGTCTGCAATCACGAAATGGTGCGCTTCGAGGAGATGCGCGAGAAACTCGCTGCGGACGGAAAAGTCCAGCGCCGGGCAGAAGAGACAGGGCAAGAGGAGCGACTGCGCGGACTCTTCAGCCATAGGAAACTTGTCGATGGAGGAATCAAAGAGTGAGAGAGTGAGAGAGTGAGAGAGTGAGATAGATAGAGGTGTTCTTAAATTGTGGCACATTGACCATTGGGGGGGACATGACCATAAAATCAGTTGGATGGACGTTAGAGCGTTTTCAATTTCCAACCATTCATACGAATTCAACAGCTTGGATAGCACCGAGACCGAATTAACAAGAAGTTTATTAACGAAAACAAAGGGGGTGCTGCTGCGTTATTCTGCGCGTTGGCTCTTGCGACGCTTGCGGTTGGCGAGACAGTCGGAGCAATACCACTTGCCCTTTGGCGTCTCGGTCAAGCCAACACAGCCGTAGTGGAACCATTCGATTCGGCACTGTGAAACCAAAAAGACCAAGTCAGGTGATGAAGCAGGCACTTCAAAGCAAAAGTTGGCGGCGAGGCACTTACGTAGGGGTCGTCGCAAGCAATCATTTGACCATGAGAAATCTGTCCCAGGAGTCGAGATGGCAAACGGAAGAGATGAGTTGATTACCGGCCGTCGGAATAGGAGGTCCCACATTGCCAAAAACAACTAAAACTGCAAAGTTCGAAAATGCGGGAGCCATTACCTGTCGACAGTGGCAGAAGCGCTCGTCGCTCACTTCCGCAGCAACTTCCACCGCAATGGGCGCGCTTGTCGCATCCGTCATCGTGCCAAGAGCGGCGCCCAGCTCGTCCAGAAGATCGAATTGCGGCACGACGGACATGGCTGCCTGCTGTTCTGCTTTCCGCTCGGCGTTGCTGCAATCAAGCGATCGAGCAATGACATGTACAATAGAAAGATGGCAGTGCATTGTTAGGGATGTTGGTTCCGATTTTTGGCATCTTTACACCAACCAAAAACCCCGGAAAAAAAAAACAAACAGAAAACCTACCTTTTTCGCGCTTTACGAGCAATCGAGTCGGGCGTGGGTGATGAGGCCATGGCCATGGCAGGTAGACCAGGAACGGCAAACATGACGGCGCCCGGAGAAGCTGCTCGGGATGCTACAACAGAGTTTGGTATTGCCAGCATCGTTGAGGACGAGGCGGCATTTCCATCGTTCACCATCATGTTCAGCATGGTGCTTGTCGAGTTGCTATCGAGAAGCAGCGATCCTGTGGAAGCCATCGTGATATGCAAAAATCGAATTTGACCCCCCCCCCCATAAAATATCAGTGAGTGACTCGCAACAGCTCAGAAGCGACCTGACCCATCGAGCAATGAGTTTGCCATTACGTTTTTCAAGCTCTGGCGTAATGCCAGGATAGTCTGCCTCGAGATCGTCTGCGAATTTCTTGAGCTCTGCGTCCAGGCGACGAATGTGTCGATCGACCATGTCGTACGTGTCGTTTGCAATGGTGAGCTTCTCTTGCGCGAGGCCGGCCAGCTGGGCGTACTCTTGCTTCAAAGCGACGACCTGCTCGTCCAGCAGCTCCTTGCGCGTGGTGCCCAGCCGCCCAGTCTGATAGAATGCGAGCTCGCGTCGCTTGACTGCCTCGTTCGACGCTGTTTTGGACCGAGATCGGGGGGGGGGGGGCAAGAGTGGCGAGTGAGTGGAGCGCACTCAATGTTCATATGTATCTTCAAGTGAAGACCCCATTTGTAGTCTCACATCTCCAAGTAACTTACTCTGGCACTTGGCATCAATGTCGCGTATCCGTTGAACATTGTGCTGAAAGTCGGAAGGCAGACCATCGATGGCTGCGACCACACAAAACGAATGCACACACAATGTTGAAACAGTCAGATCAAAGCAACGCCATCTCTGAGATACAAAGCGACAAAGCGGAAAACGTACTTTCAAGATAGTCCTCAAAGTACATTGCTTGGATTGTGCAGGAGAAATGGATCACAACAAAATTAAGACTGCGTCTGAGAAACCTAAAAAAGAAGAAGAAAAAACCAAAAACTGCTCTTTTCGACCCTTCCCGCCACCCCAGTGCCCTCCCCTTGTTCCAGTCAGCATAAATAAGTTTTCACTTTCACAAAACATCACCAGCGAGGACAGTCATGTTTTTTTTTTTCTCTTTCCAACAGCATCTTGGAGCAACGAAACGAGCATGAGCGAAAGCGCGGAAAATTCGCGTCCCAGCTACGGTGCTTCTTGTTACACCCGAGAGGGAGGAATAGGTAGATACAAAGTACATTGAGCACTGAGCTAGCAGATATGGGTTGGGGTGTACCACTTCTTGCTCCAGCTCGTGCGCGAATTCTCAGGAGCTCGGCGTGAATTGCGCGACGCTGCTGTTGAAAGTTTGATCTCGTCGTAAACGTTGCTATTCAGCACAAAGTTGAATTCGTCAAAATAAGTTCCGTGTGGTTTATTCACAGCACAGACAATCAGACAAGAAGAGGCAAGAGCCGAAACAAACGAACAGACGAGCAGACAAACAAGCAGATGTCACAATCAACTCATCTCATGATAGGCGGGAACGCGCTGCAAATGACGAGCAAGAGGCATGTCCAACACAAACTGCGCGACATCTTCAGGTACGCGAAGATCGGGCTGCGGGACGGGTGGGACGAGTCCAAGAAGCGCATCAATGTTGCTGACACCGAGCGCTTTGGCAACTGCTGCCTCGCTCCCTTCGTGTCGCCACAGCTTGAGTCGGCACAGCGAGGAAAGTCTCAAAGGCTGCGCTTGCTCGGCCATTTGCAGAATCTGCTTGAGAGTTTCCTGGTTGGTTGCTTCCACTCGGTCATGCAAGCGAGCCCACTCCTTTCCAAGTGCTCGGTCATAGGGATGCTTGACATCTGGCCAGCCACCACATGATGATGATGAGACGAAAGCGAGGCATTTCGAAGGAGAGAGTCCCCACGCAAGCAAGCATCCGACAACCAGGCGTCGAGTCGCCGCCACCGCAAATGGATGAGCGGAATTCCACCTAGTTCTGTCATCGAAAGCAGGCAAAGTACGAAAGCTCGCAAGCTCAAACTGGTAGAGCCAATTCGAAAAGTACGATGTCGGTCTGTCAATGAAGTTCTGCCGGCCAAGTTCAGGTAGCCACTCAAGCACAGGTGCCATATCCCACCCCGCCGCCTCCTTGAACCAATCGGCATAGTACCCAAAAGGAATACCGCAAACGACCCATTCAGCTTCCTCGGTCACGCCAAACTTGTCGTAAATCGACGGACCCGTGGGCCGTGGCGGATGCACGCAGTCGTAGGACGCAGGCTTGCGCTCGGGGTACAACCACTCCAAGACGAGCGTGACACAATTCCAGGCATTCGGTCTGCTGCGATTGACGTGGTTCTCCAGCCAGAAAGCCAGCAGTTTCTCGCGAAGACCGTGCATCTCCTGGTAGTGATGCCTTAAACAGTACCGAAGCATGTCAATGCTGGTCGAAGCACAGTGCTGAATGATATCTTTCGGTGGTCGTACACGCTCGACGAAAATCCAGTAGCGGAACAGCATGACCCACACAGCTGATGGGGTATAAAATTGGTCGCAGTACATGTCATTCCCCAACAACGCCGTGGACAGCGTGAGGGACCGACCAACCCGAATCGTCTCCAGCGCGTCAAACAGCTCCATAATGGAGCCAGTCATGAGCGGGCTCTCAATGTCATCCCAGTACCGAGTGTAGCGGCGCGAGTGCATCACCCAGCCAGTCTGTTCACCGCCAGTCCCGCTGGAGAATGACGCGAAATAGGGATCTGAGTCAGCCCAGTGGAGTTTCGCGTCCAGAGGCACACCAGTCGCAACCAAGTCCATCTGCAGTGTCGGGTCGCGCAGCAGGTCTCCATGAAACGTGAGACGGTCGATGTTGGACTGGTTGATTGAGCACGAGGTTGCTGTGGCTTCATCGACCATGAAAATGCGAGAAGCATTGCGCTCGGCACGCCGCAGGCAGCGACGTACAAATCGGGACTTGGTGTCGATGGCGACTCCTCGATGCGAGAAGCGCGCACGCTCGGCTGACTTGGATGCCACGAACGAAGGAAGCAGACGACGCCCAACTGCCCAGTTAAACTCGGGGCTCGCATCCAGTGGATTAAAGTCGGGCTCGCGGTTCACTGGGTGGTTTTGGATAAAGCCATCCAGGGGAAAGTCTGGGATGGATTGTCAAGCAGAGTGATGCGGCAAAGCGAAGGTGAGTCGTTTGCTATTTTTTGGTTGTCGCATTGCGTTGCTGTGTTCAGTCGGTTACCTTCAGATCCATCAAAAATGTCCCACCAAACAGACAGAGGGACTCGATTGGAATCGGCCGTCTCGACGCCGGAGCTGGAGCCCGAGCTGGACGATGCACGCGCGGTCGTCGCTTCTGAGATGGAGCACGATGCGCAAAGCACGCCTGCTTTGGCCGCTTCTGCGACTGCGAGCGCCCATGGCGTGGGAGCCTGCTCTGACTGTGATGAGGCAGCCTCGTGTGCAGCAGCAGCAGCAGCAGCAGCAGCAGAGCCCTGCTTCAACTGGGTCGGGACTGGTCGCTGGCACTTTAGCATGGAAATCACCCACTCCTCCGGGTCGAAGCCAGCCTCGCGGATGCTGTTCCAGAACGAGTCTGTCGCGGGATTGCGCTTGTGCAGAATGCCGACATAGCCGAATGGCCGCACCACATATGTATTGGGATTTGCATTGAGGGCTGGCGCGTACTCGCGGTACATTGGGTGGCGGCGGCAGTTGAGCTCGTCCAGCGTGTCGTCGTCGCTCTCCCGATCGTCAAAGTGCACAGCTGAGCCGTAGTCGCTGCCGTCATTGGCATCAACGACAACGGTGTCCGAATCGTAGCCATCAGAGTCGTTGGAACCGTCAGAATCGTCAGAGTCGTCGGACATTGGAAGCCGTAAAGAAAAGAACGAAGAAAAAAAAAAAAAAAAGAGGACTGCATTTTGTTTCCTTATGTGCTAGTATCAAAAGAGCCCTTTTGATGAGCATTATTCTTACTCTTTCTTTTTCCTCGACATGAGACTGTACTGCACGTTGTTGCTGTTGCTGGTGTTGAGCGCATCGCTTGCATTGGCGCAGTGGTGCCACGGCTCCCGCACACCCGTGTCCTGGTACCTGATCTTCAAGCCGTCGCCTGAGGCTGACTTTATGTACATTGACTCTGTCCTTCCAGAGCCAGTCGCGCTGACAGTGAGTGTCTTTGCTGTGTGATCAAAGCCGAGATGTTGTGGCCACGCTAATGAGCTGAGTCCGCGTGCATGCGCGGAAGCCGCATCGTTGCTCAGAAGGCGCGGACGGAGTTTGCACAGCTGCTGAGCGAGCAACACCAAGGTTGGTTCCATTGTGTGCACATGAACAGAATGGAACTGCGTCGTCTCACTTGCCTCACACAACTCTTTGCACGTCTTACAGCCACACTACGGACAACGCTAAGCCAGGCACGGATGAAGGAAGGTGTCATGGAGACTCGTGCGGCCGCCGAGGCAGCTCAGGCCAAGACTTCGCTGCTTGAAGGTGAGTGCGCGAGTTGTTCGATGGGTGGTGATGGTGCTTGTAACTGGTGTCGGTGGTGGTGGTGGTGGTGGTGGTGGGGCAAATAGAAGGAAAAAAGAGAGAGAGAGACGAGTGGGGTTGCTGTTTGACGCAACCTCTACTTGAGCGCACTTCTGCTTGCTGACGGCCACTGGTTGACTTGCTGCCTGGTATCACAGCCGAAACCCTGCTTCGAGCCCCATTTGCGCCCGAATCAGGTCTGCCGAACATTGCCTATCTCGGGCGAGGCTACGACGTCGTTCGCGGCAACCCTCAGAGCACTGGCACAGAGGTCGACCCTGGCATCCGCGCGTCCATCATGGTGTTGGAGCATGCAGAGCGCCGCATGACAGCCGACGGCAAGTTCTATGTTCCAGATAATGTGGATGTCATCATGGAGCCGGTCAACCGATTTGAGTCAAGTTCGAAGCTTGTTCGTTCCGAGCAAAGCTACAAGACCATGCTCGAGAGCGACCTGAAGATTCGTGCAAGTGCTTCATATGGTCCGTTCGCCAAGGGATCGTTCTCTGCCAGCGAGTCATACCAGCAGGTTCGCGACTCGATGCTCAAGCGTGAGAGCATGTTTTTGGACTCTCGTGCGGAAACAGTGTCATACCGTGCGCGGCTCGAGGACACATTGCCGCTCAAGCTCACGGCCGAGTTTCGCCACGCAGTGCAGCGTCTCACACCCCCCGCGTTGTTTAGTCAATGCTGCATCACAGTCAATCCGGACGCGGACCCTGATGTCCGTTGCTTCCCTGTTGAGTGCTCAGCGTACGACGATTTGTTGGAAACATTTGGCACGCACTACATGCATGAGGTGACGATGGGCGGCCGTGGCATGCAGCGATTTTCCATCGACATGAGCGAAGCAGCCACGTTGGACGAAACTGTCACGGGATCCACTGTTGCAACGGAAATCTCTGGCGGGTTTGGGGCATTCTCGGCATCGATTGGCTTTGACATGTCCATGAAATTGTCTCAGCAAGCGCGCTCCATGTCAATGTCCTCAACCTCAAAATCAACCGAGTGGTTTATCGGCGGTGAGCCAGGCCTCGGTCAATTCTCGGCCGACGATCTGTTGACCTCTCTCAAGGACTGGGCGCGTACTGTCGGAAGCAACCCGGTTCCCATTCGCATGCAAGTGGCGCCAATCATCGAGCTCCTGGACGCCCTTCTCTTTCCTGAAGACCCCCACATTGCCGACAAGCAGACGCTTCTTGCATCCTACCTTGCGAGCTACTGCGAGTCTGTGAGTGGAGCAAACTGCGGCGATGGCGGCGACCGTGACTTCACCGGCGATGAGACAGTTTTGCGCTATGGAGACTTTGTCACGCTGGACCAGCTCACCGGTGTCAGCGAAGGCTATCGGCTTCGCGCCACGACTGCGGCTGCCTCCGCGCCCTCGGCAATCTCGTCGCAGGTCAGCGCGCTTAGCAGCACAAGTCGATTCCTGGGTGTTCGTCTTGACTATTCGAACGCCACCCATGATTTTCCGATGCAAACCTATGAGGGCGATTCCATGTGTAAGTTTTCAAAAGTTTCCCCCGTTTGGTTGCATACTGCGTTGCCTCTGTCTCAACGCAAGTCTGTACCTGACACTCATTTTGATCTTGTTGTGCTGTTTGTCCTCTTTGTCTCGCTCTCTCCGTGCAATGCTCTGGCAGCCTTCCAAGTCGTCGCTCTGCGCATCGAGCGGTTCTGCTCGTGCATGTACGCGTCCAACGACTACAACTCGATTCGCTTCCAATCGCGTTTCCCGCCAATTCTCATCTCCCAGAAACCGTCGTACAAATTCAGCGTGGTCGGCAACGAAGGCTCTTGCCCATACTCGACGCTCCAGGTCGAGTCGCTCGTTTTGAACAAGGACCAATTTGAGGGATTCCCCGGTCTCGAAGCGCGGTGCCGTGCTCAGTGCACGCGGATGGCGACTTGCGTTCGCTACACGGTACCATGTTTCCCTCGCAGACCGAGAACATGTTTGCGTACAGCCGCGATCGGAGCGACAAGGTGTTTTACTACGCGTACGACGATGACTGGTGGCGCTGGTCCTGCGAGAATACCAAGCCTGGCGACTGGGCACGCGACCAAGCCAGTGCCAGCTTCCAGGTCGTCGAACGGTTTGCTTTCTCAACTAGGGAGAACCACTTTTTCAGGATTATCTCGCCACTCCTCCTCACCACTCTCGACAAGCAGCCAGTGTTCTACGGCGACGAGCTGCACCTTGTTTCGGTCGATGGCTCCATTACGCTCGGCGCCGGGAACAAGCTAGAATCTGTCGATCAAGGGTCGAATACCACCTTGCCGCCAATGCGCTTCAAGATCTACGGACGGAACTCGACCTTTGGCACGCCTGTGCGGCGCTCAGAACGTGTCATGTTGCAGACAATGCCGGACTCGCAAAACGAATACTTCAGGAAGTTGACTGGCAACCGTCGGTTCAACACGTACATTCCCATGTTTTTGCAACTGGCCACGTCCGCGCCGGTAGCCCCCTCCGGAGGCACTCAGTTGGATTACTCAATGCTTCGCATCATGAAACCGTTCCCATTGAGCGTTTCGCGGCTCTCGGCCTTCGAGTGGGTTTTGAACAAGGCGCCTAAACTGGACACTCCAGCTGCTGACAACGTCCTCTCCTTCATCAAGCAGCCCACAATGGCCGTCACGGTGCTCCAGCCCTTCTCTGCGTTGGAAATGACGAGCAACACCAATGGCACTGTGGTTTTGGCGGTTGTCTTTTCGGATCCAGTTGTTCGCACCTCCGTTCCGCCTCCGCAGTTTGTGGGTTTGGATTGGATTCGTCCCAAGCGCCTGTGGCCAAACAACTTTGCTGTTCGTCTGCAACCCACCGTGTCCTCGGTCGGCACCGTTACTGGAAATGGCACCGTTACTGGAAATGTCACAAACGTCGTGTATGAGGAAGCGCAGCTGCAGGTGCATTTGGTTGTCACTGTCACTTTCGGTCGGCAACTTGCCGTTGGCGACACAATCACAACCACCGCCGTTAACGTCGAAGGCGCGAATGAGCAGCCCATCTTCCAGCCCACACAAGCCGTGCAGCTCAACTTTGAGCCAGTGCTCCAGCTCGCTTTCGTTCAATGGAATGTCACGAATACCACAACTGTGCTTGCTCCGTTTGACACTTTGCGTGTCGCCACGGTTCGTGCCGACTTCAGCGAGCCGGTCTTTTCCGCGGCGTCTGGCGGATCTCTCGACGTTTCGTGCTTTGCTCTTTTGGGCTTCGACGTCGCCAGCTCGGGAGTGTTTGCTGCGAACGCCACCATCCTTGCCGTGACGCTTGTGCCAGGCTCCAATAGCACTGCCTATTTGCTCGATCTGTCCTATTTCCAGCTTGGTCCGTACGATTCGCCGCTTTCGGCACCGATGTACTACGTCTTCCCCACTGGCGCTGGCATTATCACACGCGGTACCGAACACCGTGCTGCAACCGCGGTTCGAGCTGATTTGCGCGTACCTGTGACTCTTCCTGTTCCGCCGGCCTGAGTGTTTGTCTCATGTGACCTGTATGGCAATGTTCTGACGTGTTTGTCGTTGAAATGCATGATTCTCCTCTGTCTGTGCTTTTTGGCGGTGTGAAGGTGTGGATTCACCGCTCGATTGCAAAGTAAAAAAACAACCCAAAAAACCCTCAAGCAAAAACCTTGAAACCACCAACTAGGAGTAACATGCGACTCAAAAGCAACAGGTGCTGAATGTGTTTGACTAAGAACGCCTCATAAAGTCAGCGGCGGGCGACGGCTTGAAGATCAGGTACCAGGACACGGGTGTGCGGGAGCCGTGGCACCACTGCGCCAATGCAAGCGATGCGCTCAACACCAGCAACAGCAACAACGTGCAGTACAGTCTCATCACGAGGAAACAGAAAGAGTTCGAATAGTATGCTAAAACAAAAGAGGAGTCCTTTTATAATAGCACATAAGGAAAGTGCAGTCCCTGTTCGAATCTCAGCTTTTTTTTTCCGCTTCCAATGTCCGACGACTCTGACGACTCTGACAGTTCCATCGACCTTTATGGCTTCGACTCGGACAGCAGTGCTAGGAACATCGTTACCGATGACGACAGCGACGACGACTCAGCTGTGGACTTTGACGATCGGGAGAGCGACGACGACACGCTGGACGAGCTCAACTATCGACGGCACCCAATGTACCGCGAGGATGCGCGATTCGGCTATGTCGGCATTCTTCACGAGCGCGATCCCGCGACAGACCCGTTGTGGAACAGCATCCGCGAGGCTGGCTTCGACCCGGAGGAGTGGGTGATTTCCATGCTAAAGTGCCAGCGACCAGTCCCGACCAAGCTGAAGCAGGGCTCTGCTGCTGCTGCTGCTGCACCCGAGTCTACTCCATCACAGTCAGAGCAGGCTCCCACGCCATGGGCGCTCGCAGTCGCAGAAGCCGCCAAAGCAGGCGTGCGGCCTGGCGCATCGTGCTCCATCTCAGAAGCCACGACCGCGCGTGCATCGTCCAGCTCGGGCTCCAGCTCCGGCGTCGAGACGGCCGATTCCAATCGAGCCCCTCTGTCTTTTTGGTGGGACATTTTTGATGGATCTCAAGGTAACCGACTGAACACAGCAACGCAATGCGACAACCAAAAAATAGCAAACGACTCACCTTCTCACTCTGCTTGACAATCCATCCCAGACTTTCCCCTGGATGGCTTTATCCAAAACCACCCAGTGAACCGCGAGCCCGACTTTAATCCACTGGATGCGAGCCCCGAGTTTAACTGGGCAGTTGGACGTCGCCTGCTTCCTTCGTTCGTGGCATCCAAGTCGGCCGAGCGTGCGCGCTTCTCGCATCGAGGAGTCGCCATCGACACCAAGTCCCGATTTGTACGTCGCTGCCTGCGGCGTGCCGAGCGCAATGCTTCTCGCATTTTCATGGTCGATGAAGCCACAGCAACCTCGTGCTCAATCAACCAGTCCAACATCGACCGTCTCACGTTTCATGGAGACCTGCTGCGCGACCCGACACTGCAGATGGACTTGGTTGCGACTGGTTTGCCTCTGAGCGCGAAACTCTACTGGGGTGACTCAGATACCTATTTCGCTTCATTCTCTAGCGGGACTGGCAGTGAACAGACTGGCTGGGTGATGCACTCGCGCCGCTACACTCGGTACTGGGATGACATTGAGAGCCCGCTCATGACTGGCTCCATTATGGAGCTGTTTGACGCGCTGGAGACGATTCGGGTTGGTCGGTCCCTCACGCTGTCCACGGCGTTGTTGGGGAATGACATGTACTGCGACCAATTTTATACCCCATCAGCTGTGTGGGTCATGCTGTTCCGCTACTGGATTTTCGTCGAGCGTGTACGACCACCGAAAGATATCATTCAGCACTGTGCTTCGACCAGCATTGACATGCTTCGGTACTGTTTAAGGCATCACTACCAGGAGATGCAAGATCTTCGCGAGAAACTGCTGGCTTTCTGGCTGGACAACCACGTCGATCGCCGCAGACCGAATGCGTGGAACTGTGTCACGCTCGTCTTGGAGTGGTTGTACCCCGAGCGCAAGCCTGCGTCCTACGACTGCGTGCATCCGCCACGGCCCACGGGTCCGACGGTTTACGACAAGTTTGGCGTGACCGAGCAGGCTGAAGAAGTCGTTTGCAGTGATCATTTTTGGTACTATGCTGATTGGTTCACGGGGGCGGCGGGGTGGGATATGGCACCTGTGCTTGAGTGGCTACCTGAACTTGGCCAGCAGAACTTCATTGACAACCCGACATCGTACTTTTCGAATTGGCTCTACCAGTTTGAGCTTGCAGGCTTTCGTACTTTGCCTGCTTTCGATGTCAAATCTTGGCGGAATTCCGCTCATCCATTTGCGGTGGCGGCGACTCAACGCCTGGTTGTCGGATGCTTGCTTGCGTGGGGACTCTCTCCTTCGAAATGCCTCGCTTTCGTCTCATCATCATCACGTGGTGGCTGGCCAAATGTCAAGCATCCCTATGACCGAGCACTTGGAAAGGAGTGGGCTCGCTTGCCTGACCGAGTGGAAGCAACCAACCAGGAAACTCTCAAGCAGATTCTGCAAATGGCCGAGCAAGCGCAGCCTTTGAGACTTTCCTCGCTGTGCCGACTCAAGCTGTGGCGGCACGAAGGGAGCGAGGCAGCAGTTGCCAAAGCACTCGGTGTCAGCAACATTGATGCGCTTCTTGGACTCGTCCCACCCGTCCCGCAGCCCGATCTGCGCGTACCTGAAGATGTTGCGCAGTTTGTGTTGGACATGCCTCTGGCTCGTCATTTGCAGCGCGTTCCCGCTTACCATGATAGGACTTAATTGTTGTCGTTGGTTGTCTGTTTGTTTTGTTTCTTGTCGTTTGGCTTTTGCCTCTGCTTGTTTGATTGTCTGTCCTTTGAGTAAAACCACACGGCACTTATTTTGACGAATTCAACTTTGTGCTGAATAGCAACGTTTACGACGAGATCCAACTTTCAACAGCAGCGTCGCGCCATTCACGCCGGAGCTCCTGAGAATTCGCGCGCGAGCTGGAGCAAGAAATGGTACACCCCAACCCATATCTGCTAGCTCAGTGCTCAATGTACTTTGTATCTACCTACTCCTCCCTCTCGGGTGTAACAAGAAGCACCGTAGCTGGGACTCGAATTTTCCGCTCTTTCGCTCATGCTCGTTTGGTTGCTCCAAGATGCTGTTGGAAAGAGAAAAAAAAAACATGACTGTCCTCGCTGGTGATGTTTTATGAAAGTGCAAACTTATTTATGCTGACTGGAACAAGGGGAGGGCACTGGGGTCGTGGGAAGGGTCGAAAAGGGCGCGCAAAAAGCAAGTTGAGCGGAACGGTGACAAGAAAAAGCAAGACTGCGCCCTTCGGATTAACTTGGATGGCAGTACACAAGCACTACGTGAGCGTGTGGGCCGCTGAAAATCAGATATGATGATGAAGAAGAAGAAGAACAACAACAACAACAGCAACATCGAAGTTCTCTTTTTTTTTTTTTTTTTTTTTTTTTTTTTTGCGGCAGTGCTCCTTTTTGTATTTCCTTCGTCTTCTTCATTTCAACTCATTCACTCATTTCAAAGAACACTCAACAACACGCACAACAAGTACGACTTTCCGAGTGTTTGTTTGTTTGCTTCAACGTTGCATGTTTCGGTGGAGCTTTTTGAAACTGGAGGGGGAAGGGTCGCTGTGTGGAAGGTTGACGGGTGGATAGATCAAAGACTCCTGACCTCTGACCTCTGACCTCTGAACACCCTGAACACCCTGAACACCTTGACCGCTGACAGGAAAAGAAAGCATGAGCGCTCATCACACTATTGTCAGTCTGCTGGACGATGATCCGCTGACCCGCGCAATGAAGCAGCAGCAGCAGCAGCAGTCAGCAAAGAAGGAGCGATCGAGCCTGACCGAAGCACAGCTCGCCCAGCCTCGTGCTCTGGCGGCGGCCATTGCGGGCTCTGAGCGCGCAGCAGCAGCAGCGGCAGCGGCAGCATCAGCATCAGCATCCGCATCATCGTCAGGTGCTCCCACGGACGCGCGCATGGCGATGGACATTGCCATTCGCAAGTCCGAAGAGTCCCTCACGCACCTCGTCAGCCGCGGAGACACGCTGCAGGGTATCTCGATCAAATACGGCATTTCTGTACGTGATATGGGTTGCTTTTGTAGTGTATCGTTGCATTTTGCAGTGCGCGTTTGGGGAGAAGCTGGAAACCTCTTTTGTGTGAGTGCTCACCGCTTTCTTGCATGACTCGTTCGTCGTTTTTGACGCAGATTGAAAACCTGAAGCGATCCAACAACCTGTGGAATCAGAACGCACTCATGATCAAGAAGAGCGTAGCCATTCCAATCAAGTTTTGCACGCCAGAGGCGTTGATCGAGCTCGGATGGCAGCCCGGAACCAGCCTTGCGGCTCTGGCCGCTGCTTCCACGAACGCTTCCGGCGCTTCGACCTCTGGGCAATCCAACGGATCCGTCTCTGCAAACCAACTCTTGCAAAAGTACGACTCGCAGCTCGCACAATCCAAGGCCTTTGTCTCGAAGCTGGACTCTGCATTCCCCGAGCCTCCTCCGTACGTCTGCAGTTGGCACTGTTGGTGGTGGTGTTGTTCGGGTTGTTGCTGTTGTTACTGTCTTTATGGCGTGCTGCATATCGTTGCAGTGTTGCCGATGACAGACGCAACCTCTTCGCCCTCATCACATTCTTACTCTGCATTCTCTTGGACAGGGCGCTTGCTGTTGCGCGGAGCACTGCAGTCCCGCGATCTGGCAGTGCGCCCACGACACCGCAGCCGCGAGAGCGACACTTCATTCTCCCCGAGAACACGGAACGGCCTGCGTCCTTTGACAAGGGCAAGCGAAAGCTGAACGAAAACGAGCACATTCTGGACGATGACTTGTTTTCTTTGTAATGTGTTTATTCCAGTGCCTCTGGAATGAGTTTGAACAACACGCTGTACAATTACCATCAAAACAAAACAAAACAAAAAAAGGACGAAAAATACAAAAAAAACTACAAAAATACTGCATCAAGTGAACAAACGTTTCCAATCATCTCCGAAGTTGGCGAGACAACAGCGAAGCTTCAAAGGTGGGAAGGGCCAAGTCGTGCCACTGGCGCTCTCGTTCTCGAAGGACTTCCAAGCCTGCAACGAACCATACGCGAACGAGTTAGAAAAAATCAGCTCTGGGACTTGCAAAACTTTGACCAACATGACTCTAAGCACTCTTACTTGTTTCTGGCATGTCGTCTGCATGCACTTCGTGCTGTGGTGGGACTCGGATTGCTGCGTGAGGGTTGCAAAAAGCAAAACAGAAAAATACAAAAGGGAACAAAAGCGATTGTAGAGCAACGAGTGAGTCTGTGATACGCCAGCCATTCCCATTACAACCTCAATACAATATGGATTATCGGAATAGAGACCGACGAGTAAAGATCAACTTGTGCAACTGTCTGAGCAGTGCACAGAAAACACCGTCGGAAGATCAGGGCAGGCGACCAGTCGCACCCTCGCCGCCGGGATCTCGTACGATTGCACTCAATAGTCTCGCTTGAAGAATGTGGTGTTTCGGGGGTGACTCGAACAGTGCGAGGACGACTTACGCTCGACAGGCAGCTTGTCATTGCGCCAAGCGGCATCGGCAACTCCGACAATCCGACGCGGCCTGTGCACGCTACTAAAGCGCGAGTCCTGCATCAGAAACAAGCAACCAAGTGTTAAGGAGGGGCGGGGGTTGGAGTGAGAGTGACGTGAGTGACGGGTCGGGTGGTCCAAGCAAGCATCAGCGATCGTCGCCGCTTTTACCATTGGGAATACAATAGAAAGCGGTGGGGAAAAAACTTGGACTGCTATGAATGAACAGCAGAGAATAGATGAAGATAGGATGTAGAGATGAAGTCTGTCGTTGGATGGAGAGGGAGAGACAGATCGTTTCGTTGCATTGGGTTTGTTGAGATTGAATCTCAGTTCTCGCTCAGACACTGAATCCCAAATTTCTCAATCTCATTTGATTACATTAGAATTCAGTCTTAGAAATTTTGTTTTCTTTTACCATGGCTGACGATGCGGCGTTTTTCGACGCCATGATCAACCTCATCCCAGCCAAGCACTATCTCGAGCCAGACGAGCGCGAGAAGCAGAGCCGCTGGGAGCGCTCGCAGCAGCGCAAGAAGACCCCTGCTGCGTATGTTTCGTTTTGGCTCGTTGGACCTTCTGACTCTGGTTCATAGTGCAACGACGAGTTACGAGTCAGGCTGGGCGGTACGGGGGAGAGGGAGAGAGAGAGATGAGAAGCTAGGGCCTTACTTGCCCCCCACCTTCGACCGGGTTGACTTTCCGCCAATGCCACACAAAGCAATGGCAGCATCAGCATACCTCTTGGAGGGTAGGGGTTGGCGGAACAGGGCCCCTGGGTCTTGGCCTGTTGAATGGCCCTTTGTCGTGGTCGACCATGCGTTGCTCTCCACATGGCCCTTTTTTTTTTTTTTTCTTTTTTTTTTTTTGTTTGCTTCGGCTTCATTCCCTCCACTCATCTCATCGCTTCTCATCTCATCACTCGACTCGTCGCTCGTCTCTCACGCTGTATGACGCACGAAGCAAGTTGAAAATGGGGGGGGGGAATCGCAAGACTCGTGAAAAGCTCGTCTCCATCACCACACCACTACGACGGCCACTTGCTACCGACATTCATGCTTGCGATCGGAGACAACAAAAGCTCACACTGCATGACATGTTGGTTGTTGGTTGTCAATGTGCCGACAATAAAACAACACAGAGTCAAGGAGTTGGCAGCCGCCAAGCAGGCTGGCAAGCGCGCTCGCCTCGATCCGACAGCAGACGCTGCACTCCCAGTCACCGTCCAGCAAGTCAAGAAGCAGGAGGCAGAGCGCACTCGTATTGCTACGATTGGAGGGCAAAAGCCACCACAACCCCAGTCCAAACCTGCTGTTGCTGCTGCTGCCGCTGCTGCTGCTGCCGCCGCTGCCAGGCCTGGTCAACCCAAGGGGAAGCAGCAACCTCAGGCTACAACTGCTGGCCGTGTCGCTCAAAAGCGCACACACGATTCAGATGAGGAAGAAGACAGCGATGATAATGATGATGACAATGTTAGTGACGACGAGAACCGATCGCAGGATTTGCTGATTGCCTCCCAGCGCGCCTTGTCAAACGGAAAGCACCAATCTGCACACCCCAGCAGCGGTGCAAACGGTAGCAACGACAATGACGATGACGATGATGACGATTCTGACTCGGACGACGACGAGCCTGCTCCTCGACCCACTCTTGCTAAGCAACAAGCGCAACAAAAGCAGCAGCAACAACATCAGCAGCAACAACAACAGCAACAACAGCAAAAGCGCACTCAATCCGTGACAAAACCGGTGGCCCAACAACGATCGTCACAACCAGCAGCACAGCACGCCGACAAGCCAACAGCTCAGACAGACAAGCCAGTAGTAGCATCAGCTGCAGAAGCACTGGCGGCCGCATCCAGCTCGGCCCCTGCCTCTGCAACCGCTGGCGAAAGCCCTTCGATTTCCGTTCTTCGCCAACGCCTGCACGAGCGCCTTGGATCCATTCGCTCCAAGCGAAAGGCGGACGAGACGCACGAGAATGCCAAAAAGCGCGCACGCCTCGAAAAAGAGAAAGCTGCCGCTGGCGAGAACAAGAAGGCTGCTGCTCCTGCTGCTGCCAAGGTGGCCGCTGCAGCTGCTGCGGGAGCTGGAGCTGCCGCTGGCGCCTCGAACGGCGCAGCCAACGCTCGTCCGACCACCGCCGACGGCTCGGTCGTGTTTAGCAAGTTTGATTTCAGCTCGCTCGAGCAGGAAAAGAAGCGAAAGTCCAAGGTGATTGGTGGCACCATCATCAATCCGCATGGCAAGGACTACAAGAAGCTGATTGAACGCGCCGAGCAACACAAAAAGCAAGTGGACGAGCTCAAGTCCACCGACGCCACAAAAGCCGCCGAAATTGAGCAGAAGGAAGCCTGGCAAAAGGCCATGGCCAAGGCCGAAGGCACCAAGGTCAAGGACGATCTCAAGATGATGAAGCGGTCGCTCAAGCAGAAGGAAAAGCAAAAACTCAAGTCCTCGGTCGAATGGAAGGAGCGCGAGCGTGGTGTCAAGGCCTCCCAGGCCAAGCGCCAAGAACAACGCAACCGCAATCTCGCCGAGCGACATGAACACAAGAAGTTTGGCAACAAGGGCAAGGGCGGAAAGGGCTCCAAGTCTCCCGGCAAAGGTGGCAAGCCCTCCAACGGCAAGCCCAAGAAGCGACCAGGGTTTGAGGGCAAGTGAAGCACCGCTGTGATTCCCGCAGGTGTGTGCTCTTCTTGAGTAGCATGGATTTTGTTGACGACTTCTGTTGGCCCCCCCTTTTTTTTTTTTCGTTTCTCTCTTTTTCTCTCTGTGTGTTTCTGGTTTTGTGGATTTCAACATGGCTTGTGTGTTATTCATTGGTTAAAAATGCATTTGTTTTTTTCATTGAAGCTGAACTTGTACATTCAATCGGTCCTGTCTGGATGAAGGCTCATTGAAGCGGAGGGGGGAGTTGTTGTTGACGAAAGCTAACACGCTTTTGGTACTTGCAAGGGAAAAGTACGAAACGCCTTGTAGACAATAGCATTCACCTTGCTCATCTGGAAGAATCAAATCAAAACGTAATTGGGTAGCGTCAAGGAAAAACAAAAGCAAAAAACGGGAGGAAAAAAAAAAAGGGAAAAAAAAAGGGGAAAAAAAACTCAGCAAAAGAAAACGCATGTAGGAGGAGGGATTCGAACCCCCGAACTGCAAGAGAATCGAACTTGAGTCGATCGGATTTAACCACTTTCCTACTCCTACTTGAAGACACTGGTTGGGCAATATTGTAGTTGATGTATGCCTGGCCTACCGAACTTTGAGGTCAAATTGCAATTTGAAGCAAATGCAAGGACCCCCCCCCTTTCCCATTTTCGTATTTGATGGCTTCACGACCATTTACTACCATTCCTATGTCTGATTTCTGATCTCTGCGCGTTCGATTTTTCTGAGAATCCATTGCTTTTTTTGTCTGCCTTAAAATTTTGTTGTGTCCAGAATCTGCTCCATGGCTGCTCCGGTTGCAGCTGCGACGCCGCTTGGGCAGCAGTCTGCAGGTGCACCACCGGTGTCGAGCGCTGAGCAGGCTGCCCCAACGGCAACGGCGAGCTGGTTTCAGCGGGAGCAGACGTTGAAGCGGACGCTGCTGCAGATGATCGTCCAGGACGAGCTCAACGCCCTGCTCGCCAACCCAGCCGCCTTCCTTGCTGCTGCGACGGCAACAGACGCAGCCAGGCAGCCGGTCAGTGCTGGGACTGCCGCCGGGACTGCCGCCGGAACGCTCGATGCTCAGTTCTTTGGCCTGGCGAACCAGTCAGCGTCACCAGCTGCTCCTCATCCTCCGAATCCAAGCAAACCCATTCCGCACAGCATCCTGGCTGTAGCTCGCCGTAAACTCCTCGCAATACCGCACTTGTCCAAGCACAGCACCGAGTTTGCCGAGGCGTTTGATGCATTCGTTCTTGCACTGCCGCAATTCATCGCACGCCACGACAGCGCCACGTCCAAGAGCCTATCCAAGCGCATTGTCAACTGGGTTGTGGGCAACATTGCATTTTCACTGCCGACAACTGGCGAGCGAGACCATCGGCTGCGCACCCTGGACGAAAACCCGAATGCCTTTGTACCAACCGTCTCCATTCCCAACCCAGCTGCCGAGATCATCAATACCATGTCCGATCTGAATACTTACCCGACCGTCATGACCAGTAGTACAGGAGGTGCGCGAAATCTCAGTTCGGAGTTGGAGGGGGAAGCCTGTTTTTTGCTTCAATGTATTTGTTGGTTTGGTTTGTTTTTGTTTTGTTCTTTTTGGGCTCCGCTCGCCGCTTCGTGCAAAGAACGCCCTTGTACCTCTTTCTTGTTGTTTTTTTTTTTTTTTTTTTTTTTTTTTTGTGCAGATTTACCACTTGGACCAGACCACGCCTTCGACATGCCACTTGAACACTCACAATCTGCGTCTCCGGGACCCGGATTGCCGTTCCCTGCCCCTGCCATTCGTGAAGAACTCGCGAATGCGGCCACCTTTGCCCAGCATGAGGAGGAGGCAGACTTGTCCGAGGACTGCAGTGCGGAACTGCAGCTCGACGCCTCGTCAGTCAATGCACTTGCAGACCAGCTGCAGGCATCGGCAGTGTTGCGTACCCAATTCCTGGAAATGTTCAACACGCTGCTTCTGGCTTCAGACCGCAAGTCCGGCGGGAGCAATGCTGAGCTCACGGGCTTGTTGGATTTGCTTGTAGCGTCGCATTCGATTCAAGATCTCCCTCCCGCGTTGCGAGTGTTCTTCGACGCACAGCGCGATCAGCTGGTTGCGCGTCTGATGCGACTGACAAAGAAGCAAAAGCGACACATGCGCATCCAGCACCATCTCATGCCTCGTCGCGCCTTGCTCGCCGTCTTTTCGGTGGCCTCAGCCTCCACCTTGTTTTCCACGCTCAAAACTATTCTGCTCACCAAAACAATGGGCATGAATTTGCTACAGCGAAGCGTTGCGAGTGCTGTTGACCTTGCCGAGTGCAACGAGGCGGTGCGAGTTGCTGCGCGGCAAGTCGATACGCTCATTGCAGAAAAGGTGCGGTCGTTCGTTCGCTTCCGCATGCCGATTGGCCCTCTCCCCTATGACTTTGGCTGCATGCAAAGCTTTTTGCAAGACCCGACGCTGCAGCCTGTCCTGTCCAAAAGCTTGATTGACAAGTACATGTCCGACCAGCGTTGCTTTTTCGCGTACAAGCTGCTTTGTGCCGAGATGCAACGCTCAGACCGACAAGCTTACATTGACATGCTTGGCGAGGATTCGTTCGGCAACTTGGTCGAGCATCTGCTTCGCTTCATGCAAGAGATTGTGGGTGCAGTGCTCAACGACAGCTTTTCATCCTTGCTCTCTGCTGCGTTCGATTCGTGGGCAGAGCTTGTCACCATTTCACAGATGAAAGGTGAGGAGTAACTTGTGTGTGTGTGTGTGTGTCGTGACGAGATATTGTGGCCCCGCTCAACACTAACAACTCGATTGCTCTGGTTGACGAAAACTCACAGGTCTCCAACCGAACGAATTGGCCCAAAAGTACCATGTTGCGATGCACCGCTTGCATGACGGCTTCTTTCAAGCGCTCCATCGTGCCGTAGTCTTTGATCGAGGCGTCGTCAGCGATCTACTCACATTCCTGTTTGATTCGTGGGGTAGCATCGGGGAGGCGCTTGATGTGTTTGCGCTCGCTTCGAGCAAGTTGAGTGAGCCCGACTATGCCGCGCTATGGCGGGAGGTGGATTTTATTGCCGACTTCCGTGATAAAGGAAAGCACGCTGCCAAAGCTGCGGCAAAAGTCGCGGCCGCAGCAGGACTGCCAACCGGGGCAATACCACACTCGACGCTATCGCACGCGTTTTCCAACGAGACCTGTCAAGTCAGCGTCATTCCGCTACTCCTCGGTGATTTCCGGGTGGCAGTTCTGACACGCCTTGGCCAGTCCATCGAATCCAACAGCATCAACCATCCCAACAGCAGCAACGCCAGCACGAGCACGAGTGCGCACTCCCCCGCTCCGCCATCCCCGAAAATTATTACCCAGCAGCCAGGCAGGCCGGCCTTCCTGTCAACCAGCTCGTCCTCCTCCCTCTTGCTTGAGCCATCGGCAGAGCCTGTGCACGAAGGAGGAGCGCTGACGTATGTGGAAGTGGCGTACCAGGGCGATTCCGTTGATTTAATGCACCAGCGCGGGTTTCGCCGGCTGGAGGTTGACATCAACCGCGACGCCACTCTCGGGATTACTATTCATATTTGGTTCAAGACCACACCTTTCTCCGCCCGCAAAGGCCATCCGTTGCTCAGGGTTCGGCCAATTACCGCCCTCGCCGTGTCAACATCCGACGCGGAGGCGGCGCGACTGCATGCGCGCGGTTTTATCCTGATCAAACGCGCTTTGAACAAGAGCATTGTTTCGAAGCGAAACGTCTTTCTGTGGTACTTGCGCGGGGAGGCTGGCGCTGCACCCATCGTCGATCTCGCAGTCTCGCGAGGCAAGGACATGGATTTCTCCAACCAAGGCTTCTCGCGGCTGCCCACCGATTTGAACACTTCGAGTTCTGGCAAGAGTATCTTCTTGTGGACGCGCCATGGAGTGCCTCCAGCGGTTGACCAGTGACGCTGTGACAATACATTGTATTTTGATTCGCATAATGTGGTTTGGCATCGATTCGAGACGGCGGTCACCCAGTAGCTTCTATTCATCTATTTTTTTTATTAAAAAAAAAACACTCGAGCGTTGATGCGATGAAAACCCTAGCAAAAAAACCAAAAAAGGAAAACTCGCCAATACTACTGAATGTTTCTGAAACAAACTAGCCTACTGCAAACTAGCCTACTGTTGTTTACGCCGTCAACTACAAACCAACAAGCCAGACACGTTTCAACACAGACAACTTAAAAACCAACACTTAAAACTAGCCAGATTTGTTTGGTTATGAGGAGATGGGTGCAACTGCTAGTGAAGGCGGACGGTCAAAAACTGGCAGATCGTTCGCTTCGCCGGCAGGTCGAATCAGCGTGTCTTCTTCTCGCGCAGGTTCGTTGGGCGCATCAGCAAGGTCAGCCGGATTGATGTTGTGGCTCTTGTCACGCTCTTCTTCGGCACGAAGTGCAGCAGCCTGCGCCCAAAGCTGATCAGACAAGGACAGCATGCACTGTCGGAAGCGGATTTCGGCCACTCTCACAGCAAGGGGATCCAGCGCAGAGGGACCGAGCATGTAGGTGGGGTGCGGCGGCAAATGTCGCCGTTGAAGCACCAACTGGTCCACTTGAAAGGCTTGGATCGGCTCGCTGGGTACTGGGCGCGGCCCTGCCGATGCAATTTTGAGCAACGCGGCGGCGCCGTCAAATTCTGCACTGTCCGCAGGGGTAGGAAGCAGGTGAGGTTGCGGAGTGCGGGCAAGCTGTGCAGCAGCCGAAGCTCTGGAAGCAGCAGCGGCGTGGCGGCCTCGAGGCTTTGGTGCTCGACTTTCGTCGTCCTCAGCACGCGCGCCATTGGCCCCACGAGGACCCACAACCACGCCGCTCTTGGCCAGACGGCCGAGCACAGAATCGTCCGTCTGCTCACGCGGCGGCCCATCCTCAAAGTCAGAGTCATCTCGCTCGCGACGACGCGCACGCTGCCGCTTGGCACCCGAATTGCCCTCGTTGCCAGGTTGCCCCTTGGCGCTCGCTGGCTCGGATGCAGCGGCGCGAGACCGTGGTCCCGACGAAGGGCCGCCGTCGTCGCGTTCGGCTTCTCGCTTGTCAATGACCATGGCGGACGCTTGGTTGCCAGCTTCGGCCGAGCCGTTGTTGTCAGGCGTGTCGGCACCCATCAGGCTTTGAAGCTCGGTGGGTCGAGCACCGCGCCGACCAGCAGAGCGACCAGCATCCTCAGTCCCGCTGGCGTTGACACTACGGCGGCGAAGCGAAGCGGGCACGTCCCAGGTTTGGTCACCACGGCCGCGCAAGCGATGAGATCCTGCCTCGGCATCGCTGCCAGCGTTCCGACCTTCATCGCCGTCCTCCTCTTCATCGTTGCCCGCTTTGGAAGGCTCTGGGAACTGTCGAGTGGTGGTGCGAGCTCGGGTGCTTCTTCGGCGAGAAGCAGCGTCGCCATCCTCAGAGCTCCCTGGATTCGCGCTGTCGTCCGCAGGCGCACCGTCAAACAAAGCACCGGTGAGAGTAGTAGTAGTAGTGGTGGTGGTGGTGGTGCTGGTGGTGCTGGTGGTGGTGCTGGTGGTGGTGGGGTCGTCATCAGCCGCAGCTGGACCATCCTCGCCATTGGCAGACGCAGCAGCGGCTCGTTCGAGCTCTTTTCGCTTTTTGGCGGCCTCTCTGTGCACCCTTGCCCACTGTCGCTTGTACTCTTTCGACTCCTCGCGCTTTTGCATTGTCAGCCTGCGTTTGTCAGCGCTACTCAGCTGGCCTGTGCCCGGAGAAGCGACCGAAGCACTCTCGTTGTTCGAATCAGCAGAGGTGGCCAAGGCTGATCCATGTTCGGAAGGAGATGCTGCAAGCGCAGGGGGAAGTGTGAGCACAGGATTGCTGGCGAACGGACTCTTGGCGCTGTGACTAGTGCCATTCACACTACTGCTCGCGCTGCTACTGCTCCGAGGACCGCCAGACATAATCATGGCGCTGTCGAGAGGGAAGATACCGAGCTCAAAGGCGCTGCTGCTTCGATCCACAGGATCGTTGGATGAATCTTCAGGTGCCTCCGCCGACGTGTCGAGCAAAAACGAGTTGGGATCTTCTTGCGACGACAAATCCAGAAGGCGGGGCGGCACTTGCAAGCCACCGTCAAGTCTCGTGTCCATCGCAACAACGACTGGAGGGGTGGTCGAACCAGTCACAGTCACTTGACTGGGAGCGGCTGACACCTCGTTGTCATTCGCGATTTCGTGTGCGTTGACAGTTGTTGTGGCATCGTGCTCGGTCGCTGCTGCACCCGCACGAGCACTGCGCGGGCGCGAGCGGGTGGCGGGATTGGCGGCTGAAATGGGTTGTGTCGCAGCTTTGAAGGCCTTTGCTGCTTCGCCACTGTCGTTGAGACTTGCAGCCTCGGTCGGTTTGAGAATCCGTCCAGAACGTGAGCGAGGGGCTTCGGTGGATGTTGCGGGCATCGAGACTGCGGAACCGGCGCCTGCAGCGACATCGGCTGGCAAGGAAGATGTGGGCGCAGGGGCTTGAGCGAGCGTGGAAGTGGCGGGTGAAGGTTCCTCGCCTTCGGCAACAGATTCCTTCTCTTGAGACTTTGAACTTTTGGCTGCAGTTCGGCGACGCGAGCCTCCAGCAGGTGCACTCGGAGCCTTTGAGCCCTCGACCGCATCGGAATCGCTCTCCGCACCGTCTGCGTTATCATAGTGCTTCTTTTTAACCACGCGCCCGGATCGCGTGACAGCTGCTGCTGGGGGCGCGCTCGTACTGCTTGCGGTGGAACTGGTAGCAATGGACGACAAGAGGTCGTGTTCGGCTTGCGGTTCCGATTCCTGGCTCTGGTTGCCGCCAATTTGCTGTTGTTTGTCTTTGTGATTGAGGAGGATGAGGCCGGCTTTGGAAGATGATGCGTCGGAGGGCGGCGAGTGCGCAGGTTGAGGCGTGGTGGTGGCTGCTGTGCTGCTGGTGGCGGGCTCGCCCGTATGGGTTGCTGCGTCATCCTCTGAGAGCCGAACCTTGCTTGGTGGAGGTGGTGATGCGCTTGATGGCGGCTCTTCGGCTGCTCGCTTGCGCGGTGGGCTGGATGAGAGGGAAGGCGGCTGGTCGGCCAACGGCTCAGGCCTGGCTTGCCCACCGTGGGTCCCGGCAGCAGCAGGCTCGACCGCCATCGGCTCGGAATTGGTCAGTTTTACGGACGACAGTGTGGCAGACGAGGCCGCTTGGCGATCAACGGACGCAGGCGACGCGTTTTCGTGGTCGACCTGGCCTCGAGAAAAGCTCGATGCGGGCTCTGGCGCAGGGATGCTCGTCACCATGGCATGGCTCATCGCCGAATGCACGAGCTGTGTGTGGCCTTGCTTGCTTGTGACTTGTGGCGTGTCCTGGCCTGCCATCGGCTTGTGCTCTGCGTCGCCCGTGCTCGCCAGGCCCAGGACTGAAAAATCTGGCTGGCCGTGCAGCGACTCGAGCTTGAACAGCTCGCGTGCAGCTGCGTGTGGGTCCATCTGACTGCCTCCGCTCGTGCCGTGTGTGCCGTCACCAGGTCCATGCGGCGCAGTTGCAGGCGGGGCGATAGTCAGGCTGGGGTCTCCAAGCACGCCGTGCTGCAGATTCGCTGGAAAAGGCTGGTGTGCGTTCGCGCCAACGGGCAACCCGTCCTGCGCTTGAGTGTCACTGGCTATCTGCCGCCTTGGGGCCTCGTCGACGTCCATTGGTATGGCTGCGTCGCTGGGCAAAACGGCGGTCTTGATCGGTTCCATACAAGCTCGGCAGAGAGAAAAAAAAAAAAAAAAAAAGCAAAACGTCGAGCAGTGGCAAAAAAAAAACAAAAGAGAGAGAAAAAGAAAAAGAAAAAGAAAAAGAGTGATTGGAAGAAAAAGGGAGCAGGTTTAGTGAAAGAGGCGTAATGAACGTGGGTTTTTAAGTCGTCGTTGGTTACTAAAGTCCAATAGTATTTGGGCGTTGAGGTTGTCGCATGCTCAACGTGTGCAGTTGATTGATCCCGAGGACGGCATTGCATAGATGCTGATCTGCAAGTTGAGGGGTGAGGCTTGTGTGGATGTTGGCGCTGGATCTGATGTCGTGACGGCGCTTTGAACTTGTGGAGCGCCATTTGGATGTGGCGAATGGGCTCTTGGCGAGGTCCTGTGCAGCCGGATTTTCGGTGGGGCAGTGTGTTGTTATGTGTTTTTGCAAATGGCTTTGTGTGGGCATGTGAAGTGGGGCGTGGGGTGGCGATTAGATCAAAATGAAAAACAAGAAAAACCAGGCCGATGATGTGCTCTTCAGACAAACATTGTTGCGAACGCAGTTGGCATTCAGAACTCCACCGGAAAGACAAGGAGGCAACTTATCACGACCAAAGCGCGTTGCACACAAACTGTAAATGCAAGACAACACGAACCTTGCTAAATGCTTTACGTGCAATGCATCATTCGCCTTCATACGAACGAGTGAAACAAGCCGAAATTTGCAACTTGATTGCACCCGTTTCCTCACCCATGGCCGCCTGTTCTTAGCACGCAAATCCAAGCCAATATTATTTCCGACACACTGGATACTGCGAGCGGCTCAAACCACCGGTCATCCGGTTGTAATCGCATGGCAAACGGGGTACTTTGGATTCGGCAAACGAGGCTTTTCAACACATCAAACATGCCCAATGCTCCAAGTAGCTCCGACTGCAGCATCAAAATTACACCAAAAGTAGACACGAGTATACCAGCGAGTCAAGCAGAGGACATACGAGTATCCACTCTTCATTCTTGTACTGCTTGCCCGCTCAATGTATCACCTCGTGGCGCGTCAAGCACGGCTCACGTGGACGTCAAGTGCTGGCTTGGCGACCCCAGCGACGCTCACAGCGCAGATGCACATCACTAACAGCAGCAGTGATAGCGGAGGTTGCAGCCGCAGCAATGCCGACAGTTACGGCAACGGAGCGGTTCTGCCAAAGCGATGGTCGTCGACATCATCCGCGAGCGGTCCAGCACCGACAGCCACCACCACCACAGCCACCGCAGATTCCAAACAGACGCAATCATCACAGCAGCAACGATCGCAGTCAATGCCGATGGGCACGGCAGCCTCGTCCGCACTCGCCCGGGAGCACGCTGAAGCCAAAGACGCTGCGAATGCTGCCGCCACGAAGCATGCGCACCGGCCCAGCGCCATCGCTGCTGCAGCACGTTCGATTGGCTCCATGTATGATGTGATTGTCGTTGGTGGCGGGCACGCGGGGACAGAGGCAGCCGCCGCCGCTGCACGCATGGGAGCAAACACGCTCCTTGTTACGCACAAGCTCGAGACCATTGGCGAGATGTCGTGCAACCCGTCATTCGGCGGCATCGGCAAAGGCACGCTTGTGCGTGAAATCGACGCTCTCGATGGGCTCTGCGGCCGTGTCTGCGGTACGTTCCTATTGGTGGTTGTGCTCAAGCTAAGACATCCTGTTCCGCGTTTTGGTACTGATCATGGACATGCAAAAAATTATTACATGTGATGCAGATGAAGCAGGCGTCCAGTTCCGAGTTCTCAACCAGTCTCGCGGGCCGGCTGTCTGGGTATGAGTGGTTGTCATTTCTGGTTTAGTTGTACAATTTTGCACCCATGTCATGCTTATCATCCTCGTTCTCACTACAGGGACCTCGGGCACAAATGGATCGAGACTTGTACAAGCAATACATGCAAGACACCATCTTCACCTATCCCAATTTGAGCGTGAAGGCTGCAGCTGTGGAAGACTTGTTACTGGACGAGTCTCCATCCCAGCCTCAGATTGCCGGCATCGTGTTAGGTAACGCGTGAAATGCGACAGCCAAGAGGAAGAGGGGGGACGGGTTTCCGTGTAAGAACAAGCATATTCACTCACTCTGCGGCACATTCTCGTCTTGAACGCTTCCTATTGGGCAGCCAATGGCGAGACCATCAAGTCAAAGGCAGTCGTGCTCACCACCGGGACCTTCCTTCGTGCCCAAATCAACATCGGTACGGGCGTTCTATTTTCTTTGATGTACTAGAATGGCTGAGCTCCGCTGCAAGCACCATACTTGAACAAATCACGACTCATCACCGCAACAACAGGTCTAGAGTGCTTCCCTGCTGGACGCATTGGCGACGAACCTGCTATTGGACTAGGTCGTACACTAGAACGGTTTGGCTTTGCTCTCGGCCGTCTCAAAACGGGCACTCCTCCGCGACTCGAAGGCAAAACCATCAACTATTCAAACCTTGTTCCTCAGCTGGGCGACAATCCACCACTGCCATTCAGCTTCATGAACACGACGGTTCGAAATGCGGTAGGTCACGGTTTGTTGGGTTGATTGTTGTTCGTTGGACACAGCATCGATCAAATGTGGTGTCGGTTCTTGAGCTCACGTTTTCGACCTTTCGCCTTCGATCTTGGTCAGAACAATCAACTCAAATGCTTCATGACGCTCACCTCAACAGCTGGCCATAAGATCATCCGCGAGAATATTCATCTAAGTCGGCATGTGATGGAGGAGACTCGAGGCCCAAGGTATGCTCATTGAATTTCCACGCCCCACTTTCCCCCCCTCTTCCTATATTGCCCCTTTGACGCGCCTTGACCGCACTCTGCACATACTGTCATGATTTCTCGACTCAGGTATTGCCCGTCTGTCGAATCCAAAATATTGCGCTTTACCGATAAAGCATCCCACCAAGTTTGGTTGGAACCAGAAGGTCGGTTGTTTGGAGCCTGCTGCGTGCCATGTCTGTTTGCGTGAACACTTGATGAAAACTCACAGCCTCAACAACATTTGAACAGGATACAATACCACGGTCGTGTACCCGAACGGCATTTCGACGACCCTTCCGCGAGAGCTGCAACTGCAGTTTTTGCGGACCATCCCCGGCCTGGAGAATGTGGAAATGCTTCGTCCGGGATATGGCGTCGAGTACGACTACATCGACCCACGACAGCTGCGCGAGTCTCTCGAGACGCAAAAAATCAATCGCCTATTCTTGGCTGGCCAAATCAACGGCACGACTGGGTATGAAGAAGCCGCGTCGCAGGTACGAATCGATTCTGATCATGAGTTTAGTGTTTCTTGCTGCATGACGGGCTCCAACTGACGCGCGCGTGTGGTGGTGATTGGTGGAACTGGCTTCAGGGCATTCTGGCTGGCATCAACGCCGCTCTCGCTGTCGCAGAAAAGCCCGCATTTACTCTCGATCGCGCTGACGGGTATCTCGGAGTGCTCGTCGACGATCTTTTGTCCAAAGGCGCCCCCGAGCCATATCGCATGTTCACAAGGTATGGCTGTCCATCATAAAATCCATTTCTCCTGCACAAGTCTCCGCTCACTTGGCTCTCTCGCTTGTCGAAAACACAGCCGTGCAGAATACCGACTCCACCTCCGCAGTGACAATGCGGATGCGCGACTGACAGCGAAGGGAATTGAGGTTGGATGCGTCGGACCCGATCGCAAACGAGCGTTTGAAACGCTGACCCAGCAATTGCAGACGCTGCGCTCTGCACTCAATTCCATTACTAAATCCCCGGAAGACTGGACAGCTCAAGGGATCCCGGTCGCTCCGGATGGTACCAAACCCAGGTGAGGCACACTGGCACCCTTTGATTGTTTTAGAACCTTTCGCACACATCTCACTCCATCCCACCGCAACATCCTTGAAACCGAAAAAAAAAATCAACAAAAAACAAAAACAACCCGTTCTGCAGCGCGTTTGAAATTTTGGATCGGGCCAACTTTGATCTTGATCGAGTTCGCGCCGTGGTGCCGAGCTTGCCAAAGTTCAGTGCTGCGGTCGATCAGCGAATCACCATTGACGGTAAGTGCGTCTGCTTTGCCGATGGAAGTGACGTTGCGTGTCAATTTGACAGTCGAGCACTTACTTTTTGTGTGTGGGCAAAAACCGACTCGGCTTGCTTTGGTTTAGCGCGCTACGAAGGTCTTCTGGCCAAGCAAGCGAGCGATATCGCGACGTATCGTCGAGAAGAGTCCACTGTGATTCCTTTCGATTTTGATTACAAGAGGTAATTGCTGGGTCCCCTTTTTTTGATGTTGTTGGTTCTGTGCGCGCTGACTTTTGTTGACCGTTTTTGCAGCTTGAACAGTCTGGGCACGGAGGTTCAACAGACTCTGATGCTACACAAGCCCAGGACAATCAAAGAAGCCTCGTTGCTGCATGGCACGACCCCAACCGCTTTGATTTTGCTTCTGCAACACATCAAGCGCGAGGCTCGCGATCGCTCCCGTCCAGCCCGCGCTTCGCCGCCAGACAGTCAACAACCAGAGTCACCTAGCTTGCACGAGCACTCTACAGTAGCGGCATGAATTTGTCGAATAAATTGCGGGTTTGTGCACAATGGAGATGATTGGACCAGAATGGAGCAACAACGCGTGTTGATGCACAAAGGACACACACTTACACACACACACACACACACACAAAATACACAGGGGGCACTACATTCACGACAACTGCTTGGACAGGCACGAAAGACAAGCAGACGAAAAAACAAAAGCTGGTCTGGACTAGCAGATATGACCAAATCACGCTGGACAGAGCTGCGTTTAGTGGTTGGTGTGCGGGTTGTGGAAGAGCGAGTGGTCGCTGTCAGACCAAGGGAAAGCCTGCAACGACGATCGAAACGCACAAAGTTGAAAGGTGAGACGACAAGCAAACAAAAAAAGACGAGGTCTTCCAAAGCGGGGGACTTGCAACTCACCTTGTTGCGGATGCGCAGGTGGGGGTACGCAATATAGTCGTGGTGCTCCTCGTGAGCGGCCACAGCGTTGGCAGTGGCGAGCAGGACGGCCGGGAAGGCGACAAACAGCGAGATTCGCTTCCAGGTGACGGTGGCGTCTGTCGAGCCAAGGCATCCCGATTGTGAGTGAGCATGATCAATGACGGTGCAGTTTGGTTAGTTTGCGGCAACCAGGGCAAGTTGATGGTGGGACGATGGAGAAAGAGAAAGAGAGCGAGAGAGTGAGAGGCAAAAATGAGGATGAGTGCGAGCTGCATTGGAGGGGCGACTCCGAACCCGCCAAGCTCGATCGCAGCACACAACGATGACCTGTGCGACAGATCAAACAGCAACAACGCGAGCGAGGACGGCGAGAGAGCAAGGGAGAGCAAGGGAGAGAGAGAGAGAGAGAGAGAGAGAGAGAAAAAAAAAAGAAAGAAAAAAAATAATAGGAGGACTTCAACGACCATCGCAGGGAAAGGACGCGGGAAAGGGGAAGAAGCACCAAAACAACAGATAGAGCAAGCTTAAAGAAGTGGCCGACAGCGCGGCGGAAGGACCAGTATCGAACCGCGAAAGAGAGAGAGAGAGAAAAAAAAAGAAGAAAAAAAAAGAGCTGGATGGACCATTGCATTGAAGATCCCCTCCCATGCATGCTGATGCTTGAAGCTGATGCTGAAGGTGAGGATGGGGGGGGGGGCGCAGGAAGAGGGAAGAACAACGTACGGGCGGCGTGGGCCTCCTCAGCAGAGACGCCGGCAGCGGCAGTGGCGTACGAGCGCGCGTTGGCAGCAATGGCACGAGCAGCAGCAGCAAACATTATTGGGAAAACGGAAACTGAAAAGAAAAAGAGTGGGATGATTGATTGACAAGTACGTAAGATCACTCTTCTGAGTCTGCAAGTTTGATAGGTTGATCGACAATCATCGCTTGTGCAAAAAACACATGCAGCTCTCTACAGTAATGCGTTTTTTCATCCAACCGGCTTCTCTACTCTTCATTTCATTCACAAGAGTCTCAGTCAAAACGACACACTTCCGCATCCATGCTTGCATGGTATGGAGGTCGTAACACACTAGCGTACGTTGCATCAACAGCCGACACGGAATCCTTCATTCAACTGTCAGTCAAAAAAAAAAAAAAAAAAGCAGTGTATTCTCGTCAAATGTCGTAAAAATCAAGGTGCGCGCCGCTTTCAAACGTGTTCTGCTCAAGCAGACGAACAAGCTTGCCCGCAGAAACGTTGGGATCAACGAGCGTGTTCTGCAATCGCGGTTGGGACGACTTGGTGAGTCAGTCGGCGTTTGATAGTTTAGCACATTTACCGCGGCAAAGCAACTGTTACCTTGTCGTGCATCTCGGAAAAGTAAGAACGCTGGCTGGCATCCCCAATGGTCGTGCGGACAACATGCTGCATCTCGGTGTCGAGAGGACCAGGAGCATAGTTGAGCGTCTTGACAAGTTTCTGCAGAGTGCAAAGCAAAAAAAGCAACAGACGTGTTGAAAAAGGTTAGGAATCGTCCAAAGCAAACCACACCATCATGGTAAATTGCAGTAGACTGCATCTGAAACGCACCTCTTCCTTGGCAACGACGCTGTGGAGGAGGTCGCGCCCTGCCTTGGACATGCAGTACAATCCCCACTGCGGGAAGGCTTGAACCGCCATCAGTGATGAAATGTTGACAATGGTTGCAGGCTTGCCTTGGACAAGCTTGAGGAAAGCCGAACTGCACATCCAAGCAGATGCATGTTTCAAAAACACACTCTCAGTCAAAACACAACGACCAATAACGACAAATAACGACAAAATGGCAGACTACTAACGTCAAGAGGATCACGGAAGTCATGTTCAGCGTGATAAACTGCTGGATTGCCGCAGCGTCACTGTACCCAGCGACCGTCGAGCTCAAGTCACCGACCGAGCCGACATTGTTAATCAGCAGCGCGCGTTCGAAGCGCGACATGTCCGTCTACAGAAATACAAAACCACAGAGCATTCAATGCAAATGAGGACCCCACTTTTGACAATTGGATGACAATATCAACACGACATGGAGCAATCTCATCGTGCTTGTTACCTGAGCGACAATCTGAGCAACGAGCGACTCGAGCTGGTCGGCGACGCCAAGGTCGGCCACCACATGACGCGTTGAGGCTGGATTGCAGCAACAGGTCCAAATGACAATGCGCATCACGAGTGAGCGTCACTGGAACATTCGGAGCATGTGCGGAGCATGTGCGGATGTTGCGGCCGTGTTCCCCAATTGGCATCCCACTCACCTTGCGGCTGGATGGCCTTCACTTGCCGCTCTGTCTCGGCCAGTTGCGCTGCATCGCGTGCTACAAGCACAAAGTGGAGAGAGGGGAAGGTCCCGGCAAGCGCGGTGGCAATCGAGCGTCCCAACCCACGACTGGCGCCAGTGACAATGCACAGAATGGACATGACTGGAAGCAGAGAACAAAAAAAGCAGAGTGAACTGAGCCGAGAGCATGCATTTGCAGCATCTTTGCATCGAGGAACAGAGGGGAGGGGAAAAAGGTACAGTATGATTGAATACGCACAAAAACACACAACAGCACGGAAATACACAGCACGCAAGTACAACAGAGATCATGCACACACAAAAACAACAGCCACGAAACACGCAAGTATTGGGAGGCGACCGACGGAGCACCATCCACATCTTACGTCGAGTATCGAGTCGTGTACTGAGCTGGGAACATGCCTTTGATCGGCGGATCGAAAGACGTCAAATCTTGTGTCAGGAGCTCTCCTCGCCGCCAGTCGTTCGCATCGTTGTCTAGCACACGAATAAAGTCGCCTTCATTGAACGACAGCTCTTGATCGCCCTGCGCTTGGTAAGTGTAGCGAGCCACGACAATAAAGTCAAGCGACACCATTCGCGACTGCGGAGGCGGCGGCGGCTGCGCTTGTTGATGCGGCTGTGCTTGTTGATGCAGTTGTTGCAACAGGGCTGCAATCAAAGCGCAGATGTGGCAACGAGAAAAGAAGAAGAAGAAAGAAACAAAGAAAGACAAACATCAAGTCAGTATCTGACCCAATGTTTTGAATCCGCCCGACCAATCTGTTCTTACTCGAAGTTGGCTTCGTGGATCGTTGCAATGTTGGTAGATAATCCGGAGAAAGACCCGAGTTTAGGTTTGCCGAGTGAACGGCAGCTGCAGGCAGTGCTCGGGGTCCCGTGTAAAAGTTAATGTAGCCGATCATGGCTGTTGCCCAAAAGTAAAACAACAAAATTGTGAGCGACCAGAAGCGAAACACAACAATGTTGCAAGCCATCACAATATAAGGAGGAAGTCGTTGACTGCCGAGGGGGGGGGGAGAAACCCCAACCAAACAAACAAACGAAGAAAATCAAAACAAACAAAGCGAATCAATGGAAGGACATACCTGGGCGCTGTGAACCCACTCGGCGAGTTCGAACAAACTCTTCCAAATCCTTGCCCCAGTCGCACTCTTCCAAACTGCAGCGCACTTTTTCTTGAAGCTGGTACAATTGTCACAAGATTCGTTGGACGTGAATAACAAGACTAAGTTGTTGTTTTTCGCAACAGACGCCCAAATCCAACAAAACTTACCTCGTCGTCCTGAACAGCCAGGGAGGACATAATGTTCGCAAACGCCCACATTGACTGGCGAAGGTACAAAATGCGCTCCTTTTCCAAATCGTAAAAGTGCTGTGTCAAAGTTCCAAACACGATCAGATCAGTGGAGGCTTGCCACTTGGTATCAAGTCAATCAATCAATCAATCAAACAATGCATACCTTGCAGCATGTTTCCATTTCGCCTTCCCACTGGCGTCGACTTTCTTCAAGCTGAGTCAAGGACAGCTGATAGGCTACATCCGCCGCTTCGCTAGCTTCTTGCGACCTTTTCATCTTTGCTTTCAGCTACACAGTCACAAGAGAATCCGCAAAAATGAAATTAGAGCTACGGGATGAACGAGCAATCGAGGGACACAAGGTGGGTGGACATATCCATGTACCTTGTCAACGTCCTTGCTGGTGGGCGCGGTTTTAAACTCCTTCTCGGCGGTATCAAATTCCCTGCACTTGGTCTCGTACGTCTTCCGAGACTAAGATATCAAAGCAAAAGAAACGTGAGACATCAAAAAAGCTACCAAAGCACATTGTTCTGCGTCCAATTAGCGTCGGCTGTATACCTTCTGCATGTGCTCGAACGCTGAGAGTTTGGTTGCGTGCCGATTCTTCACAAGTTCCTCAGTCTGCGCAAGCGATAAAACACATGGCAAGGTCAGTTGTGTTGAGGCAAATGCAACAAGCCAAGCAAAAAAATGTCCAAACCTTCTTTCGCGCCGTCTTTTGACTGAGTTTGAAGTCGCGAGTCGTCTTTTCGATCTCGTTCGAGATTTGAGCGGCAGCTTTGATGTGAAGATATCCAGCATTCTCAGTTTCTACAAGTTGTACGTCAGTGAGTATTTCTTCACCCGAAAAAGAAGGCAGGCGAAAACGAGAGTATTACCCGTGCGCAGAACATCCCAAGACCGCCGCAACGTGCTAGAGAAGAGGAGAGAAACAAAAAAACCAGGACGAGAGGCAACATATCAGTCAGGGCGACAATTCGCTCCACTACACGGCAGCGTGTTCCTTGAAATGGCAATTTGGTGTTTTCGTTTTTCCATCCAACTTACCCGAGCTCGTTCTTGCTGACCATGGATCGCGCCAGTTTGATGAGCGATTTGGCATAAACCTCCTCAATGGCAGCACTGTAATCAACCAATTCCAACACCCCCCCTCCAAATCCGTCAGCAAGACCACACGCGAATCAAGCAATGGTCTCGGTCAAGGAGCTACTTACCGCTGACGAGCGAATTCGGCGTAGTTGTGGACAGAGCCCTTGCCTTCTCGCAGGCGTTTGCACAGCACGTCGAAGCCGGCTGTCGAGATGATGTCCGTGTCCTGTCGCACGAAATGAGATGGTGAGCCAACCAAGCTCGTTAGTAAGATTGAGTTGTTGTTGGACTTGAATTTTGAAGTGAATGATTTGTCTGAGAATGGAATATCGCGCGTGCGCTGCAAAACAGCCAATCTCTCTCACATTGGACATTGACAAGATGCAAGCACACCAGTGCACCAACCAGCTTCACAACGACAGGGAGCAGTGACACACCATCAGCGGCAACGTTAACAGCAGCACGCCATCCGTTTACGCTCTCCAACACGAGCCCCTCAATGAGCACTGCCCCACCATCCAGGCTCTCTCGCAACCAACCAAGCGCCGCCGTGCGACAATCCACCAGCCTCCCCCTTGCCAGCCAGCGAGAGAACCCAATGCTCGTGCCCTCTGGTGAGCTGGTCGTCGACGAAACCAAAAGAGCTGCTGTCCTTTTTTTTTTTTTTTTTTTTTTTTGGTGGCTAGCGTGATCGGCACGGCTGATTGTAACGCAGCTGCTTCTTCAGTGGATGAGGGGAGGGAAGCACGAGCGCATGGGCACTTGTTGCTTTACCCAGAAGGCCGACTCGAACAGGTTGGACGACATGATGATTGAACAATGTTGAATCAACAAGACAATAAAAGAATAATAATAAAATAGAAAAAAAAGGAAAAAAATAGAAAAAAAATAAAAAAAATAAAAGGACTACCAATTGATTTCCAATCACACTACAAGTGCAAAGCACATACAAGCAACAACCACAGCAGTTGCATCGTCCTCGAAATTCACAGCTTGGATGGCCTTCCAAACTCATTTTTTGCTTTGGAAAAATCACGTTTACCGAATTTACTCAACGTCAGTCATTTTCACACAAAGAAAAACCAATTTGACCCTTACCATCTTCTTACCTTTTCTTGAAAGCGTTTAGTGAGAAATCAGTATGGCGACCAAAGATTCAGACGAATACGACTATCTCTTCAAAGGTTGGTTTAATTTTTTATTATTTTTTGTTATTTTTTTTATGATTATTTTTTGTTGTTTGTTGCTGTTGCTTGCTCGTTTGCGCTGCTGTGGAAGTCGTCTGGGACGCATCGCGCCACCCCATCATCGTGCTTCGGCTGCTCACATGCCAAGCATGGCTGATCGATCCAAGCGGGCTTGTGGTCTTGGGGTTGTTGTGTACCGTATTTCCATCAGGCTCTTTTTTTTTTTTTTTTTTTTTTTTTTTTTTTTTTTTTTTACTTTCGCTGCTCGCGCTGTGTGCTGCACCTCCGCGCGCCACTGTGCTGCACTTCCCGCAGCTGTCGTCGCTGTTGCCACACCCCATCCACCTGTTTGCTGTTCTCGTCAGGCGATGGCGGGCAAGCAATCGCGACAACACCCCTCCCCATCTGTTCGTTCTCCCGCTGCAGCGCCATCCATCGCAAAAAAAAAAAAAAAAAAAAGTGTCGAACAAAGATGACATCTTTTCCATCAAAAAAAAAAAAAAAAAAAAAAAATCAAAAAAATCAAACCAAGAGAGTGGTGGGTTTTTTTGTAGTTTGGTTTGTTAGCCCGCGGTATCCCATTCGCCACAAAACCGGTTTTTTTTTGTTTCTATGCACTTTCGCTTTCCTTTGCCAAAAAACTGCGGCTTTTCTTTGTTTTTTTATTTTTTTATTCTTTGGTTCGTCGTTGAGTGCAAATCTCGTCCACGCCGCCCTGCACTGCACTGCGACCCCCCTTTCTTTTGTCGTCTCATTGGCCAACCCTCTGCTCCCCCCCCCCCCCTTCCATGGCCAGAGCTGATCATTGCTGACACGGCCTCGCTAATGCTGACACACGGCGACTTTTTTTTTTTTTTTTTTGACTTGTCGTTCCTCCTTTCCTTCCTTCCTTTCATTTTCGCTTGTTTATGTGCTTCTCTCTGGGCAGCCACTCATCGCCATTCATCTCCATCATCAGCATACTGTATTTGATGGTGAACAAGCCAGTGGGCGCTGAGGACGTTGTGTCGTTCCATCATCCGTTTCATTCATTCATTCCCTACCTCGCTTCATCGTTCTCGTCCGTCGCTTTTGCTCTCCCCCCGTCACTTTCACTGTGAACATGCTCCACCTCTCCATATCATCATTGTCGCCTTTCCGCCGGTGTCGCCAACCCTTTGTCTCGTTGCTCACCCTTGTTCTTCTCACTTTTGCGCAGTTGTCTTGATTGGCGATTCGGGCGTCGGCAAGTCCAACTTGCTCTCGCGATTCACACGAAACGAGTTCAACCTCGAGTCCAAGTCGACAATCGGTGTCGAGTTTGCCACCCGAAGCATCCAGGTTGACGGCAAGACCATCAAGGCGCAAATCTGGGACACGGCCGGTCAGGAGAGGTACCGCGCCATCACCAGCGCCTACTACCGTGGCGCCGTCGGTGCGCTTCTCGTTTACGACATTGCCAAGCACCTGACCTACGAGAACGTCGAGCGCTGGCTCAAGGAGCTCCGCGATCACGCAGACGCAAACATTGTCATTATGCTTGTTGGCAACAAGAGCGATCTCCGACATTTGCGAGCCGTCCCGACCGACGATTCCAAGTCGTTTGCAGGTACGCGAGTGGCCATGGCTTTGTTTTGTTGTGAAGAAACTGTCGCGCGTGCCTTCTTTTTTTTTTTTTTTTTTTTTTTTGCCAGTTTTTTTGCGACATTTGCATCTGACTGCTTTTTTTCCCCAACTTGTCATTACTCTCTCGACCTGCGACAGAGAAAAACAACCTCTCGTTCATTGAGACGTCGGCGCTGGATGCCACAAACGTCGAGCTTGCCTTCCAAAACATCCTAACAGGTAAGTTCCGTCCATTTTCGGTTTGTTTTTGGATGCTTGTTGTTCGTTCCATACTGAGCATCGGCTGATATGTTTTTCTGGCCATCCATCATTGCCATGCCTGCTTTTTTTTCTTTACAGAAATCTATCACATTGTTTCTCAAAAGACGATTGTGAACGACGACCACGTCGCCAAAGTGCCCACCAGCAACGTGCAGACAATCACTGTCGCTCCAAGCGAAGCAACTGACGACAAGAAGAAGGGCGGCTGCTGCTAACAACACGACGATGATTGCATTTGGATTCTCTTTGCATTTCGCATGTTTTCGTGTCGCTTTTCGAGGAAAGGGGGAGGGTTGATGTCTTCCCCTTGTTCAGTTTGTGCTCCTGCATTGTCGTTCGCTCTTAACCAAAGTGGGACTGGTTTCTTGTTGTCTGTGTGTGTTCACGATGGTGTTTCCTTCGTTTTCTCTGCGTTTCTTGTGTAATTTGTAATGAAACGCATCTTGTCCACTAAACGCTTTTTTTTGAAAGAACTTTGATTGATGACAAAGAAGATAGACTTTTACATGGATACATAGTCATGACAACAAAAAGCAACCACCAATACTTCTCGCAAGAAAAAGTTCTCCAAATCCGACATGTGAATAGATGAAGACACAAAGAAAATGAGCCCCTACGGATGTGTATGGGAAGCAACGCGGCCAGTCGCGACCACCGAAGCAACCCAAACGGGAAAGCAAAAATGAAACAGAATCCCACCAAATCCAAAAGTGGCAAGACCGAAGTGACAAAGTGACAAGACCGAAAGACAAGCAGATACAAAGAACGAGCACGCGTTTTAGACAAGAACAAAAGAAGACAGGGAAAGGAAAGGAAAGGAAAGGAAAGGAAAAGGAAAAGGAAAAGGAAGGAAAGGAAAAGAAAGGGTGAGCAGCAGGCGACACTCATAAATTCTTAAAAGCGATTGGGCATGGGGTCACGCGAGCGCTTGAGCTGGACCTTCAGACGCTTGTTGCCGATTTGGTAGCCATCCATCGACTGAATGGCGGCCTGGGCGGCAGCGGGGTTGTCAAAGGACACAAAGCCAAAGCACTTGCTCTGGTTGGTCGCCTTGTCAACATAGACCTTGGCGGAGATGACGGTGCCGTAGGTCATGAAGGCGTTGGCAAGCTCAACGTCACCAAACTCGTTGGGGAGGTGGTAGATGAACAGGTTGGCGCCCTCGGGACCGGCGCTCGACTTGGAGAGGCCGGACGAAGGGAGGCCAGCGAGGCCAGCGGCGCCAGCGTTGCCGACACCGGCACCAGCACCGAGGCCAGCAAGGCCACCGGCGCCAACGAGGCCGCCGTTGGGGGCAGCAGGGCCGTTGGGGCCGCCGGGGAAGACGTTCTGGCCGTACGCGCCGGGGAAGGCGTTGGCGTACTGGGCCATGCTGTACTGGGCGAGCTCGGGCTGCGAAGGGTGCTGGGAGAAGAAGTTGTTGTAGCCAGTAGCCGCGCTGCTCGGGTCGCCAAAGTGGTGGGGGTGGTGGGGATGGTGGTGGTGGTGACCGCCAAAGCCGGGGTTGCCAGCAGCGCCAGCAAAGCCGTTCATGCCAGCCATGCCGCCCATCGCGCCGTACGGGCCCATGTGGTGGTGGCCGCTGTGCATCAGGTGCTTCTGGGCCTTCTTTTGCATGCGCTCGCGATCAGTGTCGGCGAACTTGACAATCAGAGGGGCAGGGCAGCCGTCCATGCTAATGCGGCCGTGGAGCGCAGAGATGGCAGCGACAGCCTGCTCGCGCCAGCGGTACTTGATGAAGGCGCAGCCCTTGCTGGTGCCGTCGGGTTGGCGGAGGACGGCAATGTCCTCAATGTCGCCGTACATTTCAAACACCTTGCGCAGCTCGTCTTCCGAAGCGGTGCGGGAGATCATGCCGAGGAAGAGCTTGCGGGCCTCTGCGACGAGCGAAACGAGAGGACAATACCGTGGGGGGGGGGAGAAACACACGGCCGTTGAGGGGGGGGGGGAAAAAAAAACCAAAAAAAAGAAGCAAAAATCAAAACAACTTACCAGCCTTCTCCTCGCGATCGGCAGGCTTGACCTGAAGCGGGTGAGCCATCTGCAGAATGACAAGACAAAGAGTGAGTTTCGAGCACACCTTCATGCAATGCAACCTCCGGAGAACAACAACCGCTTACGCCCTGGAGAACGCGGACGCCGTGCAGGGCAGCCATGGCAAGCTGAGCGCTCTCGCGAGACGCGTAGGTCAGGAAAGCACAGCCTGCGAAGGTCAGACACAGACACACGTCGAGGAGTGAGCAGAAATCAAGAGTAAGAATAATTGTGGGAAGCCAAAAATGGGTTTGCTCGGGACATGTTCGCCTTTCGGCACAAGGGGATGAGCGTGTGCTGCGCAGAGTGGTTTATGCCACTTTCCGATTCAGAGCCATTGTCGGAATGCAGACTGAGTGGAGGTGGAGTTTTGCTGCCGCGCCCTTTTTTTTTTTGTTTTTGTTTTTTGTTTTTTTTTGTTTTGCTTTCGCCCAGCATGTTAAACCAGCATGTTGAAACGGAGTGCTCATCAACAACCTTGACACCCATATCAACGCCACTTGCCCAATGTCATCAAAACCCCGGTTCTTCCAAGATGTCAACAAATGTCACCTCGTCCATGATTTCTTCTCTTAACAACCGCTCCAAATTGAAAGCATCAATGGGGCGATGCGTTCACAATCTCGCGCACTTTGCGCAAGCCAGCGAGGGAAGCGAAGGAAGGGAAAAACATAAAAGAAAAGCAAAAAATGAATGATCACCACCTCCAACAATGAAAAAGAAAGAAAACGAAAAATAATCATCAAATCACGAATCTCCAATGGCAGAATTGTGAACGATGCTGCGAGTCGACGACCACGCAAGCCGGCGTAAAGGCAAACAAAGAACGAGCTGGAAGAAGGTCGTTTCCAAGAGAAGAGCAAAAAAATCAGGCAGAACTTGCGCCATGGGATCGAGAGCAGAACGGAAAAGTAAAAAAAAAAAAAAAAAGTAAAAAAAAAAAAAAGTGGGAGCAAATCACAAGCACGAGGCCAGGAGTGCGATGACACGCGAGCACCACTGCAGGCAGAAGAAGTGGATGGCACGTATCGAAAGACAACCATCATGCACGAGCAAACGAACGGAAGTCGAAGCAGCCACTTGCATCATCGTTTTCAAAGGAAAAAGGAAAAAAAAAAAAAAAGAAAAAGAAAAAAAAGAAAAAAAAAAAAGGAACAAAGGAAAATTCGACATGGCGCGGGACGGTTGCGGACAACCAGATGATGGTGTTGGTGATGGAAAGAGAAGGGAAGCGCTCATCCGCAGCCCGATCCACAGCTGCAGCAAAGGAGAACAGGAGAAAAGAAACGCAAAAACACGGAATCAAAGAGCGGCTCAATCGGAAGAAAAAAAAAGAAAAAACAAAAGGGACAAAGTTGTTGCGTCAACAGGGATTGTGTTGTGTGGAGGTGAGGGCAGCGCGGTTGGTTGGGGGAGGGGGAAAGCGTGGACTTACCCTTGTGGAGGCCGTTGAAGCGATCCTTGAGGATGGTGAGCTCGACAACGGGGCCAAACTCCTCGAAAACCGGGCGAAGATCCTTCTCTTCCATCGTGCGCGGCACTTGGCCGACAAACAGCTTGACGTGCTCGCCGCCACCGCTGCCAGACGCAGCCGAGGGGTGGTGCTGAGCCACCACAGCGTGCGCGGCAACAAGCGCGGGGTGAGCCGAGCCGAGGGCAGCAGAGTTGATCACTGAAGCGAAGGAAGAAAGAAAAAAAAAAGGAAAAAAAAAAAACAAGAAAAAAAAAAGAACGTGAGTGTTTGATGTTAGATTCGTTCGTCACGCGCACTGGGTTTGGCAAGTGTCCAGCACGCTGCACTCCGCCTCGTCCAAGTCGTAATACTGTCCCCTCCGACCGTCTCGCGCCGCTCGGCTGATGGCGCGGTCACACATGCTCCAGCGCGCGAAACATTAGCAAAGTGTTTTTCCATCGAAATTAAAAAAAAAAAAAAAACGAGTTTTTTTTATTTATTCCTTTTTATTTTATTCTTTCGAACGCTTCGATGGTGTTTGAGTGGCTGTGTGTTGCGCTGGCGACTGGTGCGATGGACGAGGAGGACAGAGTTGAGGGGAGATTCGCTGCGATCCACACGCGCGATGCGACAGAGCAAGCAAAACACGAGGATCCAGTCGACCAAAAGAGAACGAAGCGCTCGTGCAACATGAGGCGTTTTTCACAACCAAGCGCGTTCCGCCTCAGCCGACATGCTGGAGAGAGAGCGAGAGCGAGAGAGAAAGCAACAGAACGAGAGAGTAAAAGCGCGAGAGAGAGAGAGAGAGAGAGAGAGAGAGAGAGAGAGAGAGAGAGAGAGAGAGAGAGAGAGAGAGAGAGAGAGAGAGCCTCACCCGAACCGAGACCAATGTCGGCCTGAGGATCCATCAACGAAGACGACAATTCAAACAAAAAAAAAAAAAAAAACAAAAAAAAAAAACAACACAAATTAATAAAATGAAGAATGAAACACGAAAAACGCGAAGGCTCAGAGAAGATGGAAATAAATAAAACAATAGAAAGAGTTGAGCGGGAGGGGACAGCGGGGACCGGGGCGGAAGGAGGGGGGGGGAGAGCCGCGAAATACAAAACAATCAAAAGCAACAACTGCAAAATTGAACAAGATTGGAAGCTGAGAAATCACTCCTTTCCTCCATGTCGACGCTGTACGAGCTTTCGACCTTCAATCCAATCATCGCAACCGTTCTCAAGATGGAGGCGAATTCGCCTCCAGGCAACTGGCCCGTCGAAGGCGTGGTACAAGTTCCGCGAACAACCATGTTCAACATATTTTCGAGCTGCCGCCCGCTTACCCGACCGTGACACACGAAATGCGCCATGCTGCGTGCGCGCTGCTGCTCGACCTTGTCTACCCAAGCAAGACCGCCATCTCCTTTGAAGAGCAGGCACGCCAAGCGATGCCTGGCCGCGGCGTTGTTAACGGTCACATACTGGACCTGTCCAACGGCTTCGTTTCGTCGTCCGCCTTGGCTTTGCCGGGTGCTATCGCAGCTTCAGAACTCAAGCAGCATGTCGAAACACTCCTCGCAAACGACGCCTCGGTCCGCGAGATCAGCACGCTGGACCTTTCGGGCAACGAGTTGCGGAACTCAGACATGCAGTATCTTGCCCAAGTAGTCCAAATTCTCCCGTCATGCAAGGCAGTCAAGCTGCGCCGCAATCGGTTTGGCTATGGCATGCCGGACGCCAGCCTGCTTGCCGAGCTGCGCAAGATCGTCGAGCAGAAGTCTGTCTTGTTTGTAGATGTCGCCGGCGAAATGTTTACAGGCAGTGACTGGGCTCGCTTGTTCAGCGACTGGACCAAGGACCTTTGGGAAAAGCTTGTGTTTCTCCCGTTGGTTTGGCTGAGGGATCACAACTGGAGCAATCCCGACATTTGCGGGTCGTTTGAGACTGCTTCTCGCGACTGTCATGAGAGGTACTACCGCAGCAAGGAACACGAGCCAAACTTTTAAGGTTTTCCAGGTGGCGTTTGCTCCTACCCTTCCCCCCGTTGTGTTTGGTTGTTTGCTTGTTGTTTGTTTGGTTGTTTGCCTAGAGAGGAGCACAGGAGTTGGACTGTGTTACGAACTCTAAAGCAATCACCATTGGAAACAATTGGACTTCTTCTTTCATTCAGGATTGCAGGAAGAGGAAAGCAAGCCGATCGTGAGCGGTATAACCCAAAGCATTAAACATGATACAAGAAATTAAAGTGCATTGCAAATCACGATAACACCATCAAGAAATACAAGTGCATTGCAAATCACTTGGTCTTGGCCGTTTCTGTCGTGGACGGCCGTTGGATGGTGGCTTTTGCGTAGTAAATGACTTGCAAAGTTAGAACGGTGTTGAGTGTCGAGCTGATGATGCCGCTGATAGCATCTGCAAGTGTGGTGTCGGCGGAACGACGAGAATTGTGAGTACAACCATGCCGTATCAAAAGGCAATTGAAGCACGAGCAAACTATCGCAAGACGTACATGCAATGCTATCGACTTCAATCAGGATCGAAGTGAGGCGAGCTGTCACAATGAGAGAAGTGGTGTTGATAAGCAAACAGAAATCTTGCCAGTCCCAACAAGTCAGATGCAGCGCGCAAGCAAAGACATACCGTAGGATGCATACGTGTTTAGAGCCAACGTTGCCAAGCTGAGCCTGCCTGTGCCTTGGTTCTGTAGCAGTCGCCGGAAAGTGAGATAACGGATGAGTTTGTCTACAGCATGCGCTTTCGTGTTTACCTTGATGTTGGCAGAGATCTGAAGAAGCTTGCTCGCAGCGCTAATCAAAATAGCTGAAGACTGCATCCCCAGTCAAAGTCAGGGACACGATAGACATGGAAAGGTCGAAATCGAAATAATTGAAAAAACACAAAAACAAAAATGAGTGAGTTGGACACACTGATGACAAAGCGCAACCGACCAACCATGCATTACCTGTAATACTTGTACCACAACGACTGGACCATAGCCCAGTAAGAACGCAAAGAACACGGCAAAGTAGAGCACGATGCTTGCGTACACGTTGGGGGTGAATCGTTTCGTGTAGTGCAGGATTAACGCGAGCACCAGATAGTCCTGCAAGAGCAGTAGGATCAGTTCGCCGTATACTGTGATTGATAGTTCCTTTCTCCAACCGAACGTAATGACGGACGAGTATCTGCAATAGCGAGAATGGGTGAGCAACTTGAAAATTCTGATTGATTCTCCTCACGGATGAACAATTCTCGCGATCCAACGCCATTTTTCTTTGATCCACACTCGCATTGTTATCTTCACCACTACTACACTACTACGATGACGATCGGCCATCAGCAAGGCGGTCGTGATCTCTTCGCACTCCAAGCAAGAATTCCGCCGCTGAAACACAAAGCATCGCTTCCCCCGCTTTACCCGAGGATTTCCAGCAGCAGCGATGGAACGTTGATGCCTTCAGCACTCCTTGCGCGGAGGATGGTTTGCGCCTGAGGCAGCTTGAGGAAGATGCAAATTGCAATGACGGACATGCTGAGTGTGCGCGCGACGAGCAGCAGCCAGCATTCACCCAGCCGCTCTAGCCAGCCAAGATGCCAAAACACACAAACACAGGCGGATCACGGTGAGCGAGCGTGCAACCGGAAGGAAGAAGGAGGCGACAGAGCAAACGGGGGAAGGGGTTCCAGTCACCTGTCACAGTGGACTGCAGGCCATTTGCCTCGAGGTACGCGAGACATGCAGCGACGGGATGCTGACTGGAAGACATATTAAACTTAAGACATCAAACTAAGAGTGAAGAGATGAATGACATGTGTGGAATAATTATTGATGTTTAGAGTACATGCAGGCACATAAAAATACACAAGTTACCCTCCCTCCTCTGAGGACAAACCCTCCTCTTAGGACAAACCCTCCATTCACACTGGACGCAACAGCAACATGGATGCAAGTCCCGTTCGAGCAGTAAACTCGCTCGCTGCTTCCTTGTCATCTTCCTCGTCCAGCAAATCGTGCACGGTTTTCGGCAACCCGTCGTCACGCACACGGAGATTGGCCGTACCATCGGGTCCGTGCATGAGAGGAGCGAGGAGCCGACGCATGACCGAGCTGATTTCGCGCAGGGCGTAGGTGGCGTGTTGGCGGGTGGCTGGGTCGGGATCCGAACGCTGCGTCGCCCGGAGCAAGCGGTAAATGCTCTTGAGGCGATCGGGGATGAGCTCGAGCACGTCAATCCCAAGACCACGCAGCAGACGCGTCAGCACGTGTGCGGCGCCGCGACGCACTTCAGCCTCGGACTCGGTTTGGAGCACAGACTCGATGCATGCCAAAATCTCGTTAATGATGGGATGCAGTGCAAATCGCATGATTTGACAGGCTGTAGCAAGATTGGACAGGCTGCTGGCCCTCATCATGGCAGAGCTGTCTCGAATACCGCGCATGAAGACGTCAATCATCCGCAGACCGTACTTGGGCAGAACCTCACCCAACCGCTCGCAGACAAACAACAGCGCCTCGCCAACTCGGGTGCGACGGAGCTCGGCCGGGAGCGGCGGCTGCAGGGTTTGAGTGTGCTTCTTGACATTGGTGCTTGTGGCATTCGCACTTGAAGGAGCGGTTGGAGGGGCAGTCGTCTCTTTCCCAAAATCGTCGCCTGTGGCTGCGTACTCTTTGAGTAAGATGGGGATGGCGCGCGAAGGAAAGACATCGCCCACTGCGACCAAACCGTGAATTGCAGACAGATACATGTACGTATCCGGGTGAACAAGTTGTGACTGGAACACGGCCAGGACCATCTTGATGCGGCTGACGGTTGTTGAGTCTCGCGCAAGAATCTTATTTCGGAGTTCAATCAACGCGTGGGCGCGGACTGGGAGCAGTGGATCTCGCAATTGTTCGAGCACCAGCTCAAACGAGGCTGCGGAGGCTGCCTCGCTTTCAGCCGTCCTTTTCGCTGCGGCGTCGGCTGCGGCTTCGGAGGAAGAAGCTCCCTCCTGAGCTTCAGAGCCGTGTCGCGTGTGTAAATTTACCCGCAAATCGGCAATGAGCTCGACGATAGTCTCATCGTCTGCAAAGCGACGCCCAGTCTCATCGAGGACGGGACCGAGGGACGCCAACAGGCTTGCGTCTCGTACAGAAAGTTCCACCGCACCAGCAAGAACTGCTCCCAACAGCGAGAGACACATGACGACAGTTTCGACATCGTCGTTTTGAAGCATGATGCGCGCAAAGGCGACGAGATGGGAGGTGCTTTTGAGCAGTTCCGCCCCAAGACCTTCGGCGACGGTCAAAATCACCTGCAATAGACGCTGTGCGTGTTTTGAAGCCAGATCCAACTGTTGCTCCATTCGAGCGAGGTCGGATTCCGCGCGGCGGGCGTTGTTGGCCAAAGCCTTGGCGGCTGCGGCCTGGTCCGGACGGCTGCCCTCAGAGTCCTCCTCATCCTCCTCCGGGTCTAAAAGCTCGACCGCCACCGGTTGGCCAGAGCGACTGCTTGGCACTTGTTGGCTTGTCGCAATCGCAGTCACAGATGGGGACGACGAGGAAGCAGGCCCAACTTCGGTCACAAGCGGCTTGTCCTTGCTGTCCAGTTCAGTTGAGCGAACGAGCTTTTCAAAACTCTTTCGCGCTGCCTCCAGCTGAGCATAGTCATCGAGCAGAGACATGAAAAAGTCTCCCGTGAGCTGATGGTGCTTAAAGGTGGACAGCAACGCGAGCAAGGTTGGCAGGTTGTCGACGGCGGACTGCGATGACGCTGAAGCGCGTTGTTGCGAGGGAATTCGACAGAGAACAATCTGTTGCCCGTTCGGGGTCAGAGCAAACTCGCAGTGCCGTCCGCCTTGTCCAACAAATGTGGAAATCTCGTCTGCAAAGTTGACTTCTTGATCGCGTTGCTCTTGCGCGATACGATCGTCATCTGCATCTTCATCGTCACCGGACGTCAAATTCGACGGAGCGCTCAAGACTGCGGGTATCAAGGCCGAGAACGAACTGGCCTGACTGCTGCCGAGCACCAATCGACGCAAGTCCGCAACGGCAGCGGCGGGCTCGGCGTGTTTCAAATAGGTGACGAGAATTTCCTGACAAGCCGATGCCACCTTGGCTCCCACTGTCTGAGCAACGCGATAGAGCTGGAAGAGGGGTTCAACCATGGCAGCGACAGACACCATCAGCGCAGGATGGGGATCAATCACAACAAAGAGTTTGTGCGTGTCTTCCACGCATCGAATGATATCGCTCATTCCAACAAGCACGTCTTGGGATGGCTGGAGCGTTGGCTGATGTGGTTGCAGCTTTGGTTGCTGTGGTGGTCGGGTCGGAGGAGGAGGAGGAGGGGCGATAATACCAACAGGCTGATCCGCTGCAGCCTCTTCGGCATCCGTTTCGTCATCCTCAGATTCGTTGGGATCGGCTAATAATGAAGCAGAAGAACCAATCACCTGAATCAGAGGAGTATGGGTTGATGACGGCCCGGAAAGAGCGCGCGGCTTGGATTCAGGAGCCAGTTCGAGCAGTTCACTGTGCAAGTCTTGTTCTGAATCCTGAACGTCCCCAAGGACGTCTGTCGTCGGTTCAGGGCCATCCCCTCTATCATTCTCATAGTACACGTACAAAGGACGCCAGACCGGGTCGAGCACGCGTTGCTTCACCAGATTCGGGTAGGCCGTCAGCATGCGCGACACTGTCAGCCCAACCGTGCGAAGCAGCGCTCCGCCAACAGCATGCTGTGTGTTTGAGATGTGTAGCAAGGCGACCAACTGGGGCCCGACGTGCGAGAGATAGGCCTCGGGCGACTTGGCTTGCGCAGGTACAGCCGTAACAATGCGCGCAGCGCGATCGCACGCGGCAAAGTCTCCACCGATAGCTGAATCGCCGACATTCGCGTCATCATCATCGTCCTCATCAGCGTCGTCGTCGCCGTCGTCATCATCATCGAGCAGCTCTTTGGAAACAGATTGAGCGGGAGCTTTCGAGCTCGTCGGGGTTTTCTCCTCGAGCAGGTAGAGCAGCAGGGATCGTACTCCGTCCGGTCGCATCACGGACAGGGAAAGATAGCGCGAGCACATCTCTGTCAGCCAGGCGGGAGTGGCATGCCCTCCGCTCAGAATGACAGTGAGCGCCTCAATCACTGTGGACGGGGGAGACGCTTCTAACATTTGGTGCAGGCGCGCCCGATGAGGGGGGATTAGCCGAGAGGAAGCGCCAGCGCTCGGCACGTGTGGTCGCTGGCTTGTTGACGCAAGGGTCATGGTGCTGGAGGGCAGGGTGCTCTCCCAATGCGCCAGTTGACACAACGCGCAAAGGACGTCGACCATGTACCGGTTGATAATCATCCGTCGCAGTGCAGGTTCACCCAGCAGAGCGACAATGCCAGAAACTGTCTCATCGAGTCTTGAAATGCGCTTCGACAATGCAGCAGTGTCAGCAGGGTTGTCGACCAGCGCCGCCAGAGTCGGGATGTCGAAGGCTGCGCGTGGAGAGACTCGCAGCGATCCAGTCCCGGCCACCCCCGGATCAACGTATGGCAGCACACCCCAACACAGCACGAGCTGGATGGCCAGCGCAGCGGCGCGTGTTTGCTGTAGGCTGAGCTGGCTGATTGTCGACCTGTCATCGAGAACGTTCTCCGACGACGGTGCCGCTGCAGGCTCACCACCGACCGCAGCACCGACCGCAGCGACCGCGACTGCAGCGGCCAATGCGCACCGCACGCCATCGAGTCCGGCGAGCGCGGTCTGGACGGCACTTTGGCACGCATCTTCAGCTGGCGGCGACACGCGTGGACGCGGCGGCAGCGCTTCAGCAGCTGCAGCCACATCGCCCATGGAAGCAGGCATTGCTGGTGTTCCTGTCGTCGTCGTCATCGTCGTCGGACTCTGTGGCAGTAGCGTCGTCAAGAGCGTGTTGAGCACGTCCACTGCAGCCTCGAGCTCGGTGCGGCCGGGTCCAGTCGTCATTTCCAGGTTGCTCTGCGGGTTGGATTCTGAGCGTTCAAGACACACAATCAAAGCCAACAACAACAACAACAACAGCAAGCGAATATAAAAATGCGGGACTGAGGATGGATCACTTTTGTGATTTTGAAACACACCAACACACATCTCTGATCGAGCATCAACAGTCCAGAGGCCGTCCTATCCCCAGCTTCGATCGACGCTACAGCACATCCCTAAAAAATTTTCAATCGAGCGATTTGTATTTCTTCAAAGAGTGCACTCAAAATCAGCTCAAGTTGGATTGACGTGTCTCACTCTAGTTCTCAGCGGTTCTCAGCGTATTCCAAATGTTTCGCATTGTTGCAGCATCGACGCGTTCCCTGCTCTCCTCCTTTTCTTCTTCTTCTACTGCTGCTGCTGCTGCTGCTACTGCTGTGGCTGCTGTTGCACCACAAGCACGACGACCTTGCGTCTGGACTCAAACGCCGTGCGCTGTCGTCGTCCCACCGCATCATCGCGCACTGAGCACAAGCACCACACGTACTTTGAGCCAAATTTCAACTGCTTCCAACCGTGTCGATCTATTGCTCTGTTCTGTGACTAACTTGCATTGATACCACTGTTCTACGATACTCTCTGTCTCTCTGTCTCTCTGAGATTTTTCCAGATTCAGCACTCCAGTCGTCTTCATCCACACAAAGCAGCAGCAACAGCAGCATCAGAATGAGCGCACCGGTCTACATTAACACTGAGAACGCCCCTGCCGCCATCGGCCCTTACTGTCAGTGTCTTTGCGTTTCTTGTCTTGTCGCTCTCTCTCTATCTCTACGTCCGTGTGTCTGGCTGCATTGAGCCAGAGCCGGAAGTGAAGGAGATTCAAAGGGAAAAAGTCACGGTTTTGAGATGCTGGAATTGGAGCGGCTCAGCGTTTCGTGGGATTTGCCCCGCGCTTTTGTTGTGCTCAAGGCATGTCTTGCTGTTGAGAACGCACTGCGAGCGAGACTGTGGGGGACGTGGGGAGAGGGAGGGAGGGACGGGCGGAGGGATAGAAACCGTGACGAGCGCAGAAGACAAGCCGTGAATGATCCGATCGCTCTTGCTCGAAGCCCCTTTCGACTGGGCTCGTCATGCGTGTCTGTGCTTGCTTGGTACTGACTTGTATTTGCTTGTTGTCGTGTGTGTGTGCGTGCCCGTCTGGATGGATGGATGGATGGATGGATGGACAGCCCAAGCCGTCGTCGCGAACGGACTCGTGTTCGTCTCGGGTCAGCTGCATTCGGACCCCAAGACTGGCCAGCTTGTCACTGAGGGCTCTGTTGGCGACAAGACTGTATGTGCAGCGCCCTTGTTTTGTGAATTTCGTTGAACTCTGATTCGGGTGAGACTGAGAGCGTCAACAGGACGAAACTTGTTTGATACTCATTGCAATCCATGTTCAGCGCCTTGTCCTCCAGAACCTCAAGGCCATCCTCGAGGCTTCCAACTCGAGCCTCGCTAACGTCGTCAAGTGCAACGTCTACCTCAAGGACATGAACGACTTTGCCGCCATGAACGAGGTCTACGCCGAAATGTTTGGCACCACCCGTCCCGCCCGCGCCGCCGTCCAGGTCGCCTGCCTTCCCCGCAACGCCACTGTCGAGATTGAGGCCACCGCCGTCGTCAACAAGTAACTGTTCTCAGGCGCTCAGGGGGTTTGTCGTTTTTTTTTTTGGTTGCTTGCGCAAAACAACCGGAGCAAGTTGCAAATTTTTTTTTGGTGTCTTTGCTTTCTGGTTTTGTCAAGCAATACAACGACGGAATCCAAGGCTGCCACTTTCAGCGCCTGCTAGTACATGTCATTGACTGCTGCTTCTTCTGGCCTTGGACTCAGACGGGGGTCGAAGATTCTTTTTGCTTTTGTTTTTTGACGTGCATCTTGAATACGTTGTCGGGCTTTCCGCCGTCGATCCACGCACCCCTTCCCTTCCTGTTGTTGATTTCAACTCAATCTCCTACTGCAAACGAGAACAGCGTCGATCTGTCTCTCTGCCCCCCTCCCCCGCTCCACTCTAGTCCAGTGATCACTCCCACTCGCCTTTTTGCCCTTTCTCTTACAGTAATTTTTTTCCTTCCCCTTCGTTTTTGAATGCTTGATATTCCATGATGCTGGTTCTTACAAAATCTGTGCACAGCCACCTCGACCGAGTTGCTGGCTTTGGTGATCAGATGACAAGCGCTGCTTGTTTTGGATTCTGAGCAGTCGACCTTTTTTTTTTTTACAATCTCTTTTTCTAGGTAATTTTATTTTTGAACAACAAAACAAAAACCAAAAAAAAAAAAAAAAACCACCAAAACAAGGAGCCCGCCTGCCCCTTTTATGTCCCTCCGCTTCTCGCTCGCCACTGTGGCAACGGCGCAGCTGTCTGATGGGACTGAAACGGCACACCACCACCGCGCGCTGTGCCACTCGCGACACCTGCAGCCAAACCCCATTCACGTGAATCAGCAAAAAGAGAGCGGCAGCGTCTCGACACTGGAAAGACGAAAAAAAAAAAAATAAAAAAAAAGAAAAAAAAAAAAAAGAGAGCAAATTGTCGCGTTGCTGCTCCGTCCGATGGCTTGGCCGATCTGTGGTCGCGCTCCTCATGAAGGTGCTCTGTTTCTGCAGCAGCGACTGTGGAGGCGGCTCAACGAGGCCCAACATCGGACTGATGATGGAAAAGACAATGAAAAACCAAAAGAAAAAAGGAAAAAAAAGAATAACTGGCACGACGTTGCTCTTTTTTTTTTTTTTTTTTTTTTTTGTTTCCCCCTCGGTTGACTGGTCTGCTCGTTGGGGCGCATTTTCTTGTCCACGCTGTGGTTCCGGCAGCGACTTGCTCCTTCCCTTTGTGCGCTTGTGTGCGCCGCCCTTCGCGTTTCGTAGCAACCCATCAACGTGAGCGGAACAAGGGGTTTTCTGTCTTTTTTGCCTTCTTTTTTTGTTGTTGTGTTGTGGTTTTTTTGGTGTCTTTTTTTTTTTTTTTTTTTTTACAATTTTTTATTATTTTTTTTCTATTGGAGTTGCATTGGACTTGTATTTTCGGATTTTTCTTTTTTGAGGTTTTTTTTTTTGCCTTCTTTTTTGAGGTTCCCGTTGCTCGGATTTTTCCGCGTCCACTGGGGCACACAGTCGACACCCGCATCACACGCACCCACCGCTTTCATTCATCGCCCTGCGATTCGATTGCGGCAGGTCGAGCGTGAATCCACGCACGGCTGCTCTGTGTTTTGAGGAGCGCGATTCTTTGAGGTTGGCTTTTTTTTTTTTTTTTTTTTTTTTTTTTTTGGCGTTTGGCTTTTTTTTTATTTTATTTTTGTATGTGGCTTTTTGCTTTGCTGTTGGTCCGCCCCCGATCGCGCCACCACAGGCTCTTCTCGTGACAATCGCGCTGTTGCTGTGCGCGCCGAGTATTGCATGGCATTGATTGTCAACCTCAGAGGGCGGGTGGTGGTGGTGGCGGACGAGTGTGCTCTGTTTTTTTTTTTTTTTTTTTTTTTTGGAGGTGAATGACTCCTTGCTCTTATGATTGAGAGCAAATGGTCGGTGTCTGGCAGTCTGCCTGGCTTGGATGTCACATTCCTTGCTGGAGGCTGGAGAAGCAGCAGTTCTTCGACAGTCCCCCTCATCGTTCGTGACTCTGCCAGATAAGGACAAGGCCAATCTATCGCAAACCCGCTGGCTTCCCCTTCGAACCGCATTGCTTTGCATTTCGCTCTTCCTATGATTGTCTTCTTTGGCAGGGCTCCCGCGAGCAGTGACGTTTGATGCTTTTCTCCCCTTCCTTTTCATTGCTACTCGTGAGCTGGATTTGGTTGCTGATCTTTCACGAGTTCTGATACTTTTCTTACATTTCACCACCTCCCCACCTCCATTCCGATCCGGCTCTACGTCGGGGGGCTCACTCTGCATGAGCACAGCAGCAGCAGCCTTTCAATTCGGATGCGGCGTCTCTGATCGTGCGTGCAGTGCACATCTGCTCGTTTTCCTTTTCAATGTTTTTCACTTTTTAATTTTTGCATTACATTGTTTTCGTTGGTGGTTTTTTTTTTTTGATGTGTTGCACACATGATCCGCGCTGGAAAACTCACGCATTGAGCTTGCTTCTACTTCCTTCTGTGTTCTTGTCATCCAAACCACAGCCTTCCCGAGCAGCACCCCACCACCCCAAATCGAACGATACACTCGCTTTGTGGCACCTCAAGAACCGTTTCGACCAGATTCTTGTTTGACTCTCCATTCTGCTCTGTGTAAACTCCCCCCCTTCTTCCAACCCCTCCCCCCTGCGCTCCAAAGCAACAAGCAAAACACCGGAATCAATCATGGGCGGCTGTATGAGCAAGTCCGATTCGGACGCGGCATCCAACAAGATGAGCTACAACATGCAGACCACTGGCTCGCAAGGGTTTGGTCAGCCACAGGCACAGCAACCCATGTTGCCAGGCCAGATCATGGCCCAGCAGTCCCCGATTCACCTGGGACCACAAACACGACAGCCCTCCACACCAAACGGAATGAACCGCGGCGGCCCTCCGCAACAGCAGCAGCAGCAGCAGCAATATCGCCCCAACAGCACGTTGCCCGGCCAGCGACCTGGCGGCCCCGGCGGTCGTGTTGCAGCGCCTGCACCTGCACCGGCGCCCGCACGCCCGCGCTCGCAGGAAGCTAGCAACGTCTTTTGCGCGATTTGGGACTACGAGGCCCGCACTCCGCAGGATCTCAGCTTCAAGAAGGGCGACAAGCTCAAGATTGTCAACAACAACGACGGCGACTGGTGGCAAGCCCAGTCGCTCGCCACTGGCCGTCTCGGCTACATTCCATCCAATTATGTGGCTCCGATCGAGTCACTGCAAAGCGAGGAATGGTACCACGGCAAGATTCGTCGCGGCGAGGCAGAGAAGATTCTGCTCGAGCTCGGCAAGAACGGCTCGTACCTGCTGCGCGATTCCGAGTCCAAGCCCGGCGACTTTTCCCTCTCGGTGCGCGACGGCCAGTCCGTCAAGCACTACCGCATTCGAACACTGGACGAAGGCGGCTACTTTATTTCCCTCCGCACCACCTTTGCCACTCTCAACGACCTCGTTGCTCACTACTCTCGAGATGCCGACGGTCTCTGCTGCGCGCTCGTTGCCCCGTGCAGCCACGCCGACAAGCCCGAGACACCCGATCTTGCCTTCAACCTCAAGGACGAGTGGGAAATTCCGCGCACCCAGATCCAGCTCCGAAAACAGCTTGGTGCCGGTCAGTTCGGCGAGGTGTGGCAGGGCATCTGGAACAACACCACCCAGGTCGCCGTCAAGACGCTCAAGCCCGGCTCCATGTCCCCGGCCGATTTCCTCAAGGAGGCCGCCGTCATGAAGAAGCTGCGCCACCCCAAGCTTGTGCAGTTGTACGCTGTCTGCACGGACAAGGAGCCCATCTTTATCATCACCGAGCTCATGACGAACGGCAGTTTGCTCGACTACCTCCGCGAGAAGGGCCCCAATCTTAAGATTCCCCAGCTCATCGACATGTCTTCCCAAGTCGCTCAAGGCATGGCCTATCTCGAATCTCAAGCCTTCATTCATCGCGATCTTGCCGCGCGCAACATTCTTGTCGGCCAGAACAACATGTGCAAGGTGAGTTTTTGTTCTGCTTTTTTTTTTCTGAACAGGGGTTTCTCTGTCGTCTGTCGTCTGTCGTCTGTCGTCTGTCGTCTGTCGCGTTCTTGTTTCCATCGGTTGCCGGTTGCTTCTGGTCTCTCACACACATGTACATGCATACCTTTTTCTCGCAAACACAGGTGGCCGATTTCGGTCTCGCTCGCGTCATTTCGGAAGACAACTACACTCCTCAAGAAGGCACCAAGTTCCCCATCAAGTGGACTGCGCCTGAGGCTGCTCTGTACAGCCGCTTCTCGATCAAGTCGGACGTTTGGTCTTTCGGGTAACGCGACGCTAGTTTTATTGTTTCTGTGTGTTTTCACTATTTTGCGAATGATTGTCTGACCTTTTTTTTTTCTCCCGCCCCCTTCTCTTGCTTGTCTGGGCCTCTTTTTTCCCATCTTGACAGCATTCTGTTGACGGAACTTGTCACCTACGGCCGCATTCCCTACCCTGGCATGACCAACGCCGACGTGCTTGCTCAGCTCGAGAAGGGCTACCGCATGCCCAACCCGCAAGGCTGCCCGCCCACTCTGTACCAGATCATGTATGACTGCTGGAAGGCAAACCCCGACGACCGCCCTACTTTCGAGTCCCTGCAGTACCGATTGGAAGACTTGATTGTCAACAGCGCTGGCGAGTACCACGAGGCCTCGCGAGTTCGTTAATTATGGTGATTTTATTGTGGCCTTGTTTTTTCGCACGCCATTCTTTTCTCTCCTCCTTCTACTCTGTCAGAACCAGATGGCCCTCTGTCTCGGTCAGCACACCCGACAGTCAATCGCGCTGTTCTGTTCTCGATTGCTGCTTTGGGCTGTGGTTTTCTGGAGCATTCTTTGCGTTTGACACGCAAGTTTTCTCCTTTATTCTTTCTCAGAAGTGTGTCGATCACCCTTTCCTCCCCCCACCGTCTCCCAAAACCTCCTTTATGTCTTTTGCTCTTCTTTTGTCTCTTTTTGTTCTCGCCCTCATGAACATTTCGAAACAAGTTTTTCTCCTGTTTCCTCTCGATCGTTCCGCGTTGTGTGGGATTTATTCTTTGCTCCGTTGTGTTTGGTTGCTGGTTTTTCTATTGTGACAGTTTGTTGTTGTAAACATCAGTGTGTTATGCTTTGTGTGCTTTGTGTTTGTCGTGTTTTTGTATTTTGTTGTGTTTTCAATTTCCACCTGTTTTTTTTTTCCCTTCCCCTACCTGTACATTCTCATTCCATTTCTCATCAAATATCTAAACAAGGGAGAATATGTTTGTGCAGTCCTCTCTTTCGTCAACATGAGTGAAGGGGATTTGCCAATGGCGTTTGGCAGCACGCCTCGAGGCGGGCACCGAAGTCATCCTGTCCCGCAACATCCAAACCACGGCAATCCGCAATCTCCATTCCACCACCAACCATACCACCGCGGTGGCCACGGTGGTCATCATGGCCATGGCGGTGGTGGCGGTGGTCATCGCGGAGGAGGTCAACGAGGAGGATATCAGCGAGGAGGGGGATTTCACCGAGGGGGTGGCAACAACAACCATTACCCAGCGCACTCTGGGCCGCATCGCGGTGGCTTTGACGGTGGATTTATGCCACAGCATCAACATCAACAACAACATCAACATCACGGTTTTCACCGCGGCAGCGGCGGTCGGGTAAGGCACATTCGCAAACCAAAGGGTTTTCGCGTTTCAGACACTCACTGTTGATGCTGGCAGGGCGGTCGCGGCGGGCATCGTGGCGGCCATTCTGCCGATGCTAGATTGGACATTCGTGCATACTACAAGCCGAGCTTTTTGGAAAACCCTTGGGCTCAGCTGGAGGACAATCTTCGATTTCCACATGCGTTTGAAACAATCCGCGGCACTGGGCATCCTGTTCCAGTAGATATGGCCAGCGACAATGGTGCTTCTGCTGATGCCTCAAGTCCTATCGTTAGTAATGTGCACCCGGCTGTGGACACTGCGGTCGACACAAGTAGTTAGACGTGTGGAGGCTGGAGTGTTTCAGAAACGTTGTTTTTTTTTTTTTTTTTTTTTTTTTTTGTTTGACAAAAAAGTCTTGTTGGTTGTACAAAATGTTGTATCTTTTGTGCTTGGCAATAATAACAACGCCAAGCGAACATTACGAAGGGTGAAATCTCCACAAGCCCTCCAAAAAACAGGACCTTGAACAGTGCATTTACTTGGAGAAGAGCTGGCCAGACTCCTCGAGCACGCTGGCAATCTTGCGGATGGCATTGTAGAAGGCAGCAGTACGGTAGTCGCAGTCCTACAGAGGGAGGGGGTAGCCGTTCAAGAAGAAGTGAACAAAGAAGGAACAAACGAACAAACAAACAAGAAAAAAAAAAAAAAAGTCAGTCAAACTCAAAACTCCCCTCCTCCAGTTTTCGTTTTTGGGGCCGTTTTCTCACCTTCTTGAGGGCAGTAACGCGGGTCTCCATGCAGGCGTTGATCATGGTGTCCTCAAGACCAGAGTAGACGAGGTCGGCCTCGTTAGCTCCGTGGATGATGAGGCGACGCTCGCCAGCAGAGAGCTTGCGGTTGGAGGTCTCCTCGATAATCTCGACGAGCTTGCTCTTGCTGTGCTCCTCCCACTTCTTGTTGAGACGGCCAAAGCGGACGTGCGAGAGGTTCTTGAGCCACTCAAAGTAGGACACGGTGACACCACCGGCGTTGAGGAGCATGTCGGGAATGATGATGGTGCCCTTGGCCGAGAGAATGTCATGGCCGTTGGGGGTGAGCGGGCCGTTGGCAGCCTCGCCGACAATCTTGGCACGAATGTTGGGGGCGTTGCCCTTGTGGATTTGGCGCTCGGAGGCGGCGGGGATGAGAATGTCGCACTCAATCTCGAGAACCTCAACACCTTCGGGGATGAAGGTGTCCTTGGAGTAGTTCTGGAAGGACTTGTTGGCCTTGAAGTAGGTCATGGCGTCCTCGTCGTCAATGCCGTTGGGGTTGTGGATGGCGCCGTTGTACTCGCCAATGGCCACAATGAAGCCGCCGTACGCGGTGAGGAAGCGATCCGAGTCGTAGCACGCCGTTACCAACACCCTGGATGACAAAGCGCTTGCCCTTGATGCCCTCGGTGAGGCCAGTCTTCTTCTGGACCTCCTCGTAGGTGAGGAACTCGCGAATGCCATAGTAGACACCGAGACCGGTGGCCTCGTTGCGGCCACGGACACCACCCTGGGTGAGGGGCTTGCCAGTAACGCAAGCAAGAGCGTCAACGTCGCTCGAGTTGAACTGCTGGTACGTGTCCTTGATCCAGGTCATCTCGCGACCGCCAGTGCCCATGTCGGGGGCGGGGACGTCAATGCCGGGGCCAATAAAGTTCTTCTGGCAGAGCTCCATGGTGAAGCGACGGGTGATGCGCTCGAGCTGGTCGACCGTGTACTTCTTGGGGTCGATGCAAATGCCACCCTTGGCACCGCCGAACGGCACATCGACGACGGCGCACTTGTAGGTCATGAGCGCGGCGAGCGCCTCAACCTCCTGCAGATCGACCTCGGGCGAGTAGCGGATGCCACCCTTGACCGGGGAGCGGTGGCGCGAGTGGTGGGCACGGTAGGCGTGGATGACCTCGTAGTCGCCGGTGGCCGTCTCCATCGGGAAGGAGACACGGAGCACGGCGTCGACCGTCTTCATGCTGTGCAGCTGGCCGGGCTTGATCTCAGTGTGGATCTGAGCGGCGCGGTCAAAGAACATTTGCGAGCACTGCAAAAAGTTGGGCTCCGACTCCTTTGCCTCAGTGTACATGAGCGACTTGGTGACATATGCGCGCGTTGGCTGGTGGGACTGGCGGGTCTGTGGGATATGTCGACGAATGAGGATGGTGAGTGACAAAAGAAAGAAAAAAAAAAAAAGGAAAAAAAGAAACCGGTGATGTTTTGTTCAAAGTGTTTTCAATTCAAGCACATTGGTTTGATTTTTTTTTTCTTTCTTGGCGGTGAAGGGCAAGAATACAAGTCATTATCGACGTAAAAAACAAAGCCTCACACTGAGCTGAGCACGATGCTGGATTGACCTTTGTTTTCTCAATCCATCGCATCTCTCGCGCTCGCTCGCTCGAATCATCCCCCCCTCAATCCTTCGCCTTCGTGCATGAGATGGCACGAGAATGTCCCTCCCTTGTTTTGCCTCAAAACACAGCGACCACGCACAGCGATCCAATCGCCGGATTTGGTCAAACCCACGAAGGGAAAAAAAAAAAAAAAAAAAAAAACAGGTTTGAAAAAAAATCATAAAAAAATCAAAAGAAGGTCGAAAAACAAAATCCTGACAAGTTTGGAAAGCAGAGAAGCACGCAAACACACACAGAGAGGAAGCATCGATCAATCCAGCGCTGGGAAGCAGCGAGAACGACGAACGCCGCACCGAGGAAGAAGAAACACGCAGTGAACCGAAACAAAAAGAAAAAAAAATAATGCGTAAAAAACCGTTTTTTTTTTTTTTTTTTGGAGATGAGAGTGTTTGCGAGGCCAGCGCGTGGCTGCCACGCAAGCGAGCGAGTGCGTAGACACACCATTCGGTGCGTCTTGAAGCCGCTCGTCCGATGTGCTAAGCCGCGACGCAGCAGGAGCAGAGGGCAGCGATCAACGAAGGCGAATAAAAAAGCCAATGGGAATGCGTTGAGCTTGCACAGTCACGGCTCGTTTTTTTTTTTTCCCACTTTTTTTTTTTTCCCCGCCATCGGCCACGCTGCCGAAAACTGCCGACACTTTCCCCTCCTAAGCAATCTCCAAAGCAAACGCACTCAGAGGGAGGACGACAGACGGAAGCAACGGAATCAAACAGAGAAAGCGAAAGTGTGCAAAGATGCGTTTTTGCGCAGTCACATCAAAAAAAAAAAAAAAAAAAAAAAGCAGATGCGTGGATTTTTCATGTTGCCTCGCTTTTTTTCGTTCTCACACTCTTTGCATCTGCATCTGCATCCTCATCGTCAGACTACGTGCGATCGTCGTGTCATGTTGCTTTCGTTGTGTGAGTTGCGTCGCTTTATTTTGTTTGGCTTTCGTTTGTTTGGTTGGGTTTGAAATGCACTGAGCGCAATCAAACACCAATGGGGTGAAACGCACACACAGTCGCATCTCGCATCAAGCACGCACGCACTTTTGCCACTGCTGCCAAATGTGCGAGCTTTTACATTGTAGGGGGAAACTTCAAAAAGAGAAAAAGCAAAAGCAAAAACCAGTACTCACAGCAGCGCGAGCAGCGACTTGGACGGCAGACGAGCGAAGAGCAGCAAACATGGCTGTGGATGTGATCAAAAAATAAACAAATAATAAGACTGAGAGAGTGATTTTTGGAAGATGGTTGGAATAAGAAGCCTGATGGTTGGATGGCTGGATGGCTGGATGGCTGGATGGCTGGATGGTGTGAGAGAGAGCTGGGGATCTGGGATCCTGTCGACCAACTGCGCAAAAATTGTAGGACGAAGGGCTCAACTGAGCTCCGTCCTTCTTCGTCGATCGGGTTTCCGGGTTGTTCATTTGGTTTCAGTATGGTTGATGAGTTACTTTCCTTTGTTTGTCGTGCTTTGTTGAATGCAAATCAGGGTGACCGAACAGAACCACAAGAAACAAAGAAAAAAGGAAGGAACTGGCCAACGTTTTCCAACTCCAACTCCAACCCCTTCCCCTCCTCCACCCCAGCATCGGAATAACGAGTCACACTGCGATGGCTCGTATTGGAGAATAAAATCCAATATGAGCTCACTTGAGCAAGGGGAAGTCGAGAAGGCAAGTTCACTCTTCTTTGTCTCTTTTTGTTCTTTTTTCCTCTCCTCCCCTCATTCGCTTCCTTTGTTGTTGGATTCTTTGTTCTTTTCTTGTCTCGTTTTCAGTGTGTGTTGTGTGCGTGCGTGTGTGTGTGTGTCTCTCTCTCTGTTGTCTGTGATCGAGCAACACAACGGAAAGGAAAGCAAAACCGATTCACAATGGAGACGACTCTGCCGTCCCTGCCTGACAATGCTGCTGTAAGTATTCAGTTCAGTCTTAGGAGAGAAAGCGAGCGATCGAGCACATTGCAAGCAACGACGCCAGCGAGAGTGAGAGCGAGTGAGAGAGAGAGTGAGAGAAGGAGAGTGAGCGAGAAGATGAAGAAGCTCTGACGTCCTCTTCCATCACACACACACACAGAGCATGGCGTCAACGACCAAGCGCACAGCAGCAGACATGGACACGGACGACGAGCCAATCCACATCGCAGGAGGACCGGACGAAGGCGCCGTACAAGCGTCGAACAGCGGTGCTCAACAGGCATTGCCGCCTTCCGTTCACGCTGATGCTGATGCTTCTACGACGACATTGAACAATGGTGGGCAACCGCACGCAAAGCGATTTGGCATGGATGACAACGACAGTCCTGTGGCGCTGCCAGTCCAAGGCGGAGACACGACGAGCAGCAGTAGCGGTCGCTCGGCCGACACAGTCACTGTCGTGGATGAAGACCCGAGCAGCGAGGACGGCGAAGTCACAGTCAAGTCAAGTCGACCGCGCGCCATTCTGATTGACGACGAGGTGGACGATGACGTGCGGCTCGGCGACAAAGCAGGAGCACCGTCAGGAGCAGCGGCACCACAGGAAGGGCTGCTGCCACTCCCTGCCCAACCGCAGCAGCAGCAGCAGCAGGCTCCTGCGTGGCTCAGTGCTCCGTACTATCCACCTGGCGCGGGTCACTGGAACTACCAGCAGATGCAGCAGCAACAGCAGCATCAGCGCCAGGCACAACACTACTACCAAAATCCACACCTGTACCAAGGCGTGCCGCCACCGCCCTTGCCACCGCCGTTGCCACCAATACCGCCAGGATACATGCATCAAGCAGCACCACCGCAGCATGGACCGCGTCGGCAAGCACTCATCAACGAACTGGTCCGATGGAGCGTTTCTGTCATCAATGACTGCGAGGAAAAAGCCAAGCAAAGGCTTTCCAAAGCCGATGTCGCAGACCAGGCCTCCATCTACAACCTGCTCGATGAGTTGAGCCGCAACAAGGCGGCTTTCGCGGCCAAAGTCCGGGAGCTCTCCGATCTCGAGCTGAATGCAATCAAGACGCGCTCCAACGCCAACACAAAAACTGGCACGGAACGCTACCACTTGATTCAATCCGTGGTTCAAAACAGAGCCTTCACAACCTCCATGGTTGCTCCTGTCGGGCCTTATGGCCCCAGAGGCGGAGGCTACCCATATCCGCATCACCTCCCCAATCCAAACCTGCTGCATCGAGGAGGTGCGCAGCCTCAGTGGCAAGCTCGGCCACGCTCCAATGCTGGCGGGCAGCTTCCGGGCGAAATCAATCGGCACCGTGCCTTGTTGGGCACGCCCTTGGAGAATCCCCTCTTCCGGCATCGCGCGAACATGACTCAGAGCGACGGCCAGCCGGCACCAGCGGGGCTGTTCGAGTACGCGCCGCTCATGCCTGCCTTCCGCGCGGTCGAAATTGCGCCAGCGGACTTGCCTAAAATCATGGACGCCATCATGCTCAAAGACCACAATTTCGACACAATGCCGGAGGCGGAACCCCCGGCGGGCTTGAAAACGACCCTTTTGCGCTACCAACTGCAAGGTCTTCACTGGATGATGGGCCAAGAAAACCCAGACAAGCTGAAAAAAGATGCACCGTCTCTGTTCAACTCTGACGGCGAAGGCAAGGACGATGCAGCGCCATTTCGGGGCGGTCTGCTTGCCGACGATATGGGTTTGGGCAAAACAGTGCAGTCGCTTGCCCTGATGCTGAGTGATGATGCCGCACGACCACGCTCTTCGCCGACACTGATTGTCTGTCCTCTCTCCGTTGTTGGAAACTGGGAAAGCCAGATTGCGGTGCGTGACCCCGATACTTGTTGTTATTCGTTTTGGCAGTTGTTGTTTTTGGTGTGTCACTCACTCGTTTTGCGATGGTGCTGCTTCTACTTGCGATGCTATCTGTTTCTTGTGGCAGAAACACGCGCCCGGGAAGCTGACGGTGCGCATTTACCACGGCCCTGATCGTGCCAAGCAGCACGCAGCTTTCCGGAATGCCGACGTGGTTGTGACCACGTACGCACTGGTTGGAAACGAATGGGATTTGCACATCAGGAACCCGTCCACCGAGTCTTTTTTGCACACGGTTCAATGGTGGCGGTGAGTTGGATGGGTTTTCTCTTTATTTCTTGGGCTGGAGATTCTGTGACTGACTTGCCATATCTTCCATTCCTTCTGTTGTTGTTGTTGTTGTTGTTGCGTCTCCACAGTGTGATCTTGGATGAGGCACACACCATCCGGACAATCAAAACGAAAATGGCCATCGGCTGCTGCCAGCTTCCAGGCGCGCGGCGCTGGTGCTTGACTGGTACCCCTATTCAAAATTCTGTACGTTTGCCATTGTGACTTGCACCCCTTTTGCCGAACATTGACTCACATATCGCTTTCTACTTGTTGTACCTGTCAGTTGAATGATCTGTTCGCGTTGGTTCATTTCATGCGCATTCCGCACTTTTCCCAATCCCACATCTGGCAAAGCATGTTTGGAAAGCGTGCCCCACGAAGCCAATCCAACCAAGAAGCTCTTCAGGTGCGTATCCCCCCCCTCCCTTTTTTTGTTGATTCAAAAGTTTTGTCTGATCGCAGGTGTTGCACTGCTGACTGTTGGACCGATTTCCACCGCGTTGCAGGGACTGATTAGCAACATTTGCCTGAGGCGCACCAAAGATTTGAAAGTCAACGGCAAACCCATCATCGAGCTTCCAGACAGGAAGGTCTTCTCGGACGAAGTCGATTTTTCGCCGGAAGATCGCGCCAAGTACCGCGAGCTTAGCGAGCAAACATTCAAAGAGTTGCAGCGTTTGATGGCCGATGTGGTAATGCTTTGTTTTGTTTTTGGGTTTTGTTTTTGGGTATTGCGGTTGTAGTGGTCTGGTCAATGTGCGTGTATGCTAAACAATCGCCGCCTCCCACAAACGACTTTGCAGGGAAAACACTACATGAGCATCCTGGAACTGCTGTTGCGCCTGCGACAGTTTTGTGACCACCCTTCGCTGGTCGACTCGGTCATGAACTGGGACAACAAAGGCGAATCAACTGCCGCGCGACTTGATGCATTCATTGATTCCGGCAACCTCGTGGAATGCATGCAGTGCGACGAGCCCGTGGTATCGGCCTACCTCACTTCTTGCGGCCACCTGTTTTGCAACAAGTGCACCGACTTGGCAGTGGTATGTCTTTTTTGTTTGCATGACATGACCCGCTAATTCTTCCTTCTTCCCCTTTTGCAGTTGTAGCCTGACTCTGTTGTCCTCCTTCTTTATCGACAACGCAGAAACGTGCGCGGTGCCATTTTTGCGAAAGCAAAATCACTGAAGCGGACGTCAAGGAGCATCGTGCCGCGCCAGTTGACCAGGACGATGACGACGAGGAGGTGGTCATTTTGGCTTCCTCGCGATTGTCGTCTGCTACGTCGTCGTCTTTCTCCGAGCCATCCACCCCGGCCGCGCGCTCAACCCTATCCAATGCAAGGTCGAGTGACGCTGTTCCCTTCTACTCGGCGCCGTCCTCGGCCGCAGTATCCGTAGCTTCCTCCGCTGCAGGGTCGCTTTCAAGCACTCCTATTCCCACTGCACTTACACCGACGTTTCAGGCCCAGGAAACCTTGCAACCTGACACTTCGATCGACGAGCCAACCGCGGATGTTGGTGATGATGCCGAGCCTGTCATCAACGTTCGCTCCTCGCGCAAGCGGTATCAGCAAATCTCGGACGACGAGGACGAAGATGTTGCCCCTGCCACGGCTTATCCAGCCGTGTCTTCCACCTCTGGTGACGAGCCAGGCTCTCGGCACGTCTCGTTTTTGCGACAGGTAGAGGTGTAGAATGGCTGATGTTTTGAACAACGAGTGGTTTTGTTGATTGTTTGTGTTTGGCTTCCATGTTTGACCCTTTTGTGGCTTCATCTGCTTTGCGCAGACCTATCCAACTCCACTGAGCTGCAAGATGGTACGACTCTTGCAAATCCTGGAAGAGACGAGAAACACCGACTCCACAATCAAGACGGTCGTGTTCTCTCAATGGACATCAATGCTGGATCTGCTTGAGGTATGCGTTGATGAGGCCGATTGACAACTCGTTCCACCTTTCTTTTTTTGGCTGGCCATCTTCTTCATTGACCACTGTTGTTTGATGTTTTGCTTTTGTACTAGCAACCTCTCGCCATCAACAAGTTCCAATTCACTCGTCTTGACGGCCGGATGGGTCGCAGGCAGCGCGAGAAGGCTTTGCAGGCGTTTGACTCTGATCCTGCAGTCACTGTCTTTTTGATTTCGCTCAAGTGTGGTTCCCTCGGTTTGAACCTGACCGCTGGCAGCCAGGTACGCCTCGAAGATTTCAAAACCTCGCAGATGGCTTTTTTTTTTCGCGCTTTTTTTTTTTTTTTTTTTTTTTTGGATGCCGAATCCGCTGGAACTTTCTGTCCCTCCCGTTTCTTTCTCTCTCACTCTCACTTACTTGCTCACGCTCTGTAGGTGGTGGTGCTCGATCCATGGTGGTGCCCGAGTGCCGAAGACCAAGCAGTCGATCGTGTTTACCGGCTCGGACAGATGCGCCCCGTTGTTGTTCGGTCGATTTTTGTGCGCGACACTGTCGAAGAAAGCGTCCTGAAGCTGCAGCAAGCCAAGCGCGACCTGATGCAGTCGACCTTTGCCTCCAAAGAAGAGGCGGCGCGTCGGAACAAGGCGCCGGGTCACAACGTCAACTTTTTGTTCAAGCATCTCGAAAAGGCTCGTGAGCAGGACAAGGCGGACAGGTCTGTAGAAATTGTAGTGTAGCCAATGTCGTGGCTTGGTCCTTCTCGCCGGAATTTTGTACTTTGCCAGAATTTGTACTTTTAGCAAAAAATTGGCTGTAATCTTGAGCAAAGCGTGACACAAGCCGAAGCGAAGGACAATGGCAAACAACACACCACCACCAACAACAACACCACCACCAACAACACCACAACGAAAAAAAAAATAATTCAAATCCTCAAACTCAATGGCACACTACTGCAGATCGGATGTAGCGCGGGGCCGGTTGCCAGTTGTTGTGGTCACGTCGCTGACGGGCGTTTCCAGAAAGTAGAAGCGCGTTTCGCTGCCACGTTGTTTGGAGCGCAGTTGATCGGCGGCTCGCACACGGCCAAGCGCTGACGGCTTGGCTGCCGCAACGACGCTAATCTCGGGAACGACCGCCGTTGGAGCAACCACCTGGTCTTCGGCCTCGAGAGCCAAGGATTCGTCGGCCTCCTCATCCTCAAGGTCTGCAGGCTCGTCCTCGTCCAAACGCTGCAGGAGATACTGCACCTCGACCTTTTTGGTGAGCGGAATAATCCACTTTTCGTACAGCTCGACAACCAGCGCGGGGTTGATTTTGCTGTGCGACGAGTCGGATGCGAGGTTGTCGACGTCCTGACCGTACATTTTGGCCTTGTTGTGCAAGCGAGTGAGCAATTTTCGCTCGACTTCCTTGTTGGTGAGCAGCGCCATGAGGCCATCGGCGTTTCCCTCGCGAATCAGCCGGGTATACTCGTCGGTGTGCTTTGGGTCGGAGAACTTGGCTTCGGCGATAAACTTGCCATAGTGGATGCGGCGGGACACGGCTTGGAGGCATTGGACGTCCAATGTTGCCGAGGATCCGTAGTTTGTGTCATCTCCCGACTGGCACAGGGCTGGCACAAGCTGTTCAATGTACATCTGCTCAGAAAAAGTGGGACAAAATGGGACAAAGTTGGTTGGATCTGGTTGGCATGGTTTGCGTTTTATCAAACCTGGTCTCGCAACATGTTACCAACCTCCTTGATCTGCGCATTCACGTTAATCTTGTTTGGCTTCAGCACGGATGGAAAGTCCAGCGCTTCAAGCACGGGCTCCGGCAGGTTGTCGAAGAACGGATTTTCATCGGGGCTGTCCAAAGCCATACAACGCACAAATCAACAACGTCAACAACCTCAGCAGCCTCAACACAATCGAATACTACTCTGCGAGATGTAGTTGCGTGTCCATTCCTTACCTGGTGTAGCGACGGACGCTTGCTAAAACCGATCACACAGCCAACAACAACAATGCCATTTCCCAGTAAGTCAACCATCATCAAGCCAAAATTTCAAGCATCTTCTTGTATTTCATTGTTACCATGCAGTTTCTCCGTTTCATGGAGGAAGTAATCCAGGAACGAAGGCACGGCTGGCGATGACGTCGTTGCCACCACAGTCGCTGTGGCGAGCGAGGTGGTGGAGTGCTCGGTCCGAGTCTGTGCCTGCTGCTTGACCGATGACGACGACGACGACGGTGATACACTTGATAGACCCGATTGCTGCGCTTGCGGACGGCGGAACGAGAAGGCGCCCGAGCGGTAGACGTTCGGGTTGTGCTTGAACTGGGCGCGTTCAATCAAGCCTGACCCAATTCAAGTTCCCACACGTCCAAGCAACAGTCATGGATGTACATCACAAGTCATTCCCAAGATGATCAAGTCAGCGAACGCTCCCCAAAAATAAGTCAGCCGAGTCAAATTCAGGGGTCAAATTCGACGGTCAAATTCGGTCGTGACACGCTTTCGACTTGCCAAAGATGATGGTGTCCTCCATGCGCATCAGAGCAGCACGGAGTCTGTCGAGACTGAGCGCTTCATCGGCGAAAAAGTTCATGGGGGAATTCGGTGGAGAGAGGTTCGCTTGGAGGGTGAATCAGGACTGAGCGGACGATGAAATTCAATTTGGACTGAGTTGGATCAGAATTCATGTGCATGCTCAGACATCATGGATTCAGATCGTTTCGATGTTTCATGATCGTCAGATGGTAGAGATGACGCCATTCATCGGCGTGACGCTCGAGTAAAAGTAATAAACATACAAAAGCTGTATTTGTATTTGTACTGTATTAGGGATTAAAAGCCATCATCCACGGGCGCAGAAGACTTGGGCTTGGGCACAATCTTGATAAATATAACCATCCACGTGAACACGACAATAATACCAATCAACGCTAGCCAGATCCAACACGAACCCCATTTGGTGCGTTTGATTTGCTCGGAAAGCCGAGCATTCTCGACCTTGAGTTTACTCAAGCTACGATTTGCTATGGCCTCAGTGGCGTCCAATGCGAGATTATCCTTTTGCACAATGCCGAGTGCAGCGCGGGCTTGTTGCTTGAGCGAGGCGGCCATCACCAGCATTTCGTCGGTGAGCTGGTCTTGCACTTGCCGGTGGTGCTGCAGCAGCACATCGACAGCATCCACCTTGGATGCGTTATTGTCTGTAGGTGGTTGTATTGCTCCAGGGCTGTAGTGGGAATAGAGGGTGAGCAAGCAATAGCGGCGAGGTGTGCTTCACACACGACCGACTGCACTCGTGCAAGCAGACAAAAGCAGCAACGAGAAATATGGCACCTTTTACGAACAAACCCAAGTAATGCTGGAGCCGTAGCACTTGAAATCTCTGTACACGTGAAACGAAAGCAAGTCAGAGAAGAATAGTCCAGTCATGAAGCACGCGTTTGCCTACCGGAGGTCGTCGGGGTTGCTAGTAGGCTGGATCCGCCATCTGTACGCACGGTGGGGTAGTTGGACGGCTACAAAAAGTGCGAATGCCAACCCACGACGTAGTCAGAGATTTGTCGCAGCACAAATGGGTGCTGAGATTGGCAATTGCAACGGCTTACCGCTGGTGCCAATGCAATCCGATCAGCGTTATCGGGCTGTGTGAGAGCTTGCAGTTGGTCAATGCGTCTTGCATATCCAGCAAATACGTTACTACAAAATCCAATGACGTTCAGTGAGCAGGTGCTGGGTTGTGGATTGAAACTTGTTCATGGCGCCAAAACCAAGTCCAACCACAGCTTTCCCTTCCCCTCCCCCTTTCTCTCTACCCACAACTTACTCGCTGTTATTGAGCAACAAGCTCCGTGCGCTTTTCCCAGCGGCGACTGCGCTTGGGGTGGTCTTTTTGGATGACACGCTGGCAAGCGATGACGACTCGACTTGCTGTCCACTGAGCTCCTCGAGCATCTTCCAGAGTTCGCGCACATACTATCCAAAAGAAACCACGAGTGAGATGAAATGAGATAGGGGGGGGGGGAGGCACTCCAATGCAGTCGGTGTCTCTGTTCGCAAACCTCTTCAAAGCGGTAGAGCTGGGAGCCCTGCGTCCGAAGCTGCTCGCGGTCACCGCTGGCCATGGCCTCGCATCGGTGCAGCAATCGCACGAGGTTGATCTCGGCGCGTGACTGGGCGGTGGTCGGAGTGGATGTACCTGCAATGGCGGCCATTGATTGACCGAGAATGGAAGAATTGAACAAAGATTGACGACTGAGCGTCGAACCCGCTGAGATGCCGAGTTTGGCTTTATACTGTTCTCGAACAGTCAAGTCGCCTTGCTTCGAGGTTTGGTGGGCATTTCTACGTGGGAATGAGAAAAACAAACAAAAAAACAAAAAACGACGACAACAGCATGTCCTCCTCAGAAGCCATAGTAGGGTCCCTTGTTTTGAACTTTTTATTTGTTCGTTGCCAAAAAGGCCATGATGTACCTGCGCCAGTCATTGAATCTCTGCTTTGGTGCGTACTATTGTTGGTGCTCGAGCTTGAAGGTGGCACGAACGGCGACCTTGATCTGGAGCGTTGTGGCTTGAGCTTGAAGAGGGGATGGCGCCTGCTGGAGATGCCGCGTTCTGCCCATGGTGGATGATGAAGTGTGATTGACGAGCGGACGAGCAGGGAGGGGTGGGGAAAGCAGTGACATGGGTCGGACGAGTGGAACAGAGAGAGAGAACGAGTCTCGTCGTCCCAGCGAGTGGCGTCGATGACGATGACTGATGCCGTTGTTGGAGCAGAGGATGAGGACAACATGCAAGCGGGAACCGCGGCACAGAGTGAGACCGAGAGACAGGGAGTGAGGGAGAGAGAGGGGCGGGGAGATCTCGGAATGTGGCGAATCACAACAGCAGCGAGACAGAACAGAGAGAGAGACAGTCAGAGCGTGTCGCGCAAGATCACTCAGTGGGAGACAAAGTGTTTGAGCGAAGGGAAGGGAAGCGAGTTGGGGTTAGATTGGCAGAAGGAGAGCGAATGAGATTCGGAATGAGAGAGAGAGAGAGAGAGAGGTGAATTTTGAGCGACTGTGTGCAACAGCGTTCCAGTGGCGCAACGCAGACGCAGCAGCAGAGCGATGGAGTACTCTGTTTCCCATTATTCGCTAGACTCGTGGCATCCCCCCTCGCTTGGGAATCGCCACCGCCACCCCCTCAAAAGACACGAACGAACGCTCACAAACACTGACCAAAGAAAAAAAAAAAAAAAAAAAAAAAAACGAAAAAAAAACATCCCAAACAAAACAAACAAATATCCAAAAACAACGTTTCATTCGCTTTGTATTGTTTGTTGCTGTAGTTTGTCGCTGCCATTGCACGAGGAGCAGGATGGTCGGGTGGTTGTCAGCCTTCATTGTCGTGACTTTGTGGGGAGCCCACCGAGATTACGGGTGTTTTGGGAGGACCATGGTTGAGCTGAAATGCATTTGGGTTTGACAGGAGGCGGGGAACACAACAGGGGATTATTTCCTGTGCTGTGCTGTGTGCTGTGCTGTGCTAGGAGAGTATTCATCCACCTGAAAACACAAAGGGGGATTATTGGATATCGAGTCATTGAGTGGAAGGGCAATATCGCGCGCGAGCGAACCTCCTACTGGGTTTGGCGATGAATTGCCGAACCCGTCCATTTCCCCCGATGTTGAGCGTTTTTGAAGCTGTGGCAGAAAATATCGCGTGAGGAAGAACGAAACATCCAGCAAAAACACCACTTCGCTCACTTTGCGTACATCATACCGACAACACAAAACCCACCGAACACCATTCGAATACTCCCCGAGCTGCATTTAATGCAGCCGGATGTGGAAATGCGGCAGGCTCACTTTTCATTTTTCATTCTTGTTCTCATTCTCGTTCTGTCGCCCAAAAACAACTTTGGCCATCATGCTGCAATCAATGTCGCTTCGCCAAGCAGACAACGTCTCCTTCGAGTTCAACGACTGCCTCGGCTTGCAAGCGCAGACAACCGTAGCCACTTTCACCAGCATGGCACAGCTCGACGAGACCACCTCTCCGATTATTGACTACGAGTCGTTCAACGCCGTCAAGGAATGCGACGATGACCCTTCCTTCCTCGAGTCCATTGTCAACGACTACATTGAGCAACTCGAGTCCAAGAAGGTCGAGCTCTTCGACTTGCAGTACGTTCTTTTGACTGTTTGCTTTTTTGTTTGTGGTGCATATTTTTGTGTGCGTTTTTTTTATTTGTTGTTGATTTCTTATCGTGTAACACGCCCGAACGTTGAAATGTTTGGAGCTTTTGTGACTCACCTTTTGTCCTTTTTCTTGTATTTTGCTTCCACTTTGTTTGCTTGAACTGTCACCCTGCCAGTCAAAAGGGCGAGCTGCAGCAGTTCTCCCAGGTTGCCCATTTCTTGAAGAGCAGCAGTGCCACGCTGGGCGTTGCACGGTTACGGTACCTGTTTGGCAAGCTGCAAATCTTTGCCCAAGAAGGCGCACAAAAGGACCCCGCCAAAGTGAACGAGCTTGTCCTCAAGGTCGATCCGCTGGTGGACGAGGCGGTGGCCAAGCTAAAATCCGAGGTCGACGAGGCCATTCGCGCTGCTTCGTCGTGAGCATCTGCGTTCTTCGGTGCATGATCGTGTTATTGTCAACTTTAATATAGTAGTTACATTGATTTTGTGTCCTGCTGGGGGGGGTGGGGCACGAGCTCGGAAGGCGGAAAAAAATAGCCAATAAGGCCCGATGTCAACAACAAAGACAAACAAAAACAAAAACACGAGAAAGTCACGAAGTACCTCCCTCCAATGGCATAAACAAGAAGCAACAAAAGGAATACTGTACTGAATGGCACTGCAAACCACGTTGTTGACCATTGATCAAGTTCATCCCATTCATGTCGGCTGCGCGCGAGAGGGTTTGTTTGGTTCTTGTGCCTCGCTCGTCAACCCCATTTCTTTTTTCATAAACACAAAAAGTTCGCCACCTTGGTCCACCAAAACACCCCGAGGAAATCCCGTTCAAAAGAATACTGCTCGCAAATCCACCGCCAATTCGACAATATGGCACGAAAACCAGCCGAATGGAACATTGATGTAAATTGACACACTCAGGCACACACACACACACACACACACAAACACAAACACGCAGACACGGACACTCTCGCATAAACAATCACACAGACACACACACACAGAACCCACACGCATTGACAAGTGATGAATGATGAAAACAAAGGATTATCAAAGATCAAAAACAACGAGAAATGACACGAGCAGGAATTTTTACACTGCCGTGTTCTCAGCGTCGCCTGTGTCGCCGCTGGTCGGTGCCTCGGGGGCCGACGTGGTCTCAGGCAAAGGAGCAGCGTTGCCAGCGACCGGCGTGGGCGGGGTCACGATCGAAGTTTGGTTGTTGCTCGCCGAGCCGGCTTCCTCGGCTTGCTGCTCGGAATGGGCCGCAGCCATTTTAATCGAATCGTTGGACGCCGGGGCAGCGAGCGGGACGCCGGAGGTTGTCGATGATGGCGAGCCGTTTGGTTCGGGCTTGTCGTCCTTCTTGGAGGGCGCGTCCTTGGTAGTGCCGGCCGAGGATTCTTTGGGGGTTATTTGGACGAGAAGCGAGGAGCTGGTTACCGAGCCCGAGCGAATGCGCGAAGACTCGGAGCTACGAGCTGATGGCCTGGGCGTGGTCGGCTCGTCATGCTGCTGCGACGATTGCCGAGCCATGCCCTTGCCGCGAGCAGGAGACGCGGAACGGGCGCTGGAGCTGCCCCCGACGCCAGCACCGGGGACGACAGCAAGGGTGCCTTCGTCCGAGGCCGTGCTGTGGCGCTTTGCCGGATCTTCGATCGAGACGGCAATTGCAGGCATGAGCTCTTTCAGCATTTCCATGCCCATGACCTTGAAAACGCGTTTGGCAAAGAAATCTTGGAATCGAGCGGCATAAAAGCTGGGATTGGTCACCGACACGGCCTCCTGCGTTGTTGTTCAAGGAATGAATGAATCACAGAATGAGAAACCTCATCCTCGCCGCTATGCACACAAACACCACCACCACCACCACCACCACCGCCACCCCCTCACTTACCCCATCATACAGCAACGCCTTGAATGAATGTTCGAGGCGTTTTTTGAGCTGGTATTGCTGCAAAATATCAATAATACCCAGGAAGATGATACACCGCTCCTTCTTGTCCGTGTAGGCGAGCATACCACCCGCATACCTGACACAAGGGAATCAAATCCAAAAGGCCAAAAAGTGAGAGAAACTGCAGCTACAATAAAACAACAACAACAACCAACCAACCAACCAGTACAACACGGATCGGAACGTACGTCTCTAGTTCTGGATCGAGATCCAGCGTTTCAGAAATGTCAGCAACATAGCTGACCTGCTTCTGAAACTTTTTGTTGAGCACGTTTAATGGAGTGCCGGTCACAGCTGCAATTTCAGACAACTTCTTGTAGAGGACAGCACGCCGGAGGGACTCGTTCTTCTCTTCCTTGCTGACAGAGGCGCTAGCGCGCGGTGACGAGAAGAAGGATTGCGGCTTGTCGGGCGAAGACATCAAGTCGAACGAGTTGGCGTGCGTTGGAGGCGGCGTGACGTCGGGCATGCTGGTTTGAGAGTCCATGCTGTTTCGCTGCAACTCGGTCTCATCCAGTTTGTGCAAGCCCACAAGCAGACTGTAGTCCATGATTTTAAAACTTCGCAGCACCTATCAAGCCCCACAACGGCGCGCGCACACACACACAGATACACACAGACACACGTAAAAAGTGAGTCCCGAATCCCGATGTGGTCGACAAACTCGAGTCCGAGTGCAACTCACCAAACAATCGCGTTGCATTGCACGCATCAAAGCCTCGTAAGTACTTGGAGGCAGGTAAATGCCTTCTGGATGCTTGTTCATAAAGTCCAAATCCTTGAAAGTAGGGTCGCTCTTCATGCATTCCTTCTGGGACGCCATGCGCGCGTGTGTTGAGCCCTGCGAAGACGACAAAGACACGAAAAATTGTCAGGCGCGGGTTTCCAGCGGGCGAAAGCGAAGCAATGAAAAAAACAGCCAACCAACAGCCAACCAACAGTGCTCTCGAGCGAGTCGCGGTACCTTCAGATCATAACGCTCGTGGTATCGGAAAATGGACGGAAGCAAATTGTTCATGACAACAAAGCGGATATTAAAACCAAGCGCGCTCTTGTAGCAATACAGGCCGAAAAATTTAGGCAGCAAAGTCTTTTTGTTTTGCGTCAGATTCTGTGGACCGAGAAAAGAAAGAAAACAAAAAGAGCACAAAGGGATCAATCAAGCATCACATACACACGAAACAAAAGTTGAAAAGCACAAGCGAGCGAGAAACAAAACTCAGAAACACGTCAAAAACCACACACTCGAAAAAAAAAACTCACCATGTAATAACCCGGAAGCAGCTGCCGCAAGAACAGGGCTTCCCGCCGCTGGACAGTTTTGATAATAAAGTGATCGTTGTGCGACATGTAAAAGAGGGAACCGCTGGCACCCGGGTTGGAGAGCTCGCGCAGCGGCTCATTACACAAGGAGAGCATAAAGTCTTCAGCCTTAATCCCAAAGGCTTCACGGAAGTGCCGGAAAGCGCGAGGGGCGTACGACTTGAAGCGAAAAGAGTTGCTAGAGTGCGCGGGCGTGTAAGTGCCGCCCTCGCTCGGAAAGTCGACAATCTCGTGCTCTTCAAAATCAATCATCAGGAGATCCCGCGACTGCTTGGGCGTGATGCTGCCGACCGAGTGCCGAATGCCGAGCTGGATGCCTTGCATGAGGTCTGACGACGGGGTCTTCTTGTAGACAACCTCGCCGTCGACAACCTTGCGATGCCCAAGCTTGTTGGACGAGCTGTTGCTCGAATAGCGGCGCTTGTCCGAAATGCCTCCCGTTGGCGATGCCGGTGGCGATGAGTTGGTCGACGCGAACGACGCAGTCGACGCCGTGCTGCCCACCCCCGTCGCGATGGGCGCGAGTGACAGCGGCACATGCAGCGTGGCGGTTGCAGACGGCACGACCGACGCGTCGGCAGCGGCAACGACAGGCGCCGAGGCGGACTGCGCCAAGCCTGTCTCCATCCTACTTTGGTTTGGGCTCTCTTCGACCGACGACGACGACGACAAGTCTTCTAGCTTGCTTCACAGCGTGTTGATGATTGTGGAACGTGGATGGTTGTCTGTCAAAAAGCCGGTGAGCGATGAAGCCATAAAGCCAAAAAGCAAGAACGTGAACGGTGGCCCACACGGGACGCGACACAACGCGGGATTGCCCTTCCCCCTGGTCAGCCCTCGCACACACACACACACACACACACCGTACATAGTTCTGTGATGACCAACATGCCGCGTGTCGGGGGGGGGTCGCGAGTGCAGAGCAAAGAGAATCAACGAGGGAAAAAAAACAAAAAACAAAACTTGGTTTCAAAAAAAAAAAAAAAAAAAAAGTCTTGTGTTGTGGAAAGACGAAGGGGATTTTTTTTTTTTTTTTTTTGATTTTATGGTTTGAGAATCATGAGGGAAGGGAAGGGAAGGGAAAAAACAGCTGGTTGTTTGTGGGACGCGAGCAGGGGACGAAGGGCCGAAGCGCGTGTCCGATGGTGTCCGTACGGCCATCCCCAAGCCTGCGGTGCGGCATCAACGTGACACGGGGGCTGGGGGCTATGAGGAGCTTCTCCGAACGTGCATCGAAGCTTCGCTCCTTTTTTTTTTTTTTTTTTTTTTTTTGAATGCATTTGCATTGCCAAACCTCGCCAAAGTCAGAGATCTCAGAGCCAGGAGCCGGTCAACGAGCTGAGCTGAGAGCAGAGGTGGGGCAACGACTGGCAGAAACCCACAAAGCAGGCCTCGAGTCAGGCCTTGTGAGCGAGTGAGCGAGTGAGTGGGACGAAGAGCGGCCTTACAGCAAATCGAAGCTACAAATAGCCAGTTGGAAAAAAAAAAAAAAAAAAGAATTAAAAAAAACAAAAAAAAAAAACTGAGAATCTAAATCAACACTTCGAAATCCCAGAAACACAAAAAAGGAAAGCTACTCTTGGCATAGGGGAATTCTCAGCGATTCTCTGTGACAAAAGCTAAACCTGAAGGGAAACTGGCGCAGCTCGAGCTCGAGCCGATTCGTCATGTTCAATGCAGCAATCCATGCGTGCTGAAGGGCTGAACAAACACACCTACTGAACAAGAGTGTCAAAATACGCAAATCATATTCTACAAAGCCACACAAACACAAACGAAAACATCCGCTTCAACGAGACGCCGCCAAAACATCCAAAAACTTGGTCCGCTCGTTCAGTAAAAGCCGAGAGGCGAGGTTGGCCACAAACTGAGGGGTGTGCAGCAGGGTGTGGGACGGGTCTTGGACAAACGCCACCACGTACCCGACGTGCTGCTGCAACGGCTCGAGCGCACGCGACGACGCGGTCTTTTGGAATTGTCGGAGCGCCCTGTCGAGGTTGGCAGCAGCGGACGCCGGTGCAGCATTGGAGCCAGTTGCAGTGGCAGCAGTAGCCGCGGCGGCAAAGATGACCGGGTTTGACGCCTCGGTGCGCAGCAGCGCCGCATCTCGTGCCGTTGGAGGCGTCGTTGGCAGCGAGAGGTCGGCCGCGAGGACTGCCGAAATCTCTGGCATGGAGGCCACCTGCGCGGCCAGGTACAAGGCAGTAGCACGCGCAACAAAGCGGTACTCGACGCTGAACGGGGACTTGGCGCCAAGCCCAATCGCGTTGAGAATGCCAGTCGGCTCCTCGCCCACTTGCTCCAGTGTCACCAGCAGGTTGCGCAGACCTGTAGCAAGCTCCAGCACCGACGCAACATCTCCTCGTTGGACGGCCGCCACCGCCATGGCGTTGCTGGATGGCGGCACAAAGTCGTTCTCATCGCCATGGATGTACTGGGAGCCGTGTTGGGCCAAGCCGCCGGCCGCAAGAGCCAACTCGGCTTGTTCACAAGCAAGTTGCAAGGTTCGGTGGAGCAGCAGCACAGTCTTGGGTTCACACCCTTGACCTTTGCGCGCCACGACGGAAATCCACCGCAACATGTCCAGCAACAGGACACGGCGCGAGGGCCAAACGCACGCCGGGAGTTGCATTGCGCCCGCGGAGGGCATGGGGCTACTCGACGAGCCAGTTGGAGCTTGCAAAAGCTGGAAGCCATCCTGAGCGACGCCAGCACCACCACCCAGCTGCATCAAGGCTTGCGCCAAGATGGCATACAGGGTCAGCGCACAGCCCTGGTCTGCCGCCTCCTCGGCAAGTGCGGACAGTTTGTGCGAGGGGAGGCGCAAGCGAGCACACAACACAGACCAGCCATGAGCTTGAATGAGCGCTGCCGCATCCGAGAGCGGCAGCAACGGCATGCCGAGCTGCTGCTGTTGCTGCATCTGTTGCTGGGCAAACGACTGCTGCAGTTGAATCCGATCCGGCGTGGGCATCAGGTAAAAGCGCTGAATGACACCCTCGAGGAGCCAGGCCAGTCGACGCGACGACCCGACAATCCGACACGCCGCAGAAATGGTTGGAAGCACGAGTGGCGTCGATTCGGGCCGATCCAAAAATTCTGGAAGCGACTGGGCGAACGCGTTGACAACAGCCTCGCTGGCCTTGGATGTGTTGAGCAGCTCGAGCACGTCTGCGAGCAGGAGGCTCGTCCAATCGTCCAGCAGGCGCGCGCCGCACAGCCGTGAAGAGGTGGCGACAATGATGAGGTTGCAAATGTGACCCATGAGCTGCTGTGAAAACGTGGACAGGCTGTTGAGAGGAACGTTGGCAAGTTTGGCCACCGCGCGCACACAGTAGCGAATAAAGACGGCGAGCTTCCCAACGGCCCCCTCCAGTCGCGGCAGCTCGACCGCGCCCTCGATCAGGGAAAAGTCTCCAACCGTCTGCAGCAGGCGCATGGCGTGGAATGACCGCGAATTTGTTTCGAGCAGCGAGTCGGCCGCTCCACGGGCCATGTTGTCGAACGCGACTGATTGGTAGGCCGGCACGGACAGCAAGCCCCATGCCAGCACATTCGATTTGGTGGCCACCTGAACCAGCGACTCTTGGGATGGGCCCGAGACCTCGTTGACAAGCCGGAGGAAGAGCCGCAAAAGCTCAGCAAAGAAGGCGTTGCCGTACGCTCTCGGAGCAGGTGGTTGCTGGTGGTACGGATGTTGCTGAGCCTGGAATTGGCTTTGCAAGTCATCATGCATCTGGCGCTGAGTAATGGCAAACTGCAGCCGACCAGGATCGCTCAACAAAAGCGGACCAAGCACGCGCGCAATAAACTCGCAGGACTCGGCCGGCCGCGTGTCCATGAGAAGCACCAACTTGTTGATCGTCTCGAGATCAAGGCGCAAGCGGTGCCACGGAAGCTGGGCAAACGACTGATGATACAGGAGAAGGCATGACTGAGGCGCCACGCTGACAATGCTGTGCGTGTAGAACGACCAGAACCACTCGAGCGTGATGGCATCCATAAAGAGCGTATCATGCACGCTCGACATGTCCGAGCACATGGACGTCAGGGCCTTCGTTGCCACTTGCACAGACTTGACGCCGCCAGACAACCATGGTTCTGGCATGTCCTTGGTCGCGAGCACCCACGGCCCATACAGCTGTTGGACCATGTCCCAAGCGCCGTGCAGCATCGCCAACATGGCTTGCATGGCGTCGGGATCAATTGCCAAGCTGGCAATATTGCCTCCAGACTCTGTGCTATAGGCACCGCGAGACTGGACGTGGGCTTCGGCAAGGATGGCTCGACAGGCCATTCGCACGAGCTGTCGCGAGAGTTCGAGCACAGGGTCGACGTACGCACCGAGCGAGCGATGCAGCGAGCCTCCCAGGCGTTTGCGGTGATAGAACAACAGTTCGCTCACAAGGCTGGCCTCCTGCGTGAGTTGCTGCCAGGAGCGGGGGAGGAGGCGTGCGTCGCTCTGGTTGATGGCTGCTGTCGCTGCATTGGGTACAGAGGCAGGCTCATGGCTTGCCTCGTCATCGTCGTCGTCACCATCCAGGTCGCTCTGTTGTTGGAACGCCTCGGGTTCAGAGGTCAGCGAGAAGCCATAGTAGATGAGCAAGACATCCCACCAAATCTGAGCATCGATCTGCTGGTCGACCGAGCTGGCAATGAGCAGACGAATGGTTTCAGTGACGAGGGAGAGCCCCGTTGATGACAGCAAGTTGACCAGCATCTCGCGACAATGCTTAAAGATGCCAGCATAATGGGCGGGGACTGTAGCACCACACTCGCAAAGCGCGCGAACAAGCGCGCCGAGAAGCTGGATTTCGTCCTTCAGAGTTTGCCCGTCACGCGCGGAGGTTGCTGCGCCGAGCCATTCATGCACGTGGAAGCGCATTACCACCCGCTCAAGCGCCGAAACGACCGAGTTGCCTCCGTTTGCCTCTGTTCCCCCAGCAGCTGCCAAGTCGGTGAGATTTTTGCTGCTGTTGCTGTTGCTGTTGCTGTTGCTGGTGGCATTGCTGCTGCTGCTGCTGCTGCTGCTGCTGCTGCTGCTGGTGGTGGTGGTCTTGGACACTCCATTTCCGCGCTGGTCGCACAGCAGTCCAACAACACGAACAAACATGGGCACGAACGCATCCGGCACGTTAGCAGGATGGAACAGGTGGGCCAGATACGGGACCATGGTCACTGGGGCGCGCAGCATGCGATCACAGAGATGCTGTGTTTCCGAGGGAATGGACGCGACAAAACTTTCACCAAGCAGCGTCAGCACTTCTCGCAGGAACGACCGGGTGGGCGCATACTGTTCCCAGCTGTCGCTGATGAGCGACAAAATGTGATAAAAAATGTGCCGACCGGCCGCTTGAAGCTTGGGAGCAGCTGAGATCGGGCGCTGCGCGTTGCTGTGCAAGGCCCGAACAACTCGCAGAATTTGCAACACGGCGCGACACACTTGCTCGAGATCAAACGCCTCTCCTGCAGGGAGAGAATGAACCGCGTTGCGGTTGGCGTCAATCAAGTGCGATGTCCGTTCGTCCGTTTCGCGCAGGCGGTACTTGAACTTGATCTGTGCTGGGGCAGAGCACACTCTGGCATGCTTGCGTTGGTCACAGGGAACGGGCACAATGGTTTCCATCTGCCGGTTAAAGTACAGCGTCGGCAGAAGGTCGAGAAAATCTGCATCCCGGGCCACGAGCACTGCCAGACGAGTGGCAAACGCCCGTGCAGCGCGACCGAGAACATTCATCTCGTCTTGAACAATTGGCAGGATGTCGCTTTCGCACTGCAAGGAAAAGATGGCAGAGATGGCCTCCTGCGGCACGACAGGAATGAGGCGGGGAGGCGGGTGGCGGACTGCAAGATTGAGCGCAAGCTCCTTGTAAATTCCAGCCAACGAGGCCGTTGTCGCGGAGGAGCCTCCACCAATGGCAATCGTGACCTCGTCAGACAGGGACTCGGTTGTCTCACTGCGCGGCGAGCTGCGCGCAGTAGGCTGCACCAACAACGCCGCATCGCCGCCGCCGCTGCCGCCGCGGCGTCCGTTGGACGAGTAGGCGGTCAGAACTGCGCGAAGAGCCGAGCGTGGAAGAACATCCATCCAGGGCGCATGCGCGACCGTCTCCGGGTCGCAGTTCTGGGACGAGTGTTGCACGGTCGCGAGACGCTGAAGTTGCCAAAACGCAGGCTGTCGCGCATCGTACACAAGCAACGGGTTGAGTGCCTCCTGCTTGATCCAGTTCAACATGGCCTCATAGAGCGTGGCAAGCTCGAGATAGTAGGCGCGAGTGTGGGGAATGCGAACGTCGATCGGGTCTTCGGCGCCTGCCTCTGCCGCAATCAGATGAAGCGGGGACACGTTGAATCGACCGCCAGTCGAAGTGATTTGGCTCGAGCGCGCCGCTAGAAGGGCAGCGCTGGACGACGACGGTGAGAGCGCCGCTGCACCAGAGTTCACTGGCAAGTCGCCCACGCCCGTTCCCGCGCCGCCAGCAGTTCCCTCGCTCGGCGTCGACTCTGCAAGCGTTCGATAGACATCCAGCAACTGGTGCAGCCGAAGCCGCATCTGATCCAAAATCTCTCGCTGAGTGGCACTAAAGTAACGCTGGCCAATAAAGTACATGCTGGCAGGTGCCATGCTATTGGTGCCCTGGGGCGCACGCTGGCCCCCAACAGCGTACGGATTGGGAAACGCTTCAAAGTAAAGCCAAAAGAACATTTGCCAGAACAGCGGCAAGACGGGGCAGCTTGTTGGCAGATTGAGGGCATAGTATGCCCACTTGTAGATGGTAAACTGCTCTAGTGGGACGAGCTGTGGCGCCTTTTCGACATGCGACCGGTGGACGGCGTCGGGCGACATTCGAATTTCGCTCAGCAAGAGTCCCGAGAAGAGCTTCCGAACGCTCGTTTCTTGGCATGTTTCCATGAGCAAAACCTGGAATGCCAGCCACGGGAACTTGCCGGGAAGCGTCACCGGGCGGAAGAAGGGAATGAGCGACGACACGGACCAGTTTTGTGGATTGTTCAAAAAGCTGATGGGCGCGGCAGGCAGCGCTTTGGACGTGGCCGCAGAGATCAAGTTCAACAAGGGACTGAAAAACGAGGACGCGCCGCCAGCAGAAGCATTGTTTTGAGCGAGCGGTGCTTGGTTGGTGCCACGATCGCCTTGAAGCGCAGTGTAGCGGGCCAGCAGCGTGGAGAGCACGCAAGGATGCCAACCAACAACCATAGAGACGCGGCAAAGCGCATCCACCACAAGGCGGACATCGTTGCGGTTGTACCAGCCAGGAATGGCTGTCAACGCGAGGGCAAAGAACTCTGTCCACTGTCGCTGAGCCACAGGAGAGTCGGCGTCGACAAGCACCAGTCGATGAATGAGGCGCACGAGCTGTCCGAGGAAATCCGTTGGCGCCGACGGTGCCAAGAGGCTGACTTTCTGCATGGCGAGGCTCAACGGGTTGCTAAACATGGAGGCGTCTGCACGAACTTGCGCTTCCAAAATGGAGACAAACTCGGGCATGTTGGCAAGCGCTTGCGCTCGACGCTCGACCCAAACTGGCAGCATGTCGTGCAAGAGGCGGTTTACACCGTCAAAGCGGTACCACTGCTGCAGTTGAACCAGCTTTTCAAAGCTCGCTGCGTCGATCGAATTCTCCGCATATCCCAACTTTGTCATCTGCAGCACACAGTACATGCCGAGCGGGACATCCTGTGCTTGCACAATGGCGGCAGCGCGCTCATCGGACAACTCCATTGGCGCCAGCGGGCGATCAGCCATCAAGTGTGCAATGCGGAGCGTCTTTTGCTCCCATTCGGATCGTTCGTTGTTTGGATGCTCAGGCTGCTGCTGCTGCTGCGACTGCTGTAGCGGTTGCTGCGACGTTGATTGGACCCGAGCCTTGTCGTGGGGAAGCTGGCGTCGTTGCAGCATGGTAGTGGACATCCACGGAAAGTCACGCGCTTGTGGCCCGAGGGAGCCATGGTGGGAAGGGCGTGGTGCGCCTGCAGGCAATCGAAGTTCCAACCTCAACATGGTTGACCAAGCCCACTCCCCAAAGACAATTTCTGCTGCGCCGAGCGTTCGCTGCGCAATAGCATTCAGCTGGCTCAGGTAAGTGGTGGCAGGTGGCACGTGAAAGTGGTTGGCCTGCAGAAGCAAGAGTGCGAAACGCCAATGCCACGTTGTGTCGAGGAACAACATGTCCGAGTTGAGTGGAATGCGGTGGGGCACGGGTGGATGCTGCTGAGATGAAGGCGGCAGCGGCGGATGCGCGGCCAATCCCAAAAGCGACTGAGCCTGAAGTGGCGCAACCGTACCCCAGTTCATCTGCTGAATCACGTGCTGAGCAAGACGGATGCGCAGTGAGCCGAGCGGGGCAAGGAGCATGCTTTGCAACACGAGAAAGTCGTCCTCGGTGAGATGCCAGCGCGAGTACTCCAAGCCTTGGAAAAGCGCCAGCACCGGAGAGCCCAGAGCATCAATATCGGTACGAACGCGTTCGAGCAGCATGGACACGACGATGGGATGGCGCTGGGACACCACGCCAATCAGGTCGTGCCCGGACTTGTGGCAAAGCTCGCGCGTCAAAATGTTCACGTACGACACTTCGAACAGCTCTTCGACAATCACAGTGACGAGCTCGAGATGCGCGCGCAAATCCAGCTGGGTCACGGGCGACAACCCGGCGAGAGAGCCCGAGGCAGATTCGTCAAGGCTGTCCGCCGCCGTGGTGGGCGACCGAGCCGAATGGAGCGTGTTGAAGAGTCGCTCAATGGGTGTACCCGTCTTGCTCGCACCGCCCACAGTTGAAGCAAGTCGCGTTGCCGAGGAATCTGTGCTTAAAGCGCCCGCAAGATTGGCAAAAGTGGTCAACAGGAAGATGGCCTCAGATGCGGACATGCTCATCACAATGTCCGCAAACCGTTCACGGAAGAGGGGTTCTGCATTCGTCAAATAGGCAAGAGGGATGATTCGGAGAAAAAAAGCGGAACCAATGATGAGAAAAAAAAATCAACAACAACAACAACAGGAAAAAAAAAAATCCATCCATTCCCAAAAGTGGGTTTACCTCGTTGCATGAATCGCTTCCAGGTGCCATAGTCGCGAACCCGTAGTAGTTGATAGTCAATGTTGTGACGAACCTCAAGACGACCAGTGAAGAGGAGCAAGAAAATTTCCCAACGCGTGCTGACGGAAACACACTCGAACGGAAGATCACAGAGGAACTGCCAAACACCCGTGCCCCGAGCCCCGAGGAACGAACGAACCGCTCGCAGCAAGAACTGGTCGTACTCGAGCGACAGGATGGCCAAGTCCTCATGCAACCGCCGCGCTTCGGCAGCCAAATGTGGAGCGGAGCTAGCGTGCATGCATGGGGACTGGATTTGGCGGTAAAACTCGGCAGTGCTGGGGGATTCGAGCTGGAGGCCAGCGATAATGGGAGAATAGTAATCAGCCGGAGCCCCAGCGGACATGGGGTGGGTTGCTTGGTAGCTCTGGGCAGCAGGGCGCGTTGTCTCGCTGAATCGCGCGGCACCGCCATCGACGTTGGCCCGCTGCTGCTCGTGTTGGCGGATGAGATGAACAAGCGACTGACGATAGAGAATCCAATGCGCCGAGACGAACTGGACAGATTGGGTGATGGTGCGAGCAATTCGCTTGAGGAGATGACCATTTCCGCTCGGAGGCACTTTGGCGAACACGGACGCGAGCAACTGCACAAAATGCGTGCCATAGGCCAGCAGCCGGAGCAAGCCTTGTGAAGATTGATGCGTTACGTCGTGAGTGACGCGATGGACGCTGGAAGACGAGCGGCTCGCCGTGTTGGAGGTCGAGGTGTGAGTATTATTGTTGTTGCGCGGGGCCGCAAAGCGCGACCCGAGAGCCACAGAGGGGCCATGCCGCTCGTTTGCCGACACTGGCAACGGATGTGCTTCCATGTGAATGTTGAGCACGAAAGAGAACAGCCGACCGAACGGGAATTGTTCCAGCAATGCGACCATGTCGTCTTCATTCAGCACGCACGCGCCAAAGCGCGGATAGAGTCGGCGAGGGCCAGCCACGATTGGCACGCTTGGGCGAACGGCTGGTGGCAATCCGGGAGCATCTGGCGCGGGAGTCACCACATGCGAGTCGACGGAGGCAGACGACGGTTCCGGCATAAAGCTTGTATCGACCACGACCCACTCATTTCCACCAGAGGCCCCTTCTGGCTTGGGAGCTGTTGAAGTGGGACCAGCGGCGGAAAGAGGAGGCGGAAACACGGGTGCTGTCGCAGGCTCGACGGTTTGCTGGGCGGGCGAGGACGGCGCACTGACCAGCAACTCCATCGGGGAGTCGGCGTGCTCATTCGACACCGACGGATGTCCGCCTTGCAGCTCCGCGGCAACCGAAAATGTAGGGGCGGCAGCGCTGGATTCCCGGGAAGCGGAGCTCGCCGCCGCCACATACAGCGGCGAGAGCAGGGTGGACAGCTGGACTCCAAACAAGTCAACTCCGCCGTCGTCCAACTGCTCGGGAAACTGCAAAAGCCGGGATCCCCATTCGCCAACTCCACGGCAGCGAACCAAGTGCAGCAGGAGGTAGCGATGGTCGCTCACAGAAGCGCACCGCAATAAAACGGAGGCCTACGCAAAGCAAAAAGCAAAAGCAACGCGAACATGAGGAACGACAAGTGAACAGCAAAAAAGCGGGTTCGACAGCAACATTTGCTTACCAGCTGGTCAATCCACTGTCGAAGCGATTGCCGGAACTCTTCTATCGGTGGATCCGACCGCAAAAAGATAAAAAGCACATCGAGGAACCGTTTCAATAGATCTACATCGGGACGAGCGGATGTTGTCGCGTCTGGCAACGACACAACAGGTGATGCAGGTGTCAACTGCGTAAAGGTAGCGGATTCGGCCAGAAACTCATCCAGATAGAGGCAAATTTGGAGAAACGCAATTCGGCTTTCGTAGTCGTACTCCAAATGAGTCTGTTCATCCGAATGATTGACACCAGGAAAGCAACGAACACAGGGGGAGGAGAATCCCATCCAACGGTGAGTGAGGGTCGGAGGATTGGGGCGGCGTTGGCCATTTGAAGAGCAAGAACAACCAAAAACAACAAGAACACCAACGCCATAAAGTACTCACAAAATTACGCTCTCGTCGCGCTTTGTCGAGAGATTCTCGCAGTTCTTGCAGTCGCTGCTGATTGATTTCGGCTACCTCGTGGGTCAAGCCTCCAGAGACGCGCGTGCCATCCCCGCAGACGCCTTCTTGTTTGAGTGCAATTTTGCGAAAGGACCAAACGAATTGTTCTGCTTCTCGGCTGTCCTTTTCAAACAACTGGACAAGACCAAAACATCGAGTGTGGGTTAGAAGGCTGCTCAACAAAAGCCATCGCATCAATCACAAGCGAAAGCCTACCTCTACGGCCTTGCGGGAGACGTACAACCGGTCTAACGCGTCGCGATACCGTTCAACCATCGCATAAAATTCAGAATGAGGCCGTGTCAATCGCTGGAATTGGGAGCGGCATTTGGAAGGAGCAAACAACAAAAAAATAAGTACGAGGACAAAAGCAAAAGACGACCACAGATGCAGCTCGCAAAAGGTACCTTGAGGAACGACGATGTGAGTTCAGGTTGGTCCGTCAACAGCTTGTTGTCATACAAGGCTGCAAGCTCGGATTCTGTGAGTGCTTGCCGCACTATCACAAAAGAGAGGTGAAGCCCAAACGAAACATAAAGTGAGGGACGGGAACCAATACCAAGAAGTCGATCAAAAACGGCTGTCGTACCGTTCTCTTGCGTCGCATCCAAGCTCTCGGAAATCTCAGATTCCAGAGCAGCGAGCGAAGGATATAACGCCGGCGCTGTCGCAACGGTTTCTTGCGGGGCTTCCAGCTCAAAGCTCACGTGCGTGTGCTCAAACTCGCCGGCCGGCGCGGTGGCTGCCACGGCATCAAACAGCATCTCGCCAGCGGGCGGAGCGCTACTGGGTACCTCTGTCGACGCCGTGTAGGGATTGGGTTGGTCATAGTCCATCACTGGCGCTGACGCCTCGTCCGCTTGTTCCGGGAAGGCGAGCATTGCCGATTCAAAGCTGTGAAGGCCTGCGACCTGCTGCTGAGACATTCGCATCGCAGGGTACTTGTACGCGGTATGGTCTGCAAAAGCAAAAAGGTAGAGCGAAAGAGTTAGCGTTACGCTGTGGTTGAGTGTGTCGTAAGTTCTCAGACTTTTTGTCTTGTTCTGAGCTTTTTTCCACGGCGTTTGTCGTTCTTGTTGTTTGGTTTTCTGTTGCTAGTTTTTATAACGACCCTTCCGTGTTTGCTGTCGTTGTTTCAACGCTGTCTTGCCAACTCAGAAAACCCCCTTGCGCTTTTAGCTGTATGTTGTTTACCTGACTGTTTCACCGCGTCGACCCGCGGCGATGCTGCTGTCACCGCCACAGCCACATCAGCATCAGCAGTAGCAGCGCTAGTACTAGTAGCAGACGCAGTTGCAGCAGCAACAGCAGCAGAAGACGAGACAGCTTCGGGAGCGGCAGTCGTCGCCGATGATGACGCAGCTTGCTCGCTTGGCTGTGGGTCGTCCACCGAGACCACCACCGCCGCAGTCCCCGCAGCAGCATCCTGTGTGTGCTCGACAGTGGCCGTAGTTGCAGCGGCGTGACTGGCAGGCGCCTCATCATCGTGCGCTACGACGACGCTGGCTTTGGCTTTGGCCTTCTTTGCTGTCGTTGGCCTGGGTCGTTCGAGCTCCATCAGAATACGCCCCAAATGAAAAAGCAAAAAGTATCTACAATTAAAAAAACGAGCAATGGACTGGAGTATGAAAGCGGATTATGCGACAACAATTGAAACAATAAACTCAATGCAAAAAGTCAATGCAAACGCCAATGCAAAAGTCAATCAATGCTGCCGCGTTGTCGTTGTTCACTGGAGTGGTACTTGCTTATCACGTCACTGCAAATTGTGTCTCATTGCCATTTGACACGACAAGACTGAATCTGAGCGTCTCAGTCTCAAGTCGTCTCAGTCAGTCTCCCTTTTGGTTATGAATCCAGCATCCGACGACCACGACAACGAGGCCGAGCTGTCACTCGATGGCAATGCAATGTTCGAAGAGCCCGAGAACTTTCGTCCAAAGACCCCGCCGCCGACCGAGCATGTTGTCGCTCGCACGGTCGCTGGAGCAGTACCAGCAGGTGAATGAACGACCTTCCGTCCCACAAGGATCATTGCAGCTGCCTATCGGGCCCATTATCGTTGACTGTGCATGATCAACGATCAACCATGTTTGCTGACGACTGTCTGCTGTTGTCTGTGGCGGTGGGACTTGGCGTTTTCTGGATGACAGAACTCCGCGTGCGTCTCGTCGGGCACCACTCGCTGTGGGCGCATTGCATGTGGAATGCTGGCGTCCATCTTGCACACTACTTTGACGAACACTGCGCATTGGTTCGCGGCAAGACGTACGTGAGGGCTCCCCAATCGCCAACAAAACTTGCTGTGCCAAGCGCCTCGTGGAACGAATCTTCGACACTGATGCTAATCTCCCTATTGTGATGCTATGGTGATGCTATGGTGATGATGATGATGATTGAAACTTCAAAACTCAGAGTGCTCGAACTTGGTGCTGCAGCGGCACTGCCATCCATGGTCGCTGCTCTCAACGGCGCGCTTCGAGTAAGTTTTCGCTTTTTTTTTTTTTGTATGGACGAGGTTTC